TCATCTTATTTAAGTGATTCCTCTACTGCTTAAAAAATAGGGTTTTTTAAAGAGGGTAATGAAATATAAACAGGTATTAGTACATAATTCCCAATTTTTTAATTACTATCATGTAATTTCCAAATAAACTCTTCAATTTTTTTGGCTGTAGTACTTTTGCCGATTCCAGCTAATCCATGAATTAGTAATACTGTTTTCCCTTCATATAAAAACTCATTCACTTCTCCATTTTAATCGCCAAATTAATCTAAATTCATCAAATTACTAATCTCATTTTTACCTTTCTCTTAAGTTTTTAATGGTACATAGATGGACTTAAAATTTTTTTCTGCTGCTTCCTTCAAAACTGTCCATTTTCTAATTTCAAGCAATTATATAACTGATTTTCCTCTCAAAAATTTAAGATCATTCCCCATGTTGTTGAGCTACTCTTTTATTTGATTTATTTTTCCCTCAACTCTTAACAAACTTTTTCTGATATGATTTACAAAATCAGTTACCAACCTGAGTTATTAACCCATTTCGCTGATATTTTATATGTATTCATCTAATTGCTGAGTTGTTTCATCCATTTCTTTCAATTATAGCTCTCTTTTGTTAAGATTTGCCTCCTGAGTAATTTATTCTTACAATTCATCAATTCTCTTCAACATTTTTTACATCTCTCCTATCATGTTAAGTCTACCAATCTTTCTACAAAATTTACATCTATAAACTTATTAAGTGTTAATTTTTCAATAAATTTCTAACTCTTTAATCTTTTTCTAAAACCCATAATTAAATGAGAGTTTTTTAACAAAATCGAGTAATCGTTTCTGTGAAGCTATTTCAAGAAATCTAAATTATAGTTAATACTAAACCCTATTTAATTTTCCATTAATCATTTTTTCATTAATCAATAGAGAATTAATCCTATTGATTTGATTTGACTTCATATTCCTCATCGTTTTCTTTTAGGTATATTTTTTTAGTTGATTAAACTAGATAATCTTGATTAAATTAATTTTTCTAGAATTCCCACTTCGATATTTTTAAAGGTTCTTTTGCTTCAGCCATTAACTTATAGAGAAAATCAACAATATTTGTTGATTAACTATTATTGTTGTCTGATTATTTTTCACTCTACAATGTATCGATTTAAATTCTTGAAAAGTATTCTTTAATTGATTCTTTTTCCTATTATTCTAAATTAGCATTTGTGCATAAAGATTCCTTAATGTTTTCTATATGTTTTGAAAAACAACTTTAAAAACTTGTATACATTTACAGGTAATATTATTAGGAAACATCAAGGCTTTTAGTAAAAAGTTTAACATTTTCAACTAATTAGGCCAATTTTTGCTTCTCTTATCTTATTTTAATTAATAATAATTATAGAATATTAATAATGATCGATAACTTTGTTCTAATTTTATTTTGGGCATTATTTTCATCCTCTACATTTTCATTATTTAATTCATTGAGATCCCCATCTCTATTGTTCTGATCATCATATTTTGTTTTAAATTCATGAAATTTTTCTTTTAAATCTTTTACTGTTTCAATTAGAGGCATTTGAAAAAATTATAGATCTTGGTTACTTGAAGCTTTCAATAATTTTACAATAATTTAGATCTGGCTGATTATTAATTTAAGTTATTCTACCTCTTCTCAATTTTCATAGTATTTAATTTTTCTTAATTCTGACTATAATATCTCATACTTTTCTCTCTCAATATTCAATTAATGTTGAGAAAGGTTTTTATTATTGATAATGTTCAATGAAAAGTCTATTTAAAAATCTTTTATAATTTTCATAATTCTTTCTGCAAGAGTTAAAGGCCCTGTTTCTTCTATAAATAATTCTCCAAATTCCTTCTCGATTAATTCCAAATCCATTCTTTCCACTTCAACCATTTATTCTTCTAAAGTTAATTTAAAAATAAGATAATCTAAAATTCCTTTTTATTATATTAAATTATTTTAATAGTGTTGTTCAGTAATTTATAAGTCACTTAATTCAGCAATAGTTTATTTAAAAAATGAACTGTCACAAAAAATCATTCTTTTTGGATAATTCTTCGCTACATCAAGTAGAAACTCATCCAAAGAGATAAACTTTTTTAACTATGAAAATTCTACAAATGGTATTTTTAATATTTGTAAAAATCATTCTTTGAAAGCAATTAATTGTTATTTCTGCTTTAAAATGTTCAATCTTTATTTTTGTATAAATTAATATGAAAGCTTATACAATATTGTTATTTAATTTCGATTAATTTTTCAGGTAAAGAAACAGACTCTATTTCATATTGTAACATCAGTATTGTCTTAAAACTTTAAAGTAATTCATTAAAGTATTTTTGAAGTTCTTGGATCTGTTTTTCATAATAAAAATTTAGGTTATTCAATAAACTTTAAAAGTATTGAATTAAGTTATCCTTTTTTAGTAACAAAGTTTCTAGTTCTGAGACTTATTTTTCAGTTTTTTCGATAAGTTTTAACATGCATTAAGCGTCTTTCAAAAAACTATTTTTGTTAAGAGTTGCATTAGGGAAGGCAAGTAGCTTTTACTTAAACTTATTGGCAAAAGAAAATTATTTATCTGCTAGATCTAAATTTTATAATTCCTCCTTTATCAACTCTATCTCTTACTAAAACATTATGCTTTCATCTGGTTCATTTCTCTAATCATTAATATCTTAAATTGTTTATAACAATATTGATTCTAATAGTCTCATTATATATCTAAGTTATTAAAAAATTTTGAATTCATTTATCTTTTTCTATTCAAGTTATACCAACTATAAATCTTATTTCCTTAGACTAAGCCTTTTAATTTTAATAATTTTAATTGTATTTTGGAAATATTCTTTGAAATTGAGAATTATATTTTTTTAATTATGAATTATAAGAGGATTATTCTTTTGTGAAATTATAATATTAATTTTTTTGTATAAAATTTTTATAATTTTAACTATTACTCCCAATCTCTCATCATTTTTCTGAATTAAAGCTAGTAATTTATCCGAGATGATGAAATCAAAATATTGCTAAACTGTAGTCCTTAAGATGAATAAACATTTAAATTAATCCGTTCTGATGTAAATCAAACAACTTTTCAATAATTTTAGGATTCCATCTATAATTAAGTTGTATGATTTCATGACCTTTTAAGCATTCTTTATGAGTTTGTAAATGCTTTCCTCTTCAAAAATAAACCATTATCTGGCTATCATTATTTCTTAAGCTTCTAATTAATTAGCAGCAACAGCTGCTTTAGTATAAATTGTTTAGACAAAAGAATCAAATCTTGTAATGAAATTTTCTATGTCTTAAATATCAGACTTTAAGACTATATCTGTGTTGGGAATTATCTAAATAGATCCACAACCACCTCCACGTAATGTGAATGTTAATTTATTCAATAGGCTTGACATTATAAGTAAGAATTTAAATAATTAATCAACACAGGTATAAAATTTTTATAAACTTAGTATTATGGATATTAAAATAATTTTTTTATTATTAATAATAATAAAAAATTTCTTTAAATTACAGATAAATAATTAATTCACTTATTTTTATTATTTTCTCAGACCTATCCTACTTATTTTGGCGATTCAAATTTATTTATCAAATTTATTTGAATTGTAAATGTTATTACAATTTTAAGAATTACTCCATAATTTTTTCATTATTTTTTCTCAATGAGAGACAATTAAATTTAATGCAATTAATCTAAGGTGAATGCCTATTTTTTTTTGATCAAAATTTTTCTTCACCAAAAAAATTATGAATGAAACTCAATAGGCATTCAAATAAGATTAATTTGCATCAAAGTTAAAATACATGTCATGTTTTTTTTTGGAATAAGAAGAACTTGAGTTTGGAGGATTAAATTTATATTTATAAATATTTCTCTTTTATAACAAAAAAAAATTAATAGTGTAATTATAAAAATATATATTTGATATTTTCTATTGATAATATTCCCAATTCAATTAATCTATAATAAAAGAAGAGTTTTCATTGAAAAATAATTTCAGATAGTGAAAAAAAATTTTATAAACAACTCAGCAACCTTATTCTCTTATGATGAAATAGATATATAGATCATTAAATTATTTTATGATAATTTCATAATTTTATTAATTATTACACAATAAATTCCTACTCTGAAGTTAGTTTTCATATTCTTAATGCTTCATAAAAATATTATTTTGCTTCCTTTTTTCTTTCTAAAACCAGTATCAAAAATGTGTAAGCTTAATATTAGAACTTAGCTTTGTCGTACCCTATTGTTTAGAATGATTGCATTGTTGAAACATTAAATTGCATAGGTATATTTCTGATATTTTAGTATTGGAAATTGCAAACCATTTAAAAAAAAATGATTGATTTTTCTTTTGTTTTCAATCAAGAAGTAAATTAAATTTCATAATTGATTATTTATTAATTTTAATTAAAAAATGAGATTGAATTCTAATATCATAGTAGATATTGATATTTTTTAATTTGAGCATGTTTGATAAAGGTACTTATCTAAATTTTATTTAAATAAAAAATATAAATATATTGATATGAAATAATAAATAAAGATATGATATCATATTAAAATTTAGATTATAGGCATTAAAAATATTAGAACCAATTAAGAAAAAAATAAGATATATTATTCATTTCTTACATAATCATATATGATAAACCCTTACAAATAATTAGAATTGTTTTTTTTTTATTATTCAAGTTATCGTTTCTATTTCGTTGGCAAGTAATTATCATAATTAGTTCTACAAATTAATTTAGAAAATTCAAATGGACATTATAAAGGTTCTAACTTGACCAAGTAAAAAAGATAACATAGAAAGCAAAATTGATTATGCTTCTGGATAGTTAATGAATTTTACTATAATTACAATGTAAAACAATATTGTATAAATTAAAAAGGACCTATATTAAGCAAGCCAAAATCAAAATTAGCTTTTGGATTCATAATAAATCTATTTTCACTTCTTGAAATCTTGTATTTTTGCAGAAGTAATTTTAATTAATGAAAAAGTAGCCATCAGGATAAATAGTAATCAAATGTAGCTTTAAAACTGTTTAAGATTTCGAATTTATTCTTAAATTTATAATTTGGAAATTGCAATAATGTAATATTTAGGATTGCCCAAGGAAATTATTATATAATCAGTGCTATTGATTGTTAAGTAGTACTAAGCCGAAGTAGAAATCGTGAATAACATAATATATTCAATAACTAGTTCTTTTTATTTTTTAACTTATAAAGCGAAAGTTAATTCTTATAAACATATTAAACTAGCTTTATCAGATAAAAATTGAGATTGAAGTCAGAAGCTTTAATATATGTACATAAACTTAATGATCCTTCCTAATTTATACATTGATATGAATCCTTCATATTACAAAATGAAGAAAATCCATCTCCTCCTATTTCCCTTATCACACTTCATATTTATTGACAAGAAGTCCATTGCTACACTAATTAATACATAAAGTATTAATTAGCAATTAATTTTTCTCCACATCTTAAAGCAGAATATTACTGAAACTCTGATTGGATAATCATTTTAATCAGATTTTATTTATTAACATTGTTAATTTTAGATAGTGAAAATGTAAAATTTATCATCACAAATTTACATTAATGTTATTAACATTCTACAAGAACATAAAAATTCACAATTATGATTGATTTTTTCTATTATCAAATTCTTCTAAACCCTCTATCATAATTTCCAATCATAGGTGCGCATAAATTATTTATTATTCGGAAGTACTCATTACAAGCTAAGCATTAATTCTCATTACCACAAAGATCGCAATCTGGAATACAATCAGAAGTTGTTTAATCATTATTATTATCTTCAATTGGCAAACTTATTTCTAGACATTATCCAGATTAGCATTTTATACATCCAAATTCACAAGAATAGGTGCATTTATGGAATCCATCATCAGGTATTAAATTTTCTTCATCACATAAATCAGGTTCAACTATTATTAAATCTCAAAAAATTGGTTAACATGCTTAATTATCTAATAAATATCCCATCTAGCAAACTTCACAGATCCCTTTATTGCAAATCAGACAGCTATATCCAAAATGATAATTAAAGTTAAAAAAATTATAATTGATCGATGAAAATAATGAGCCACAAACTTCAGTAACTACAAATAATCTATCTCCACAATCTTATTCAAAACCATTATTAACATTTAATACATTAGCCATAATTACGCAGTTAACAATTATGATGGCACTTAAACTAGCAATCATCACAAATTTATCAATAATATATTATCTAATCTTCAATTAATCATTCTATAAAATTAAATTTTCACAAAAATTTTAATACATAGTGTATTTCATTATTGGTATTAAATCCTTTCTCGCATTTAAGACATTCTTCATTTTAACATATAAACAATGTTCTGAACAATCTTATTCTCAAAATTGTACAAATCGAAAAAGGATATCACTTTATTTTATCCTTTAATAACTATTCGATCTACACATGTAAATTCACATTTAGTTCCTGTTAAATACAAAGCATGTTATTTCATCACATTTATAAAAATTTCCTAAACTACAATATGGATAAAATTATAGCAATATTAAAATTAACAAAAATGACATCCATCAAATTTATTATCATTGCTATCATCGCATTAATCATTTTTAATTATTACTAAATCATTACAAATTTATATGCAAGAGTAAATTGCCTCAATTAATTAATAATTATCTTTGAATTGATAACATTTACCTTTGAAACAAACTTAACATTCATCTTAATATTAAATTTAACATTAATAAAGTCCATCAAATGGATCATTATTACCATCATCACAATCTTCTTCATCAAATATGATTTAATCTCCACATATTGGTAGGCATGGTAGATTTATTTCATCATAATAATAACCAGACTAACATAAACATTAATTTCTTTTGATATCTTTAATCAATAGTATGATTATTTTTGCCATTTCAAAAATGGATAAATAGCATCAGGAGAGAAACAGACAGACAAGATTCCATTAGTATGACCATCTAATTTTGCTTTTTCTTATCCCGTTTAAAATCCCAACACTGAAAGCTATACTGCTATGACCACCTAATTTAAATTATCGGATTAAACCAAATCTTATTATTCTTATTTTTTAAACTTTTTTTTTTCTAAATTTCTATATATTCTTGGCCAAGAGGAAGATCCCATTCTTTTTCGATTAACCTAATTAAATAATGACTAAACAAAACTTTGACTAAACCAAATTTCGGATAAACGATAATTAACAATTTTATATTGGTATGTAAGCTCAATAAAAAAAGGAATATATATTAAGAAGAAACAGTGACATATTTTACATTTTATAATCAATTTTTGGGGGAAAAATAAAAGAATGTCCTAATTTTACTACCTACTATAAATCTTTTTGTTCTAATAAAAAGTCAGAAAAAAATTGAATTCATTTATAGAGAAGAGCATTTTTACTCTTGAATGCTAGGAAAAAATTCATTAATTACATAATATTCAATTTCTATTTTCATAATAATGCTAATGTAGATTAAGCTTTTTAAGACAAAAACATCAAAAAAAATATATAAACTCATTATGTAATATATAATTCAACTGTTTTCTTGCTTAAAAAATTGTTACTCATTATATCTTCCACAAGTAATAACAACTAGAAAGATCCTATATTATGCAGAAGCTATCAACATCAGCTTTAATAAAGTTTGTAAGACTTTAATGTAGTTTACTTTGAAATCTCTTTATGGGATTATAATTTTCTGATAAATCAACTTAGTCTTTTTGTTAATAATTCATATCTGAAGAAATTGAACCAGGTAAATATGGTGCCATCTTGATAAATAAAATAAGAAATATATTTAATTAAGATCATTATGAAAAGTAATAGTAAATGTTGAAATTTGAGATCTTATATAATTATTTTCAAATTATTTTTTTATGGTTGTTTTATTGCTTCTATCTTTTTTTGTTGTTAATTGCATTTAAATTTTAATAATAAAATCATAACATGTAACAATAACAATAAATAATTGTTATAAGTAAATTTTTTGTCAATTATTTTACAAACATGTATCAAACCAAAAAATAATCTAAAGTCAACAAACCTTATCTTAGATATAAATTATAAAATTAAAGGATAGTTGGTTAATGAAATATTCAATTTTTAATTATAACGAGAACTTTAGATGAGCTTTATTTTCAATAGTTGAAAAATATTTTTTATATTATTTCTCATAGAATCATTAATTTAAAAAAATGAAAATATAGAGATCTGAAGATGATTTGTCCTCTAAATTGCAAGAAGATGGAGTTAATTAATCAGCAGATAATTTAAGCGATGAGGGATAATTAGAGAAGAGTACCTTGCATTATACTTGGTTTGTCAGGACTTTCGGACCAATGAAAAAAGGATCCCTTCGATAGTCTGTTATTGCACTCATGTGTGCGGCAATGGGTTCAGGTATGTTATCCTTTCCATGTAAATTATATTTTCATAATATTTAAAGCAAATCCTGTTTAATCTGGATTAATTAATTGTATATTACTAATGGTTATTTGCGCATTATTATCGAGATTTTCAATGTAGATACTAATGAAATGCGCTTTCAAATATGATTAACATTCATATGCAGAATTAGTCAAATTTGCTTTGGGTCCAAGTATGTAAAAATTTTATTCTGTGGATGTGATTTGTTATACTTTCGGAGCAATTGTTTGTTATTAAATTTTATTCATATAATTGGTTTGGCAAGTTTTAATAAAGTTTAACTTTGATGAATCATATAAGGATCAAGTTAGATATATTGGTGGTTCAATTTTCATGATTATAAACTTCCCAGTTAGTATGATGAAAGACTTATACTCCTTAAGATACTTCACTCATTTACAAATATTAATTATAGCTTATATTCTAGTGACTATCGTCATCTATTTCTTGATTAATGTTTCTAATGATTTTGACTCAAATAAGATAGTTTATTTTGATTTCAACATTTAATTAACAAGTACATTTGCTGCAACATTTTTCGGTTATATTTGTCATTAGTTAATATTTCCTATAAGATCTGAATTAAAAAGATCAACATTGAAGAGAATGTCCAAAATATTTAATAGAGCCATCTTTTCAGAGGCAATAATTTATTTAACTTTAATGATTTTTGGATATTTGAGCTTTTTTGAGAACACAGAAAAAATTATTATTGATAATTATGACGATATTCCATTCACATTGGCTAAAGCCTTATTTGCTTTTATAATGTTTTTTGCTGTTCCAATAAACCTAAATCCTTCTAGATTAACTGTTTTACAATTAATTGATAAGGAAAAGAGTTGGAAGGCTTATGTAATTAGTACAGTTGTTTTATAATATACAACTGGAGTTATTGCAATGATATATCCAAATGTAAAGTAATAGATATTTTTTTTAAAATAGAGCAATTTTTGGTTTATTAGGAGGCATTTTTGGTATGATTATGGTGATTGTACTACCATGTACATTATATATTACCTTGGAACTCAAAGAAGGCAAAAAGTGGTCTGATTCAAACATTATAGTTACATTATTGATAGGGATTGTTGCAGGAATTTCTGGTTTTACAGGAGCAATAGTGAGTTAGATTTATTCATGATAAAATAACATAACATAATTAGAAAATAAAAATTATTAATTATTAAATTGCAATATAATATTAAAATCAAAATGAATTCTAAGATCTCTAATTTTGCTAAAATGTTAATTTAATATATTTTTTGATAAAGAGGAAATATAAACTAATAGTTCTATTGTAATTTCAACGAGAAAACTAACTCATTATGATACCAATCTGAGATAATTTGAAGAAGCAAATCAAAAAAAAAATACAGATATAATCGTAAAATTGCAAAGTTTCTAAAAAAAAAGTGAAAAAAACTTAATCAAAGATATTAATAAAATTGTCTAGACAAGATTTGTTAGTTCGTAAGATAATAAGCAATTATTTTCTAAAATTATAAATTTTTATTGTTGTTACTGTCTAAAAATAGGTAACAGGAGATGGTTAGATAGAAGAAGTGCCTTAAAAAACATGGAAAAAGTTACTTTTTCTTGTTTATGAATTTTATTGATAAGGTGTTTAATTTGATAAGTTGGCAGAATATCTAAAGGAATTAATACTCAAGAGTTGAAAACCAATATTAAGATAGGAGGTTTGAAATAAAATGTAAAAAATTAACTGATCCTGAACAATAAATATAAAATGAACAAACGTTACAATTATTCATTCAAATAGTTGAATTTGAGATGAATAAATTGAAATTCAACAGAACCATTAGTATATATGGAAATAAAAAAAGTTGAATAAACTGAAAACTCTGTTGGTGATCCTAAATATGTCATATTGAAAATATTGATTTACAAATATGGGAAATTTCAATCTAATGTAATTATGATGGAAATGATTGTTTTCATAATTTAAAACAAATGCTATTTTAACAATCGTTTAATTAAAACTTGTGGTTGATCTAAGCCAAATAAAGTGTTCTAAGACATAAACTATTTAGAGAATTCTAAGATGAGATTTTTATGATTTGAAATTATCTAAACAATTTTTGATTATCTGATTTGAAAGTTTAAAGAAAGTTATTTTCTCTCAAGAGAATAATTTTGGATAGATGCTGTTCCTTTGCTCAAATGCTCAAAAAATTCAAAAGTTTCTTGCTAATGATATCCTCAAAAAGAATTACGATAATTATTCTTAATTTAAATGAAAAATTAATCCATTTCTTTTCATTATTTAATTAAATTAAAGTGACAATATAATTAGAAGTTTAAAAAAATTAAATTTTAAATGAGTAGATAAATTTCACAATTGGAATATTAGAGTTCAACTAAATTTTAATTTATAAATTAATTCTAGTAACTTTTACCAATGATTTGTCCATATACATAAATAAACTTTGAGAAAAGATTATGTTTTAAAAATATTTCATTTGTCTTGAGCAATAAAGATCTTCTAATTTCATCAATTAAATTGAAACTTGATCTCTAGAACTTAAGAATCATATCTAAAACTTTTGTTAACTGATCTTGTCAAAGTAATAAAATTTTATTAAATATCAAGAAATTATACGACAATAATATATCAAGTAGGGACGATTATAATATAAATTTTTAAAGAATTCACACTTTTAAATGTAAAATTTATTAATTAAAGAGAAAAAAAGGCAAGAACTTGAAAAACAGAAATAGCCAAGAGGGGTTCAAACATTTATCGGTTAAATTTTCAATTGTATTTATTTTGTACTATCATTATTTAGGGACTTGCTGTTTGGTTGATAAGAAATGATAGGCTGAAAATCTTAAATTTTCACTTTAGCTACATACCCTAACATTCTAGTAATTTAAAGAATTATCAATTTTACATTAGCTTTAAGGGCTTTATAGCATTGAGGTTTCTATATAGGTGATTGAGCTCGTGATATCTCATCAGTTTCTGAATTTTCAATTATTATTTCATCTGGTTCATACATCTCTAATTTTTATGATTAAGGTTTGGGACCTTTTGAAGATTCCAGTAAAAATAATTCAATTTAGTTTTTTTTTAAGAGATATGCATCTATATATTCTTTATAAGCCATAGAAGAGTTGAATATTTTCCTTGATTCAAGTGTGAGAAAAGAGTCTATATAGGATTATATTAATTATTAAATAATCAAATAAATATAAGTTCAATTAAGTAGTTTAGAATAAATAATATATAATTAAATATCTTTGATGTTTTTCGATAACACTTGAAGAGTGTTATAAATTACTTAAAAAAAAGCCAGCATCTCAGATATACGCTCACTAGTTGAGCAATTTGTCTAACAATCCAGCTTAAGAAACCTAAGAGAAGTTCTATGCCCAATTAATAAGTTAATCAATTTTTCATCATTAAGCTTTACTTAAATTTAATCAAATAAAAGAACAATATCGCAAGTTGTTGAGAAAATTAAAATGATATTAGGCTTGAAACTATTTTAAATAAAAAATTATCTGCGTAATGGTATTGATATATATTCTTCATATTTTATGAAAAAAGTATCAAAGAAAAGAAAGTTGTTTAATTTTGAATTCATCAAGTCCTATAATTTGCTAACGCTAAGCAAAGTATATATCTATTGGCCAAATAAATTTAATAGGCAACGGATGATTAATTAACTGTTCTTTTCTTGTTTGAAATATATTCTATAGATAGACGAGAATAATATATCGTATTCCAGACAGTGATAATATAAGATGAATATTAAATTATCAAATTTATAAATCGTGAGGAATATTTAGATGAACTATAAGAAATATTAATCTTTATGAAGTTTAAAATAATCCAGAAAAACCATTTTATTTGAATCATTAATGGAGATATTCAAGCTGAATTTGGAATCTAAATTGAATTGTAACTATAAAATTTTTACATCTATTATAAATTAAAAGGATTGCTAATTTGAATATAATATTGTTTTATTTGATATTTGTTTTTGTTGACCTTTAATTTTCGTCTATTTTCTCTCCCTTTTTTTTAAAATGTTCTCTTGTTAAATGCTTAATCATTTTTTATTTCTTATATACAGCTGTAAACATAAGTAAATATAATAATTTTTTTTTGAACTAGGTCATCTATTTTTTTACTCATTATATTCATAAAAAATGTTTTTATTTTAGTGATTCGAAATAGTTTCCTGGTTTCTTTTTGCCTCTTGTTTATCATCAATATATTTCAATTTAGTTTTTTATTAAAACAAAAGTCAGTCAAATATGGGACTAAGATATATTCAATTTAATGATGTATATAGAATAGGATAAAGTTAAATATTCACTCAAACAGAACCTTTTCATTAAAAAAGTCTTTGCAAACTACTAACCAAGTTCTGCGAAAGTTTCTAATGTTCTTGTTATATTTTAACAGACTGATTTATCAATCTAGAAAAAGTACTTACAGTTTTTCATTTTTGATAATTAAGTAGGAGATTGATTTTCAAAAACAGGAGTGAAAGTTTAAAATAGGCTGAGTTAAGTTATAAATAATTAAGTGTTGAAAGTCTTCAATTAGCAGAGATCACCAAAAATTAAATGTCCATTGTTTTAAATCTCTGAATAGACAATATAACATATTTTTTACTATAAATATCACTAGTATTTTTAATAATCAATTAAATTCAGCATTATACAGAATAATTATAAAATGTATCCAAAAATGATAAAAATTTTATATCTTTAATTTCAATATCATAAAGCCACCTGAAGAAAGATATTTAATTCATTAATTAAAATATCGTATATTAATGGCAGAATACGTCACAAGAATTCCTCCAAACTAGTACATTCATGTTTTGGATTAAAATACCAATACAGCAAGGTAATGATATTTCAAGAAGAATTTTAGGCTTGAGGTTGGTCCACATACTTTCATTAGAAAAGAGCATGAAAGCATAATAGAAGGTCCAAACAAAATGATTAGTTTACCACCTAAGACCTATTGCAAAATTTAGAATCCAATCTTGAGAGACAAAAACAATTAGCCTGTCAAAAATGCTTATGGAGAAGTTGAAATATAAAGAGGGGAAATAGAGTACAGAACAGCTGATGATTACTCAAACCCTTTTCCTTTGTTCCCTGGTAATTATTTAAACATAACAACAATTTAGGGGAAAAATTGGATGGTCGAGTAGAAACATTACTTATCGTCTAACAGAACACAGCACTGAGGTTAGTAGCTATAAGAGATTTTATTGTGGATGGTAAAAAAAAATAAGCTGGAGAAGAATGGTATTTTTTCATTTAAACTTAACTTAGGCAACGCAACGGACCATTTACTTACTATCCCAGAGCAGAAGAGTAAATTGTTGAAATAGTAAAGGCAGAAGTAATTAAGCCAAATTAGGCTTTAAAACTAAAGGCAACACAAACTTTTATTGATAAAAATGGCAAAGAAAGGAGAGCAGGGTAATTATAAGTTTTATCTTGTAAATTAGATAAGAATGGCTCATTAGAACAACTGGGTCTTATTTGCCAGATACATTTGAGAGAGTATCTGAAGTTGTAAAAGGAGTAGTTCTTACAGATAAAGTATGTGTTCATCTAAGAGCACAAAATGAGTTCACTGATGTCTATGGCATCAAAAGAAAACCTGGAAATGAATGGATTATCACTAATAAGTAAGCTTAAGTTCATATCACCGATGTCTATGAATAATTGGTAGCTGTTGAATAAGCAATAACTCTTGGATCAAGAAATTATTGTATTATTCTTAATCCATATAATCCAAAACTTGAATAAAATGATTGGGGAATTCAAGTGTTAATCAAGGGAGAGACAACCTTCTTCTTATAACCAGGAGAAGAATTATTAGGGGGAAAAATTGAAGATGTATCAAAATTAATAAAAAATAGATTGTTATTTTAGGTGAAGAAGAAGCCCTTTTAGTCTAGGCCATATATGATCATTCAGAAGATGACGGATAATTCAGAAAAGCTGGTTAAAGATGGATAGTTAGAGGCCCAAGAGAGTACATTCCAGGAGTTAAAATCAATGTGATAGAAAAAAGAAGAGCCATTCCATTGGATGCTAACGAAGGTATCTATGTCAGAGATAATCGTACTGGAGAAGTCAAAGAGTAATAATTTTGATTTTATTTATAGAATCAAAGGAAAAACCTATCTTTTGGAAGCACATGAATCCTTATGGGAAAAGCATTTACCTGAAAATGTTGAAATTCTTGTCTAAAGAGCCTCAACAGGTTAACCATACGTTCCCCCATCTGTATAAGCATCTGGAAAAATGACTTATAATTTTGAATCAGAATAACTCAAGCCAAGGGATAAAACTAAAATTATATCATTCAAAGCACCTCATAATTCAGCCATCTAATTATATGATTACAAACTCAAGAAGTCAAGAGTTGTTTTTGGACCAGATCTTGTCATGCTTGGACCTGATGAATAATTTACAGTCATTAAATTGTCAGGAGGTAAACCTAAAGTTGAAAACCTCATCCAGACTTTAACTTTGAGTTTAGGTCCAGATTTTATGACAGATTAATTAATTGTTGAAACAAGTGATCATGCCAAATTAAAATTAACACTAAGTTATAATTGGCACTTTAAAGTTAATAAAGATGATCCTAACGATGCATAAAAGTTATTTGGAGTTAAAGATTTTGTTGGTGATGCATGCAAATCCATTGCATCCAGAGTCAGAGGTGCAGTTTCTTCGATAACATTTGAGGATTTCCATAACAATTCCAGTGTCAAAATTAGGGAAGCTGTTTTTGGCAAGGAAGGTAATGAAATCAGAACTTAACATACCTTTGAAGCCAATAATTTAGTCATTACATCTGTTGATATTTAAGGTTAAGAAATTACAGATGAGGCAACTAGAAGACAATTAAGCCAGAGTATCAATTTGGCTATTGAAATCAGTTCAAAGAGTTAAGAAATGTAATCTAGACACTAAGCTTCAAAATTAGAATAAGAAGCTAAAGGGTAACTAGGAAGATAAAAACTCCTTGATTAAGCTAAAGCGGAAGAAACAAAAATCGAATTATTAAAACAATAAGCTTAAAGTGCTAAGGTTAGAGCAGAAGGAGAGGCTGTTGCTAGAGCCATAGCTGAAACTATGGAAAAGAAGATCAAAGCTGAAGCAGAAGTCAATTAAGCTGAATTGAGATCAAAGGCTTTGTAAATTGAATAAGAAGCATTGTTAGAATAGTAAACATAAGAACAAGAGGCAGAATTAAACTATCAAAGGGTATACACTAAAATTCTATATTTAGTAACTTATTGAATTAGAAATCAAGAAAGCAAAAGAGTTATCAGATATCGAGATAAAGAAATTCAAATAATAAATTTAAGCTATTGGAAAAGAAACTATAATAGCTATGGCTAAAGCTGGACCAGAAACTAAAGCTAAATTATTAGGAGGTCTAGGACTTAAAGGATTCTTAGTAACAGACGGTAAAAATCCAATTAATCTCTTTAATACAGCTAACGGATTTATTGGAGAAAATCTAAAATGATTTATCATAAAGTTCATCAATATCACAATTCGTCATTTCTGCAAGATCTTGTTTTGTTTAATTTATTTAAAAGTAGAATTAAGAATGTTTATATAATAGCAATAACAGCAAAATTATTCAAAAAAAAGTAAAAGAGTAAATTAAATCATACTTTATCAAATAATTTCTCATCAAATATCTTAAAGCCTATACTTGCTATAAAAACTAAATATGGTTGAGATGCTATACATTCATTAAAGGAGACTTCAATCGTTCCAATAATTTCATTTTTCATGAGTCGAATTTCTTCTATTTTCTCCATCTCAGTCCCAAATTTCAGAACACAACTTTAATTAGAAATAATCTTAACAAATTCTATTTACTTAAAGTTATGCGATACTTATTTTATCTTTTTCAAAACCAAATCCCATCTAATTAATCCAGTCTGATTAGTTTAATTCAACTAGTTATGGATTTAATTCTTCTAAATTGCTCAAACAGAATATTTAACCATTCACAATCTAATTAGCGTTGTGATACTATGCTTATAACCCTAATAAGTAATCATTTTTCCACCATAATTTTAGATTATGCAATCTACAATATTAAGGAATATCAAAATAAAATTCTGATTAATTTAGCTGCCCTACCTTTTCAATTCTTATAATTTTTAAATCTTGGTTAGTTGATTCGGTATTTACTACTTTTTAACTTCTCTATGTTTATGAAGATAGTTTTTAGGATTATTGACTTTTCAGCGATAATTGATTGGCTGCCTATGTATATTGTTAATAATTTAATTAAAGATGGTTTTTAGATTAATCAGGTGAACAATTATCAACACTCAAGTTAACTTTTTATTAGTGATACCTTTGATTTCTGACACTTAAATTTGGAAGTAAATGATTTTTTCTGTTTAATTCAGAATTCTATGAATAAAAAATTTCAATTACTTTTTCTGATAACTATTACGTTAATATCATTAATTGTGTTTCAAGTTACTTAATTCTATGAGTCATACCATTAATTTGTTTGTCATATTAAGTTTTTAGATTATTCAAAATCTTAATATGTTTTTCCTATTCCTATAATTTTGTTTGTAATTGTGACTATGAAAAATATCTAGGAAATTATACAATAAAAACATCCTTCTCTTTCATTAGTTCTTATTATTTTTAGGTTAATTAAATGGGTTTTATAATAGGTTCAATTTTTGTGATTTACACAGATTAAGACCTTTCAGTTTTACTCTGTGCAATTACTTTTTATTTTAAAACTATATTTTCCTGTTCCAATTATTCAATTCTGTTTTTGATAAAATCATCTTGAGAAAGTTCAACTAACTTTTTCTCTTATTTTCCATTTATGCTAACCAAAGTCTTTTTTTCTTATTCAAGTTCTTTTATTTTGTCCATTAATTTCTTAACTTATGATTGCAATTAAACAATACTAATGATAATTATTTATCCATACTTATCTAAGGAAAGCATTTCCTGTCTATTTTAAAGAATTTATATTTATTTCAATTGAATCTTGATTTATTTTTAAGCATTCTGTAATTCTGCTTTAAGAGTGTCTAAGATAAAACTATAATTCACCTTCTCTTAATTCTGTATTAATATTATATTATTGTCGATGACTATTTTATTGATCTTATTTTTTCTCTATTTATTTGGATAAAAATTCATTGATCTGCTTCAATTCATTTCTTAACTTAATATTTTATTATTTTAGTTTAGCATAGTCTTTAGGAATGTCTACTTCATTATTTTCTAACCACATCAATTATTTAATAATAAATATAAGTGATTAAAATATATAAATATCTAACTGATTATGCATTCATCTATTTTGATATAATTTGAAATCACATTATCATATCCAAAAGATATTTAGATCTCTATTTTATTCGTTATTTAAATGATTTAAAAATAAATAAATAAAAATCAATCAACTACCAAAAACATAGAGTCTTGCTTATTGTGAAACTATAAAAATAATAATCCCTGGAAAAACAGCTAGACATGAGAGTAACAAAAACAAAATTCCTATCCCAGTATAGATTAATAAGCGATAACACATATTTACTTATGTATTAATTTTCATCCTTCTTATAACCACCTAAGCAACAAAAAAAGGATAGACTATTATGCAAAGCATAATCAAAAGGATATAGATAAGGATCACCTTTACTCTAATCCAACATATTTTGTGCCATGGATATTATTCAATTGTAAATTCTTCAGCACCTAAACCTGGACATCCAACTGGATTAAAAAACACATAATGATTGCTATCACATTATCTTCTGCATAACCAACACCAATTAAATTTACAATAGCTAATCTTTTATATAAAATAAAAAATGTACGAACATAAGACAGAGTTACATCCTTTAGATTTTTATACCCATATGCCACATTAAGGACATCTTTATAATTGATTGCCTTCTTCATCATGTTTTACACAGGCACTTAAAATTGTAAATTCCGCATTATCACAAGCATTTGAAAATAATTTAAATTTATGAGCTACTTAAGGTAATTTACATTTTGTGCAAATTGGTTCATTATATGGTTCAATCTAAATTATTATTTAGAATACATCAATTTATGGCAGCAACTCATTACTAACAAGATGGCTCTCTTCTTTAATTAATTTAGCATGGCAATCTTCTTGTAAACAAGTAACTTGATCTATTTTTCTTATTCTTGATGCTTTTATATTCTTAATCACACATGGTTAGCAAAATTGATGTTTACATTCAAAATGAAGCCATTATATTGGTTAAGTATAACAAACCTAACATTATGCAAATTCATCATGTTCAAAAGGCTTTTATAAATCAACAATATTTTAATAAGAACATTGTTATGACTATTATTATACCTATGCTTAGAATTGATTCTATTATTATTATTATTATTGTTGTTATTACTATTAAGTTTGTTAATACTGTTGAAATTGCTAACTGAGCTATTTTTCTGGCTATTGGTTCTATTTTCCCTAATATTATTTTTAAGATTATGATTGTTATATGGGTTAGTGAAAAGGAGAGTTTTTTTCACTGCTTGAATCAGAAAATTGTATAAGACTGATTTTGTTTCCATTTGATTTTTTTGAATTATCATCACTCATGTCTAAGATTCTGTTAATTAAATCTTCTAATGTAATTGTATAACCAAATTATTCTACTCCTCTTCTTGCTTTTCTCTCAGGAAATCCTTTCTTATATAATTTAATACCTAATTCAACTAAATATTAGACTTATCTTTCTTGTCCTTCTTCATCAATAAATTAATTATACATATTTTTATTTAATAATCAAAAGACTTTCTATTATATAAATATTCTTTTTTTATTAGAAAAAAATATTTTTTTTTTCCTAATAGCAGTGAAATCTACAAATAATTGTTGCAAAATTTACAGTAATTTTTTTAAAGACTCTATGAGATAAAATCACTTAATTAGCTAATAGTAAAATAAAAAACCAGTCATGTATTCTTTAAAGATCTTAAGCAAATCGCTATTTTTAAAAGGTAATTAATTAACTTCAAAAGGGATTTTTTATTGCCTAATATGATTCTGGTTATTGTATCTAAATACTTGTTTATGTAATTTTATTACTAAATTTAAATTATTTGGAAACCAGAAACTATTTAATTGTCATTTGTATTTACTAATCAATATTTTTGATATCCAATTTTCTCCAAATAAATACAATTTTTTGACCCTTCTATAATTAATAAACTTAATATTAATTTTATGTTTTAGAAAGAGGTTAGATAAGTTGATTCATTAAATAAATCACCTTCTAATCCATCTTAATTTAATAAATTATCGTAATTTTATTTTATTAATTTTTTATTTTATCGCAAAATTCAAAATTCAGACTTGAATCTTAGTAAATCTAACTTTTTTTTATTAATGATCCTAATTGAGTTGATATTTACATTTTATATTAATATAAATAATATAAATTAAAATCAAACTGAGATTATTCAATTATAAGAATCAAAATTAGTCTGGCTTTTTCTAATATCTATCTAATTTAGATCTATTTATTATAGTTCTGATTTTGGTGATTAACAAAGCAATTTCAAGCACTATTTTTCAGTTTTTTCATACTATAATTTTTTTTATAAATCTTATATAATTAACTATTATTTAGCTATTAAATCAATAAGAGCCTATTATTTTAAGCCTATTAGTTATTTATTATTATTTATCTTCATGTTCATTGCTACTTTTTTATTTTATCTTTTATTCTAGTCTTTGTTTAAAAACTAATTATTAAGAGACAAATTCTATTGTTATTTCTTTAACTCATCAATTTTTTACAATAATCTTGTATTATCATTAAGTTATTAATTAAGAGTAACACTTGATTTAATATAATTAACTTTCATTTCTTCAACTTTCTACTAAATTTCTTAATTTGTTTAATACTCTTTTTCTTTGAATTTAAAATCCTTCCTTATTTTTGGACTTTCATATTCTAAATTACTCAATTCAATTAATTTGGGAGATTAAATCTAGTTTTATAAGGATGTTCGAACTGATAAAGCTGCCCCCAATAAATTCTTGCGATGAGACTGCATTGCTAATATTTCGTTTGAGCATAAATTCATTTCTCTCTCTGTTAATCCAAATGATAATCCATCCTTACTAAAATGAGAGAGATTTGAACCATTTTTATACTATTATTTATTATTGTTTAAAGGTGTAGCAAACTATTCTGATGTTGATCTTGGAACATTTTCTAAATTCAATTTAATTGAATTTTTAAGCACTGGACTTTAAAGTATTTTATCAACTTAATTATTAATTATAACTAAATCTCTTCTAAGGGGTCTTCCTTATATTTTATTTGATATAATTTATTGCATTGAATGTTATTTATAATTCTAATAATTCAAAATGAAATATTATTATAAATTACAAACTTAAATTAAGTAAGAATAATCATAAGTAAATCAAAAAAAATTATTTCATTTTAGATTTCTCTCAATTCATGTTTAATTGGATTAGCTTTCTTTACTATAAAAATTTTAATTATAATCTTTAGTAGTAATTGTATTTATGTTCTAAATTATCCTTAACCTAGAATTTCCTATTAAAAATCCTAAAGATTTTTTAAAATAAATGTAATAAATAAAATAATTTTTTTCACTAATTAGGAGTCTATTATTTTTTTAAAATATTATTTATGATATTTGTCCATAAATTCTTTATTTGAACATTTGAGGCTTCAAGTTCAAGCGTTCGTTCTTTTGTAATTATAGAAAAACAATTAGATGCTCTCTCTAAGTCTTTTAATTTCTTGGCCTTTTTCAATCCATTTTCTATTTACAATATATCCTTAAATTAATTTACTAACTCAAACTTCTAATTTGATTTTCCCTTTTGGCTTCTATTTGCTAAGATCTTCTGGTTTCGTCCAATAAAGAATGTCATCTAAAATATATATCAATCTGATTTTCTCTACACCAAATTTGTGATGCTTTACAAAAATTTCACCTAAAATACATTTTAATAATAAACCTGCTTTAACATATTTATGTGTGTCCATATGGAGTTAAATATTTATAAATATAAATAAAAAAAAATTTATAGGAAAAAGTAATAAATATATAAATATTATTTAGATAGAAAAACTGGCAAAATGCTAAACGACTAATCAAACAGATATTCACGAGGCCATTAACAAATATTATCAAATATTACTTCTAAACAAAAATATATACTGATTTCATATAGTTAGATTATTAATAAAGATGATTAAGTTTAGGCTTAATAATATTTTAAAATTTGAGATCATAGTTCTGCTATTACTTGATTTAAATATTGGTATTCAGTCAAGCAAAATATTTTGTTGCAGATAAATTATCGACATTAATTCTATTAAAGGACTTTCTTTATGGAAAAAGAAAATGTAATTATTTTTTAAAAGGTACAAAATATTGAGAATTTTTGACTATGTTATTGATTTTACTGTTTTTTTTCTAAACAGGTCTATGAATATTTACAAATATTTTCCCTGGCTTGTACTGTTTAATGATTCGAAAAAGTAATTGAGAATGTTCCTCTCAATAATCTAGTTATATTTTTTAAGAATAAAAAATTATGATCTCAAAGGATATAACACAAAATAATTATTCGAAAGTTTACTATACTATTTCTATAAGTAAATCGCTTAGAAATACAAATTCATTAATAAATTTTGAATTCTTTGTATGCTAGATAATATATATCACGAACATTAGATTAAAAAAGTATCTCTAATACATTAGGAGATTTTTCCATAAGCCATAATGAAATCAAAGGCGATTTAATAGAAACTGGAGTTTCTTATTAAATCATGTATTTGGAAGGCTAGCTGCGTATTGAGTACTAAAAAAGAGCAGGCTCAAGTGCTAATTGGATGCTAGAAAGTATAGTTTTCCAGTATATTGATTGAAAAAGCTTAATTACAATAGAATTGAAATAGGACCTTTGAGATAGAAATAGCAGAATTGGAAATTTAAGTATTTGATTAATACAAAAGACCCTAGTAATACAATCATCATTAAAAAAATAAAGAGATATCATAGTAAAAACAAGAGTATACAGACAAATAATAATTTCTATTGATATTCGATGAAATAAGTTAAAATAGAGGTAGGTTTATCAATTTTTTAAATGAAATCATGATTTATATTTTCATAATCTATATACAAGCATACAAAAGATGTAATGAAGTCACGATGGAGCAGACTAGAATAATTATTGGAAAATCATCACTGTAATTATTTTAGGCATCTAAAACTGTTCAATAATCTATATTGATAAATGAATAACAAAATGTATTAATATTCAGACATCATGTTTAATTGAGATATAAATAATATATATTAATTTTGTTTATGAATTAACATCACGAAGAAGGTGAAATATTTGATATTCCAACGTCAAAGAGTAACTCTGAACTAAATGGTCGAACCATATCTTTTACTTTATTTTCAATTATATACAATTTAGGTTGGGGACTACTTTTTTTACTCTTTCGCCATTATAGTAATTTATGATTTATTAAGAAAAGAGATAATTAATCATGCGATAGTATCGATACTTGGTCATTATATGCTTAAATCTTTTTGTTTGTTGTGGCTGGATATAAATTGTAAGAACTGTATTTTTATATAAAGAATTATTGAGCTACCAATTCAATACAAAACTAATGGATTTTGGAAAGAAAAATTATTTGATATTGTTGATTATGTGGAGTTGTTCTTTAACACTTTAATTTTGATTGGTTTGACAGTAATTCATATTGAACTTAATATTAGTATGCCTACTTACAACATGAAGAATGCATTCACTTAAGAATGTTTATTCTGAGTTATTTGATTGTAACCTATTTTATAATATTCATTTGGATTTTGACTTTGATTTATCTATTTTGTAATAAAGATGGATAATCAAGAAGATCATGATAATAAATAATTGAATAATTATGATATTCTTAAAATATATAATAAATTTTTGTTATTCTTTTAATTTTTTCTATTTCCTCTTTTATGTAATTTAAAAAAAATGAAATTTATGTTAAGATAATAATTTGAAGTGAAACTTGAATAACATTCTTTCAAAATTAGTTAATTAATAATTATAAAATGAATTAAAATGACATTTCTTTGAAGGATGAAATTTTGAATAAACTATAAAATTCATCTATAAATCCTGTGCTCTTAAAAGATCTAATCGATATGATAAATGTAATCTTTTAATATAAATAATAATACCAAGAATTCTAATTTTAAGAAAAGAACATAATGTTAGAAGAAAGATTAGAATAATTATCCACTGATTTGACATCACTTATTGAATTAATCAAAGCATAATCTAGAATTTCGGTTTTTTTTAAAATGTAAAATAGTGATATACAAAATGCATAATAGGCAATTCGCCAAGTAATCTTAACACTTCATTCTGATGTCAATAATTTTTTTGAAAGTTTCTAATTCATAACTTTAAGTGCTTATACTAAATCAAAATTAGTGATAAATTTAGATTTAATTACTTTTAACACTACTATAAAGTTATATCATCCAAAAGTGATTCCTATTAAATCTAACATGAATTTAATTTTAAAGCAAGGATTTCATGATGAAATTTTTGAATTAGCAGTTTTAAAAAAAGACTTATTGATGAAGATAAAGGAGAAAGCAGTTTAGAAATTAGATAAAATTTAAGAGAAATACCTTGAAAAAAATGCAACTCATGTTTAAGCATTTATCAAAGAATATTCAAAATCTACTTAAATTACAACTTTTTTTTCTGAAAATCATCCTTATGTTATTACTACTGAAAATCAAAACAGAATATATTTATGTAAAGGTATGAAATTAGTGTTTTTTCCTAATCAGACATTAATTGTGTTGGAAACTAATACTAAAAATTAGAATTTGAAACATTTTTCAACAGTATTATAAGAAGACAATCAAAATAAAACTAATTGTATTAATATACCTGGCTATGGATATATTAGTTTTTTGCATAAAGAAATAAATTAAGTTTTCTAAAAGGGATTCTAATAATCTATCAAAGATATGCCAGATGGAATTTTATCTGAAGGTACAACATCTACATTTTTTTTGAATAAATCGCATATATCAATGTCTTCTAATTTTCCATTAATTAACGCAACTTTATATCACGATAACAATGGATTTTATATGTTACCAATTAAGACGAAAATGCAAAATTATTACTATCTTTATTATGATAAATAAATATAAACAAAATCTGATAAATATATAATCGGTCTTCAAATTAAAGGAAAAGGATGGATCTAAATTACAGCTGAAAAGGAAAAAGTAGATGGCTATGATATGTGAATATTTTAAAAATTAGCCATTTTTAAATCTATTTTTTTTAATATAGAAATCATATACAAGAAAATAATATCACTCTTCTTTTGAATATTCAATAACTAATCTTCTTCCATCAAGTTTTTTAGGAAGTCTTAATTTTTTAAGTTCTCCATATTATTTGATCAATCTTCTTAGTTCTTAGGCATTTGCTTCAATGGGTAAATTTTTGATTAAAAGTTTGTTTGTTGGTTCTATTTCCTATTTTTATTTTCTTTTATTTAAATCTATTAGAATATAATTAATTAATACCTTATTTAGGTTTTGGTTTAACTGAGTTATAATAAATGATCATCTAAAATCAAATTATTTAAACGTAATGCTTTTTGGGCAGATTCTGGTTTATCAAATTCAATAAATCCATAACCTTAAGAAACTCCTTCTTTATTAATTATTGTCACTTTTTTTATATCATTAACTTTTGAAGATATAAATTTAACTAAAGTTATTTCAGTTGTACTAAAATTAATATTCTTGACATAAAGAATTCTTGTTAATTAATTTTCTTATTCTACAATTTATGGATTTACATTATTATTTGTATTCATTTCTCCCATTAAAGTTGTTGGAGCCCATCCCAAATATAAATTGATCCTTTAAATTTATAATTTTATAGATTAGTAAAAGCATTTGTAGCCTACTTATCATCTTACATAGTAACAATTCCAATTGATCTGTTTGGAGCAAGGAATACATTGTTTACTTAACCATATCTTGAAAAAAGTTCATTTAAATCTGTTTCATTAACTCTAAATTGAATATTCTTAACAAAAATAGTAATATTTGATCTTTCACATTAATTCTTTTCTACTTTTAAAAAATCAATATTCAAACCAACACTTTTAAGCCAATCTTTAGTTTCTTTTATTACTTAAGTTTCCATTTGAGCCATTTTAACAGCTATACCATCATTTTCTTCAGATAAGATTTCCTTTTTATCCAAAGATTATTTCTTACAAATTCCTTCAATAATAGTATTTGGATTTAAGAATAATGTATTCCATGATGTAGTATCATTAAGTCTCTCAAGCATCTATTATTTTTTAAACTTTTTATATGATGATTTTTCTTCTCCAATCATTTTCTCTTATTTCAATTATTATTCTTATTTTAATTGTTCTTCTTTATCATCCTTAAATGCAGGTCTAACATGAAAGATCCTTCCAAAAACAATTTTGTTATCTAATTCACTAAATGCCCTAATTGCTTCCTCTGGTAATTGATACTCAACAAAACAAAAACCAGAAAGTGATCCTCCTCTTTATTTTGGTATTTTCAAACTAGAAACAGTTCCATATTTTTAAATACAATTCTTAATTCCTATTCTGTACTCGTATATGGAATATTAGTAACATATAATTTTCTTTCATTTACATTTGTTAGTGTATTAGATTTAGGTTATTGACCTATTTTTGGTTTCTCTTTTTCAATCTTTTCAAATATTTCATCTACTTAATTATTTACATTATAATTCCAAGATATCTCTTAATTGGTTTTCTTATTATTTTTCATTAATTCTAAGAACTCTTAAAAATTCTTTGATTTTTAATCATTTTTAGATATTTCTTATTCTTTTTAATCTTCTTTATTCTTTTTTACCTTTTTATAATTTCTGGTTCTTAACTTTTATGAATTTTTTTGAATGCTGATGATCCTTGTGTATGTCTTGACCAAGCTCTAAGTAATTAAGGATCATCAATAGTTTTAGCAAAATCAACAGATATTTTAGACAATCATTATATACGTTTTATCAAAATGTTCTTTTGCTTTGATTGCATCTGATTCATTTTTATACCCAATAAAACAGAACCTTCTATTCTTATTTCCTTTAAAAATAACTTTAACATCAGAAACTTCACCTTTTTTTTCAAAGATTGTCTTTAATTGAGATTCTGTTATTAAATTTGGGATATTCTTTACAATTAGGAGTGACATTATAATTTAATAAAAAAAAAATAAATTAATAAAAATAAGAATGTAAACTTAGATTATGATTATTAGAGCAACATTAGAGTGGATAGAGTGAATTTTATAATTTGATTTTGGTTTTTTTTATGATGATTTAAATTGTTAAAATAATAATATTAACAAATAGTTTTAAATTCAATAATTCAAAATGAGATGTAAAACATACGATAATTATAACTCTTTTAAAACATTATAATCTCCTCGTCTCCAACCATTTCGATAACACAAGAGTTCTAAATCAGAAGATATAGATATGTTGCAATTTTAGAATATGAATTACTCTTCAGTGCATGAAGTATCTCTAAATAATGATTAAAATGAATTAATTAAGAAATAAGAAGAATAAATATAAAAGTTATAACATTAAGTTGAAGTATTGGAAAAGATGATTGGAAATTATGCAAATATACAAAGATTATAAACATTTGTGTCATAAGTTTTTAATGAGATTGGATTAATTAATAAAGAAAATATATTTGAACCAAAATTACATTCACTTTGCTTGATCTAAATAAATGAATAGAAATAAAAACTAAAAGAGCAAAATAAATTTATTTCGTGTTTAAAAGATTTAGTAATTTCATGTTCACCTCCTGATTATTTTTCTGCAGATCAACTACCTAATCTTAAATAAATATGGAGATGCATTAAATTAATGTTAGCTGAATGTATTGAAAATAAAAGAATAAATTAAGAATAATAAGTATATTATAAATATATAATAAGCAACTGATATCATAGTTAACTAAAGGAATGATGTCTTAGTCATAAAAATAAATGATGCAAATTAGAAATAAATTAAATTGATTATATTGAATTAATTATATAATATGGAACCTACAGTAAATTAATTCTAAGTGAATCCAGAAGATTCAAAAGAAAAAGAGGCTGCCTAAATCTCTAACATTGTTGTATTTGAAACAATCGGCACTTTATTAGTTATTTATGGAGCATTAGCTACTTAGTAAATGATATAATTTATATAGAAATAATTTTGGATTATCTCTTGTCTATTTCATTAGTTTAACATTATTTGGTCGTTTAAGTGGAGGATATTTCAATCCAATATGCACATTAATAGGATTTATAGATGGAGCTATCAATAACAAAAAGACTATGTATTTTATTGGATCTCAAATTCTAGCAAGTCTAATTGCTGGAATGTTTTTCATGCCTTTATTTGCTAACAGTACTAATTTACCTTATTATGAATCGTACATCTATTTAATTAATTATAGACTGCCTACACATTAAGTTTTAGGAACATTAATGTCTGAAATTGCTGGTTCTGTTATATTTTTTACATTCATATAAATTTAAACAGCAGAAAATACTAAAATTACTTCTACTTAAATATAATCATCAGCATTTATTAGTATTATATATTTTGTAGCAAGATAGTAATAATTTGATTAAAATATTATAGATATACTGCAACTATGGGCAATAGTTTATTTAATCCTGCAGCAGCATTTGGGTAAACCTATGAATTAATTTAGATTATAATTATTTTATGGTATATATTATGGAAGATGGAACTAAATGATTAATTTATTAATGTTTGTTATGGGACCATGGATTGGAGCTCTTTTGGCAATTACATTTTATTGGAAAATATATACACCAACATTAATAATTAAATCAACTAATTGAGAATTATAATTACCATTTTTATTTATATTTTCTTTAGCTCTTTCCTATATTCAAATTTCTTTAAAATAAAAAATATAAATAAATAATTAAGTAAATGTAAGAACCAATTTAATAAGAGATTGAAGAGATAAAAAAAGATATTTAACGTTTAGGCACAAAGAATGCAGAAGGAAAATATGTAGTTAAATTTGGAGTATTATTCAATGACGAAAAAGTTGTATAATATTATGAAGTTTTCTATATCGATATTCGTGGGGCACTTGCTAGTACATTGAAAGCAGCTAAAAAATAGAATATCCTTGATTTTTAAGAATCTTGGTTTTTAAAGAACATTAAAGACGATTATGACATCATTTTGAAATGATTTCTATTTCCTTCAATATTAATTAGAATATAATTCTTAATTAATTTATATTAATATTATAATACAAAATTTGATAATATTTATGTAATCTTATGACTATGATTGAGTTTCAATCATATTTATTATCTTAAATATATAATTATAATTAAACTTTAAAGTCTTAAAAATAATTTTATTTAGACATTATCTATATAATATTATAATTAAAAACAATTTCATAATATTGCTCTTAATTATTTAAATTATAAATCATAAATAATTCATCTAATTTATAAATGATTAGAAAAAAAATCTAATTAAATTTATAACAAATTCTTAATGTAAAATTTGGATGACAATAAATCTCTTGATCTAAATTGTGATTATAGATAATGAAATTTATAAAAATGATAAGATAATTTTTACATAGTAAAATAATTAGATTTATTAATTTTTATTTAAGAATTCATTTATTACTATATTCCAAAAAAAAATGTAAAAGTCAATTAAAATTTTATAAAAATACATTCAATAATATTAATCATCATCATCTTAATCATCTTCTTCACCTTCATTTCCTTCATCATTATAATTTTCAGGATTGTTCTCCTCTCTTTCATAATGTTAACCTAAAATAAATTATAAATTTTTACTTAATAAATCCCCTCTTGCTTATTTTTCAAATAAATAAGAAGCTGCTGTCTCAACATTTTTGTCACAAGCCAAAAATCCTTCTAATGCATCTTCTTTTGTAAATCCCATCATCATCAATTAATTGAGTTGTTATTCTTCTTCTTAAGTTATTTCTGTCTCAATTTCATCTCCTCCATCTTAACCAGCTCCCATTAGTAATTAGATTACGGTCTCTGGATTTTATTGTATTTACTAATTTAAACTTAAATATTTTGTATACTTAATATAATTATGGATTTGTTTATTACAATTATTATAGTGACTAAAGAACTGCTTATGGATTTTAAATAAATTATTCTCTCAATTATTGTAATGTATTTTAATCAACTTAGTTTACATTTTAAGCTTATTATGGAGGTGGCTAATTTACAACTGGAATCCCCTTAAACTGTTTAATATTTCATTACATTTAATAAATATTCAATAGCTCTATTTTGATTATTAAAGGCAGCCTTCATTGCTGCTTCACATTCTGTTTTAGCAAATCCCATTTATATCAAATTTTGAATAGCTAAATCATACTCTGAACCAGTAACCATATTGTTTGAAGTTGGATTATTTAATGGTTTTGAAACTTCAACAGGTTGTTAAGGTTAAACTGGTTGTGGTTGCTAAGGTGGCTATTGAACCTATTATTAAACAGGTTGTTGTTAAGGAGGACTTCTCTAAACAAATAAATTCAAATAGATTACTTTTACGTTGACCATAACAACAAGAAAGTCTTTTTCTTAAATTCCCAAATCACCAACAGTTTAATCATCAAGTAAAAGAGTTCCTTTTCTTAAAAGTTTTTATTAGGCAATTTCAAATTATTTCACCTTTTCAATTTTTTCTTTGATATTTAAAACCTAATTTGAAAATCAGAGTTACTGAATCTGTTTGTTGTACTTCAAGTTCAAAAGTTTATCCACTTAAGGTTTTGATAATTATTTTCATAAATTAAATTTATTAATACTACTATTTAAAGTTAGTATTATATAAATTATTATTTTATTGTAGAATCAGAACTTATTGTTTTAAATGAAGTGTTATTTAGAAATAATAATTTAGGTAGAAATATATTTATTTAATGAATTTTAGATGATGAAGATTAATAAACAAAAATATTTTGTAGATCCGAAGACATCAATTTAATATTTATTTATATTTATTTTTTCCTTGAAGATGTATTAATATCCATTCTATACCTTGTCTCCTTAACCTTCAACTGTTGCACCTTAAAAAAAATTACTCAAAGATTAATATGAAGTTCTTTAGATAGAACTAGGAAGTGGAACTTATGGTAAAGTTAAATTAGCATTGAATCATAAGATTAATAAGAAATTTGCAATAAAAATAGTAATTATTTAACATATATAGATTTCAAAAAGCTATATGAAATAAATTTTTGCAACTTAGCACATATTGAATGAATTAAATTATTTATAAGGATGTAAACATAAAAATATTGTGGAATATATTGAACATTTTGAAGATAGAGATAATATATATATAGTTTTAGAGTATTGTGAATAAGGAACCTTAGATGAATTGATAAAAATAAAATAAAAATTAACTGAAGAAAAAGCCTTCCATTATTTTTATTAAATAGCTTAAGCTATTTTGTATTTGCATGAAAAAGATATAATTCATAGAGACATAAAAGCTGATAATATTTTATTGTAAAATAACAATGTAAAAGTATGTGATTTCAATTGGTCAATCTTTTTACCTAATGGTGGTAAAGCCAAACCGTGTGTTTGTGGTACTACTGAATATATGCCACCAGAAGTAATCACTAAATAAAAACATGACAAAGGTGTTGATATTTGGTCTTTGGGAATACTATTATATGTAATTTTAGATCATTTATAATTTACAGTATATGTTACATGGTGAATTATTATTTAGATCAAAACACAAGGAAGAGTTGTATGAAAAAATTTGCAATAAATAATAAATTAAATTTAATGAGAAATTGTCTAATGAATGCATATTGTTGTTTTAATAAATGTTAGCTCATTAAAAGCGAATTAATATATAATAAGTGTTGAATTCTGATTGGGTTATTAAAATGTTGAAATGTAAACAAAATTAGAATTAACTTGAATTAACTCCTATTAAGTGTCGTTCAACAGCTCAAGAATCAACAAGAGTTAGCATAGTTTCTGATTCTAGTCGTTTTTCGAATTCTAAGTTTACTGCTAAATCTTTGTATACTGAATCTCCTTATAAATCCAAGAATCAAAACCAAGAAATTTAGCATCCTATGAAGGTTAGAAGTTCCGCTTTGGATCAAAACAATCCTGCTTTTAGAGTTGAAAAAAGATATTTTTATTGAAAGTAAAGGAAAATTATATTTTTGTTTTTATTTATTATAATTCTTTTGTTAAAATTAAATAATTGTATAATACACTCAAAAATGGATTATATTGAATACAAAGATGCTAAATTGTAATTTATTGGAATTCGTAAACATTTTTTTCGAGATAAACAATATTATGTCACTGTGTTTTAAGATTATTTTATCATGGGCAGTGTAAAAAAAAATTATGATAAATATTTAGTCTAAAGATACTTAGTCACCTAAATATAAAATATATTTTAAACTCTCAACAAAGATTAATTGGGACTTGAAGAAGTAAAAAGACGGAATGATTTTACAATCCTTCGTTTTTCCTTACTAAAACAAATTTAAGACTTTGTATGCTGACCAGTTAGATTTGCTTAGGTAAAATGAAATATTATGATAGATTTAAAGACCTATTAGATTTAAAAGTTACATATGAAGGAATTGGAGATATTTATATACCCTTATTACAAATTGGAAAAGGCAGTTCAGCAAAAGTAAATAAATTTTGAAATATTTAGGTATACAGCGCATAAAATGTTATTAATTCAAAAGTATATGCTATCAAAGCTATTGAGAAATCATTTTTAAATTAAGCTGATAAAGGCTCGGGATTAGTAATCATATTCATTTAAAAATAAATTATAGGAAGCCTATAATATGGAAGTATCAATCCTAAAAATTTTATCTTCTTACTCATCCAACTTTCTTATTTTAAAGGAAATCTATGAAGGAGATCATACCTATTATTTAGTGACAGAATATTTGGAAGGACAAAGTTTAAGCGAAGAAATAGAAAGAGCCAAGGTATTAAATGATTTCTAAAGTATAAGGGACTCTCTGATAAACGATTACCAATATAACACATTAAAATAATAATTGCAAAATTATTATCAAGTGTGGCTTTATTGCATTCCCATAAGGTAATCTCTCTATTTAATATTTTAGATAATCCATAGAGACTTAAAACCTGACAATTTAATGTTTGCAAAGAGGAATGATTATTATACTTTAGTCCTTGTAGACTTTGGATTAGCTACAATTGAAACTTTAGATAAGTATTCAATCATATTATAACAACCTAGATATTTATTTCCTAAATGTGGAACTCCAGGGTATGTAGCTCCTGAAATCTTAACAACTAATGTTGGCAATAAATATACTACAAAGGTGGATATCTTTAGTTGTGGTTGTATACTATATAAACTTTTGACTGGAAAGAGTATATTTAATGGTAAAACATTTGATGAAGTTATGAGAGCTAATAAAAAATGTGACATTGATTTAAATTTACCGATTGATCAAAATTATATCACAGAAGATTCAATTGTATTTATTTAATCATATTTTAATGAGAATTTACTAAAATAATTGTTAAAAAAAGATCCAAAGCTTAGAACTAGTGCTAGAAAGGCTCTTTAACATCCTTTTTTTGATTAAATAAGTGAGTATAGCACTTAGCTCTAAGCATCACTTCTATCAACAATGAAATAGAACAATCTCAATTTTTAAATATAATGTGAAGAAATATTGTCATAATATAATTTAGAAGAAGATGTTATAAATTCTGAAATTTTGGATTAAGAATTAAATTAGATTTAAATACCAAAATTAAAGAAATGTAACTAATTAATTGAATTATAATCACCATAAAAAGCAATATTTCAATTTTTTTAGAAGGAACCACTTTCAATAATAAGAAGTAGTAGATTGGTTGATTTGGCAAGTCCAAGAGGTGATTTTATTGATGGAATCCAAGAATGAATTTAATTCTCATTAAATATTTTACATTCTATAAAATAATTTACCATTTAAAGTAGATATTAATTATTGTTCTGCTGCTAAATAAATAAAAATTTAGTTGCAAATATGAATTACATAAATATTGAAATTTAATTAATTTAAATTTTTATTAACATTCATCCATACTATAGTCAATGATTATGATGAGGAAATAGTTATAAATTAAAATGCATTATTTAACAAATAAAGATTTAGTTGATTATCATATATTATTTATTTTTTATTAATGGCTGAGATCGATTTGTCATAGCCATTCCATACGTATCCTATTGATAAAGTAGTGACTGCTGTTCAAACTAGCTTATAAAAGTATTAAAAATAGAAATAATTAGGGGTTTGACAACAGTTGAAGCTTAAGCAAGATTTGCAAAATATGGTCCAAATGAATTAGAGAAGGAAGAGAAAGAGAGTATTTGGGAAAAGATTAAGGAACAATTTGAAGACAACTTAGTAAGAATATTATTGTTGGCTGCTGTGATTTCTTTTGTGATTTCATAATTTGAAGATCATGAAGATTCACATGCAGTGCCTCCTTGGGTAGAGCCTTGTGTAATCTTCACTATATTGATATTAAATGCCGCTGTAGGTATTTGGTAAGATTTGGATGCAGAGAGAGCTATTGAAGTATTATTACGTGTTATTATTTTAAGGCTCTTAAAGATTTGTAATCACCTCATGCCATGGTATTAAGAGATGAAAAATGGGGATAAATTGAAGCCAAAGATTTAGTTATTGGAGACGTTGTAGAAATCAAATAAGGAGATAGAATTCCAGCAGATTTAAGAATGGTGGATTTGAAGACCATTACATTGAAAACAGATTAAGTATACTAAACATAATAATATTATAGTCAATTCTAACAGGAGAAGTCAATCCTGTTAATAAGACAACAGATCCTGTTTTGACAAAAGATAAGGCTGCTGTCTAAGATAAAATCAATTTCTTATTTTCAGGAACTTTAGTATCAAATGGAACAGCAATTGGTGTTGTTTGTAACAGTGGTATGAGAACAGAAATTGGAAAGATTTAAAAGGAAGTCTAAGATGCAGCAAAAGACAAATAAGAAGATGATGATCCATTATCAAAAAGATTAGATGAATTTGGAGATAAATTAGCTAAATATGTCACCTATATTTGTATCATCTGTTGGGTTATGAACATTGGTAATTTCTCTGATCCTGCTTATGGAGGAACTATTATGGGAGCATTATATTATTTCAAAGTAGCTGTTGCATTGGCAGTTGCTGCTATCCCAGAAGGATTACCAGCTGTTATTACAACTTGTTTAGCTTTAGGAGCTAGAAGAATGGCCAAATAAAAAGCTATTGTTCGTAAATTACCAAAAGTATAAACCTTGGGATGCACAACAATCATTTGCTCAGACAAAACTGGTACTTTGACAACCAATGAAATGTGTGTTAAAGAACTTGTACTCTTATCAGGTTTGGATGCTTCAACAATAACAGTATTCCCTGTAGAAGGAACATCCTATCACCCAGAAGGAAAGATTGATGGTTTGGATGCTAAATTAGTTAAAGGAAATAGTTTAGCTGGAAATCTTAATAGATTATGCTAATCTATGGCTTTATGCAATGAATCTAAATTATACACTGATAAAGGAAGAGTTTAAAGAAGTGGATTACCTACTGAAGCTGCTTTGAAAGTTTTAGTTGAAAAAATTGGAAAATATGATAAATCTTTTAATGGTAAACCAACCTTAGAAGCTCCTGAATAATATAATGAAAAGATTGTTGGTGAATTCACAAAGAGAGCTACCTTAGAATTCACAAGAGACAGAAAAAGTATGTCTGTTTTGGCCAGTTCCAAAAATGAAAAAGGAAATGTTTTATTCATTAAAGGAGCTCCAGATTATTTGTTAGAAAAATCTAATATGATTTTAAATTCAAATGGTGATGTCGTTCCATTGAAGGCTTAAGATAAGAATTAATTATTAGAAATTGTTAAAAAATTAGCAGAAAAGGGATTAAGAACATTGGCTATCTGTATTTAAGAAGAATGCGGTTAATTGAGTGATTATGATGGACCTAAACATCCAGCTCATAATTAATTGATTGATACAAACAACTATAAGGATTTGGAAAATAAACCAATTATTATTGGTGTTGTTGCCTTATAAGATCCACCAAGACCAGAAGTCAAGAGATCCATTGAAAAATGTAGAGAAGCTGGTATCTCAGTCATCATGATTACTGGTGATATCAAAGAAACAGCATAATCAATTGCTATGTAAATTGGTATATTACATGATCAATCCTAATTCCCAACTCATTCATTTACAGGATTGGAATTTTCAACAATGGGAGAAGAAAAATAAAAGAAAGTACTTGAATAAGTTATTGGAAAACCAAGTGGATTAGTTTTCTCAAGAACCGATCCATCACACAAAAGAGAATTAGTTAAATTATTAACTGGTTAATTGAATCAAATAGCAGCTATGACAGGAGATGGTGTTAATGATGCTCCTGCATTAAAATAAGCTAGTATTGGTATTGCTATGGGTATTTCTGGTACTGAAGTAGCAAAAGAAGCATCAGATATGATTTTAGCAGATGATAACTTTGCAACTATTGTAAGAGCTGTTGAAGAAGGAAGAGCAATCTATTAAAATATGAAAGGATTTATTAGATATATGATTTCATCAAATATTGGTGAAGTTGTCTCAATTTTCACATCATCAGCATTAGGTATTCCTGATGGATTCAATTCAATCTAATTATTATGGGTTAATTTAGTAACTGATGGTCTCCCTGCTACAGCTTTATCATTTAATCCACCTGATCCTGATGTTATGTAAAAACCACCAAGAAAACATGATGAACCAATTATTACTGAATATGTATTCATTAGATACTGTGTTATTGGAACCTATGTAGGTTTAGCCACAGTCTTCGTTTTTGTGTATTATTATTTGGGATATGAATGGGCTGGAGATGGACATCCAGTTGTCACATTCCATTAATTGAGAAATTGGGCTGAATGTCATCATTGGGAAGGATTCAAAATTGCTAATTTTGACAAATATGATTTCTCTAAGGATCCATGCTTATATTTCTCTTGGGGTAAACAAAAGGCTTCAACTTTAAGTCTTTCTGTCCTTGTTGTTATTGAAATGTTTAATGCCTTGAATGCCTTATCTGAAGTATATTTATTTAATTAAACCTTTTTAAGGATGGATCATTATTGAAAGTTGGAGTGTTTGCAAATCCTTATTTAATTATAGCTATTTGTGGATCAATGACTCTCCATTGCATGATCTGCTATGTACCATTATTTGAAAACATCTTTAACACTGTTCCATTATCCATTTAAGATTGGTAATTTAATATAATTTAATATTAGGATTTTGGTTATTGGAGTATCTGCACCTGTAGTTTTAGTTGATGAAGTCCTTAAATTCTTCTCCAGAATAAGAAATGCAAAATTGTTGGCTGAGAGAAAGAAAATACAATGAGCAATTATACATAAAAAATATTCATTATTTTCTAAAAATGTCTTTATAATAAAAAAGAATATATAATTGTCAAAGGAATAATTGAAAATGATTAGAATATGAAAACTTTTCAGGATTTATTATTATTCTAATAAATTCATAATATTAATAAAAACAAATATGAATATATTAGATTGTAAATTAAATAGTATAAAGAATAGTGGTTAGAATTGATGATTACATGAATAAAATAATTAAATAATGTCTAGTGTGTGAATTTATTTGTTATTATAATTTATTTATAATTTGAATAATGCAAAAATAAAGCAGATAAAATACTTAGACAGCATTTTATTCTCCTTAACCTGGGATAAGTTCACCCTAACCTTTGAGATAGATTATATCTCCAGGGATTTATGGCCCTCGTAATTCGTAAAATTTTCTTATTGATTCATATACTACGAAGCATCAAGATTAGGATTCTGATAGGCTATTAGGCTCATCACTTAGATTTAATATGCTTAAAGATAGTCATTAGTAAATTGAGAAAGAAATATCAGTGCTTAAAACAAATCTACTTTAGAGTAGGATGAGTGGTGATAACTTTTAATTTTCAACACAACCTTTGGACAAGTTGCTTAAAAAGACTCGCAATACTGAATAAATAATGTATGATCAACCTTTGACCTATAGGGCGGATGATTTGTTGACTGAAATTCTTTAAGAGCTATCAATTATATCAATTAATGCCAAGAAATTAATAAATTAGCGATCATCACAAAAATTATAAATGCAAGTACTCAAAGATATTAGAGAGATTATAATGGGATGGAATAATATGCATAACATAATAAATTAAATTTGTTAAGCTGCATAAATTTCTATTCATTAACTTTATAATACAAATATTAATCAATTATTAAAGAAGGATGAATTAAATAAATTATATTCATTAGTTGAGAAACATTAAAACTAATATCCATAATCTTTTGAATAATTATATTAAATTATTGCTAGTAGTCTCTAAAATAGAGAATAAGATCATAATAAACTTATTGAAATAAATACTCAATTACGTTAATAAGAGATTTAAAATAAAGATTTAAATATAAAAAATAAGAACTTATTTGCAGTAATAACTAAGTTAGAAGCTAAAGTAAATAAATTGTAAAATAAAAAACAATAATTAGAATACTCTAATAAGTAATATTCTAATTAATTGTAAAATTCTCAAAGACCTTAAGATATATATTCAGATAATGATAAATTTAAATAAAAAAATCCTATGGTGGAATCATAATCAAGTCTTGATTCTAAGATAAATTAAAATAAATTAATAGAAATTTAAATGAATTAATTTTAAGAACTTATGGTTGAAAAAGATAATGAAATAATGAATTTAAAATAATAAATAGAAGAATATGATGAAATTTTATAGAATCATTAAAAAAAAGTAAAATAATTGGATAATGAAAATAAATTACTTAAATTATAATTCTCTAAAGCTGTTGAAAACTAAAAACAATGTAACTATATTCTAATTAGTTAGTACAGAAATAAAAAACTGAAGTAAATTCTGAGTATAAAAATTATAAAGATGATTCAAGTTAAAAGTTGAAATCCTTAAGTTAAGAAATAGTAGATTTAAAACAAAAACAGAATATGTATTTATAATTACCTATCCTCATCTTAGACATAGTTCTCGAGATTATACTTCTGAAGTTGAATAACTTAATTAATAAATTTCTAGACTTAAATCTGAAAAAGAAGATAAAGATAGAGAAAATGGATAGAATCAATTAAAATTATAGGAAATTAAATAAAAATATAATGATTTAAAGTAATCTTATTAAGAATTAAATGATTAATATTAAAGAGAACAATTAATGAATAAATAAATTGTTTAATCTTTATAAACATAAAAAGAAGATATTGAAAATAGAAATTCAGAATAATAAATACTATTTTAATTAGATTTGGCATCCTAATAAGAATAAGAAACATAATAGCAATTAATTAAATAATTAGAGAATGATTTATAATAAGTTTAAATTGCATATAAATAATAGGAAGTTAAATTATTAAATTATGAAGATGAAATAAATAATCTAAAAATGTAAATTAAAAGACTTGAGTAAGAACATACAGAATAACTTCATATATTGGATAATACAATATAAAGTAAAGATTAAATAATTTAATAATATGAAAGTAATAGTAGGATTTTGAATGATACTCCTGAATAACTTAGAAGTAAAAGTGTAGAATAAACAACTATTTAAGGTCATTTGAAATCATAAATTGATTCTTTGAATAAGAGTTTATCTAATTTTGAATAATAGATTAAAGATTTAACTAAAGTTAATAATGAATATTAAGATTAAATTGCAAGTAAGGATAAGATGTTAAAAAATAAAAATTAAGAAATTATTTAATTATAATAATAAGTAAAAGATCTTTAAGGATTAAATTAAAAGATATAAGTTTAAGAAAGAGCAATCCATCATCATGAGAAATAAATATCTACTCTTAATTAAACTATATAAAAATTATAGGAATCATTAAATTTTAAGGATTAAATTATATTAGGGAAATAACATGAAATAGAAATGTTATAAAATTAAAAGAAAGATCATATTTAATAGTAAAAGTAATAAAGTCAATTATTTGAATAATAAAATCAAAAATTAAAATTAGAAATTTAAGAATTATAGAATAAATTGAAAAAATAGGAAGAATAAATTATATTAAAATAAAAAGATGATATAGCTATAAATGAATAATAAGGAATTTATTAAAATCAAATCTAGTAATTAGAATTGTAAAAAACAAAACTTATTTAAGATTTTGAAGATGAAAAAAAATAATATATTGATAAAATATTAAAAATAACATAAGAATTAGAGGAAACTGAAAAAATGTAAATTTTATTGAATCAAAAATAAATTTAACTTGAAAATGCATAAATTAAAATAAATGATGTAGAATCAGAATTAAGTTCTGTTTAAGATTTAATATAATAATTAGAATCTAGAATTTTAGATATGTAAAGAGAGATATAAATTGAAAGATCAAACTTTTTAAAAGAAAATTAATTAAAAATTGAAGAATTAAATTCTTAACATTAAGAAAATGAAGAACTTATTAATATAAATTAAGATCTTACTTAAAAGAATATTTAACTATTAGATTAAATAGAAAAATTGCAATAAAATTAAAATGATACCTAATCAAAAATTAATTAAGAAATTGAAATTTTAAAAAAAACAGAAAATCATAATAAAGAAATTATTAAGAAATAAGAAATATAAATTTAAGAATTGAATTCTTAAATATAATAATTTATTTAATCTTAAGATATTGCCAATATAGAAAAGACTAAACTATCATAATTATTAAATGAATAATTAAATTCAATTACAGACTTAAATAAATAATTAGCAATTACAAATATCAAAAATGATTAATAACTTGAAGAAACTAAGGCATAATTTAGTTCAGAATTAGTTATTAGAGAAACAGAATTAATTAAAAATGTTATATAGTAATCTTCAGAAACTCAAAAATTATTAACTCAAATAGGTAACTTAATAGAATAATCAGAAAAATTCAAATCAACTATTGATGATTTAGAATTAAAACTTGAAGATTCATAATAAAAATATTAGAATCTTTGTGAATAATAAAAGGTTTAAGATAATTAATCATAATAATTACTTTAAAAATAAATTGAAAATTTGCATTAATAAATATAGAATTCAGAATTCAAATTATCAAATTTATAAAATGAATTTAATGAAAAATCCTTAGATCTTCAAACATAGTTATTACATAATTAGATTTAAGAATAAGATATAAATAATTACTAAGTGTAGATAGATAATTTAAATAAGTTGATAATAAATTTGGAAAATTAAAATAATGAATTAAAATAATAGATTAAAAGTTTAGATTATAGAGTGTAAAATGATCAATAATAAATTTTAAATTTAGAATAGCAAATTAATGAATAAGTATAAAATAAGTAAATATAAGAATCATAGATTAATGAAATATAATAATTATTGAGTTAAGAATAGGAAAGATGTTCAAAATTAAGAGATGAGTTGTTAGAAAAATCTAATCAATATGATTAATAAGTAAATGAAATTAAATCTATTAAAAATGATAATAATCATTTAAAAGATGTAAAGCTTGAATTAGAAAAGAATTTAGAAGCAAAAGAAATTATAATAACAAATAATACAGATATTATAAATGATTTAGATTTAACAATTAAAAAAAAGAATTTAGAATTAAGTGAAAAGGAAAATAAATTATTATAACAAACTAAAGATTTAGATAAAATCAATAATAAAATTTAATAATTGTAATAATAAAATGCAATACTTGATAATTAAATTCATGAAAAAACATAGAATATTTAGTAAATTTAATAAGAATTAAATGCATTATAACATTCAAACCATGAATAAGAATAAAATAATAAGAAATTATAATTATAAATTAATCAAGATGCACAGAATTATAGTTAATTAAATCAGAAACATCATGAATTATAAGAGAGAATAAATATGTTGAATAATGAAATTTCAGAATTAAAAAAAAATAATAAAGAATTAGTTGAAAATCAAGTTTAAATCACAAATAAAAACGAAGCAGATTAAGCTTAAAATAAACTAATAGCATCTTTACAAGAATAAATAAATCATTTAGAATAAAAAATATAACAATTAGAAAGCGATTTGAAAGTAAAAGAAGATTAAATATCACATTCTATATAAGAATCTTAAGCATAAGAACAAAAGTTATTGTAATAAAATAATTAACTTACTTAAAATCATGATGAATTAATGGCATTATAGAAAACAGATTATGATAAAATTAAAGAACAAAATAATTAATTATTATTATAAACTAATTCTTAATAATTAGAGATATAATAATTAAAATAAGAATTATAATAGGAAATTGATAGTAAATCATAATTGAATAATTAAAAAATAGAACTAGATAATAAGTTAGTAAGTTTGAATGAAAAATTAACATAAAAGGAATAATAAAATTAATAATTAGATATATAATTAAAAGATTCAGAAGCTTAATTATTAAAAGAATAAAAAAGATTGAATATTTAGATAGAAAATTTAAATTCATAAATTTCAGCTTTGAGAAAGTAAGTTGATTAATTAAAGGAAGTTTTAATTTAAAAGGATATAGATATAGCTGGTTATAGTAAGAGAGAAAATGAAGCAATGAAATTATTTGCATATAAGGATGGTGAAATTTTAACATTGTAAAATGAAATTGAAGCTTTAAAAGATTAAGAGAATAGTATGTAAAGTAAAAAAGATAATGAAGGGATTAAACATTTATCTTCTAAAGATACAGAAATATAAGGTTTCAAAAATGAACTTGAAACTATTAGAAATCAAAATCATATAAGAGAAAATGAGATACTTAAATAAAATGAAGAAATAACATAATAAAAGAGTGAAATTATTTAATTAAAGAATGAAATTGAAAATAAATAGATTCAGATTAATAAATTATAAGCAGATTTAAATCAAACTTAATTAATTTTAAATGAAATAAAGACATTATTTAATTAAGATAATATATTAGATTATTTAAGATAATTTAAATCATAACATGAAAAATAATGTGAAAGAAAATTTATATATTACTAATGTTTATAGTCATTAATGGATGAATATCTAAGAAATTAATAAGCAGTATTTTATGCATAGAATTATGTAAAAAATAATAATTATTTATAGCTTAAATTATCATAATAAGAATAGAATAGTTTATTGGCATATTAAAAGGATATTTAATTAATGAAGGCAAAATTACCTATAAAAACAGCTTTGAGTAATATTAAAGAAGTGAAAAATGAAGATTTAAGTTTTTCATCAAATGAACATTAGTTAGAAATAAATGAAAATGATATTAGTGGATTTATTGGTGATATTGATATATCTGCAATTGTTAATAATGATAAAACAAAAAAAGAAGTATGTTTATATTATATTTTAGAATTCAACTTCTAATAAGTAATAACTTTCACATACTGAAGAAGTTAATATTTTAAAATCTAAATTAGAAGCAGCTAATGAAGAAAATGTGAAAATTATTGCTAAATTTTAAACTTTATTAGAAAGAATAGCTGCTAAAGAGGAATAAATGCTATAATTGAATAATTTAGCTAGAGATGTAATTTAAAAATGATTATTTTAGTATAAACATAAAATGATGGCTATGTAAAAGACTTCTGTTGATCCTTAAGCTGTTCATGCTAAAGCTCATTTAAGAGATTGTTTAAAAAAGTTTCTTACAGCTTGTGGACCCAAAAACTTAAATTATGATTTAGCTGAAGCAATACTAAATACATTGTTTTAATTTTTGGAATTCTCAGAAAAAGAAAAGGAAGAAATTCTAGATGAATTAGCAATAAAACCTGCTGATAAAAAAAAGGGGATTGTTTAGATATTGTTTAAGAAATGATTTCATATAATTAATAATAGTAAATATATTAAGAATGTTTATCGACCTTGATAATTTTGAGCAACATAAATAAACAATAATTGATTAGATTAAGAGATGTGATTTTCTAGGTTTTGATCTTGAATTAACTGGAATAAAAGGAGATTATTAAGATATATTTGAAGAATTACCATTTGAAAGATATTTAAAGGTATTTTTAATGACATATAGGCACGAAAAGTAAGTATGAAATATAATATTATTCAATTTGGATTATGCATATTCATCAAAAAATAATAAGGATATTTAGCTTATCCTTATACATTCTTTTTGTTTCCTTAAGAGTAGACAATATTCTAATTATTAGTTTAGATGATTTTGTGGGTTTGTAAGTAGGAGCAATATTTTTTAATTGTGAACATGGTATGGATTGGAATAGATGGATTAATAAAGGAATAGGTTATATAAATAGAGCATAATATTAAAAACTGTAAGATGATTATAATAAAGACTTTTAATAATTAGATTAGGAAGAATTGAAGAATCAATTTGAAAAAATTTTAGATGATGTTAAAGCAATAGATAAGAAAACAGTATATCATATAATTTATATAATAGATTTAAGATTTAATTGACAAGTTAGAAAAATTTAATATATCAGAAGATAAATAGACAACAATAGAAACAACAAATGGATATTAAAGAAAAATTATTTATAATTACTTAGAAGCATATTAGAAAAATATGATTGGAGAATCTTTATTAAAAGGAGAAATGAAAATTACAAAATTAACAAATGCAGAAAAATAAGCAAAAGAAGAAGAAAAATAATAATTAAAAATAAATAGATTTTAAACTAAAACAGGATTTTATTAAATATGGGAATGTATTTTGAATTCTAAAAAATATATGGTAGGACATAATTGTTTTGCAGATTTATTATTTTGTTATAGTCATTTTGTTTAATGTCCTCCAATATCTTGGGAAGAGTTTAAAGAAGATATTCTTAGAAATTGGCCCCCAATTTATGATACAAAATATATTATTTAATCAGCTTAACCATTAGAAAAAATAAGAGGGAAATTAGAAACATCAACATCTATTGAAAATTTAGCTGAATTTATCAAAAATAATATGAATTATATATAAATTGAGGTTGAATAAGATTAAAATTTATATCATACAGCTGGTTTTGATGCTTATATGACTGGATTTATATTTATTAATTTGACTAAAGATTTTACATAATAAGAATTATAAAATCAAAAAAATAAATTGAATTAATTTAAAAGCAATTATAATATTAATTTGAATACTGCTGAAGATATTAAATTAACTTAAAAAAATATAATCTACATTAAATTTCCAGAGGATGATCGAAAAAATTTATAAATATAAAAAAATTAAAGATTATAATTATAAAAGTCAATTGTTGATAATATAATTAATACTTTAAAATAATAATACAATTTAGCAGCTTATAGAATAATCCATTATAGATATATTTATATAGAATTCAATTAGGAATACGATTTGAAATAGATTCAAAATAAGTTATCCAAAGTACCAGATTTTTAAGATTGTTAAATTTTTAATGAAAAATAATATGAAAAAGATAGAAGAGAATTTAAAGAAAAAGAAGCAAAGTTAGAAAAGTTTGATAAAAGATAATGAATATCTAATATCAAAAATATAATCTATTTTCTTATTATCCTTATAAAGATTACATAATCTATTAATTATTATTATTTAAATATTTAGCAATAATGTTTAAATACTTTAACCAATAATTTATAAATGACAATTAATAATTTAGAGATCTTAAGTAATCTAATTATACTTATAGTACCAAAGTTTTTGCAATCTACTCCTGCATAACTATAATGAGTATTAATATAAAGAATCATACACAAATTTCAGAATTGATATCTTAAACTTTCTATACTAAAAATTTCTTATTGTTATAATATATAATAAATTAAATTTTATGATATATCATTCTTTAAGAATGACTGACCAATATATATATTAACCAGATGTAGAAATTTTGAAAAACCAAAATTATCAGTATTCACATTGACTATAGAATAATTTATAAAACATACAATCTAGAATCAATATCCTCTCTATATAAGAAGTTTAAGAAAAAGGATTAGAAGTAATCTAATGCTAGTTAACTAATAATATAAAATTTAGATTTATTTAATCTACTTCTAGGATTAAACTTTAATAGAGTAAAAAATATTCTATCCATTAATTTGTGTAGTATTATAAATAATATTGGATAAATTTTGAAATTGATCAGTCTATCTCTATATATCATCAAATTTTACTATAATAATTTAAGATGGACAGTATAAATATAGAAAAAGAATTTTGATTATTTTTAGTAAGTTTAATACTTTATTTTACCTTAAAGTTCAATTATATTATAAATAAAGAATTACTTAGAGAACGTTAATTAAGATAATAAATTATTATATATATGAATGGATCAAAAGATTAAATTTAAATCCATAGGGCATCTACAATACGGGCAATCACTTTATTTATCTTATTTTATAGATTGTTATTTTATACACCAACCTTTAATGCAATCTCGATGAAATTAATGGCTAAATTTAATAATTTTATATACCCGCAATTAATTTTCACTACTGTATTATTTTAATAATTAAGTTAATAGAAGCAGATAATACATTTATCATCATCATTATTAGGTTCTTCTTTTGGCCAAAGAAATTAAGAAGCTGGAGGTTGTACAATTTAAATTTAAGGTTATTAAGGAAATTGCTATTATAGGTGATCATGATTACATCTCTGTTTTAATTAAAAAAGGGATCTTAATTAATTGGATTTCTTGGTTGTTGAGAAAAAGGATCTTAATGATTTATATTTCTGTTTTAATTAAAAAAGGGATCTTAATGAATTACATTTCTTGGTTGTTGATAAAAAGGACCTTGAATAATAGATTAAGCTTGAATTGCCTTTCTTCTCCTATTTATTAAGCAACCTATACAGAGGAAAAATAATAATGATCCAAAAACAGATGGTATAATAATGTAAATTAATCGAGTACTATTAATATTTTCATCAATATCATAAGATTAAGGCTCATAATTAAATCTAATTTATAAATGAGTAGTTTCATTATTGGAATATTATTTAAAAACAGAAAGATATAAAATTTGTTATTAAGCTGGCAATATATCTGGAATCTTTGTTTAAATAGTGCTTAATCCATTAGAAAAAGAAAATAATTAAGTATAATTGCTTTGTTAGGTTTCTTCTGGCCTAAAAAGAGCTTTAGTTTTATAAATAATAATATTTAAACATTCTTGACAATTTGACTAGATTTAAATAATAACTATAAATACTTCAAATTGCAGTTTCAAAGTTTATCCTAAAAAATAATAGAGATTAATTGAGAAGAACTTGATAGTTTCATCATTTACAAAATATACATCTTATTAAGTTTATGAAACTAATTCCTAAGATAGTTAATGACAATCATTTCCAATAAATGAACCATTGCAAATGCATCCTTCAGTCTTAAAATATGATCATTTCTACCTCACAAATGCCATTTTAATTACAATCGTTATCACATTCTTCTTCATTATTTCCAGTGATCGTAATTTAATAGTAATTATTTTTATAATCTGCCATAGTAGTTATATATATAGTTCCTGCATTTCCTTTCAATTTTAAGAACCTAGTTCCTCTATTTTCTAATTAACTAAATTAAATATAATTCTTACCTTATTCTATCAATCTTTTCTCCTTATTTATATGTTGAAATCAAATTGCTATTAGGTTTAACTTTATAATCTGCCATTAATAAAAAAGTAGGATCCTAGTATTTTAATCCTATTCTAACGTAACAATACTCTGTTTGTAAAGATCTCACTTTAAAAGTACTCGTGTTTAAAGTATTTTAAATGTATGTCCATTCATTTTCTTAACTTAAGTCTACTTCAATTTGACTTTTCGCAAGATTAATAATCAAGATGATGCTAAATAGATATATCATAATTTTAATTATTAAATATATAAATATAATTTTTATATTAAATCATAAAAATATTACAATGCAAGTTATATCATCTCTCAAAATGGAAAACTGCTTCCATCTATTAAATGCTTCTCTTACTATTCGTTCAGTGGCCAATTCAACTTATTTATCTTTAAAATAAGGTAAAATCAAATCCATAACCTCATCATTAGTTAATTAATCCCAAACCCCATCAGAAGCAAGTACAATAAATTTATGAGCCTTAGTTCTCTTAAATTCTAATATCTCTTTCTATAATATAAACAGCTATACCTGGTTCTGCTATAACTCCTACTTTTGCTGCTATTTTATCCCCAAAACTTCTTGTCATAGCTAGTCCTGGAGTGTCTGAAAATGAGAGATAAACTCTTTCAGGACCAGCAGGATATCCTTCTGAACTTTTTCTTTGAGATATTCTACCATCAGCATTTATAATTCTAGCTCTTTCTTTTACATTATTTGGTTTATGATCAACACTTATTTATATAGCCATCCAAGTATTTACTTTTTAACAAATGATTGCTCTAGAATCACCAACATTTGCACAGAATATCTATAAAATATAATAAAATACTTTACTTATTAATCCTTTATCAATATTGATACTATAGTTGATCCTGCCAAATTAGTATCAATATTGCTCTAAAATAAGTCTTTATTAATTTTTAAGTATGAACGAATAATTGCTTAATTGATACCCTCTGAATTTAAGGTCATGTCCTTGAGATAATTACTAAGAATAACTAATTCTAGTGATTTATACTTGGGATATTTTTCTTAAGGTATTATGAAACAAGATGTCCATTTTAACCATGACCATCACAAATAGCAAAGAATTAATAGCCATTACTATCATTATTATTCCTTATACAATCGACAAGCAATAAAACTGTCTTAATTGATCTTGACTGAATGCTATTAATCACTGCCTGCTCTAGTTCTCATTGCAAATCTCAATTCATTTATTACTGGAAGACTTTGGGATTTGAGAATTGGTGAACTGGTTGATTTCCTATACTTTTACATCTATTGAGAATATAACATAATATTAATATATTATTTGATGAACGTTTGCAGTTCGCGATACTGTCAATATAATTTAGCTGGTACTTAAATGGTTCCAATTCCTAAATATAGAGTTTATTGTCCCTTTTGTAAACATGCCTATTATTGTTCTCAAAGATGTAGAGACATTGATTGGTAAAATGAATTATTATATAAGGACTTCTGGACATAAAAACCAATGTATACCTTAAAACATGTTAAATTCATAGGAAATAGCATATAGTGATAAGGTATCAACCTTAAGATAAATGAAAAGAAGTGCAGAAGAGTTTGAAGTTATATATGATTATCCATAACTTGGCAAAGGTAGTTTTGGAGCTGTTAGATTAGTGAAAGATAGAACCAATGGATAATTACATGCAATGAAGATAGTACATTAAATTATTAATTTTAGATGAATAAGAAAGACATTTTTGAGTATTGTTCAATTGAAAACCTTAAGAGAGAAATACGAATATAAAGAAAATTGAATCATCCAAATATTACATAATTATTCCACTATTTTGAAGACAAAGATAAAGTTTATCTTATTTTAGAATATGCAGAACATGGATCTCTATTTTAATTATTAAAAAGAAGAGGAAAATTAAATGAAAATGAAGCACTTAAATTCTTTAAATAAACTTGTTTAGGAATTGATTATTTACATTAACAAAATATAATACATAGAGATCTTAAAGTAATTTATAATAATTAATAGGTAGCCTGAAAATATATTATTGGATATTGCTGATAATGTAAAAATTTGTGATTTTGGTTGGTCAGCTGAAAATTTAGGTTCAAAAAAGAGAAGTACTTTCTGTGGAACAATAGATTACATGGCCCCTGAAATGATTGAAGATAGACCTCATGATCACACTCTAGATATATGGTGTTTAGGAATACTATTATATGAATTATTACATGGAGAAGCACCATTCAAAGGTAAAAATGATATTGAAAAATGCAATAATATTGTGAAAATCAATTATCAAATCATTGATAATAGTTTAAGTTCTGATGTTAAAGATCTAATAATTGGCCTTATCAAATATTAATAAAAAGATAGATTAACAATGAAATAAATTTTGAATCACAGATGGATCAATAGAAATGAATTTGAATTAGAAAAGATGCCAATCTCTTAAAATAGAGTCAGAGTCAACGGTAATACTCTGCATCAAGATAATCAATATTTTTCTAAGTCTACAGCTTCTTCCCAATAATCTTTTATAAGATAAAATATAACATTCTAAACTCAAACTGAAAATTCAATTTAGGATTACAAATAATAATATCGTCGGAGTAGACATTCTGAATCTTAAAAAAAGGAGATACGATCATAAACTGTTAAATAAAAAAATGAAACTTTTATGCAAAAATTATTAGTTGCTTTAGGTTGTGTTAAAAGAGAATCATATGCTGATACTAGTTGTTTAGATACTTAAAAATAATGATATAATTAATCATCTATGAAATATTAATTCACCTTATATTATTACTACGCAAAGGTGTAAATCTTCTAATTTATGATGTTCAGTTTAAAACTATACATTTCTCTCTGGTTTCTTTATATCAAATATTCTTAATGTTTTTTTCTCCAAATCAAATGTTACTTCTACTTCATCATTTTAATAAAGTACAAATCCTCCTTCATTATAATTACATTCTAAATCCCAATGACTAAACAAGACTATAATTAATTATTTAATTAGATACATGAATTATAGCAATCCACAGAATAAAGCAAATATGTACCATGACCAACAAATGATTTATCCTAAAAAATCATTCCTCTTTCTTAACGAATTCTCTTATCACATAAACCAATCATCACTTTTGATATTTTATTAGGACCTAAAGTGAATTTGATGCTATTCACTTTCATGACATTATCTAATAAATATGCCAATTTAGGCTCTTTTAAGCTTATTTATCAATCTTTACATTCATTATTATTTCGAAGAGTATTCTCCTTCTCATCTTTTTACAAATCACTCCACTTTAATTGATTTTAGGCTTACATTAATTTAATTAATATATCAATATAGAATTAGTCATTAGTCAAAATCAAATTAATTAAGATCTTTGAATTTAAAAAATTATCTCTTGGGTGTCATATGTTTGTTGTAAATCTTACCAAAAGGAATTATTTTAGAATACTCTCCAACCCCAGGTCCTTCTTTTGGTTTGAATGTATCTCCCTTTTTTGAAACTGGCATAAATCCAAATTTTTTATTTGGTTTGAATTTGGTATCAGCATACATAGCTGGTCCTGGAGATCTATTTATTTTTTTTGGATTTGGATTAGAAAATTCATCTAGGAATTCTTCTTTTCTTACTTATTTTGTAAATGTTACTTTTAATTTACCATATTCCCTCATTCTATTATAAGAATCACTAATATTTTATTATTAACTTATATGATTAGACTTGAATTTTGATCTTGTGGTTAATGTACCATGAGAATCAAAATTACCTTTAGATTAATTGAATGTTCCAAATTTATTTGATTATTTTGACTCATGTTAAGAGAAACATTTATTTAAAATTTTTGATTACTCTTTAGAAGATGCTTTTGAATGTTTAGATGACGCCCTGTTTTATGTAAAACTTTCGCTTTAATAGGTTCCAGGACCTGGAGTCTCTGTTTTTAAAATATATGACCAAGTTCTTTTTGAATTATGCATTTTGAAGCCATGATTCATTGAATCCTACAAGATTGAATAGGATCCAGGACCAGGTTCAGGACTCATATGATCTGTTCTAGCTCTTTTATGTAATTATTTGAATTTATAGCCTAGACTATTCAATGTTGATTTAATAGGATAATGACCAGCTCCTGGAATTTTATTATCAAAATTTTCATTTCTTGAAGTCTTTGAAATAGACCCTCCAAGTCTACTATGAGGTTCATCTGTTGGTAGATATTGCCTAATTTTGTGTAAAAATACCCTGGCCCAGGATTTAGAGTTGGTTTATTTAGAGGCTTATTTGAATTAGCAAATGAAACACCTTAACTTCGATAAGTATTGATTGTATAATGAAGTGGTCCTGGAGTTAAAGAATCCTAAGCCAATATCATTTTGCGCTAACTATATGATCCAAAATTCAATGTCCCTCCTTTCTTCTCAGTTTTAGGATGATATTAGCCAGGTCCCATACTAATTTAGGGTAATAAAAAGTGAGATTGTATTCTTTGAATTAAGACATAAATACTTCTTAGCAACACTGAATGAATAGGAAGGAGATGGATTAAAAGGGTAATTCATTATTTTATATAATAATATATTCGAAAATTACATTGCAATGAAAGTAACATCAAATATATCTAAAGTCTACTCCAATTTATATAGGTATAAACAATTTTATAGGCCAATCATAAATAGTTGACAGGTATATCAATAGTATATAGAGAAAAAAAATTAGAAGCTAAATAAAATATAAATTATATAAAGAAGAAGAGGAGGAAGTTCTCATTGAAATCTTCATGAAAAAATGATTGCGAAATCTGGTAATTATCAGCTGCTTAAATTTTTATTATAAGAATTTCAATCCATTCATAAAAATAAAGGCAATTCTGATAAAGAAGTTTAGATTTTTATTTAGGAAGATGAGCCATCAAGTTTTTTGAAAAATTAAACATTGAAGAATAAATTAAAGCTAAAATATTATGAGTTCCTTAATTTTTTAAAGAGGAAAGCCTAACCAGAGTAAATTTTATGACTTTCAAAAAATATATTATTCTTAATGGATGACTTAGAAGAAATACAAATGTTACTAATATTTGTTGTGATATTAGTTAAGAATAAATATCACATAAGTTAAATAAATGAATCTTTCAATTTCACTTTAGTATCTTAATATAGTTTATACTAATTACAATAATAGTACAAATCAAATGGAATATATTTATAAATTATTATAATACTAAAACTTATTTCAAATTTAATATCTTCTCCAGATTGAGAATTCTATTTAATGTACCATTTATATTTAACATATCCTAATAGAATACTTTAAAGAACAAAAAACGATTCCCATCAGCTGTAATATATAATGATGATTATTGAATATATAGTCTCTATAGATAATCTATTTAGTTATTTTTTACAACTAAAGATGTGTAAAATGAATATAATTATATTATCTAAAAAGGGCCCTTAATTTTTCATAATATATATATAAGGGAACCTTTTTAATTACATCATTAATATAAATATGGCTTCAAAATCTTATTTAATTTTAGGAACTGTTCTTCTTTTAAGTGCGATGGTTTTATAATATAAAAGTGATACACAATTAGCTAATAATCATAGCTCTTGGATGTTGAAATATAATAAATAATATTACTCAGTGCTTGAATAAGAGTATAAAAATATTGATTGTTTTTAGATATAGAAGATAAGTATTTGAGTAAAATGTTAAATTTATTGAAGAAACAAACTAAAAGCAAAATGATTTTGTGTTGGAAATTAATGAACATGCTGATTTAACATCAGAAGAATTTTCAATATAATATTTACATTACGATCATCAATTTTCAAATGAGCAAACAACAAAATAGTAAATAAAAGAGAATAATTTAAATTAAGAAATAAATTGGTCAAAATATGCTGGAGGTGTTAAAAACTAAGGATAATGTGCTTCATATATCTTTTAAACATTGGATCTTTTGGATGCAAATAATAAAATTATTAATAATAATTATAATCAATTATCTTAACAGGATTTAATTGACTGTTCTGGTTCATATGGTAATAAAGGATGTTAAGGAGGTTTTGTTTCTAATACATTAAATTATGTTAAAGACAAAGGTTTAGCCTATGAAAAAGATTATCCTACAACTTCAACTAGTGGAATCTGCAAGAATGTTTAAAGATCATTCCATATCTCAAATTACATTACTATAAGCAATTGTGAAGATCTTATTAAAGCTTTGACTAATTCAACAGTCACTGTAGCAGTTGATGCATCTTCTTGGTAATTTTATAAAAGGTAAGAATATATTTTACAATTTTAGTGGTATTTTGACATAATGTGGAACCTCTTTAAATCATGGTGCATTGTTAATTGGAATTAAAAATGATGGAGTTTGGACACTTAAAAATACTTGGGGATCAAGTTGGGGAGAATAAGGATTCATTAGATTAGGAGCAGGTAATACTTGTGGATTATGCAAGTATGGTTTGCAATAAGTATTTTGAAAAGAAATGATGATATAAGTTAAATATTCAAAATTTATAATAATTATCTATATTATCAATATTATCTTCATAATATACATAATAACTCAAGATATAATACTTATAATGATTTTAAAAATAATCAAATTTTATATTTTTTGTTAATTTTTTAGAGTAGTTATTACTCTTTTTTATTTTGTAATTACTAAATTTGATTAGCTCTTTACAAGTACTAATTTTTCATGTCTAAACTTTTCTAATCATATCTTTGGTTTAATAATTAAGGTTGACTCATTTAGTGTTTTTAAGTAGGTCTTTTGGGAGGCTTATAATTACCATATTTTTCTAGATTTTTTTAAACTTCTTCAGGTTTTAGTTGATTTCTTTTTTCTTCATCCAAAGAAAACTCTTTTAAGAAGAATCTATATAATGATATATAAAATTACCTGTCTTCTTCATCTTCAAATTCATCAATTAAATCTTATGGCTTGAAATTTCTGCCATGACCACTTAAGTCATTAGGATTTAAATTTTCAAGTTTTGCCCAAGATACTTTTTCTCTATCTAAATCAATTCGTCCATTTAAGAATCTACCTTATTACTTATTATATGGTAAATTAGCAATTGATTAAGAACCTATTGATCCTATAGATCTTATGCTTTAATTTGGATTTTCTGTAAGTCTTTCTCTTAATTAATTTTCTCTTTCTTGTTTTAATTTTTATAGTTGCTATTTTTCTTATTCTGATAATTATCTCCCTTTATATTCATGATGTTCATAACCTGGGAGTTATCTGAAACCTATTTTCTCTTTACAATTAAAAGGTATTTTTATAGGAATTAATCTTTTTCTATATTCTTCTGGATAATCAATATAAATTAGTCTTAATATCAATTAATAGGCATGAGGATGTCTTTCCCCATTTTATTTGAACATGAGATTAGCCATAAATCCTAACAAACATTTAAATTCATCAAAATCGAGCTATTTTTTAATATAATTTTATTTACATCTTTACCAAAGGCACTTCTTTTGAATAAACTTTTAATTTCTTCTTTTGTTAAAAATTTCATATCATCTAAAATTTATTAAGGCAAAGGATTTTGATTTGGATTATAGTATTTATCAAACTTTAATTCATCATTCCACCATCTAAGATATCTAAATAGAATTTTTACTCAAATTTTGAAGGGACATGAGAATATTTATTTTTTCGAGGCAAGTTTTCAACTTTTTGTATATCTATAGGAACAGTAGGTGGTTTTTATTTTGGAGATATTATGGTTGAAGCTTGTTCTACTTATTTTTCCTCTTCTAATAAACTTTTATTGATAACTGTTTAATTCAATCTAGTAATATTTACTTCTTCTCCTCTTTTTTTTCTTTCTAATAAATTTTCTTCATTTGGCTTTCTTACATGAGTTTCAATCAAATTAAAACATTTACAAAAATACAAAAACATACCTAAACTTAAACTCTAAGCTTCTTTTGTGTATCTGTCAAATTCATACGCAACCCCATTAACATATTGTTATTTTGCAAAAAATAGAAAAATTTCCAATATTTGATTGTCTCTTTTTCCAATTTCTATTTCTTCTTTTGTTTTTGCTCTTTTTTCAGGTCTAACTATTCCTGAGAATGAAATCTATAGATTTGCTTTAGGTTTAATAGTAGAATTTATTTAGGTTTCATCAAGTCTCATAGTATTGTCTCTTATTAAATCTAACTAACGAACTAAAGCTGTTATCATATTTCTTAGAACCTATTTTTCAATTTCAGGCTCAGTTGTTTATAAAATTTATTAATATTTTTCTATTTATTATAATAGTTCTTCTTCTAAATTAGGTGGATGTTAAGGCTATTATTTTTCTTTTTTCTTATTAATTTATTCATGATCCAAAAGAATTAAATCTTAATTTCCTTTTATGAATTAAATTGCTGCCTCTTTAAATTATTAATAATTAATCTAATCATCCCTTAAAAAGTTATTTAAATTTCCATAAGAATTACTTCTCATAAAGAAATCTTCTTAACCACCTTTTTCATATATTGATGCATTATGTTGATATAACAAATTTTTTAGTAATAGAGGAAAATCTTATTTACTAATTGTATCATTCTGATCACTCATCATTGCATATTCATTAAATACCTTTTTAGTCTTAGCTTCTTATGTTTCAAAAATTGCTTTTATTAATTATTCCTAATGCTTTAAATCACTCTGTTCTGTATTGAGTGTTCCAGGTTCACTCTTAAACCAGTATTGATCTTAGTTTGTACTTTGTTTTTATTTAGGAGATGTTTGTAATAATTGCTTCTGTAACCATTTGTTGACCAGATTAATGAAACTGTCAAAATCTAAGTACTATCTGATTTCTTCAGGAGGAATGTCAGGATTATCAAGATCAAAATAAGTTATGGCATCACTAAGATCATAATTTAGTAAATCGCTCCAATCAATCAAGACTTCATGTGCATAGTCTTTATCTAATAATCCACTTTGGGTTCTGCTATCAAATTTCTCTCTTATTTCTGAATTGTTTTTGATTTTATCCTGATATAGATAACTAAAATTCATACCATGAGTTCTTCATATATTTATTGTTAATTTGAAGAGACACTCATATTAACAAATAATTATTATAATATTAATTGCTATTTATAATAAAAAATAGTAAAATCTAATATAATATAAAATAATATTACTTAAATTTAGTAAAAAAGATAATATATTCATATTTATTGGTTTAATTATACAATTTAATGAGTTTGATCTAAATTTTAATTCAATTTTGAAATAGTGTCTATATCTCTCAATATTTAACAATTAATTTTTTCAAAAAGTATGAGATATGTGGAAAATTAATAATAAATTTATACTACTAAATTTTAGGATCATAAATGAATTAGATAATAATACAAATTTTAATTTACTTATAATTATTTAATGTAAAAAATTGTATTATAATTCTGATTAGTAAATGGATTTGTAGAAAATAAATCAGATAAAATATTGAATTCAAAATAATTTGGTTGATCTTTTTATCTTTAGTTAGTAATTATATAATTGATTATATTGAATCATGTATATTCTATAAATTATTGATTAATCTAAAAAAATGATTAGAACTTATGAAAGAATAATTTAATGATTTGATCGATCCATAACGGAATAAATAATACATAATATTTTGAGATTTAATAGTTTGTTAAGTTTTATGGTTTTTAATAATTTTTTATTTGCGTTTTTATTATGAGAAGTATCTAATAAGCAAATTAAGGACAAGCACCAATAGGAATTAAAGTATGATTATTATTTAAATTGCTTAGTAAATTGATACTCAGATATAAAAAGTAAAATCAGAATTGAAAGTTGAACAATCATAAGCATTGGAGCGAACAATGAGAGAGGCAAAAATTAATAAAGATACCAACTTAGTTTTAAGTTAAAGAGTTGAAAAATTGTAGGAGGAAAAAGAGAAATATAAAAAATAAGCTGATGAAATTTTAAAGAGAACAGAGGGACCAGGAATCCATAGATCATCAATTCACAGCAGTAAATCTTAAAAAATTGATAATGACAAATTAAGTCAAGATTAGATCAAACAACGAGATGTACTTGCTTTAGAACTTGAAATGAATTAAAAAGAGAAGTAATATTAGGCTGATATTGAAAATCTGAAAATGGAAAATAAATAATTAACAAATGATCTCAAATAAGCTTGGAGTGAAATTGATCAAAAAGATAAATAATTAGAACAACTTTAAGCTTAAAATTCTCTTTTATTAAATGATAAATTAGATCTTTAGAAAAAATTGATGGAGGAAAAGTCAATCCAGAAAAAATAGTAATCACCCTAAAAAATAATAGAACCATAAAACAATTTAAATAATGAAAAGTATAAAGCTTATATTATTTAGCTTTGCTCTAATTGAAAACTTAAAAAAGTAAATTAATGAATTGTAAGAAGAAATAAGTGAATATGATGAAACAATTAATTCTCATCAACAAGAAATATCTGAGTGGAAAAATAAGTATTCCTAACTCTAAAAGAATAAAGATGAAGTTGATAATTATTATGCAAGTAACTAATAAAATAAATAACCTTAGTTGCTTATAATAAAATTGAGAATCTTTTAGAATTAAAAGAAGAAATGGAAAATTAAAGAAAGGAAGATTAAAATAAAATAAATGAATTAGAAGCAAGCATAATAGTTTTAAGGAACAATTTCAATGAACTTGATATTGAAAATAAAAGACTTCAAGATTAAATTGATACTATTTAAAAAAGCAATTAAGATTTGAGAGCTGAAAATATAAAATTATTTGAATAATTGGCTTCAAAGCCATTAGAAGTAAACTTAAATCTATAAAATGATTTGATTGAATTATGTAATGCTCCTAACAATGGATAAGATGAATTCAACTCATAATTCAATAAATTAAGTGAAGATTTTTCTAATTTGAAAGCTAAATACACCGAAGTTTTGGAATAAAAGGAAACTTTGGATGATGAAAATAATAAAAAAACCAAAGAAAATTCACTTTTAAATGAAACGATTAAAAAATTAGAAAATAAAATTAAATCTTAAGATGCTGATATTTAAGATTGGATGAATAAATATAATTCAAAAAACATTGAACTCAATTCCATTTTAGAGTTAGAAAATAGTGATAAAAAGAAAATTGAAGAATTAGAATTACATATAAAGGATTAGGAAATTAAAATTAATGATTTAGAAATAGCTTTAAAATATTCACAAAAAGACTCAACACCAAGATCTAAAGATAATACATCGAAATAAAGAGAATTAGAGGATAAATTAAAGCAAGCCAATGTATAAATTAATGATTTGAAAAAAGAAAATCAATCTCTATTTGAATAATAAAATATTTAGGAAAATGAAAACTTAAAATAAATCATATAGGAATTAGAGGACAAAAATAATATATTGACACTTGAGAATAATAAATTATTATCATAGTTATAAGATGCAGAGAAAAAGACTTAAGATTAAGAGTAAATAATTCAATAGTAAAAAAATTAATAACAATAATTATAATAATAATTATTATTATTATAATAACAATAATAATAATAACAATAATAACAATAAAATTCAACACCAAAAATAAATCAAAATGAAATTAATTAAGAATAAGAGGCTTTAATTAAAGGATTAAATTAAGATAATGTTTCTTTACTAGCAAAAAATTCTTAATTAATTTAAGAGTTGCATTAAATAAAGAATCAGAATAGTAAGAACATAAGAAGTAAATTTATTTTAGTAGGAAAATTGTTGTAATTAGAAAAATAAAAATCTGATCAGGAAGAAAAACTAATAAAATAAAAAGCTATTATTAATGAATTATTAGAAAATTAAAATAATGAAAAATAACCTTCCACTGATCCAATTCCTTAAATAAATGAGTAATTACATAAATAACCAGATGAAAATGAATTAGAAAATCAATAAAATATTAAGGAGGATTTAGTGAAATAAAAATAACGAAATTAAAAATTATTAGGCAAAATTTTCAGAATATTGACCTAACAAAAATAAAAAGATTCAATAATTGAAGAATTAGAAAAAAAAATTGAAAAATAAAAGGCAATAAATTAAGAATTAATCGAGAATTAAAAGAATTAAGAATAACAATAAAAAATTAATGAGGAAGAAAAAGAACAAAAAGAAGATGAAAAACCTGTAAATGAATAGCTTTAAATATAGGATAATCAATAAGAATTGAACAATGAGTTATAAAAGCTTAAGAATAAAAACTAAAAATTATTATCAAAAGTTTTTAGAATCATGACATAATTAAAAATTAAAGAAGATGAATTATAAAATTTAAATGAAAGGCTTAAAAAACAACAGGCTATAATTGAAGCCATTTCTACTGAGCCTATTTAGGAAGAAGTTCAAGAACCTGAATAAGAATAATTAATACTAGAGAACTAAAATAATGATAAATAAATAGTTATTGATGTTGAAGAAAAAAATGTTGACTATGATTAAATAAAAATAAAAAATTAAAATTAAAGACTATAAGGAAAATTATTTAGATCTATGTTTTTAATCAATAAAAAAAATAATGAAATAGAGGAATTGATTCAGAGAATTCAGAAGCAAAAAGCATAAATATAGGAATTAAATGATTAGATACACACTAATAATATAAATAAAGATGAAAAAATTGAAAAAGATAGTGAGTAGACTTTTAATTTATAAAATCATTAATCAGAACCTCAATTAGATATTAATTAAAATGAAATTGAAAAGTAGAATGAAGTCTTAAGAAATCAAAAAATTAATAAGATGGCTGCTAAATTATTTATGATAATGAGTAAATATAATAAATAAAATAAATTGATTGAAAATTTAAATGAAAGACTATCAAAGTATAAAGCTATAATTGAAACATATAGTCAAGATAATCAATAACCTTAAGATGAAAATATTAACCCTGTTGATGTAGAATTTGAAGATGTTAAACCTGCAGCAGAATAATAAATGGAATTTTAAAATGTTAATGAGTAAGAAAATGTTAGACTTAAGAACTAAAATAACAAATTATTAGTCAAATTATTCAGAGTTATGAGTGGATTGAACAAAAAAAATAATTAAATTTTAATGCTTGAATAACGATTAGCCAAATCTAAAGCTATTATAGATGAATTAACATAAGAATAAGCTCCCAATATAGATGTTTAAGAATAATCCAATATTCCAAACAAAGATAATGAAAATATTTCATCAAATAGTGAACCATAAGAATAATATATAAATCATCAAAATGAAGCTTAGCTTTAGAAATAAAAATATAATAAATTGCTTGCAAAGTTATTCAGAATTTTGAGTCAATAAAAGAAGAAAGATCAAGAATTAATTTAATTGAATGAAAGAATAAGTAAATTAAAAGCTGTTAATGATGAATTAATGTTAGAAAAAACTTCTGATTCTTAAATAAAATTTGAACCTGAGTTATAAAATTAGGAAATTAGCCTCCAAGCATTTTCTGAAATGGATCCAGAAAAATAATTAGAGATATTCAATAGCAATGATATTCTAAAAATTAAGAACTAAAATACTAAAGCTTTATCTAAATTATTTAGGGCATTATTTTTGTTATAAAAATAAACCAAAGAAAATTAATAACTAAATGAGAGATTAGTGAAATAAAATGCAATAATCAATGAATTTTCAAAAATTGAAAATAGCTCTCATTAATTAAAATAAAAAAACTGCAAACTTTTAGCCAAACTATTTATTCTAACAAGCAATTTAAATATGTCAAATAAGGCAAATGAAGATTTATAAAGAAAATTATAACAAAAAAATGCTTAATTAAAATAATTAGTTGAAAACTTTTAAGAAGATGAAAAAAATTCTCAGCAAGATTTGTTGCAACAATAAACAGAGCCATAAGAGGAACAATAAAACGAAAATGAAATTCATTAAAAAAAATTAGAAATTCAAAGATTAGAGATTTAAAATAAGAAATATCTTGCCAAAATATTTAAATTACTTTGTTAAATGTTTTAGAAGGATAGAGAGAATGATCAATTATTAAAAAGATTATCAAAGCAAAAAGCAATAGTGTAAGATCTTATAGATAATTAAAATTATTATGAATAAACTGAAGTGGGAGTTGAAAATATTGAAACTTAGTAAGGTGAAATTGACACCATTAATTAAAAAAATTTATAGAAGTTGTAACTAACAAATACAAAATTATTGGCAAAATAATTCAAACTTTTTTTCACTATTAAAAAATTGTAAAATTAATATGAAAATTCTTAATAGAGATTGTAAAAATAAAAAGAAATAAACCTTTAAAATTAAATGAAGATTGATGAACAAGAAACTAATTTAGAATAGCTTAAATTATCAAATTAAGTTTTAAAGGATTAAATATAGTAATAAGAATTATTTAATCCTTGTAGTAATTCAAGTGAAAAATAAGGTATTGAAACTAATTAAGGAGATTACTATAAAATAAAATATAATAATCTGTTAGAAGAACACTTACATTTATTAAATGTTGGAGATTTAATTAATGAATAAGAAAAACAATTAAGAAAGGAATTCTAATAATAACTAGATGAAGAAAGACTAAAAGCCAAAGATTTATTTAACAATTTATTAAATGAACATTTGAAATTATAAGATCAATGCGACAAAGCAATAGATGCTTTGAATTCAGCAAATTAAAATTAAGAAAATTAAGTTGATAAAAGTTAACTTGAAACAATCAAAAACAAATTCAATTCATTATTATCTGAACATTTAGCTTTAGAAGAACTTAATGATGGATTAAATAAAAAGTAAGATGATATCAAGAAAGAACATGAAAAACTTTTAGATGAAGAAATTTAAAAATAAAAAGAAAAATATAACAAATTATTAAACAAATATCTACTCTTAGAAATGGAAAAAGATGGCATTTTATAAGAACAAAGTCCTAAATTAGAAAATTAATTAGATTTAGAAAAAGATGATGATGTAATTGAGAAAAAGTAAGATAATTCTAATGTAGAATAAAATATAGAGAGAGAAAACGAATAAGAAAAATAATCAAATAATAATTCTTAAAATGAAGAATAAATACATGGTCTTTTACAATAAGTAAATTACTTAGAAAATGAAAATTCATAATTGAAACATGAACTAGAATAATATAAATTAGTTACTAAATAATAGATGGAAAATGATGCTGGAGAGAAAAATGAATTATTTTAGGAACTATAGAAGGAAAAATTGAAGGATGAAAATTAGGAAGATTATTATAAAAATAAATTTAATAATCTGTTAGAAGAACACTTACATTTATTAAATGTTGGAGATTTAATTAATGAATAAGAAAAACAATTAAGAAAGGAATTCTAATAATAACTAGATGAAGAAAGACTAAAAGCCAAAGATTTATTTAACAATTTATTAAATGAACATTTGAAATTATAAGATCAATGCGACAAAGCAATAGATGCTTTGAATTCAGCAAATTAAAATTAAGAAAATTAAGTTGATAAAAGTTAACTTGAAACAATCAAAAACAAATTCAATTCATTATTATCTGAACATTTAGCTTTAGAAGAACTTAATGATGGATTAAATAAAAAGTAAGATGATATCAAGAAAGAACATGAAAAACATTTAGATGAAGAAATTTAAAAATAAAAAGAAAAATATAACAAATTATTAAACAAATATCTACTCTTAGAAATGGAAAAAGATGGCATTTTATAAGAACAAAGTCCTAAATTAGAAAATTAATTAGATTTAGAAAAAGATGATGATGTAATTGAGAAAAAGTAAGATAATTCTAATGTAGAATAAAATATAGAGAGAGAAAACGAATAAGAAAAATAATCAAATAATAATTCTTAAAATGAAGAATAAATACATGGTCTTTTACAATAAGTAAATTACTTAGAAAATGAAAATTCATAATTGAAACATGAAATTGATCATTTGAAATCCATATTAGATAAGTCATTAAAACAAGAATAATAGAATGTAGAATAAACATAACCTAATATAGAACCTTTAAATTCAGAACCCTAAAAAATAGACACTAATTCTCAAGATTATTATAAAAATAAATTTAATAATCTATTAGAAGAACACCTACATTTATTAAATGTGGGAGATTTAATTAATGAATAAGAAAAACAATTAAGAAAGGAATTCTAATAATAACTAGATGAAGAAAGACTAAAAGCCAAAGATTTATTTAACAATTTATTAAATGAACATTTGAAATTATAAGATCAATGCGACAAAGCAATAGATGCTTTGAATTCAGCAAATTAAAATTAAGAAAATTAAGTTGATAAAAGTTAACTTGAAACAATCAAAAACAAATTCAATTCATTATTATCTGAACATTTAGCTTTAGAAGAACTTAATGATGGATTAAATAAAAAGTAGGATGATATCAAGAAAGAACATGAAAAACAATTAGATGAAGAAATCTAAAAATAAAAAGAAAAATATAACAAATTATTAAACAAATATCTACTCTTAGAAATGGAAAAAGATGGCATTTTATAAGAACAAAGTCCTAAATTAGAAAATTAATTAGATTTAGAAAAAGATGATGATGTAATTGAGAAAAAGTAAAAATAAGTGCCTAACATTAATCAAGATGATTAATAAATCAACCTTTATGGAGGTTAAGGCGATGATCATCCACACCACTAAGAAGAAATTTAAAATTATAAATAATAATTATCTGAACTGCAATAATAAATATTACAATTAAATGAAGAAAAGGATTAGCTTCAAAAATAAAATACATATATATCTGAACAATTAAATTAGATTTAGCATTAATCCATTTTACAAACTTCGGAAAAAACAGATTAATTACTTAAAAGTAAGGATTAACAACAGAATTAAATGGATTAATAGTCCTCAGAAAGATTTAATAAAGAAAATGATATTATTGAAAAATAAGGATTAGAAATAGCTCAGTAAAGGTAGGAATTATTGGCAGCATAAGAATAGTAAAGAACCTAATCACAATTTATAACAAAACTTGAGAAAGATAAGGAATTTTTAGAAAATTAATGTAATTAATTAAAAGGATAAATCGATGATCTTTAATCGAAGCTAGATAATTAGGAGTAAAAGTTAAATGAAAAAACTACTCACTTTATTCAAACTATGGAATAATTATTGAAAGAAAATTAAGATGATTTTGAAGAAAACAAATAATTAGTTCTCTTAAATCAATCCACTCAACCTGTTATATAAATTCTCAAAAAACTTTAACATGATTAGGAATTAAAACAATCTAGAAAATAGAGTTAAGAACTTTAATCTAACTAAGAAAATTTAAAAGAAATCATTTATCTCAAACACTAAGTTCAAACACTGGAAGATAGTAAGCAGTAATATAGTGACGGAATTAGCGATCTAAATAGAAGATTAAGAGATTTATTTAACAAAAATTCTACCTTATAAACTTAAATACAGTAATTAAACTAATAAAGGTATTTATCTAGTAATATTTAGTAATTAAATGAACTGATAGAATTTTAAGAGAGTTGTAAAGTATCATTATTAATTTAATATATTATAATAATTAACTTCTTTTCTTCAATTAATTTAGAATTTAAATAATATATTGTTATGGTCTTGAATAATCTCTTGACTCAGATATTAATTCTTTAATGACAATAAGTAAAAAAGTGATACTAAATCGAAATAGATATATGATTATATTACTTTGATTCTTTTAGGAAATTTTATTGATAAAATGAAGGAAGAGATGATTATAAAATTAGATATTTTTATTCGATTTGATTAACTTTTTACATTAAGGACAAAATTGGCCTTTATTATCCTCTTCTTAATCTTTAAACTGTAATTATAATTCGGCATTTTATCTCTAACTGTTTGATTCATACTTTTTAAGGTTTTGGGACTACTTGATAATTAAATTTTCCTTATGTATTTATTTGATATTAAATAATGAGTACACTTTTCGAAAAATTGCAGGGCCAATAGGCTTAATTTAATTCTGCTTAGCAAACTTAGACTCGAAATAAATAGATTAAAATTGTTTAATATAAATATAATCATGGATAAATAAACAAGTTATTTTGATTTCCTTACTTGACTTTCTTAGTTTTTAATGTTATTTTTAATCATTTCAATAGTATTTATTTTTTTATCCTTTCCTTTAAGTAATATTTATATTTATCCTAATGTTCTAATAACTATAATGCTTTGCAAAATATGAAAAATCCTTTACCTAAACAAAAAATTTAGACCCAGTCAATTTTTAATTTATTTTATAATAAATGTTGCCGTTAGTGATTACTCATAATGCCCTGTCGCGACGCATGGATTTATTTACTTGAATAAAGAGTCAGGATTACCTTCTTAGTTGCTCTCATCTTTCTTTACTTAATCTAATCAATTATTAAATCTGCTATTTGATATTTGTGAAATTCTATTTCTGCTCCTCAATGTAATAAATGGAGTTTTATAAATATTCTCATTTTTTTGCTCTTCTAGATTTTTGCAATTTTAGAAATTTGTATCCTCAAAAAAGGCAATCTCATTTTTCTTAAGGAACAGCTCTTTTTAATTACTGTCACTCTATTATATAACTTTTTTAGAAGAGCTTATCAAAGATATAAAAGTTTTGAATAATATATAATTAAAAAAAAATTTGATGTAAAAATTAAAGAGTTTTGTGAGAAAACTGCATATTATTGCCAAGTCATCAGCATAAAAATAGTAGTTATCGAATTTTTCATCAATATTAACTTTCTTTCTTTCTGCCATTAATAAATCTGTATAGATGTCAAATAAATAAGGAGATAGAATACTTCCTTATGGTACTCCATTTATAAAAGAATAGTATTAGTTACTGATTAATGCTTTTAGAAAATTTAGTTCTTTGATTGCAAGTATGGTTTTCTCCTCCATGTTCCGATATAGTAGATTCAGATTAGCAGTATTGTATGCCGATTTAAAATCTATGAATATTACTACTTTATTATCAAGAGCCTTTAATCTTGAAATATCCTTGATTAATTTAAAAATCTAAAATTAACTTCAGAATCCTTTTATAAAGCCAACTTATTGTTTTATAATTTTGCTTTCACAGTATCTGCTTAAAGATTTTTCAAACCGCAATTCTAACCACTTATGTAAAGGACTTAATATTATAATTGGTCGAAATTCACTAGCTTGTGGAATGTTTGGATAATTTTTATTTAATGGGATTATAAAGAACTCTCCAAAGTTTTTAACTAGATCTTATGTACTACTTCTCCAAATATTATTCAAAATAATGAAGGATCCATTTTTGGAAATCAAAATGTCCGAGATTAAAATATTTGTTAATGCTTTATTTTAACTAATTCTTGATTTCATATATAAAAACTGTTCAAAAGTAATAGGTTCTAATTCTGGGAGTGATAGAGGTTGGAAATTAATTAGTCTTTAATTATCTCCTAATGTATATAATACATTATTTTTTACTGCCTGTTAGTCTGTGATTAAGTTATCTAAATTATCAATGTAACAATTCATGATTTCACCATCCCTTTAATTTGGATTAACCAAAAACTAGCTTTTTAATTAGTTAATGGGTTATCTTATTTTACTTAGTTCTGATATTGCTATTAATTAATTAGAATATGATCAAAAAATCTTAAGAAGTTCTATGTATTATTGATTCTTTGCCTTACGTTTTTCTTCTATAGATTTAGAATCTCTTTAGATTTTCCTGAATTTTCTAGATAAATTCTCTGAAGTTCTCACTGTGAGAACAATTCAAATTTAATAGAAAAATTTACTCCTTGTTTATTATGAAATTATATTACTTTTTACTTTTTAGGTTTTTTTTCAAATTTAATTAACAAATTATTAATGTATGATCACATTGATTATTTTGCTGAAAGCTAATTGAATGCGAAAGCTCATAATTGATTTGAAAAATGTCTGTTTTCGATTATCAAAGTTTGTTCTTGACAGATCTTTAGTATGTTATTTAATACTCTGGGATTAAATCTATTATACCTTTGAGCTTAACTGTACTATTATTAGCGTCCCCAACAATCATTATAAGAGCATTTAGTTTCTTGATTTTAAGTTGAACAATGAAGCTTTGCAATTTTCTTATTAGTTTCTGAAAGAGTTAGAGTTGGCAGAGCAGATATTTAAAATATATAGTTCTACATTATTTTTGTGCATTAAACTTACAAATATTCAATTTCATCTAATTTTAATATATGAGAAATGTCTCTGCATATGAATTATTTATGAATGCCTATACTTATTCCTCCGCCTTAAGAAAGTTCGCTAAATAATTTATTAATGAAATCGTATCTAGGAGATGTGTTTATAATCTATCGAGTTTCTTGAAGACAAATTATATGGGGATCATTTTCTTTAATATTTCTAAAGCGGTAGGTTTTAAAGAGGAAATATTCCAACACACTACTGTTATTTAATGATGTTGTGAGTTTCTATTGTTTTTGTTTTAACTAAAATGAATTTAGTTAGTTTGAAGTTATTATTATTATTATTTATGTGTTTATTATTGGGGGGCTTTATTACTAATGCTATCATTTACTCCCCTATAAATTTCCAAACTTAGACAAAATGTTCTTATCAGGGGTTTTTCCTTAATGTCGAGTATATATATGTGAACGGTAGGATTCTAGGTTTTTAAATGGGCCAGAGTTACAATTTTCACATGTGAACGAAGATTCCTTTTGATTTTATGGTTAAGGTGAAAATGGTACATTCTAACTTATTAGAATACTTATTTCTATTCCTTTGGTTACTTAAATATGGCTATTTTGTCACAATGTATATACTAATTTTCTAATTAGAATTGTTATTCTCTTAAAGACTAAACTTCCTTTATTTCACCTTTTTACTATTATTACTTTGACAATTATAAAGAGAAAATTTTAGAATGAAAACAAGAAATACATCATTAAATACCCTTTTCTCTCAAAAACGATAGATATCATAAAATAGAACACCAGATAAACAGTTTGAAAATACCTTTCCATTAACAACAAACAATAATCAAATAAATGAAAGAAGAAAAAAATCATCAGAACTAACCATTTACTAAATTATATAGAATGTAAACTATGGATTCATGGATTCGTAAACTCTTAAAAATTGAGTAGAAGATTTGTTGAAAAAAAACCAAAAAAATAAATAACAATATAAATATCTTTCCTATGCCTCTAGACTTGCAAAAATGTAATATAAGAGTCTTTAACAAAATAAAGAAAAAAATATTTATTTATGGTCGACAAAACAATCATAAGATCAATCTAATTTAAATTCACCACAGATATTCTTTTGATGAGATTTACATCATAAAAGTAATTTCAACTGACACAAAAATACATAAGAATTATATAACCTTTTCATAAATCAAAATAACATAGAACACACAGATTAAAATTAACTAAAAACAATAATCATCTAACTGATTAATTGATCAAAACAATTATGTCAATAATTTAACATATGAAGAACTTTAATAACTAATATAACTTATCTTAGTTTATCTTTTTTTGAACTTCATCTTTTTATAACCGCTTGAGTTTAAGCATGAACTTCTATTTTACATCTTAATTTCATTTTTTTAGGGAATTAATTATACTATATATAGCCATCCTGTAAATATCTTATCTAAAAATATGACAACTTTGCCCTCTACATTTATTTTATTTTTATCCATCAACTAATCATTTCTATTTATCTTTGATTTATTTTGTATATAAGGCCATCTTCAAACTCATAGCAAAAAATTAAGAAATTTTAAATAAATATAAGTTAATCCTAAGCTCATAAATTTTATCTTAACATAATCATGTTTTTTGAATAAGACTTAAATTTCTTCATCAGATTGTTTTTGAAATTAATATAAGTAAGAAATACATTCATCAATATGCTTTTACAGCATACTTCATTTATTTTGGTTTTAAAACTATGTTCAATTTATTTGCAGATAAATCCTCTCTACATCTTTGAGTATTTCAAAAGGACTTTGTCGCATAAATTTAATATCTTAAATTTAATAAAAATTAATAAGTTGTTATTTATAAGGAATTGAAATTATTTAAAAGAATGATTTAGAAATATTTTTCTATTTTAAAGACACTTATTTATATTATCCAAAAAATTTAATTTTAATATAAGAAAATTTTCTATTAAGAACTTGACTAAAATAGAAACAAAAATTTCTATATCAAAAGCTGAAGGAAGATTATGAAATCAATAATTTATACTAAATAGCCTAATTAATTTTTAGAAAAAGTAAATTTAGTTTTTTTACAACTTTAATTGATAAAAATAATTTAATTTTCTGTTTAGTTTATATTTTAAAATAAAGACATCAACATAAATGATATTTTCCTTAAAATAGGTTTTCATATAATTTCCAAATTTCTAACTTCTGTGGTGGGAGTTAGAATAAATATTTATAATTTTTTTGGCACATTAATTGTTAATAAATATTATTACCAATTTTTTTCATGCTTTTTTGTCTTTTTACTATAAATACATTATAGATTTTAGAGCCCATTTATTAATATATGATATCCGAAGACTTAGAGATCGATCTCTTACAATAATCAAATATTGAAAGTGATAATGACTAACCTGAAAATAAAAAACCACCATTAACTTATCATAAAATTCGTGTTAGTACTAAAATTAAAAGAGGAAGACCGCCTTAACCAAAAATAAAGGCTCCAATATCCAAAACTTAAAATACAGAGGAGAGAAAATCTGATGAATGCCCAGATATTATAATGATAGGATCTTCAAAAGCTAAAATGGCCAAAGCAAATACTATAATGAAAAAGATCAAGAAAAAATTTACATCAAAGTAACATAAGAAATAGGCACCAGAAAGAATAAAAAAGGTTTAGAAACCGCTCAAAGCAACCACAGATAAGACATAGGCAAAGTTTCAATCAGTAGTTATGAGTTTCAAAACATTTCTCAAAGGACTTAGGGAAAATATGTAAAGAGCTTTAGATGAAGGGGACAAAATACTTAAGGAAATTGAATGATGATTCTAATAATAGAGGCATTTTATACAAAAGTAATTCTGTTTACCATAAGTTTATTATATGAAATTAATATTACTTTTATCAAAATCTTCCTTAATTATCTTAGATGACTTTTTATTTCTATATTTCTCATATTTTATTAATTGTATATATAAATTTTATTATAACTGAGATCAATTAATATAATGAACTCTAGTAAAACTAAATCATAAAAAAGGAAAATGAGCCTAAAGCCATATGTTTATCCAAGATGTTATGAAATATCAGAATCATTTGAGAAAGAAATGATCAATAAAATATAATATTTCAATTCTAACTAAAGGGAATCTAGAAGACACACAATGGCTGAAACTTTTAGAGAATTGGAAGAATAAGGATAAGACTAAAATTAATCTTCAAAGTAGTATAAAATAGAAGATGAGAGTAAAACAAGATTAAGTTTGTTTTCAAGAATAAATAGACTCAAGTCTTTTATAAGTGATAAATCGAAACCTAATTCCATAACTGATAAAATTTCTGCCGAGGCTGAATAAGTTTGTATTTCAAAAAGTCTAATATGTTCTCATAACTCTTAAAATTCATATTAAAGATTAAAAAAGCTATATTAAACAGAATTGAAATCATGTGCTTAATCTATTGACAGAAGTTAAGATTTAAATTAGGCCAATCTCTCTAAATCTAGGGTTTAAGGAAAAAAAAGAGCATCCCTTTAATTAATGGATGCTACAAATTTTCATAACTGTTCAATTTATGAAAATTAACCTTAAGAAATTACAGGTGCAGATGAATTTTATGAATAAAATAAATCATCAAGAGCAAATAGTTTTCAAAGAGCGAATTCAACAAGAAAAAAATAAACTAGCTTAACTTTTAGAAATTAAACTAATAAATTAAATTTTAGTCTTTTTACAAAACTTTAGTAACTAAAATAAAAAAAAAAAGACTAAAGACTATCATTTATGGTTTTTGCCGACTATCAATATTTTTGATTTGTTTATTTATAATAACATTACTCTCTAATTTATCATATATATGTATATAGAATAATGAAATAAATTATTAATTGTTGTTTATAAACAACCTAGTATTCTATATTTCAAGAATTGATATATTTACAATATATATTTTAGTAAAGAAAAGAGAGACACAAAATTGCATTTTGATAATGTTAATGAATATTAATAACAATAATTGTTGATAAGTGACTATCATCTTGATTATTGAATTTTTACTTTTAATCTTGTGACAGCTTAAGAGGAATATAAATTATAATTTAGATTTTTCATTTTTATGATCATTTAGACTTAATTTTGAGTTTTTTAATAGAGCATATTAAAGAGTTCAAGAATATTAAGGTTTGCTTAAACTTTTTTGGTTTATAGACTTACTTATTTAAAAGGGATAAATCTTTTTCAATTTATAGGGAATAATAATAGAAGATCATAAACCTAGAAGATTAATTTATGTACTGGAATAATTAGAAAATTGACACGACCAAATTGTTATTATAAACATTCATAAGATGGTTTTGAATTTAGGAATTCTAATTTGCCAATCAAGATCTCAGAAAAGTTATAATAAAGTGATTGCATTTTTAAAGAGCAAAATTATTGATTCATAAAAATTATTAATAATACTTGATTTAATTTATTCATTTCTATAATAATAATTCTTACTTATCTATTTTTACATCTCCATCTAGAGTGTATATAAAAACTTAAATTTTTTCCTTTTTAAATTCTAAAATTAAAAATGATGGAATTGATCTATATAATGACTTTATTATACTTTTATTATCCATTAAAACCTCCTGTAACAGATCCAGGATTAAGAATATACTTTTTCTCTACAGTTGAAACCTTAGCAACACCAGTATATCCTGTAATAAGCACATCTGCTTCCATCTCTTTTAAAAATGTATATAATGACTCATTATCTCCAGCAGGGACAATCTAATCGATGAATATTTTAGTTTTACTTGATGACCATGAACTAAAGCTAACTTCCATGAACCAATCTATATGATTTTTGTTTCAGGAATATCTTTTGATTCATCAAAATCACCTTTTACTAAATGGGTATTTCCAGATAATGTTTTTAGCCAATCTGTAGTTTCTCTATTCCCAACATTTCCTGTGCAAAATACATATTGAACTTTATTGGGAACTAAAAGATCCTTAAATTAAGGAGGTAACTCGGAAGCCCTTGATGGGATGTTAAAATCACCAATCACTAATCCAAGCTACCTATTTTTTTAAATTTTGCACCTCTCCAAATTCTTCGTCATATTCGTCTGCCATATAGAAAAATTACAAATTTATAAAATATTATAGATAAATGAAATTTTAATTTTACAAAATATCAATTTTTAATCATTGATAATTCAGACATAATACTTTAAAGTAGAACTCTCTTCAAATAGAAATTAAACACTTATATGATCTTTTTTTAGATTTTATTATTTTTTCGATCATTAATTTTGATTACATTTAAAAATTAATGATCCTCAATTAATTTTTAATAAAAAATTGTTAGGAATAGAATTTATAAAAAAATATTTCTCTCACATTTATTTAATCATTAGATTTAAATTATTCATTCAAGCAATCTTATTTCACATTTGAACAAACCTGCTGCAAAATGATATTATCCATCAGGATTGACTTTGAATGTAAATTACTAATGTTATTTATATAAATTATTACATGGCTACTTCCTACTTTGAGAATAGTGACAGCATGTTCAGGCCCATTCCAAGTTAGAATAATCTTGTCATTTTAATCAAATGTAAAACCGGCTTTCTTACTATTTATTGATAAATCATTTGAACTAAAAACATCTAATATTAAGAGATTCTTCTACATCCTCCATGATAGAGCAGATATAACCCATGTCCTGATTCATTCCAATCATGAAAACTGAATGCTTTTCTACCTCTTTACTTTCTTTCATTCATATCTACAACTCCAATATAAAGATTCTAATTATTAAATATTACAATACTCCAGCTCTTTCTTTTACATCAATAGTGAGACTCTATACTTGATCTTTTTCCAATATTTATTAAATGCAAATCAATCCCATTGCATTTCCTTTTTCATATGCTGCATCTTCTCTAATTGTAATAGAACTTGCTTTAAAACTTTGACTCCAAGCAAAGTGCATTCTATATAGGTGATTATGAATTACTTTTATAATATCTAAGGACTTTATAGATGTTAAATATGCATATAGCTTGAAATTGTTACATTTCCTAAGGTTTTTAAGGCTGTATCTGCTTATGTACTTAGTTCTTTTAGAATTATGTCATTCTCTCTTTTCCATTTTTCCAAGACTTTTTAAGGGCCTAATTTATTGAATTTAAGGACATGCATTAATCCTTAAATATTAAGTTGTTAAGGTGGATTTTGTTCATTTAATTAACTCAAAGTTTAATTAATGGAAGCTTTATCAGCACCCAAAACATCATATGCTTCGATAGTTCTAAAGATTCATAAAGAGTTACATATACTTGATTAGATTTTCTTCAAAATTTTTGACAGATTCATGCATTTATACTGATCTAGTTTAGATTGCTTTGATTAATTCATCCTTGTTAAATAATTGATTAATTTATTCTCGAATTTATTATGGAAATTATGCACGAATTAGTTTTTAGAATTCAGAGTATAATTAATGATCATGAGATTTATGAGGATGATTTTCATTTTTTGATTTGAATAATCTATTTGATTAATCACATTTTGGATCAATACAAATATATTATTTTTCTTGATTTTCTTTTGTTTCTGAGTTATCCATTTTTATATTAATTTTTATATAAAAAACATATATAATAAGAACTATTATAGAAAATTAATTAATTCTAAGAATAAAATTATATGTCAACAAAATAAATTAATTTTGAATATTTTATCAACATCTATATTCTGTAATAATCCAAATAGCATGATTTCAACTGAAAATATTACAAATAATAAAATAAATGTAACTTTTTTTGTTTTTTCATTTATATGACGAAAATGAATAAATATTGATATACCAAATCCATTAATTATTCCTCCAATAACTATACCAATATTTGTATTTTGAGTTTCTAAAATGGTTAAAAAGTTTAAAATTAATAGTATACAATAAAGACCTATGATAGCTTTGGCATTTTCCATTTCATGATATTTCTTAATTAGATTAGACCCATAGAGGACTAAGATAGTAAAAATGATTCCACAATTTCCTGTTGTGATAGAATTTTTATAAATCAATGCTGAGAATATTAAACCATAGATTCCTGCATTTAAATATATGCAAATAACAAACTTTCCTAACATATATTCTAATGTATAGGCTTCCATTGTAAATGTAATTACAAAAATGATTGCATTGTAGATACTCCCAAAATACAAGGTCCCAGTAATATATCTATAGAACTCATCTTAATTCCAAATGATTAGTACATTCATAAATTACATCAGCTGCATAAAATGCACCCAATTCATATAATACACATCCAAAATATTTATATCCTGAAACTTTATAATAGATGTATTGACATATATAATTTAAAGTTAATAACAATGCAATTACAGATGTCAAAGATCTTAATTAAAAGTTAGGAAAGAGTATCTCCTAAATAGATTATGGAATTTGAATATTATCTCTTGTTTGATCGAGTCTTTGATTAAAAAAAGGTTGATCACTTTGAGAGATATCTATGAAAGATATTATTTATTTAAACCATTTGGATTTGTTGTTCTAATTTTTAAAGTAGTAATGTCACTAACTCTTTTTTGCATTAATTAGTTTTATGATTTATTAAATATAATATTTACAGTTGTACTAATGACTCACTTACCAAAGATAAACCAAGAGAATACTTTATTTGATTGTAGAGGTAAGATGTAACTATATAGATAGAGCTTAAGTCTCAATAATCTGAAAATGTTATATTTGATAAAACGACGAAAAGTATTAATTAGCATTCATATAGAGGTTTTGTTCTAAAAGTTGGACCTTCTAATTTATTCACTTACCATAATTCCGATGATGTATATATTAAAGGATCTAAAATATACATTCAAATTTATTTGATTGAAAAACTTAAATTTATACTTGAACTTTCCAATAAATAAGAAGTAATTCTCTGATACTTATAGATTAAAGTATTTTAGAATAGTAGTAAGTCCAAATCTCCAGTAAGCATATAGTAAAAAGTTAGAAGAAGTAAAGATATCAAGTGCTTTTATATTAACCAATAAATGGATTAGTCTCTCTTTTGATATTGAAAGTTTCTTTAAAGATGTAGAACTTTAATTCAAAATGTTAAGTATTCATTCTCTTTGTAGATTAAAGAAGATCTATGAAGGTAATCAACTAAATAATATTAAGTATATTAATTTACTAATTTAGTGATGGACATTGCTTAATTTAGAAGATTTGTGAGAAGAGAATATTAGAACTATTGCCAAACAGTATCAGAGCATAATCAGAAAAGACAGATATAAGAAAAAATCAATTAGGTTCTTAATAATAGAGACGTCTATCAACAATTTCTAATTCTTAAGAAAAAATAGTATAAACAGAATCAGATAGTAAAAAATATTCGATTAAATAAAAAAACTTAAACTTTTAAGAATTACCAAAAAATGTACATTTAGGATTGAAAACAAAGTCATAAACATAACCTTTAAATTAAAATTTAAAAAAATAACAAGTATCATTACATTAGAAATAATTATCCAATTAAAAAAATCAAATTCAAACAAAAAGTTTATCATAACAATAACCATTATAATCTTTATAAATTCATAATTAAGGATTAAATTAAAAAGGATAATTATCTTAGATTTCATCAAATAGATCAAAAAAATTAACATAAATTGGTGGAAATTTAACTAAATAACTTTCTTAAGAATGTTTACTTGAAAAAACAATTAAATTGGCAACTGGTTTATAAGTCATAGAAGAAGTAAATATAAATAAACCTCCAGTTTATGCAAAATCTAGTTCAAATAAATTTACAGCTTAAACTTAGTTATAAAAGAAAGCTGTTTAAAGTTTTCTTCGGCATACTTAAGAATTTTAAAATGGTAGTCATTTTTCACATGAACCTTTTGATGATAGTAAGACTGATAACGAATTAGGTTATAAATATTCATAAGTAAGTTAAGGAGTTAAAGATTTGTATTATGAAGGTGATAATTCTGAATATTAAACAAAATATGGAAAATTTTCAAGTACATTTACAAGACCTTTAGGATTATCATCTTATAATCATCGATTATCTTCATAATAATCATAGAATTAATAATAAGGAAGCACAAATGAACAATTTTATTTAAGTAGTCAATAAGTAGAGTAAAATTTTAGTCCAAATCAAACAGCAAATGAAATAGAAGAGTAAATTGATGCTCCTGAAATTAAAAGTAAGATGACAGATGATAGTTTTAATTCTATTAATGGATTATAAATAAAGCAAGAAGATAGTTCAGAAGATTTGGCAGTTTCTAAATTCGAATGAAAGTATTTTTGTAATAACTATTTTTTTATTTGATAAATATATATATATATATAACACATTCATTCTTTAAAAAAATCAATTGGATTGATCTAATATTTTTTATAATATGATATCATGCATAGTATCCTTTAAATAATATATATATATATATTACTAAAGTTTCTTCTAAATTATGTAAATTGATAGGTAAAAGTATACATTTGCTTCTTTATTTTAATAATTCATTCTAAATAGATTGAAATTAATTTAATTTTTCTTCGATTAAATCTTTTGGTATTTTTTTACTCATATTATTTTCTATATTATATAAATGATCATTTCTAGATAATATTGGTAAGAAACCTAGAATCATTGAATGTGATTAATCCTAATAAAATATATATATTCTATTTATTTACAATTTTATCCAAATCTTTGCATAATTTTAATTGTTTTTAATATTATTATTCATTTTCTAAATCTTAATCAGGTTATGGAAAGATGATTTTAAATTGTGTATTTAATTTTTTTTATTAATTAAAAAGCAATAAATCTTTTCTTTAAAGTTTTTTGAGTTTAATATCATTTTAGGTGAAACTTGTAATTAATTATAATTATTATTAATCATCTTCAAAATCTTATTAATCAATAGCTTATAAATAATATTCTGGCATTGCTGCACTTCCTTCTATAATTACTGCTTTGCCTTCAGATAAACATTTAGATATATCAGTTGATACACCTCTTCTAATCAATCTGCAATTCTCTTAATTAATTATAATTCTTTTACTTTCTTAAACTTAGTAATGAAATTCTCATTATCATTATATATGAATTATTCTGGATTTATACTTCTCATAACCATTTCAACAATATCAGTTTGCAATACATTAGAAATATTAAGTCTTTCTGCTAAGTTATTAGCTAATAGAGATTTTCCAATACTTGGGGCACCAAAAATAATAATGATCATAGGTGTTCTGTGTCGATAAAAACTACGATTTTTTGATTTAGTACTTTGAAACCATTAGATATTTTTGGATGTTATTCTAATATCCAAATTTATTCATTGTCTAAAATATAATAGCTTCTAATTCATTTGAATTAATTTCAAGAGAATTCCTATCTATTAATTATTTTTTAATGTCTTTGGCAATTTAGATAGCATCTAATTTTTTTATTCTAGATAATGTTAACATTCTGCTTATCATAAAACGAGAGAATATATAAAAGTGTTCATCTAATCTAACTTTGATCTTAACTAAATCTAAAACATTATCATTTTTTGTTATTGTTGATATCTTTCTTTCATTTACTTCTTGCATCATATTTTTTAAATAATTAGAATTTTATTATTCAATTAAAATTATTTTATATCATGAATTCTCTTAATTTGGATTTCTAAGATTTTCAGTTTCAGATTCATGACCAGGAATCTATAATTAATAATTAGGATTTTTCTTAGAAATATATATAACAAGAAATCCCAATATTGTATCTGGTATTTAACTCAGTATTAATCTAATTATTAATCCTCCAAATCCAAAAGCAATGCAAATTAACCTAAATATTTATAAATTAAAAATACCATTATTCAATACAAAGTCCATTAAATGAATAACAGTGAAATACTATTCCTCCAAATGTAATCATAATTATTTACAAACTAAGGATACCCAAAAAGATAATTGGAAATAAAATATTGCTAAATATTCCTTATAAAATATTCAGTTCATCCTAAATTCTTCTAGCATTTATAAAATTGAATAATTGCATCATTACAAAAGTGTTGAAGATAACAGTAAATTATCTAGAAGGAATATATGTTTTTTTATAAAAGGAGAGATAGTTTTCTGATCCATTTATATTATATTCTGTATTGTAAGAAATGAGATTACAATAATCTTAATGATTAGGACAGATGTGAAGTTTGTTATTCACATCAAAATAAGTATTAGAATATTTGTATTGTAATTTATCAAAATAATCTTATGATTCATCTTCTTATCCTTTAAATTCAGGAATAAAGGTATGAGCATAGAATATAAGTATTAAAATGATTATAATTTGATAGATAGCTTATCCTATAATATGTTTGAACATTTTGGGACATATTAGGCTTTCATTTCGATTATAATATTATCTCTTTAATAAACCTTAATATGGAGTTTCTGTAGCCAAAGATAAAGATGCAAATGAATCTATTATTATATTAATCCAAAGCATTTATATTGGTTTAAAAACTTCTTATTTAATTAAAATAGAAGATGATAGAGTTATAATTACTACAACAATAATAGCTGTTAATTGGAATTAAATGAATTTCTTAATTGAATCATAAATATTCCTACCCCATAATACAATTTTGACAATTGAACTAAAATTGTCATCTAACAAAATAATTGAGGCACTTTCCCTTGCTATTTCAGTAGCAGAAATGCCTAAAGCAATACCTACATCAGCCTTATGTAAAGATGGAGCTATAATAAAAGTAAAATAACTATTATACCATCGTTGGTACCATCTCCTGTAACAGCTACAACATATCCTCTTTCTTAAAGACCTATAACAAGTGCATACTTATCCTCAGGTCTACTTCTAGCCAAAACATCTAATTTAGGATAAACTTTATCGAATTCTTCCCCATTTTCGATTGTATCTACTCTAATTTATTTGGTTAGTAATTTAGCATTTGATTAATCTCTTGGACAATCACAAACAGATGTTCGACACCATTTACAAACTATTCCTCCAATTCTTTAATTAAAATCATATCCTTCTAAAACGAGTGATTGATTTTCATCAATTAATATACCACAATCTTTGGCAATAGCTTTAGCAGTAATTTTATTATCTCCAGTAGTCATTTTTACATTGATTCCAGCAATTTATAAATCTGTAATAGCTTATGGTGTTTCAGCTCTTAAAACATCTTTAAATCCAACAATAGCAATTAATATAAGATTTTCAGTCTCAATATCATAAACTTCATGTTCATTTTTACTTACAAGATCTTCATTACCATTAAGTTCTTTATATGCTAATCCTATTGTTCTTATAGCTTAAAAATTCATTTATTCTGAGAAATCTTCTATTTATTTTCTAATAGTAGAATCAATAGGAATGATTCCCTTAGATTTAGAATGTATTTTATTACAACAATTTAAAATAATTTCAGAACTTCCTTTAATAACTAATCTTTTGTCTCCTATAACCCTTGACATTCTTTTTCTTCTACTTGAAAATGGCATATTTTAAGTTGATTCATGTAAATCTCTTTCATTTTAATAATTGAAACCACATTATTCAATAAATAAAATCATAGCCACATCTGTTTAACTACCTCTTTCTTAAGGTCTAATTTCAGCTGTTCCATTGACAATAGATGATTAAATGAATAATTCATGCATTTGATGAGGTAAATACTTATTTAAATTTAATTTCTCACTATAAACATCAATATCCATTTTATTATCATTCCATATATTAACCATACGTAATTTATTTTATGTTAATGTTCCTGTTTTATCTGAACAAACAATATTAATATCTCCCAAAATTTCACAAGTAGATAACTTTCTAACTAAAATATTGTCCTTTAACATTCTTTTTACAGAAAATGCAATACAAAGTGTTAAAGCAACTGGAAAACCATCAGGAATGGAAATAATTATTATAGTAATTGGAACAATGCTTAAATTAAGTATTTCTTTTATATGTTCCTTTTCAAATGAATCTTCTATAATTCTCTAAAATATAAATCGAGATAGCAAAATAAAAAATATTATTACTGAGAAAATCAGTCCTAACTTACCAATACTTTAAGCAATAATTTCTAATTTAAGTTATAAAGGAGACTACTATACATCTTCTGTTTAAAATAATGATGAGATTTTAGCAATACAACTTGATTCTCCCACTACAGCTGCTACCATTTTACATTCCCCTGATAATATTCTTGTACCACTCAACAAAACTGGAGATGGAATATCAAATTTGGTTAAACAATTCTTTTCATCACTCAATTAATCTCTTTTGTATTTACAATTCTTATACGTATCTTTTTTAATTGACTCAGTTTCACCAGTTATTGAACTTTCCTTTATATATTTATATAAATATTATATACATCAACTTTCAATTATTCTGCTTCAATAACAAAACCATCTACTGGAATTTACATTCCTTCAAATAAATAAATTATATCTCCAATCATTATCTGATTTTAATTTAATTAAATCTTTTCTCCATCTCTCAAAACTATAACTGTCTATAGAGTATCTTTTCTTTCATCTAAATTTTAGAATTACTTTTCCTTCTAGTAATCCTAATTATTGTACTTATTTATACATATATTGCTGTAACATTGCAACATAAAAATACGGCAATAAATAAAGAGAATCCCTCTATCCAAGCTAAAGAACGACAATTTTCATCTGCAGTTATAACTCCTATTATAATCTATAATATAGAAGCCACCAATAATATTTGTATCAAGTAATCCTATAATTATTCTCAAATTAAACTTCTAAATTTGATTAGACCATTTAAACGTAAGTTTTTTTTGAAGAATTTATAATACTTTGATTAGTTCCATAAAATAAATTTCTCTCTTTAAAATCATCTCCTTTTAGACCTTTTTCAAAATTTGTTTGTAATCCACTTTCTATACCTTCCATACCCTCAATATTTTCTAATTCATCAATTTCTTCTGCAAATTATCTTTCTTAAGCTGCACTCACTATTTTCACTAGAGTTTATTTTGATATCCTTTACTTTTGGCCTTAAAGTGAGATATCTTAAGACAATGATAAATTTTATTCTTCAGATAATACTTCTTGCATCTTTAAATAATTATTAATCTTTTTTAATATAATCAAGAGATAGGGACTAAAACAATTATTAATTTGTACATTATATTTATATAATATACTTTAACTTTATATTTATTTGATGTATATACTCTTTACTCATCTTCTTGGTAAACGAGTGACCTTATTCTTCTTCTTTCTTTTAAAATTTGGATCATTCTTTTCCATTCCTGCTTTCACTTTTTTAGATTTAGATATTGATTCATCCACCAATAGATTGTCAATTTATAAATTCTCGGATAGATGGAAATATCTTATGTTATTTCCTATTCATATTAATTATCTTTTTCTAAACCTCTAATTGTTAATTAATCTAATCCAACAGGATTCTTTCCTTTTAATGTTAATTTCACTTTGCTCAAATGAGTATTCATTCTTACATCTACTCCAGTTATTGTACCTAAAACTACTGTGCCATTCTTTAATTCCACAATAACCTACTCATTTTTGAGTTTCATAAGAAATCTGACTAATTTCATAAATAATATTTATCTACAATAGTTTTAATTATTATATTATACATATATATCATTTCAATACCAAAATTTCATTGAAAATATCTAATATTTCTTGAGTTTATTGATCCAATTATCTATCTATATAGTTTAGTAATTTAATTTACTAATTTTTTAATCTTTATTTATTTATAAGTATTTAATAAAATCTTAAATTCTATGTAATCAGATATTATTCAAGTTATTATAATTAATTACTATTGTAATAATAAATATCAATTATTCAGCTAAATATAAATTTTAATGTATTTATTTAACTTATTCTTATATATTTAATTGATATTCATTTTTCTAAATTGATTTCATATTCATATTATATATTTAAATATATGTAGCTTACTTATATTTCTTTATTGAATAATTTTAACATTAAATTAAAATGTAAACTTTATTTTGTGAAGATAAGGAACATTTAGATAATCCTCTCAATTTATTTTGTTTAGAAGTTGATTGTTAATAAAAAGGATTGATTTGTTCATTTTGTTTATTAAAATCTCATCAAGATCATGTTAAGAATGTATTCCCACTTAAAACAATCATTTAAAGTCTTAATAAAGCTAATAATCCTAAAAATTAATAAGAATTACACAATAAGGGAAATGAAATATTTGGAAAACATCATAAAATTAAACAAACCTTTAGATAAAACTTAATTGAAATAAAGGAAATCCTCAACAAACTAGAAAGAGAAATAGAGAAATAAATTAAATTACTTGATTTGGAGGCAGATTTATTTGTTGGTGATGCATTTGAAAAATCAATATCAATGTTGAATATGGAAAAATTAACAAAAGTTTAGATAGAATCAGCAATTGAAAAGATAGAACCTCTTTTAAAAACATGTGATGGATAAATATGGATATTGAGAGATACTGAAGTTAATTAATAAGCTCAAAAACTCATAAAGACAGCAGAAGTGATTGAAAGAGAGAGTAAATATTGGTTAGAGAAAGTAATAAATTTGAGTATCTTCTTATTAGTGTTTGAATGATTTGAAAAAATTATTTGAAACTTGTTAAAATCCAATAAAAAAATAAATTAAGATATTAAGTAGTCAAAATAGATATCAATTGACTTATGAATAATGGAATTTGAAAGAAACTGATGCCATTTGTTTAAGATCTAAAAAGAAACATGATATTTGGCTTTCTGGTGTAGGATTATATGAAATTACAACTTGGCCAGAATCAGAGTTATCATTTTAAGTACAAATATTTGAAGGATCAAATCTTAATAGGTATTATAATTATTTTAATTAGTAAAAAAATAATTTACTAAGATAAGTTTGTTATTAAGAATGACATGGAATTTGTAAATCATATTGGCAAATTGTATTTCACAAAGGCAATTAAAATTGAATATGATAAACCATATACTATTGGTATTTTCTATTAATTAAGATATAGCTTTGACACCTAATCAAAGTTGCTTAAGTTATTATGGAGCTAATGGAAAATTTGAGACTGATGAATTCTAATTTGAAGAACCTAAATTTAATCAAGAATATAGTGATAATTCAACAACTATTAATTAGGGTGTAGTTCCCTAATTCTTTTACGAGGAGTGATGTATACTCAAAAAATATTAATAATGTATCTTATATTTATTCATCTCAATGCAAGGCAACGAGAGTTCTTAGATTCTCTATTTCAGCAGCCATGATTGTCACTAAGCATAACAAATCAGATAGTCTTCTATCATCTTTTGATAAAGGTTATCCATTTGATTACAATAATCCTCCATTCTATAATTATTAAACTTATTATTATAATTATTGAACTTATAATTAAAGTTATTATTCATCATTACCATTAGATTTTATTGGAAGAATTTCAGGCCTAATAAATTATAAATATCATATATACTTTGAATCTTTCAACCTCTTTAATTCCATAGTCAACAAAGCAATCTTATTTTCATACTCACTAACTTGATCTTCAAGTTTAAGATTTTCATTTTATAATTATTCTAATTTACCTTAAGCAGGATCATTACCCTAACTTCCAGTTCTTTTCAATATTTCAGGAGATGCAGCTTGAGATTATAATTATTTTGCAGCTTATTGTAAACGTTCATTTTCAGCTTACATAATCATGATTTTAGTTAAAAGTGCTTCAGTATCTTATTTATTCTTTTTTTCTTTTAATTAAGCTAAATTAACTCTAGCTAATTCAGCTCTTAACATTTTGAATTATTATTCATATCTTCTTAATAATTCATTTAAATCCTCTATTTCTTTATTTTTTTCATCCAATTAATTCAATAAATTATCATAAGCTTCTCTATCAATAACATTATCTTAATTAGATGCAGCTAATTCCTTAAGTGCTTCTTATTCTTAAGCTAATTCTATTAATCTTTTTTATGCTTCATCATGATCTTCTTCCATTTATTCAATATCATTATTTAATTTTTAAACTTATTCTTTTAATTTATTTTCTTAATCTTATAATAATTTATTTTAATGTTCTTAATCAGAACAGAGTTTATGATAATATTCACATAATTCTCTTTCATCATGTAATTTATCAATTAAATCTTGAATTTAATTAAGTAAACGATTCCTTGTTTTTTCCAAGTCTTCAATTTAATCTTCTAAATCTGTAATCTTATCTTCTAAATCATTTAATCTATCTTAATCTTTTTCTTTATCAGCTTCTTCCTAAGCTTTTTCATCTGCTAAATTTTGAAGTTATTATGTAGCTTCCAAAGCAGCAGCTTATGCTTATTCTTTTTCATCATTCAAATCTTATAATTAATCATTAACTCTATTAAGTTCATCCTCTTACTCTTTAAGAGATTTTTATAAATAATCCTTATCTAATAAAGCTTCATTCAATTAATCCTATAAATCATTTAACTAATTTTTGAGATCATCATTTTCAGTTTAAGCCAATAATAATTTTTCTTTTAAGGCAGCAAGTTCATCTTATAATTATTTAATTAACTTTTTGGCTTCCTCTAATTATCTATCTAATTCATTTGATTTCTTTTTAAGTTCATTATTATCCTTTTCAGCATCCTTTAATTTTTAAGAAGTCTAGGTTAATTATTATTATGCTTATTCTGCTTATTTAGCTTATCTATTTTATTTGGCTGCAGAAACTGATCCATTATCACTTAATTATTCTAATTTAGTATATTGAAATTACTTTGTAAATTATCATTCAATTATTTCTCTCTTTCAATACCAGATGCAACATCTTAATTTAATTTATCTATTAATGCATTTAATCTATCAATTTCAGCCTTCAATTACTCAACTAATTATTCTAATTCTCTAATTCTCCTTTAATTTTTAGCATCATTATCTTTGGCTGCTTATGTTGCTTAATTCTTTGCATCTGCTAATTATGATAAAGTATCTTTAAGCTTATCTTTAGCATCCTATAATTATTATTTTAATAATGCTAATTAAGCTTCTAAATCTCCTATCTTCTTTTTTAATTTATCAATTTCCTTGTCTTTATCAGCTAATTCCTTCTTTAAACGTTCCAAATCTCGCTGAATTTCATCTGGTCTTTTACCTTATAACTTTCCCTCAAATTCAGCTAATCTCCTTAATAAGTCCTTGATCTCTCTATCCTTGTTCTTGATATCATAATCTTTTTCCTTAATAATCTACTCTTTCTCTCTACGATAATTATTGAATTTTTCATCAGCATCTTTTAATTGTCTTCTAAGTTCAGCAATCAAATCATCTTTATCAGCAAGTAATCCTTCATAAAAAGCTTTTTAATCTTCCTATAAAATACAATTAGATTATATTATACCCTATCTTTTTAATCTCTTTCTAATTAATCTTTGAGATCATCTAATTCTTTGGCAACCGCTTCTTATTATTCCTATTTCTCCTCTAGATTATTTTCTTCAACAAATTGCTTTAAATCTGCTAGTTCTGCATCTTAATCAGCTTATCGTTATTTAAGCTACTTATTTTCTTTTGTCAAATCTGTTACCAAACTATATATTAATTATAAATCTAACATACCCTTGTAGTTAACGAAGACGTTCCATTAGATCTTTAATCTATTGTTCATAATTAGCTCTGTCAAGTTGTCTTGCTAAGATCTCCTGCATTTCCACTTTCAATTACGTATTTTCATCTAATAATCTCTAAATCTCAATGACCATTAAGAAACAAGCCACATCTGTCTACAAAGGATGGTCCTTTGAACTTTCATAACGTGGGCGGATCATTTTAATATAAATAGTGCAAATAAATTTTATCTCATATCTCTTTATTATCCCATTATTATGTGAGAGATTATAAACACCTTAAACTTAATTCTTAATTAAAATTGAAAATACTAATTCACTCAAATCTGTACAATTTTCAAGTTAATACTAAATGTTAACAATTCATTTCTTTCAATCTCTTAGCAAACCTAATAATAATAATCTAAAATTTACTTATCATAGAAATAGATCCAAAAGTTTTAGAAATGAAATACTATCCAAATTGCTTTTTAAATTCAGTTTCCTTTTAATATATTATTACTATAGTTTTGTAATAATTATTTAATCAAGAAAACATTCTCTATTGTAAGAAATAATTATTAATATTATTGGATTAGATGGATATGCAATATTTTGATCTATAATATTTTTATTATAATCTTACGACTTTGTTTTTGTATTACTTTATTTGATTAACTAATTTATACAATCTAAATCATGTAATTTATAAAAATTAAATTGATACATATATGATATCAATTATCTTTCAACATAATTTTAAGATATAAATATAGATAAAAATATAATAATAAAAGTTAAATCATCATTATTATTCTTAAATTTCTTATCTTTAGTTATTTATTCTTGCTTATATTAATTCATTTGCTCTATTTGGTTCATAGATAGATTAATTTTCAATATGTTATTCTGCTTACAATTATTAGTTGTTTACAAATTGTGAGGCTGATTATTCTTATGAATAAGATATAATCTCAATTTCTAGATTTTGTTACTCTTACTAAACTAAATAGGCTTAATTGATATCATAAATTATTCCTTTATATTCTTTATATACTTGATACAACATTATAGATTCAAATACATAGATTAAAGTAGAGAAAATCTAAATTTTGATATGAAAATATACCAATAGTAATGTGAATTTCTTATTAACATCAATAAATAAGGGTAGTTTATATTCAAGAAACTACAAAAAGAAGATTGTATTCAAATATATCAATGAGAATATATAAAACATTGTAAACAAAGCCAAACAATAATTCTAATATTTTAGTCTAGTTTCATACTTTTTGACAATAAGTAAGCATCATCATAGATACATTTAAACAATCAGATAAAAAAAAGGCTTCTTAATTTCTTACAAAAATTCTAAAAAATATCAACACAAATTGAATGGCTATTAGAAATTTAAGCATTTTATTGATTATGTAAAATGATTGCTTAGGTTAGTAATTCTCAAAACGAAAGTTATAGATATCCATTAAATTTATAAAAATATATATATGCATATTTAATGTTTCATAATTTTAATCCTTTCTCTTTATAAAATCTTTTGGCTTCCTCAACTTCTTTTTATAATGATTAAGCTTCTTCAGGATAATCCTTTAATCTTGCTAAATCTCCTCCTACTTTAAAAAGTGCATATGAGAAATATAAAATCAAAGCATATGTTGGCATAGATTTGGCAACTTCACTAATTTTATATTTCTAATTACTTAACATATCCATTTGATAAGAATAGTGTAATTATCCAGATAATTGTTGATATTGAAAATGCTGTAAAGAGATTCGTACCTCTACTCATTTATTTAATTATTAAAATTATTCCAAAATTCAATGTTCTTTTGTTTATATTAGATTAAGTATAGTGTATGTGTTTATTTTATAATTAATTATTTTTAATAATGAATGTTATGGATTTGCTAAGAGAAAGAGCACAAGATATTCGTAATCTATAGAACAACCAAGTCTAAATTAAGTAAATAAGTATGCTCCAAAATTTGATTTTCTGAGTATAGGGAGAAGATTAGATAAATAATCGAAACTGATTCCATGAACCAATTATATTAAGCCAAAAAGCTTAATTAGAATGATCTATTACAATTTCAAGAGGCCATTAAATTCATACTTAAAATAATTGCAGTTAATTTTGAAGTTAAATGACATTTATTATAATTAGTTACTTAATTTAGAACCGACGTTGGCTTCAACAACTAAAAATTTAATTGATCTTTATTTATACTATGGTTTACCTTCTAAAGCAGATCAATTATAAAATGAAATATATAATCAGAGTAAACAATCCATATTTTTAATTTTGTTATAACATTTAATAGACATAACAAGAATGGCCTTAGAATTCACAATCAAAAGATAAACTAATTTAAGAATCTTTTGTGTAGGAAAAGAAATCGATAAGAAAAAATCAACATCTAACCCTCCAAAAAGATTGAATTTTAAGAGTGTACAAAGGAGTGAATCAAATACATAAGAGAAAGTAATATAATCTAAATAATCTATACATCATTTTGAAACATAATCACCAAATGAATCTCCAGCAAAGACTTAAAGAATTTTAGAAGAAATTTAAGCAACTTCTAGAGACAATTCTGTTATAAGATGTCATCAAATAAGATAAACTGAAATAATTACTAAAACTCTTTTGCCAAGTATTTATTAACCAAAATTTAATTAATAATCTCTCTTTCGATAACTAAAATAAAGAAACCTAAGCATTTAAAATACTATTTAATCCTACATTAAATAAATTAATGACAAAAATATTACTGATTTATGATATATATAATTTAATAACAACTTTCTCATTTATTATTATTATATCTTTAATAATTATCTTCAAATTATTAATCTATATATCTTTATTATAATAATTTTTATTTATTATTTTCATATAAATAATTTAATTCATTTAAACTAATAACTTTATATGAAATATATTTCAATTATAATGAATAAATTACATCACATTTAATATCGGCAATAAAAAAAATAATTTGATTTTTAACCAAACGATCTAAAAGCAAAAAATAAAAAATCACTAATCAATGAACTTATATCATTCATCATGAATGACATTAAATGAAACAAGATCAATAAATTATCATTGCTTAAATTATTTAATAGATAAAATTATAGATAAAATAATCATGTGAAATGAAATCTATTTGAATATATTTAAAATTTGAAAGATTATGTCAAATTTATATTATGATGAATACTAAGTTAATTTTTGATAAAGTCATTCAATAATATGATCGATATCATTTCTTAGTTTATGATTGTCATCATCAAATGACGGAAAATAATTAGATCCTAAACTTTACTCAAAGCTTTATTAACTTCCTCGAATAGCTTAAATCTTAATATCAGGAATGTTATCATTTGAATTTATTATTTGCATAGGTTTTGTAAATGGAAACATTCTAACAATTTCATGAGGACTTTCTTCAGCAATGTCTTATTCTCCTAAACTTCAATAAATTAATACCAGTAAATCTTTCACCAAAGAAAGGATGCTACAAAGCCTAAGAAGCTGATATTCTTTTATTAGGATCTTTTTAAAGCATTTATTTTATTAAATCAATAGTTTCATCTGAACAATTTTTTAAATGATTATTGCATAAAAACTTTTTATTGTTTTCCAATAATTCATCACTTGTATTTCCACTAAATAAAGATTTCTTACACAATAATTTATAGAATATTGCTCCTAAACTAAAAATATCTACTTTAGTTGTGTATGGGTATTTTTCTATAAACATCTCTGGTGCTATATATCCAGGAGTTCCACATAATTATCTATAGGGACATGATGTCTAAATTGCAAGACCAAAATCTATAATCTTAACAGATTCCACTTTTCCTAATTCATTCAAAACTAAATTTTCTAATTTTAAATCCCTATGGATTATATTATGTAGGTCTAAATAACATAATGCTTATAAGCATTTCTATTATATAAATATATTGATACACTTATTATCTATCGAATCTATGTAATTGTTAATGAATGTTTTTTCGAATACGAATGCAGAGATTCACCCTATAATAGTTCAAGAATGATATAGAATGATTTTTCTCCTTCGAATATATCTATCATTTTAACAATAGTTTCATGGTCTAATTTTCTCATTAATTCAATCTCTTAAATCATACGATTCTAAATTATATAAATATTTACATATCTCTCTTTATCTTCTCTTCTATAGATGTAGTCTTTACGAATACATTTAGAAGCAAATTCTTTATGTGTTAATTTATTAACAACTCTATACACTTTTGATGATGCTCCAGAACCTAATATTTCTTTGCTCTCATAAATAGATGAAATGTTCCCAAAGAACAGTCTCCCACATAAATGTTTATACAAATGTTATAAATCAGAACTGTTAGCATGAAACCATTTGAGTGCTTTATTATACTTTATACCAAATGCAACAAGTTAACTCTATTCTGTCCTCCAATATATCAAATTTTCAAAATTTAGTTCTAGGTGATACTTAGAGTCTTGAAAATTGACTGTCTCTTTTAGGTGGATGTTATCTTACCTCAGACATTTTTATGCAATTCTAATCTAAAAGAAGATGATATAGTTTATCCTTTATGAAATGTTTTCGTTAACATTCCATTTAAAAGGAAGTCGTGCCTTTCTATTATAACATTTTAACAATATTTAAATATATTTTTATTTTGATCAAATGTATATTTACATAAATAATTTAAATACAATTGCTAATCATTTTATTTTAATACTTAATTTGCTATCATTTGTTTAAAATATTAGATTTAGCCTTTTTGTTTAAATTTATAAATTAAATGAAAATCCTTCATTTTCTAATTTAAATTTATTATTAATACTTTTTTTTCTTTAACATAGAGTCAAATAATATAATAATTCTGATTGTTTTTTTCATCCAAGATAATAATATAAGAAATTTTTATTATGAAAAATGTTGCCTATTATTCTATTTTCAATATAATTGATTAATTAAAATTAAATAGTTATGGTTAAATATAAAAAAATGCAAATCAAATTAATTAGCAACTTGAGTCATTAGATGACGATTTAGGAATCGGTTTTTTTTTTATATCTTCAATTTCCTTTTCCATTTAACCTATTTTTTAATTATAATAATTTATTGTCTGTTTTAGATTTTGTTCATTTTATTTTTATTATTTGAATTCATTAAGCTAATCCTTCAACATTTTTATTTCTTCTTCTTACCTTTAAATCTACAATTATCGTTCTCTTTATTCATATACATCTAAATTATTATGTTATTTTTAAGCACTTTCCATTTATGTTTTAAGTTATTTTATTTCTTAGTTATGCTCCCATTCTGAAGATGCTATTTGCTTTTAAAGACTTTTTATTTGAGATTAAGATTGATTTATGTTTCTTTGTAATGCGTATTTTTCTGATTCAATTTTACTTATTGCAGCCTTATCCTATTCAGCTTTTTTTAAAAATGCTATTCTTGTACTTATTATTTTTTCTATTTTATTTAATTAATCTTCTGCAATTGACTTTATAATTTTCATCTCATCATACCCCTTGATAAGATCAGAAAATTAGGAGAAATAAGTAAATATCTTTTTGAAATTATTACTACTATTTGCCAAATCACTTTTGGCTGTAAGATTAGTTGCCAATTGTTCACAAATTGAAATGAAATTGATATACCAATCTAAAGGAGAACCCTTATTTTCTTTTTTTATCACATCTAATAATTTTTACATTTACACCTAAGTAGCCCTATTTTATGCATCAGTTAATTAAGTATATTTATTATCAAAAATGTCACACAAACCACTCCCATATTTTTCAATTGTTTTTAATGTTGTATATCTTAAATATTCACTTATAATTTCACTTTTAGGTAGTTTTTATGGTTGAATTTTAATCGATTACATTTATTCTATCTATTACCATAAAGTTTATCTTTATTAATTATTGAAAATTGTTTGTATTTCATCATTCTTTTTAGCTTTTCTCAATACAAGTATTTTATCAATTGATTATAAAATATTAACAGCCCTTAGATCTTCTTTTACAGAATTTTACAATTCTTCATCAGATAACTCTTCCAAATAACAATTTAATATTAAATTAAATTTTTGGATATTAATTCTTCCTTATAAGCATATTTGTTTAATAAATTCTTAGAGATCTGATCCTCTATTAGGAAGACTATTTTCAGGATTTTTTATTACATAAATAATTTTTATAGGACCTGAAGTAACAATCTTATAAAATAAAAGTTCAAATAGTAATTGATCCCAATCACCACTTGTGTCTTAGAATCCAGGAAAATCAATAATTAAATGATTATTTTAAGAATTATGATAAAAATTTGGTTCTTTTGTGATTGAATTCATTCCTCCAAACATTTTAGAAAAATTATTTGAAGGATTCTTGATTTCCAACTGTTTTTTATCATTAATTATAAAATCTGCTCCACTTTAGAAGTTGAAAATAGTACTTTTTCCAGATCCTGTTACTCCAACAAGTAAAACAACTGACATATTCTATTTTTTATTTTTATTAAATTCATCCATCTATCTTTAAAATTTTTCTATAATTTTCAATAAAGTTTATTCTTGATCATTTTTGTAATTCATTTTTATAAGAATAAGATTGATATTTCAAAAATTTATAAACTTACTCAATATTTCTATTAAGTATTTTAATAGAATAATCAAATACATATTTAATATTTATTCAATTTTCATTAGAAATCTAGAAATTATTAAATTTAACTAGAATAATTTCAAAATGTAAAGTGATTTTATCATTTGTCAAGAGAAAAATATATTGAAATAATATTTAACAATTAATTTATCTATTAAATATCTCTAGTGACTTATTAATTTTTCTTTTATTATATCAAGATAAACATTTCTTATATTTACAATCATATAGATGGCTTTGATTAATTATAAACTTACAATCATTACTATAATATATAATCAATTTAAGTATGATCTAATTATTAATTATGTTTAAGAAATAAAGTTTAAAATTAAACAGAAAAATTTCAATAATAAATACTACAATAATTTTTATCTATAATAAAACAATCAATTTATTCTCCTTTTTTTCTTTCTTATTCATTATTTTTAATAATTCATAATTTTATAAATTAAATATAATTAATTTAATATTTTATATTTTTTATTTGATTAATATTGATCATCATTTATTCAACCAATTAAATAACTTAATTAGTAATCAGCTTTCAATGATTGATCAACAACTGTTTTATTATTCTTATGATAATCTTCAATGTCAACTAATTTATCACCAACAACTTAATCATATCCAGTATTTTCCAAAGCTTTATAATTTGCAATCAATTTAGTTAGATTAATATATGAAGGACAATATAATTATTAACCAATAATACAATTATTAGTTGGATGAATAATCTAAATTATATTATAATATATATACTTTTTCAATAAAAGATTGATTTAATTTAGCTTTATATGTAGATCCAAGACTATCTTCAATAAGATGAATAATTGATTTGAAATCAATATGTTTATGTCCTTTTGCTAATAGTAATTTTCCTGCATGAGAACCTGCTAAAACTTAAGCCACAATTTATTCTAAATCACCTGTAAAAATAGGAGCACATGATTATCCAGTATTTTAAAAGTAAATACTTTCACCATTATAAATTCTTTATGCTAATTTATTTGTGAATGTGCTTTGTGGTCCAAAAGTAATGTCAGATCTAATTCCAACTAATTAAGGTATAAAACGACGTCCTTCTACTTCTAAATGTTTCCATTCATCAATTTCTTCTTAATGATCATGTTCTACTGGTGCAACATATGCAACAGTCTTATAATTTCTATTTTTGACTAAATCTAATGTAGCAACCAATAAATTCTTTTTTGATGCAGTTGTTTAATAATAATCATGACTGACATATAATATATTATTGGCTTATTTGATTACATCATGTAAATCTTGACGATCTCCAACTTTGAATAATTCTATGTTTGCTGATAATGATGATTTAAATTTAAGTAGTCTTTGAACTGTGAAATAAGTTGGGAAAATGTCAGCACAAATAATCTTTTCATATTTGCCACTTTCAACAGCTACTTTTAAAAATCCTTAAGCAATTCTATTGCTAGCATTCAAAAGAAGGAGAGACATATTAATAAATTAATTATGATTTAATATATAAGTAAAAATGATTTTATAAAAGGTTCATAATCAAAATTTGCCTGAAGATCTTGTTCTAAGTAAAAAAGATTTGAATTCATCTACTAATTTAGTAAGTTCTTAAGTTTCTTTTTATTTTTATAATTTTTATTCTTTCTAAACTTGATACTTTTTTTATCTTTAATCAAAACAATCAAAGGCTCTAATTTATACTTTTTTAGGTGTTTGATTAGGACTTAATAAAGTTTATTAACTTAAATTAATTATATGTTTAGTACATTTAACGTATAAATGAATCATCATCTAAATATTCTAATTCACTTTTTGGTGTGATACTCATTTATATAGTATTTTATTAAATAGATAATAAAGGTTTTTTTTTGCAATAATTCCTTCTTTCTAATTCTTCAACAACTTTCTAAACAATAACTTCTGTATATCTATCTTGATCCATACTTGATAAAGAATTTGTAAAGGAAGATGCAACTGGAGTCTTTGATATTTTAAGATATGGTTATTTATTTTCTGTATTTTCTTATTGTGGCAATTTAAAGAATACTTCTTTAACTTTTACATGATCTGACTTAATATCACTTTAGACTATTGTAGATGTACTTTAATCAGTATTAGTTTATTTATTAAGTCTAAGTTCTTATTATGATGATGTGAATTATTTAATGAATTCTCGAACTTCAGGATTAACAGAATCTCTAGTATGTTTCATATCGGTTAATAATTATATTTTTATAATTAAATATAATTGATCACTTAAATTTTCTTGCCAAAATAATTGCTCTAGCAATTTATTTAAAAGATCTTTTTGGTTGTTTTAATAAACCATAATTCTTTTTTTTCTAATAAAAGTATATTAATTATTATTTACTTAACGATTATATGATTATTAAAGAAGTTCTGTAAAAGGTAAAAATTATTTAATTTGAGATGGTTTAACTTCTAATTTAAATCTTTTAACATCTTCTATATCTATAACATAATATTCCATATATTCTTGAAATACATTAGTATCATATTCAGTATCAATTTTAGGTTTAACAGAGTTACCTAATTGATATCTATGAAATTCTTTCAACACAACAGAGAGATTATTGTGAGGATAGAATATATTATAATCACATCCACATTCAAATTCATTTAATAAAACAAAATTTTTTTTAATTTCCAATTATTAACTCCCATTATATTTATCTACTTCTTATTTAAATATTTAATAATCAGCCATTATATCTTCCATTTTTTATTATAATGTTCCACTATCACTTTCTTCTGAACTTTCATTTGGAGATTTAAATTAATTAATTGGTATATGATTTAAACTTGTTTCACCACTAGCATGAGATGACAATAATGCTTATGAAAGATTTTTAGTCATACTAAATATTTCTGATTATTTAATCTAAATCTATTATATCTTTTATGCAGATTTCTTAAATGTCTATTCCCAATTTCTTCTTCTATTTCTATCTTCCTTAAATTTAGATCTTAATTTAAATCCTTTCTTTATTGATTCATCTTCTACTGCCTATGATAATTAATCATCCACATTACATTCTTCAATCAAGAATTTATGTGTTGGTATATTCATTTATAAATTTTTAGCTGCTTTTTCTAATTCTGTTCTATTTTTCAAAGCATTATAATTCATTCTATCTTTTCTTACAAAATCTTTCATTATAGCTTTAATACATCTGATTTTTGTCTTTTAATATACATATAAATCAATCACAAAATGTAATGATGGACATTCTCTTATTACATGTCCTGGTAAATCACAAGCATAACAATGAATATTCAATATTTATAATTATCTTTTATTTACTTCTTCATTTATAAAATTAAATCTTTCTCTATCATCTGGAAACTTATCTAATAATGCTACAAAATCTTGTCTTTTCAATACAAATACATCAGTAAAACCATTACTTTTTGCAGATGCAGTCCTTCCTATATTCCCAAAAAAACTTATTTCACCAAATATTTATTTATTACTCAATCTAGCCACTATTTATCTTGTCTTTATTAATACTATATTTATTTAACCTTCTTAAATGAAATAGAGAATTTATTCATTCTTAGGTTCATCTTCAATAAATACATATTCATCTGGTTATATTGTTTATTCTTTTAAAATCTATGTTAATTCTATAAGTAATTTCCTTGAAAATGTCTCACATAACAATTTATAACTAGCCAATATAGTTCCATTTACTTAAATTGTAAATTCATATTTTAGAGATAAAGAGAGATTTTAACATATTGATTCTAAATTTATACTTCTATGAGAATCCCAAATATATTATAAATATCTTCTTACTTTATTTTATAATTGTTTTGGAATCTTAACTTTTGCCATATATATATTTATTTCAGATATCCTCTTCTAATATTGATCTTACTTCTAACTTAATTATTACATTGTATTACCTATGGTGTTCATAGTAAATGAGAATACACCACAAGCAATCAATAGAAAGAATACTCCAAATAGTCTTTCTAATGGTGTTTATGGAGATAAATCACCATAACCTACAGTAATCATTGTTGTTACTGCCCAATATACAGAATTTACATATCTAATTTCCCAAGGTTCATCATACAATCCATAAATAGAGAGCCAATTGTATGTTGTATCCTCACTTTAACCTATAAAATGAAATATACATCCTAGCCAATGAGACCAAAACAAAACAAATGCACAAAGCTTTAAAAAACTACCTATTGTTTAAATTATAGAACTATCTGAAAAATACTCCTCTATTTTATCCATTATAGCCTTTAATTTTGCCAATCTTAATAAACGAATTACTTTAACAAATCTAAAGAATTTTAAAACTCTTAAAATTTAAGTACTCTTCTTTAAATTATCTGATGATTCATTAACTTCATCTCCAGCTTCTCCTGTTAATGCTGCATTGAATACCATATCATATGGAAATGATGCCACAACATCTATCCAAAACCATAATTTGAAATAATCAAATGCTATCGCCTTGTAAGAATAATTGATATTTCCATTCAAATAGACTGCTGTATTAAATGTTAATACAATATCGAATAGAAATGCTGCTGTTATTACATAACCAAATTCAGCACTTACTTCTATGTCAAAACTTATTCTTATCGGAATTGTTATAATTTCATAGAGAATCAAAATCATACAAAAAAAGTCCCACAATAGTTTCACAGAACTATCTGGACTTAAAATTAACCAAAAATTTTCTATCTTCTTATTTCTCTTATTAATATCAATTCTTTAATTATCTGATTAAGAAGACTTAGATAATTCTTTCATTTTTTCGTTACGTTCCTTTTCATCTAAATCAATATTATCAAAAGGTAGAAATACTTCATCAATATCTTACAATCTCTATTCTAATTTCAGCTTCCCCATATAAATAGCTTTATCACCAAATATAAATTTTTCTGATTAAGAAAGATCTGTATTAATTTTTCTGTCTTATAAACAACGTTGGAAAAACTCTCCTTTTCTTTATTCCTAATCACCTCTCTTACTCATAAGAGCTTAATCCTCATTGGCTGCACGAGCTGAATATTGCTCTATCTCCATAAAAATTGAGTTCATTTAGAATTTTTATTAATGTTTTTTTTCTTTGTTAAAAATAAACTAATATTTTTGTTTACATTTATAATTAACATACATCATATTTTATATGTTAATCTATCATATAATTAAAAAATAAAATCATAAAACTAATTGAACTCAAAAATATTCTAAATAATTTATTTTACACCATAAATATAAATAGATTCAAAAATAGATATTCTTAATTTTAAATAGTAACTTATATATATATATATATAATTTTCTTAAAGATCTGCCTTTCTTTACATTTTATTTTAATTCTTAATATTTTATCAAGATGAAGATATTTATATGAAGAGTATTTATATATAATACTTTTATATATAATTTACTATAGTCATCTTCTTTTCTTCTTTATTATTCCAAGCTCACCCAATAAAAACTCGATTTCTTTTTTTTCATCAGTAGTGTGAACTTTATTGATTGCAACAGAATAATTTTAAAGTCCTGTTGTAGATATCACAAGAAGTCTATTAAAAAAATGTTTGAATAGACCTTTTAATTCATCATTTTTATCTTCTACATAATTTTAATATGTGAAATTAAAAGTTTACCCTTTCTCCAGTTTTTCTCTCTTTGCCTCCTATAACTATTTTTCTATACCAAGTAATTTATCATCATTCTTCATCATCAAATCATTTTTCTTTTATTCTAATTTTTTTAATCTTGTTGCTTTTTCCCTTAATTCAGCTAATGCCTTTTTCTAAATTTCAACTTACTTTTATCCATCTATTAAACTAGGTATTATTTTGCATTTCAATAAACTAATAAACCCTTTATCTGAGTCTTAATTATGATTATTCATATATTTTAAATTAACTTCTTAGATGTCTTTTGCAAGTTCATCAAATAATTCAATAAGTGATAATGATTCTTAGAATGGTTCTTTAGCCAATCCTCTTAAAAATATTGCAAAATCATTATAGACTCTATGTCTCTCCTACTCTACTTTTAAAATTCTTTCGAATTATCCTCTTAAATCAAAACAAAATCTATCATCTTTACAAAGACTTTGATAAATTTAATCAAATTGAGATTCTGAAGTTTCTACCTACATCATTATGCAATTTATATGAAATAAAATTTAAGTAAATCAATTTAACTCAACTTGAAAAATTCTCGAAAAAGTTCTTAAAATCCTATCATTTATAAACAATTATATTTTCAAATAAATTGATTTTTATTGATTAAGAGTTTTCTAGATATTTGAAATCTGATTTACTTTTTCATCAATACTAAAAATGAAATTATAAATATCATTTCTAAGTATTTTTCTAATATAATTTATTTGCTTTATTTATTTAGTGATAATATATTATTATTTCAATAATATAAGTGTTAAATGTAATTAGTATTGAAAAAATACTAAATTTTAATAAAAATTAAGATTATATTGAAATAGGTAACATTTCCTATATTTGTAATATTATTTAAATTGACTATGGATTTTTTCAATAATTTATATATATATATAATATTATCAATAATATCAATTGATTCTTATTCTTTTAGAATTATGTTATAGATTACTCAAATATTTTCACTAGTTATTTGTTTGATTTTAAAAGAAGATATATATTAGAGTTTTTAAATTATGGAAAATTAATTAATAATTGCATGAATTCGAAGCGAAAATAAATCAAATTGGAATCAGAAAACAAAATTAAACAAGAAGAGTACTCTAATGATGAGGATTCCTTTAATGAATCTAATGATGAAGACCTAAAGAGTAGTGGAAAGTTAAAAACACGACATGATAATTCTTTATCTGTCTTAACTAAAAAATTTGTTGAACTTATCCAAAATTCAGATGATCTTACAATCGATTTGAATATGGCTGTCAACGATTTAGGAGTTTAGAAGAGAAGAATATATGATATAACAAATGTCTTAGAAGGAATAGGTTACATTGAAAAAATCTCAAAAAACAAAATTAAATGGGTTGGTACCACTGATAATCCATAATTAGAAACAGAGTTATAATAGATTAAATAAGAATTAGAATTACTATAAAATGAAGAAAAAACTTATGATTTTTGGATAGAGCATTTATAAAAAAATCTATAAGAGAAGTTTCAGACAGAACCTGATATTGCAAAATATACATTTCTAACCTAAGAAGATTTTAAAGAGCTTTCAAAAAGTTAATAAATTGATCATAAAGGTGAAGCTCTATTTATTATTACTGCTCCTAAAGGCACAATAGTAGAAACTGTATTGGAAAATAATCCTGAATATCCTTATTAAGTATACTTAAATAGTTCGAAAGTGCAATGTTAAAATAATGAAATTCAAGTTTACATTTGTTAAGATGAAAATTATCCAATCGAATATGATAAAAAGTAGAAATGACATAATTAATTCAATTTATTATAAAATTTTGCAGAATTTCATAGAACTTAAATAATTTACTAAAATTTTTGATTAAAGGCTTAGAATTTTCATCTTTTTAGATTAAATTTTGAAAACAATATTTTTTTTTAGATTTTTTGATTTATTTCTTGAAGGACATAAATGTATGTAAATGATTCATTATTTATGTATAAAATATCACTACAATCATATGTGAAATTTATTTATACTTTACAAATAATTTATTTACATGAAAATAATATATGGTTTTTCATTTTTTTATAATCTGTAAATGAAATTATACATATAAAATACAAATATTACTATTTAAAATCATCTAATTTAACTAATAAAATAAATAATAATAAAAATCTCTAACATTAAATAGTCTAAAATTGATTATGAAAGAATTAGTTAAGTTAATAATATCTGAAATTTGATATCATTATATTAATTTAGATTAAAAAAATACAGAATATTTATATGAATGAATATTATTTTGTATGATTTTAAGGAAAATAATTAATTTAATTATATAGAATTCTGAAAATAAAATCTTTAACATCTTAATTAGATAAATAATAATAAAGCATTGAATGATATTGTTTTATAATATTTTGAATGTATAAAATCTCATCTACCCAAGATATTTTTGGTACCTCTTGCTGCTTTAAAGTCATCACAAGGATGTCTATAAAATGATATGATCTTCTTGCCCCATTAGAATTAGGATACCATGTAACCTTTCAAATTAATATCATCTTTTGATCCAGGAATCCAATTATGAGTTTCTGTTAATTCTTCTAAATCTGCTTCTAATCCAGGATAGAAATCATAATCCTCATGAACTATGCATAAATTTGATTAGAATACTGACGTAATCATTTCTGTCTCCATATTATTCTAAATCAAGTAATGCCAAATGTTAATCCAAATAGTAATTGCTCCAAACAGCGCTATGGAAAGTAAGCTCATTTTCTAAATCTTCTAATTCTTTGCTTTAACTGGAAACAACTTGATGACAAATACGTTCAACATCAAATTCTTTATTAAGGAGAGTCTCATGACCCTTTTATACCTTATCAACTAATCCTTCAGTAGTGATTTATTCTCTCCAGTGATTCCAATCAATTTCCTATAATTTAATTAAGATATTACTTAAGCTGCACCTGTTGTAGGTTTTGAATAATAATTAAACAAGGAACTTAATTATGATGTGTAAAATCTGCTCTCTAATGTATTGGCTTTAGCAGTAAGAGTTTACAACCATTTATTGATCCTATCTAAATTAGCACTTGGACGAGCTGCAACTGTCTTGCTTCTTGTTTGGTTGACAATTAATCTTCTCATATCCAAAATTAAATATTTAATATAATAGACATTTATATATTTTCTAGATTACATCTTAATTCAAATTGAATGTAAATCAAAAGAATAAGTAAAGATTAACATAATAGAAATGATATAATAAAGAATAATGTATTCATAAATTATTAAAGTATTTATTTGTATTATTTGAAAATATGAATATAATATTTTATTCATACCTAAATTTGTATGAAATATTTAATAATAATTTCAAATATAAAAACTCAGGATGAATGTAAATACATATATTATTCAATTTCACCAAATAAATCTAGCAATTAATGTCTCATAGGTTTAAAACTATATTTAAAACCAATAAGATTTCTATTTGGAGAGAGATGATTTATATTTACTTTTTCTAATTTTTCAGGAAAATTTTTATAAGTGTGAAATTTTTATAATTATTTCTTAAATTCATCAACAGACTATAATAATAAGATTTATTATATATATATACATTTTTTTGTTTATCTGTTTTCATACGTTATTCAAGTTATTCTTCAATTGTTTATTTAAATACTGATCTAGTTAAATGCATTACTGGTATTTTTTTTTCAAAAAATTTTCTTTTTTTTTATCTTTCATGCAATTCTTTTACATTTTCAAACATATCAACATCATTTTAAAGTACTCCATTTTTAGTTATACATCTTTATGGTCTATTTGGTGTTGACATTTCAACTTAAAATTCATAATCTTATAAAATTTAATCTGTCAATATATTAAAATCTAGAAGTGTATTTAATTTAATTTCTGTTTCATTACCTTAAATTAATCCTAATTTAGATAATACCATATTATTCATAATTTAAGATTAATAATTAATTCTTTTTATATAAGTCTTTACATATTCAATACCATGTTTACGTGCAGCACTATCATTAGATTCTTTAATAAAATTCATAGCTCTATCATGATATTCTTTAGCCAATCTTAATTCTCCTTATACATAATAAAGAACTCCAAAATAATCATAAATTGTTGCTTCATTTTCAGTATCATTCATATACCATACATATTAAAGAGCTTTCTTTAAAAATATCTTGCTGAGTTGATACTATTATTATAATTTACACAAATCTCCCATTTGAATTAAAGCTTCAATTTTAAGAGCTTAATTATTTTAAACATCTGCTAAAACTCTAAGTACATTATAAATGTACAATCCATTTGCAAATTCTCTATTAGATATATACATGTCTGCCAGTATATGAAGTGATTTACCAAATATATTCAGATCATAGGCAATACATTACTAAACTAATTTCTTTGTTGCTACACTATTGTAAGAATGATTTACTATCTATAGCATCATCTAATTATCTATCATAAATCAGTTTTAACAAATCTTTTTTCTAGTTATTTAACTACATAAGGACAGAATTCTCTTCTAATAAGAGTTTCCTAGATGTAGATAGAACTTGATTATGTTTTGTGTACAAGTATGGCAATTTAAGAACTTTAAGAGAAGAAATACTCTAATTGTTCAGTGTAGTTTCAATTTGAGATGTATTTGTAATTTGTCTGGTCTTTGTTGATTTCATTGAGTTAAAATAAATAGAATCATAATACTAATTTCTTTCCAAACTTCTTTTTTGTTTTTTATAATGCCTTCTGATCATCAAATCTATTGCCCATCAATACCAATTAGAAGTTTTCTCCTGTTTATAGTAAGAATTTCTCTATGGCATCTCTAGATTAATCATCAATCTAATTCATTGATAGATTTATCAACCATAATCTTGAATTCTTCATTAAATACCAATTATTATCTATCTATTGAATTGGTTCTAAAAATGGTACAGGTTCTTCAGTTCCTTTTTTCTTTACTTTCTTATTTCTTTCAATAATAGCTTCTCTCTCCTTTTCTTTAGTTTTATATTCATCATATTCTTCTTGACTCATTTAAAATCTACCTATATTTTATGTTATTCCTTATAAATCATCAAATGTTTATATTTAATTCTTAGCTAAACCTAAATATTCCATTAAACTATTTTAACCCAACATTTTTCCTATTAAATTTAAAGCTTCTTTTGATAATCTATTATCATACAAATCTAAACATTTCAAATTTTGGACATTTAATGTTAATGTTTGAATTTGTTAATTTGCTAATAATTTATAAAAATAAATTTATACTTAATTAACAAGATCTTAATGTTAAAAATTCGATTTATTATACTTATTATAAAAAGTTTTCATTAATTTGTTACCAATCAATAAATAACTTTTTAACTTTATTTTCAGGATTATTAATTATTTGTGCTATCTATTAGTATTACCTAGCTGTTAAACCATTATTTGACATTTTTATAGTTGTCAATCCACTAACACCTGCACAATAATCTAGTAATCTTAATGTAAATAGATCTATTTTTATCTATGTCATCATATATAATCAAAATTACAGAATTTATTTAAATCATTTAAGGTACTTAATCTCCATCTAATTCTTCAGGGTTTCTAAATTTTGTATTTTCATCAAAATCATTTAAATCAATCATTTAAGTTGGCAATATAAATGATGGATGTCTAGCAATTCCTATTGTTTGACATAATATTTCCATATTATCAAAAATATTATTCTTCATCATAGCACTCAATTCTGGTTTGAAGTAATTCAAATATTCATTCAATTATTCCATTTACTCATTTGAATAATCTATATATTCATAAAATAGTGGGATTTCTTGAAACATGGGTTCCAGCGGTTTTCTCTCTTCTTTTTTAGGTGGCATATAATTTTTAATAATAAATATTAATTATATTTATAATATTACTATATTAAAGTAATTATTCTACTGTAAATTCTTAATATAATTCAACGAAACTATACACACTTATAAACAATATTTATTCAAGTTCATTTATTTTCATAAATTTTAAATACTTTTGTTTTTTTTTATGAGAGTCCTTTTTATTTATAGATTTTAATATAAAGTACTTATATTTACGTAGGTGTAGAAATATATCAATTTTTTGTAACATATTACTAATATTTGTATTTTCTTAAACAGACTTTGATATTTAATATACATAAATTATGTTAAAAAAATCTAAAATATTACAAAAAACTCTAATAAGTCTTAATATTGTTATCTATTTTTGTATAAAAGTTTTTCTTAATTATTATTGGTTCTTCATTATGATGATTTCATTAATCATTAATATATTTTTTATGTGCACTCGAATTCATGCATCTAACAACAACAACGCCATGATGTACCTTAAATTACGTGAGGAAGGTTGTGATAAAAATTCTGCTAGAAAATTTTGTCGAAAACAGTTCTGCAAAGTAGGGTCACATTAAATTAGATCGATTAAACATAATCCTTTATTGGACCACCAGGACATAAAATATTGAAAATATTGCCAGACAGATTATTGGGAGAAAAAGGATGGTAACATGGTTTCCTTATGAAATATGATTTAGGTGTTGGTTATAAAGAATCAGCAGGTAACTTAATTTTTTAATATAGATTTGAATGAAAAATTTACACCTGCTGAAATAGCCATTCTTAAATAATACAATGAATATGAAAAAAAGAAAAATGCTATGCTACTCTAAAAAATGTTAGCTGTCAAAAAGTATGCAGATTCTTTAAGACCTCCAAAATTAGATGTTTTTAGTAAAAGTTATTTACAAAGAGTAAAATAAATTTCATAAGAACTAAGAGAAAGTTAATAAAAACCTAAAAAATACTTCGAATTCGATGACATGAAGTTCTATGCTCTTGTAGATTATTTCAGTAGATAAGGATCAAAATAAGATTTGATGCATATTAATTTCGATCCTATTGTCAAAGAAGACATTAAATTTAAAACAGAAAATACTCATAAAGTAAATACTGCTAGAACTTTTAGAAGGATGGGAACAATAAGTAATATAGAAAAAGAAGCTAATTTTATTATGGCCTTATAATAATAAGCTCCATTAGGACAAGATTTAGAAAAAATTAAACAAAAACCTGAAGTTCTATCACTATTAAAATTGAATCATCAAAAGATGGATTTAGCTGAAGAATTCAATTCAACATAATATTTATTTACTCCAACTAATGCATAAACTTAATAAGTAAATACAGTTGATGATGATGCTATGAAATCTTTTGTTTAATAATTTTATTCAAAATAATATGATGAAAAATCCAACTTTTTAATGCCATTTAAAAGAAACATAAGAATGAGAACATAAGCAAACAGTGATTCCAAAAAGACACCTAGAAAACCAACTAATAAAATTAAAACATAGAGCATATCTTGATTATAATCCAATTTATAATGATATATTATTAATTTAAAATATTTAAATTATTTTAATTATATATATTTCTCTACACACATTTAATGTATAAAGAAAATACAATAATAAATACAATAAAAAAATTATGAATATACTATAAAATATAAATTGCTATCATATATCTGTTTTCTCTTTTTAAACTTCCTATTATTGTTAATCAAAATTCTTTACTAATGCACTTTATTTTTCATTTTATTATTTATTATCATTAAATTAATAAAATTAATTATCTTCTATATTTGAGCTAACATTGTCCTATTAATTTTATTTTATAGAGATATTATTCTAATTTTCGATAATCTAATGTTATTATTATTATTATTATTATTATTATTGCTAAATTTACTTTATTTATTCATTTTATTAAAAAACAGTATTTTATTATTGAATTTCAGAATTATTCAATAATTAATCCTTATTATTTGATTGTATATCATCTTATCTAATTTGAGATTTTATAATTTAACTTGTATTTTATTGATGTTCATCAAAATTTCTTAGTTAACTAATATTACTATGTATTCCACTAGGTTTTTAATTATCTAACCATTTTATTCTTCTCCCATCTTCCCATTCAGATAAAAAGATTTTGTCCGGTTCTGGTTCAGTTTGTCCTTCCTTTATTTTACCTTTGATTGTAAGTGTAACAATTCCAGTTAATTTACCCATTCTCCATTAACCTGACAATTTTTTTCCATCAGGCCATTCTAATTCACCATAACCTGATTTAATGTCTTTCAAATAATGTCCTGTATATTTTCTCTTGTCTAAAATTAATTTAATTAAATATGTACCTGGCCAAATAAACTCTCCTTTCCCTTCCATTCTTCCTTCTACCCACTCTCCATCATATATTCTATCATCTAACCATTCATATCTACCTTATCCATGAAATACATCATTTTTAAAAAAACCAGTATAGGTTTCTAATTTACCTGTTTTCTTATTTTTCCTATTACTCCAAGTAAATGTTCCTTTTCCGTTTTTTTTTCCCAATTTATATTGACCTTGATAATTAGTACCATCTGGCCATGTTTCAATTCCATTTCCATCAGGTCTTCCACATAAGAAATCACCTTCATATTTGAAACCATCTTATCTTGTAAACTTACCCTTTCCATTTATTTCTCCCATTTTAAATTATCCTTTTGAATTATAGTTTGTTTAATACCAGTGTAAAAAGATCCATCTTTGAATATTTTTCTGCCCTCTCCATCAGGAACTCCATCTACAACTTGACCCTCGTAGACCTGGTGATCAAGATAATATATTTTGCCTAAACCAAAGGGTTTTCCTTCAGCCCATTACCCTACATAAACATCTCCATTTAATAATTAATAACTAATTATTTAGATAGAAGTCATTACGGAGTATCTATTAAAGGTATTCTTTTATAATTAGGAGTAAGAGTAGCCTTAATTTCAAGCCTTGGTAATTTCTAAAGTTGTTTTTTGACTATAGCAGGATATTGATCAATAAATTCTTATTAGGCTTAAAATGAAAGTGGTTATAGACCTTGGGGACAATTATCCTCAATTTCATATGATTTAAGTTGAATTGGATCTATATCTATAGTTTATTGTTCTTTTTATTGTTCTTATTCTTTTCCTTCAATCTTATCAGCATTTTGGAGAAGATCAGTATGTTATTATTAATTGGCCTCATTTAAAGGTGCATCATCTAGAATATAGTCATCATCAATTTTTGTTTAACATGAACAAGTGATACCCATTTGATTCTAATAAATTATATATAAAATAGTTTTTATTTCTTTAAAAAATATTAAATAAAATAATTTGATGTTTAAATGATAATCTTTAAGGATTATCTTATACATAAAAGAGATGAATTAAAATTAATTTAAATTCTGAAATCATGGTATTCTCCTTAAAGATTATTTAGAATGCATAGAATTTAGATGAGCATCAATTAAAATTCCTTCTAGATCTTGTTTACACATACTTCTAGAATATTTCTTAAATTTTGAATCTCTTAGTTTTTCATTTAAATTATTAACAATTTAATTAAATACTTATCCACTAGTTTTTCTCATAGCATTTTCTCCTATTTCTAATCCTTATTTTTTTTTATTTTAATCCAAATCAGAGATCAATTAACCAATATTTTAAGTCAAAAATTAAACTCTTTAGAATTTCTTTTTTGAGTATTCTTCTCTCATAGTATCATATCCAATATGAGTAGATCTTTGAGAAGTATCAGTTGATGCAGGAATTGATGCCAATTTTCTATCACTAGCATATTAAAAGAAAGGAAGAGTGGTTCTAAATCTTGTTGATTTATTTGCACTTTTGTTTTAGATATCTTATTTTGTTTTTGAATATCTTCTTCCTGATATATTTGGCTTAATGTTTGTATCATCTTCTTTAGTTAAAACTTAATCTAATTTTTTTTCAAATTAATGAATCATATGTAATCTTTCAATTTATTCAATTTCTCCTTGTACTCCATTCTTTCTGAAATTTGGATGTAAGAATTATTACCAACTTTTAAATTCTTTATTTCCTATATCTTCATTTTATTTTTATTCTGATTAAAAGTTTTATTCAGTATAATCTTTCTCAAACATTTTTGCTTGAAGTAATACTTTCTTCTTTTCTTCAATTTATTTCAAAGAAAGTCCTTATAATTCACTTTTATAGAATCCCTTTACTTTTTGAAATACTAAATCTCTAGGTTCATAAAAGTCTTATAATAATTAAACTTTATTATCATTTATATTTTATTTAAAGAATTTCTATTGACCTAATAAATTTTTAAATATTGAATTAGGTTCTAGCATTCTTAAATGACTAATAGTCAAATTAGGTTAAGATCTAATAAAATGAATTACTTTTAATGCAAAAGCCACTTTAAATTTAAGAATTTCATGTTCATCAATTATAATTGACCATTTTAGTGGTAGAATATGGTTAACATTCAATGCACACATTAATTCAAATGATGGATAATCAAAGATTTTCAAAAAACCATCTTTAGATGTAGATATTACTTTAGATTAACCTTCTTTTAATAAATTATCACCCTCTAATGATATAAAATCTATATGTTATATTCTTTTTTTATGAGCTTCAAAATATTATTCTAATTTCAATTCATGAGTTGTGCTAATAACAAATCTAGTAACTTTATGATTATTGACTCCTAAATTATAGTCTTCCCAATTTTATCTAAATGGATGAAACTATACTTTTTAACTTTTTTATGTATTAAATTAAAGTTTACAGATCAAACCTTTTCTAGATCCTAAAAGAACTGTACCATTTTTATCAGTAAAAGTACAACAACTTTATTGAATAAATCCTAATTATTAATAAAAGTATTAATCCTCACTCTTATGAAATTAAAGAAAATATGTATTAATTTTACATCCAATAATCAATATACGATAACCATCTAAAATACAAACACCTTTAGGAGGTGATTCAGTTCTAATTGTAGAGACTGGTTTTGTGAATTCCAAATTCCATAAGCATACAATATCAACACCTGCTGTAATAATCAAATCATGGAATAAAGAAACATAACAATAATCAATACCATTATGAACATTTTCAGCTTTTCTTAAGGATTCTAAATTTAAATTATTCTCCTTATAGATATGTAACTAACCATCTAATGATGATGTAGAAATTATTCTATTTTAATAATCAATTGAAAGATGAGTAATTTTATTACTATTATTTTAGTATTCTTTAATTAAGTCACCAGAATTTGTATCAAATATTTTAATTAGTCCCTTTGTAGTTCCAAGTACTATCTTTTTATACTATTGAATTGCTTTGAATATTGACATATAATACGTTTAAATTGATTGATCATATCATCTGTTTGACCAATCATAGCCTTTATTATGGTATCCGTTTATCCATTAGATAAATTGATAATTCGAATATCTCTATTTGTTGAGACAATCAATTATTTTCTTATTGCATTTAATTCTACCTATTTAGGATATAAGTGTATAGTCCTTTACTTTTAAGGTTTAGGTTAAGAAAGATTTTTATTATGACCTTCAAAAGCCATTACGATTAATCGATTCGTAGCAAAACATACACTTGATAGATTCTACATTATAGTAATGTAATTGATAGATTATTTCATTTCTAAATCAAAAGATTATATGCATTTCATAATTCTGATATCCCATAATTTTACAATCAATCGATCATCAGTTGTTATTACTATTGGAGATTTCTCTACACATTAGATTGCTGTAACAATAGCATTATGACCTTCCAATTAACCAACGTAATCTCCATCATTATATTTCTTATGCAATTAATAAAGATTAACTTTAGTATCAAACCCAGAAGTTATAATTAAGTGATATTCTTAAAAGAATACAATATTATTCAATCTACTATGATTGACTTGTAATTTAAATAATAATTTAGGTTTATTTTATTCCCATAGATCCCACATTGTCAATTTATCTTAACAAGCAATACATACTAATTATAAATAAGTTATTTCAACTATATTTACAACATTTTTAATTTGATCATGAGATATAACACTACTATTTTCAGTTTCCAAATTCCATATAGATATTTTTGAATCAGTACCTACAGTCATCCATTTGCTTTGAACATAATATATTCTATTTTAATCTATTTTTGTTGTAAAGTACTTTTCCAATTCAAATTAATCACTTTAATCCATAAAACAAATCCATGCATCTTTAAATAATATACCAATTCTTTATTGTTCTTCAGACCAACAAAAATCATGAATAATATTTCTCAATTATTATGCCTTTGGTCTCAATCTATTTAACAATGTACAATCTGGATTATAAATACTAATATAATCACTATATTGATGGAGTATTAGAATCTTAGATTCTGATTCTTAATATTACATTCTTAGAATAGAACTGTTTTAGTTTTTCTAAGAATCTATATATACTTTATCTTTATTGATTCTTTTTATATAATGACCTAGAGTTCCAAGAATGATTGGAGCCTCTAAATCAATACTTCTTACTTATCTACTTTATGGTTTATTGAATTATTTCAAAGGAGGATATTTATGATAAGTTATGGTTCTATTTTGTAGAGGTACATCCTTCTATTAAAATCAGATTGGATATTTACATCATCCAAATTGGGATTGTATTTACAAAGATAACTTGAAAGGTCACAAAATTTGATAGTATAAGTTTAGTATTCTTCACAGATTGCTTTGAAGAAATCTATGGCTTATACAATTATAAATAAGGTGTCCTCTATGGGTTCTGAAGTAAACTAAGTTTGGATAACTGTAAATATACTTTTAATAGGGAAGTTATAAAATCAAAGACATCAATTACAGATTTTTGTGATGCTGTAAAAATTGCTTCATAGTCAAATAAATGTTTCTGAACTAAAGAATATATGTAAGCCTCTGAATATTTTTAAGTTAGCAGTTAACCATTATGATCTCGTTGATTTAAGTAATTTGCAACAATCACATCCAACTTCTATATAATTTCATCGTTGTTATTCATTTAATTAATTATATATATACATTAATGAAGGGATAATAATCTCATAAAATACAATTGAAAACCTAATAGTTGATTGAATTTCAATCAGATATTTAATTTTAATTTAGTTATTCTCACATTTAAGAGGAAGTATAAAATATGAAAATGATATTAATATTTTTAAAATTTCTATGCTCAATAATTCTTTTGTTTCTCATCAATTTCAAAATTCACCTCCATAATATCCTTTACCAGTTGCTAACCCTGCTTAACCTATTTCTGCTAGATAAAAAATCCATGTCTCCAATTTACCATTGAATGTCACTACTTAATAATTGCAATAAACCTTTTAAACTTATGGAAACATTATAGATATTAGAATCATCAGAAAAACACCTACAGGTATTGGAGTTAATTCACAAAAGGATTACCTTTACATATTTCATGTTATGCTTTTATTGCTTTTGCTGATAATGATGCAGCTGATAAGGCAATTTAAGATGGTCGAATAGGAGATTGGACTGTGAAACCTTAGATTGATAAATAAGCTATTCCTAAATGCAAATCTCGGTCTCGATCTAGATCTAGATCTTAAGAGAAAAATAAATAAGTATTAACAAATGGACCTATTACTCCATTGGAACAGTCTCCAAAAATATAAATTCAACTTTACGTTAGAGAATTGTTTGTTAGTGGAATATCCAAGAATTATGATGAATTGAAGATTCGCTAGGTAATAGAATGTGAAAATTATAGATTTTTTCATAATTTGGCTCTATAGAGAGGATTGATCTGTATCCTAATAAGCATAATATATTTAACAGTTATATAAAATTTTTTACTGTATAAACTTTTTTTATTTGAATTTAGATAGATTAAGCTATTTCTGCTTATTAAAAAATGGATAGTATTTAATAATAATTTTCTACTTAAATAAAAATTTATTTTTCTGACCCTATAAAAAGACACAATATTGTTGGCAATAAGTAAATTTTATTAGATTTTTTAGTTTATCAAATGAATAACATTCTAAACTATCATCAGTATTATTTATATTTTTTCCTCCTAATTTAAATAAAAAAGTTGATCATGCATTTTTGTTTGAAGTAATTTTTTTAATTATTAAATAAAAGATATGTTAGAATCAATAATGTCGACCTCTCTTATGGAATTACATTCAATAAGATCCAAATTATAAATCATACACTCTTCTATAATTTAGAGACACAAAACAAGCCATCTAGATAAGAAACTATCTCTAATAACATTTAGTTGATCTTCTTGGTGATTCAAAATGTGAAGTTGGAATAGTATCACTTCCAAAAATGCCCATGTAACCACCATAATAATTACAATAATATTAACCAATTCAAATGTTACCCTAATAACCATTACCAAATAATATGATGATGATGCCTCCAGTTACATAGCCCTTTTAACCTAGTTATTAACCACTCTTCATTCCATAATAAGTCATGTACTAATAGCCCTTATAACCATTCATAATTCATAAATAGGAACGGAGACCATAGCATTAATATGTAGATCCTACATAATTTAATATGCCTTTATAAATGCAACCTTAGGAATAAGAATTGAAAATCAAATTTAATCCTAATGGTAATTAAGAAATTCTTGATGGATTTTTAAACTTTGATACTAATTAACAATTACAATAACAACAATAAAGATAGGATTGGGATACATTTTGGAGTGGATTTATGTTTAGAAGTAAGAGTCATAAGGTTGGAGTGGATGCCAAATGTTAAGAATCTGAAGTAATTTGGATTTCCTATTATTTATTTAAGGCTCCTATTGTAATGGCCCCTCAAATCTAAGTGAATTATAAGGGAAACTTTACTGATGCCAAAAAATCAGCAAATGAGGCTTTCAAATTCATACTCTGTCCTTCTGATTATAATTAGGTATTGATTTTAAACATAATAAATAATTAGAATAGTGCCTTTTAAGAATATATAGATTATTTTTCTGAGAAGAACAAGATTGGAGTTGCATATATAGGAAACAGCATTTTATATTTACTTCCACCAAATGAAATTACAAATACCATTTTACCAATTTAAGGATTAGAAATTCTTGCATTGTATATTGAAGATAAGAAAAAAATCATCAATTACAATTAAGATCATATATTATGACTTATTAATTTGTGAAGTTTTCATTATTAAAATATTACGTATTAATTTATCAAATGAAAAATCTTATGTTCAAATCGATTGCGAAGTTCTCATAAGTGAAAAATAGTTAATACTTTGTACAATTAGAAAATTAATATGGATGTCATAATTATCATCCATTACCTGTAGTAATTTCAAGAGGAAAAGGAATTTATGTTTGGGATTAAGAAGGAAAGAAATATATGGATTTTTTAGCAGCATATTCAGCAGTTAATCAAGGACATTGTCATGAGAAGATTTATTAAGAATTAGTTAAATAAGCTTCTTAATTAACTTTAACTTCTAGAGCGTAAGATTAAATATATATCATAATAGATTTTATAACAATAAATTAGGAGAAGCTGAGAAGTATATTACCTAATTATTTAAATATGATAAAGTGTTATTTATGAATTCAGGAGTTGAGGCAGGAGAATCAGCAATTAAATTTGCCAGAAGATGGGCATATAATGTTAAGAAAGTACCTGAAAATGAAGCAAGAGTTTTATTTGCAAATGGCAATTTTTGGGGTAGAACAATTGCAGCATGTGGAAGTAGTGATGATCCAGAAAGATATAATAGATTTGGGCCTTTTGGGGGATTAAACTTTGATCTTGTTGATTACAACAAGTAATCGAATTTGACTATTTAGTGTTAATGCAATTGAGACTAAATTTAAAGCTAATCCAAATTATGCTGCCTTTTTCTTTGAAGCAATATAAGGTGAAAATGGAGTCATAATTCCTGATTAAAATTATTTGAAATAAGTAAGATCATTATGTGATAAATACAATGTTTTGATGATTGTAGATGAAATCTAAACAGGTTTAGGAAGAACTGGAAAAATGTTAGCAGTAGAACATGTATAAAATCTTTGTAATATTTAATTAGGATAATGTCAGACCAGATATGGTATTATTGGGTAAAGCATTATCAGGAGGATTTTATCCTATTTCTGCAGTACTAGCTGATGATTAGATTATGTTGTAAATTAAGCCAGGTGAACATGGATCCACATATGGTGGTAATCCTTTGGCAGCTAGTCTATGCATTAAAGCCTTAGAAGTTTTATAAGAAGAAAAAATGATTGAAAATGCTAATAGTTTAGGGAAAGTTATGGAAAAAAGATTAGTAGAATTAAAGAAATATAATAATGTAACTCAAATTAGAAGTAGAGGATTAATGGGAGCCATTCAATTCTAAGATGGAAAAGGGGATGTTGCATGGGAATTCTGTCTTAAATTAGCTAAAGAAGGTCTTCTTTGCAAACCTACACATAAAACTATTATGAGGTATATATATATTTTATATAAATTTATAGATTAACTCCACCTTTGATAATTAATGAAGCAGAACTTAATTCAGCTTTTGATAAAATAGAGTATGTATTGAAATAATTATGAAGAATTGAGTATAAATTAAAAAAAATATCTTATTAAAGAATATGTTTAGTAAGGAGAAATGTTTCAAGTTTAAATAAGAGTCGATATTTTTAAATATATTATTAATAATTAATTTCTTATGTAATAAGAAGAGAAGGGAAGATTTGAGATTAAGAAATGGTATCCTGTTGCATTTTGGTGTATATAAATAGTATGATATTAGCTTGGAGTTTGAAGGTTGAACATTGTGCTATTTGTAAAAATCATATTATGGAGAAATGTATTGAATGTGAAGGAAAAGATTAAAAAGAAATTTGTATTACTTAATAAGGAAAATGTGGACATGCCTATCATGAACATTGCATAAGATAATGGCTTAAAACAAAAAATACATGTCCTTTAGATAATAAATAATGGGAAGAGGAAAAAAAAGGAATTTGAGTAAACTTGAAATATAAAATGATTCATTTTAGATATGTTGACTTCAATTTTGGTAAAAAGAAAGAATCATTATTTAATACTTTTCGAAGTGGTGTCTTTTTATGTATTTATTGTTGTTATACTTTTTGTTGATTATTTTCTTTTATTTATAATTCTAATGAAGACCTTTTGTTTTATTTTTATATCTTTTCTTTATTTTCGAGAATTATTGAACTAAAATTTACCCAACCAGATTTTAAATCAAATTTTGATTGATGTATTAATTCCATTTATCTTTGAGTATGCCGAATTTATTTTATATACTCTTCAATTAATTATTATAGTGAATTTTCTTTTTATGAAAATTGTGAAAGCTATTATTAATCATTATCTTAATCTATTGAAGATTTTTGTTTGGATTTATGATTTGGAATTATTCTTATATTTTTTCTATGTTTATTAATACTCTTGGGTTATGGAGAAATAAAATCATATTGGATTGGAGATTAAGGTTCCCAATTTCTTTAACTTGTTGTTTCTTCATCTCTTGCTAATTGAAGTAAGGAACAAACAGCTTTCTATTCTAGTTTATTCATTTTTGAGACTTATTTTATAAAATAAAATTTATCATTATGTAGACAATGTTTATTATTTCACATATTCAGGTTTTCTTTTTAGAATACTATTATTCAAGTTGAAATAGTTTTTCATTCTAATATAATTTATAAAAGTATACTAAAACTTAAATATATTTTTCTTAATCTTAAAGTATTCTACCACTTTATTCTTCTGCATCTAATCGCTTTTTTTATTCATTTTACAATTTCTCTAATAATTCATCACTTGAAATCTTTTTTATTTAATTTGGTCTTGGTGATATTATTTTAGTTTGCGATAAATTAATGACATTTTTATTTAACTTTAACAATGTTTTAGTTTCTTATAATAATTCATATTGCCATTTTTTAAGAACCTTTAGATTAATATCAACTAAATGAAAACTTGATATTAATTCACCCATATTCATTAGTTTTTATTTAATTTATCGTATTTATTAGACATCTGAAGTATTAATTTAATTATCTTCAATTACTGCATCATTCTCATTTTCTAAATATTATAACTTATCTGGTTCAGATATTTATTTTTCTATTGGACTACTACTCTTACTTATTGATCTTTATGAATTATTTAAGTTAATTGTCATTTTTGGTGAAATAACTCTAAATGAACAATCTCCTTTAGGTGATTTATTTGATTTTGAGCCTAATGGAGGTTTAGGAGAATTGCCACCAATTTATGATCCAACTTAAATTTATTAAGAAGGAATAAACTGTTAAACATTCTATAAATTAAGTTGTACAGTATTTTGTTTTTAAATTTTCGACATAAATATTAGCTATTGATATTAATGTTTCAAATATTAAATTAAATTGAGGAATAATATTATCATTATACACATATTTTGTTATATTCATTATTGCCAAGAATTCTTTTCTAATAATCTCTATTCTAATTATTTGATTTTCTAGATCTTAATAATATAGAAGTAATATATACATATGATTTTATTTCAGATTCTTAACTTTATATTATTTTACTTGTCTACTCTTCTACCATAAGACGATTTCTTCTTTCTTCTGCTAATAATTTTTCAATAATAAAACCAGATGTATTATTATTATACATTTAAGATGATGAACTATCACTTTTTATTAATTATGGATATTCAATTTCTGATAACTTTTTTTATTAATTTATTTCTATTATTTTTTCACAATTAGATATCAATACTTTTTACCATTAAGATAAAATCTATTGAGATAATTAATTAAACTTTATTCCATTAATTTATTAACTAACAAATTTTAGATTATTAAAAATTCTATTCATTTCTTAATCATTTCCTTATTTAATTTAAGAACTCATATTATCAAAATCTACACTTTTATTTTAGCATAGAAGATTTGATATTTTTGATTAATATGATTCCTTATTTATTAAATTAGATTTCTTTTTTTGTTTTTATGGTTAACTACATAGATGATATTTTGTTGTTAATGGAATTGATGTATTTTGATTATTAGGTGTTACAGCTCTTTATGTTGCTACTTCAAAATTTGTTTAAGAATTCTTCTATTTTTGACTTATACTATTTTTTTCTCTGTTTTTTACAGAAAGTATTGATGCAAATAGAGAATTCTAACTAGAGAATAATCCAACTGGAAGTGAATGACGTATTAATTAAGTGGGTTTACCATATCTTTCTGAACTTTTTGGAGTGTTATGATTTTTCATTTATTTTTATTAAGTTGAAAATAATAAACCACACATAGTTAACCTATCTTTATTATTATTATTTTAATTTTTTTATATTAACAACATTATCAATTAAGAAATTAAGAAGTAGATATATATAAGGTATGATTTATTATTATATTTAAATCAAGATATTCATTATAATCAATCCCATTTAAGTAAATTTGAATGATCTTCTATTTTTTAATTATTTATTTATAATATACATTGTTAGTATAATTGATTTATTCATTCAATTATAATGCTATTTATTTTGATATATATTAAATAGTTTTATTGATTGATTTTATTAAATCTTTAATATGATGAATCTACTAAATGAATAATAATGATTCCATTTGATTTTTTTATTAGTAATATTGCAATTATGTTTTCTATTGCTCATAAGTCATTAGTAAAAATTTATTCGTTAAATATAATAATCACTCATCAAAGTTTTCATTAGTACTTATTAATTTCAACAACCTCCCATTTTGAACATGGATAGATGTGTTTGATTTTTTCATATCTGAATTTTTCAATAATCTTACATGTTGTTGAATTTTCAACTTCTATTTCATATTCAATACCTTTAGCTTAAACCTACACAGATCAAATAAATGATATTTTGATTACCTTTCTCTATTCAAATGATAAAATTGGTTATCCAGATCGATTCTTAACTTTATAAGCAATTATATCATGGAAACTTATTTTGTGAGGCAAAATCATTGCATTGGCTACAAAAAGTAAATCATCAGGGCTAAACTCAGTCAACTAAACTTATAAATTGTTTAAATATTACAAATCCAAAATCTCTTATAATCTCTCTTCTTGCCAATTCTAAAAATTCTTTAATTGTTGTTTTCTTTTTGATTCTTAATGTTCGTGTACAAGTTTATGCATCCCAATATTAAAATTTAATATCTATAAGTTAATCCTTTTGTAATTCCATATTTTTCTAATATTCTTCTAATACCTAATAAGATCTAATATATATACCAGTGAATATTCTAGTAAGTTCTTCAATCTTTTTTTCTCGATTCATGTCTGGAAGATACAATGTATCTACACTACTATCTTTTCCATAATTTTTCTTTTCAGTCAATTCTTATTATTCTGAATCAAAGCTTAATAGTGTAGTTTTCAATTTATATTCTTATTTTCTCTTTAATTTTAACTCCAACTTCTTTTTTTCTTCTTCTTCTTATTTAATTTTAAGATCTTAAACATAAATTCTGTCAATATTTTCTCTTTTTCTTTTGAATTCTTCCCTTGTTACTAATCCAATAGTTTTTGACTTAAATTCTTCTTCTAGAATGTCTTAATTAGATTAACCAAAACGCTCCTATTCAAATAAATAAAAAATATTATACTTTTATATTAGTTGTGGCTTTTCTAAGAGAAAGCATAGCTTCCTCTTTTTTTAACTTCTCCAATTCATTGATATCAAGATCCTTATACATTTAAGATTTTTATGTGGTGAAATAATTATAAAATTTAATAACAACAAATTACTCCTTATTAATTTGTTTCAAAATTATATATACTAAAGAATAGCAGTTAACTCAAACAAATCGAAAGGTTTTGTAATGAAATAATCTATTCCAGAGTTAAAACAATTCAACTTCAAATCCATATCACTATAACTAGCCATGGCTATGATAAATCCTTTGTCTACTTGAAATGATTTAAATAGTTATTTTATTTCTCTAATCAATTCCACAGCTGATTGCTATATATATGTTCAATACATACTGGTAAGGAGGCATCAATAAAATACAATAAATAAGAGCCATTTTTGCATCTACAAGGATTAAGAGACTTATTTCTAATCAACTAAAGAGTTTACTATTGTGTAAAAGCCTTATCTGATTTAACTTCATATTTATTAAGTAGAATCTACAAAACTGAAACATTCAAATAATCATTATCTGCAATTATTACTTTTGAACAACATTAATTTGTTAATTTGAACTTTATTACAGAATGTAGAAATTTAGGACTTAATTCTGGAGGATCTATATTTGGATTAGTACTTTCTCCAAAATCTAAAGCACTAGTCATAGGTTTGGAAGACTCATTAACTGCAGAATCACTTTTTATTACTTTAGATGGATTGTTAGTGTTCAAACTTTTAGGAAACAGGGAATCCTATACTTTATAAGTACCACCTGAATTGCTTTAAGCTTATGAACCTAAGGGTCTTATTTAAGGAGATTCCTATTTTATTTTTGATATTTATGAGAAATGAGCACTTTATAAATCAAATGGAACATCTGGTTTAAGTGAGTATTATTTTGATATTTAAGTAAATGACATATATTTCGATTCTTCATTTTTATAATGTGAACTGTCCTATGCTTAAGCCAATAACATAGAAAGTGATGTTTCAAATGCACGTTTAGGTTTGATTTATTAAGCATGATAACCATGTTTACTATTTATTGGAAGTGATTCAATAGTAAATGTGAAAGTACCTTAAAATTGATTATCAAAGCTTAATTCTAAAGGTTTACGAAGAGAACCAGAAAGTAAATAGGCTAGAATTGCTGATACTTGCAATTCCAATAAATTACTCATGTCAAAATCTTTACAATTAGTTTTCATTAATTTTGCAGTGTTTCTTAAAACAGTTTGATATTAAGACTTTTAGTTTTCTTCTTTAAAAGGAATATCTTTAATTTAAAATTGATAATTATTTGGTGATACTTAATGAATATCTATTCTAATTTTAGAAGTTACAGTATATTTAATAGCTATTTCGAAAAGACATTTTAGAATTTGTTTTGTCTAAATATAATATATAGTTATACACGATCTGAATCATTAAAAACTATCATATCACTATCTAGAATTGGAATGATTGAGATTTCCTTAATTTTTAAACAATCCTCATAAATTAATTAGAGTTCATCTAATATATCACCTAATTTAAAGGTTGAATTTCTAAAAATCAATTGATTTGTAAGTTAAAGAGTTAAATCTTTCATGGTTCCTAGAAAAATCATAAATTTTTATGTGCTCATTCTCATTTGTTTTAAATATTCTTTTGATATTTTACCTGTATTCTTTTCATGTTCATGAGAGCATAAAAGAAGTAATAGATGAATAACATTAATGTAATTGTTGGATTCAGAAAGAAAGGTTTAGAAAACATTTTAAAATTGAAGTGGTTCATCTAATACTCTTTTTGAAGACACTTTTTACATAGCCTCAAACATAAAGAGTGTATAAAGCTTTGATTTCACTTCTGTAACTAAAACTTTAATATGAATATTTCTAAAATCAAGTTCATTGCTTTTTATTTTGTACAAAGTAAAAGTAAAGAATTTCCATCTAAAATTAATTATTAAATAATACTTTTAATAATTATTAAATAAAGCTGCTATCATCTATCTTATTTTGTGTAATCCACCTTTAATCTTATATCTACTATGTACAGTACTATCTAAAATTAACGAACTAATATATTTATATTAATGATATACTCTTCTTAATCTAAGTCTAATTCTGAATTTCCAAATAAATCATTTACTTCTCTACTACCAATTTCTATTACAGATTCTAGAAAGATTTACTCATAATCATGGTTTACTCCTTTATTTTATAGATTATTAAGTTTTCCTAAATAAAAATTTTAATAGGTAATCTCAAAATTTTAATTATAGACTAAAATAGATTAATTATGAATCCAAGCCCTAATAATTAATATTAAAATTTAATACATATGAGCTAGGATGTCTTCCTCTTCATTGCATTACATATCTAAGACCATTGGACTATTTTATTAATCTTGACATTCTAAATCAGGAGACTTTAGTGCATTTTCGTTTATTTATAATTATGAAGATTATCTATCAAATTAATTAGACTATTATTTAAGATTGATAAACTTAGTTTATTAAAGTTGAATACTAGTATTTTATTTTTCTTAAATGTTATTCCAATAATCATATAAAACTACACCAAAAATCAATATCATGTAGGGTATTGTTAAGTAAAATTCAAAAATATTTGGTTATAAGATTGAATTAATTGAAGATCCAATCCCAATTATTGCTTTAATAAATATGTCAAATTCAGTTAGCAATATAAGTTAAGCACATATCTACTATTATGAACAACTTTAAGATAGTTAAGTATATATTGTTATCCATTTTAAGTAAATCATCACATGACCTAATTTTTGAATATTAAAATATTGATGATAAATTAAGTATTGATTCACCAGCATTATGAATATATTAATGGAAAGTAATAAAGTCTAATAGATGGAGAAGGATGGATTGATTAGAGCAATGATTATTAAGAAATATATTCTAAATTATTTCATTTATAAAATGATTACTAATTTAGTTCGTAATATAGTACAGTTTGGAGGTACATCAACATTTGAAAAAGCTAGATTGTCAGCTACCTATAAAGGTGACTATTATTATCCAAATGAAAGTGACATTGAAGGTATTCTTGAAAAAATGACTAGCAATTATGCTTACACTTTCCGGTAAGGATCCTGAAACACGTCCTTAAGTTGGATTCACTACAATATTAGCCAAATTAGAATAATCGTAATCTAAAATCTATTGGAATTATATTATTAAAAACCTAATAATCCTAGACAGATGTATTGAGTATAGGTTTTTTGTCTCAGATATAGCAGATATGAATGTCAATTATGTAGAGAATTATGTTGAACGAGATCAAAAATATAGTATATGCATTTATCAATTTATTAGAAAGTTTATCAATGGATTCATTTATTAGAAAGTATTATCTATATTTGAAGAAGAAAGCTGCACTTTATTCAATAAAAAAATCAAGTTTTAATACACCAAAAGAAGAGAAGAAGAATTATTTTAAGTAATAATCAGCTGAAAATATATTTGAAGAATTTAATAAAGGATAACAATTATTTGATTAGATACTTGATGTAAGAATCATATCTACATTATTAGATATCTATTCATGATAAGAATGGATTATTAAAATACAGATTGAATTAATATGTCTATTAATTGTTATTGTTTACAATGCTAAATTTGTATTATAATTCATACATATTGATTGTCATACTAATTGAGAGATTACTTAAAATGCCAATTAATGAAGTCAAACAATTCAAAGATATTTATAATCATTTTCTAAAAAATAATGAAGTTCTTGTAAACTTCATTAATACAAGATTATATATTAAAGGATTTTCTGATATAAATACAAGTGAGATAGCTAGAATTGATACAAGAATAATAGGAGCTATTGAGGAATATGTAAGAATAGCTGAGAAATCATAAAATTCAATTGGATTATCATAAGACATCTAAATATCAGCTGATCTTATTGATGAAGAATTGATTTTTAATTAAGTTGAAATCATCAGAGATAGCATTTCTTAAAGAGATGCTTAAGCTGAACCAAATAGAGGTATAACCCTATTTAATATTTACAGCTGTCGGTCATAAATTGAGTAATATTCAATATACTGTTTAGAAACTCATCAGTTTCGAATCTAAATTAAAAGATTATTAACATAAATACATAAAGAAATATCCATAAAGTGCATTCAATACTGATGGGTTTAAAGAAGATCTATTTAAGAGTTTTGCAAATAATTATTCTACTGAGTATAGTGTAATAGATCCAAAATTATTTAAAACTTTGTCTTATCAAAATGAAAGAGAATCAAGTCAACCTCATTCTAGTATAGAATCTGAATATCATGATGATGGAATTAAAATAGAATTTATTTAACCAATTAATGATTTTGATGAAAATCTATTTTTTTCAATTAAAGATATCTTTTGTTTTGAAGTACCTAAAATTATTGACAATATTGAATAATTTCCTAATGCAGATGAGGAAGACTTTCCTGATTATAAAGATGAGGAAGATAATTATTGATTAAGTTATATATATATATATATTTTATTATCTATTAAAAAATATGTATTATTATTTAAAATATGGATTATTAAAATTAACATATTTAGATCATTAATAATTTTAATAAAATAAAATACTTTATTGACTTAATATTTGATATAGATATAATATATAATCACATACATTTATTAATTTTGATACCCTGTAATAAAGGTTTTTGCTCTTGCTTAACCTTCTTTTGTATGGGGGGATCTTTGGGTGGCTATCCATCCTATTCTATTCTGGGCATCCTGCCTTATCGATATAATAAATCACATGACAAAGATCCTGGTTTGGAAGTATTAGTGTTTTAATGCTTCTTTGGCTGTAATCCTCTTTGCAGGATTAAGTGTCAGCATTCTATCAATTAGATCTATTAGTTAAGGCATGGCATTTGAATTAGCGTGCAAATACTTTCGCAATGTTCTTTCCTTTGGTCCATTTATATAGTCATGGTAATGTGGAAGTGAATTCACATCTGACCAATCATCATAAAAGAAAAAATAAAATTCAAACCTTCCATAGGAGTTCCACAAAGATCAATTATTTTTGAAAAACATTGAGATTCCGATTTTGCCAACATAAAGGGACTTTGTTTTACAATTAGCTCAAGAAAGAGGATGCCAGCTGACCACACATCAACCGAACAATCGTACTGCTATTCTTGTTAAATACGAAGCAAAATACACCGCCCAAGTAGATTTCAGGAGCTCTATATTGGGGAACCAATATACGCTTTGTTTATGGTCTCTTTTTTGAATATTCATTGGCCATTCCAAAATCGCAAATCTTTACTTATCCCTTATCGTTATATAGTATGTTATTAGCTTTAAAATATAGTTGTGGATACGCTTCAAATCCCTATGGTATACATTCCTAGAATGTAGATAAGAAAGAGCATCAAGTATTTAATACATCAAACATCGAACTTAATCTAAATTAAATACTATTCGCCTCTACAAAAGATTATGCAAGTCTGTGTCCATGTATTCCAAGACCAAATAAGTGTTCTCTATACATAATTACTGCTTTTTCCTTACTAGATTAAACAACAACTTCTTGAAAACTCACTATATTTTCATGCTTTATTGATGAAAGCAAATGAATTTCTCTCATTGCCGTTCGTGGAAACTAATTACTTAAACACATTTTACTCCATTGGCCTCTTTCTCTTGCTTTATTTTTTTTAAGGCAACAATCTACTTATTCAATTTGTTTTGAGCCTTAAAGACCTATCTACTTAATAGAGTATTAAATCACCCGTATTTTCCTTATCCTACATGCTTTTAAATGATGTAGGTCTAATTGAGATCTTATGCAGGCAACTGGCTAGTAGTTGTTCTGCATATTTATACACCCAAATTTCCCAACATAATATTTTGGGAATTTATTAATATATAATAAAGTTCATATATTCAATAAAGAAAATTTAGTTGATTTCTTCCTTTAAACTTTATGTCTCTCCATCAATATATCTATTAAATATATTAACACTTTAAAGATTTAACCTTATCTATGTAAATGTAAATTCGCTCATTATTAATTTAAATTTTAAAGACTAAAATAATTGTAGATATAAAAAATATTAATGATAATGAGGATGTTATATTCAATTTTTAATGTAACAATAGTAATTAGAAATAGATATAATTATTCTTAAAAGAATTTCCTTAGATATGTATTTAAATATTCTCTGAAAATATTAATCTACATGACCCCGTTATTATTTTTATTTTTTCTACAAATGGAATCCTATATTATTATTTATAATATATATCCATAAAAGTAACTTTCACACTATGTATTAAATTGCAATTTTAATTAATTTTTATGATTAGGTTAAATAAAAGAATATTGATATACTATGAATTAATTTATATAATAATAAAATATTGAATCAAAACAATTACTTATAATTATCATTTTTCAATTTATCAAAAAGATATAAGGTTTAAAGGAATTATTTTTTACACTTTGAAAATTAATCTACAATTCCAACTGTGATGATATTTTAAGAATTAATTATAATGATTGCATTATCGTCACCATCTTTCAAAATAGATTTCTTTTCATCATGTATTGTAACATAAACTGAATTAAAATAAAACAAGTACAAGTTTTTTCATCAAAATCAAGATGACTTTATCGAAATTCACGCGTATTATAATTTTGATAATTTTGTAGTAAATTCATTACATCTGAGAAATCTATTTTTTATTATTGTTTATGAAGAATTGCTATAGGTGGTATGTAGGTACATTATAGATTAAGGCTATCCTTTTAAATAAATTTATTCAGATTTGTATTTGAATTTGGAAATTGCGCTAAGTATTTTTCTAAGTCCATTTTTGTTAAACAAATATTTAATTTATATAAAATTCAAGAAATAATACAACATTTTTATGAATTTTTGAAATCCTTCAATTCAGCTAAATCTATTGGCTTGTCTTAAGTACTTTCTTCCAATTCACAAAAATACAATGAAAATGAATCAATAAGAATAACATTAAATTGTAGATACTATTGATATGGCATATATATATACCTCTTATTCTTAAGTATCATCAATAGGGGGACATGCAATACCTATTACATAATGAGGGATCTATTAATGTTTCAAAATTCGAATGGAATTTTTTAACAATTAGAATTATTGATAATTTTGAAAAATACATAAAGTAAGTTGATTTTGTAAATGGAGTGGATTTTCTGATGGTCTCTAATTGTATAATTAAGATTACACAAACAATAATTTTTGATAATGCTATTGAAATTGTTCTTATATGAATTAGGGATATCCTTAAACCCCCAATATTTACACAATTCTTCTTTACATAAATATTAATTTAAATTGAATGAGTAATAGTTTGTATCATTTATTTCTGCTGAGTTTCTTGATATCAGTTCATTGTAAAATAAAAGTATCAGAGGTATGTACATGTTTGGATTTGAAATCAGAGAATGATTGTTAATAAAATGAGAAATGTATATGGAAGAATAAAACTTGTGAATAGAAGATGGAAGAGTAAGTAAAAGAGACTGAACCAGAGAGTATATATTGTAAAGATTTAACATAAGAGGTTTGTATAAATAAAATAGGTTGTGCATACTACAATAAAAAATGCATTCAATTTAGTGGATGCACTAGCTATGTTTATACAAGTCATATTGAATGTTAATAAGTAAGTATGTAATGTACAAGCAATGGGATATAATGTATAATACCAAGAGAGTGTTATTTAAATGAAAATGAAACATTATGTACTACAGTGATAAGTTCATCAGGATCAAAGAAATGCGTTTGGGAAAAAACAGTATGCAGAGATTAAATATGTAATGAAGCACCAGAGTTTTTTAGTAGTGATGAAGCATGTAATAATTTTATCAAAGGATGTGTTACAAATGGAAGAGGATGTGTAACAAAAAGAGTGAATTGTTATTATTATGATAAAGATTGTAATGGTATGATTGGAAGTGATGGATTATGTGAATCAAAAGATAATAAATGTTAATCTAAGGATTGTGCTAATGCTCCATTGACATATTATACTGATCAATAATGTCAATCTTTTAGAAAAGGATGTAGAACAACAGGTGTTGGATGTACAGATCAGGCATTGCAATCATGTACTACATATACTGGAGATAGTGATATATGTTTAAAATACATAGGAAGTAGTGGTAAATGTGAAGAAGGTTAGAAGGGTAAATGTTAAGCAAGGACTTGTGAAAATGCACCAAAGTCATATACAACAGATGAAGAATGTAAATCATATTCACCTAAATGTAAAACTACAGGAATAGGTTGTGTTACAGTTCTATTGAATTGTAGTTCATATACAGGTATTTAAATGGAATGTGAAAGAAGAATAGGGGCAGATGGAAAATGTACAGGTTTAAGTTCTGAAGAATCTTAATAATGTAGAGTTAAGATTTGTTCTGATGCTAAATTTTCAACTGATAGTGAATGTGGATAATATTAATATAATTGTATTTCTAATGGTGTTGAATGTACTACATTTTTGATGAATTGTAATAAATATCAAGGAGATGCTGAAAAATGCAATAGATATGTAGGATTAGATGGTAAATGTGCAGAAGGATAGAATGGATATTGTACAGTAAATGCTTGTGAGAATGGTAAATTTAAAACTAATGAGGAATGCAAAAATGTTTAATCATATTGTTTAAGTAATGGAACTAAATGTGTATAGAATGACACTTGTCCAAATACATTATAAAAGATAACTTGTTTAGCAAATGATAAATGTTAATGGACTGAATAATGTGTAACTAATTAATGTAAGTATTTTCCAACAAAAGGAATGTGTTTAAGACATTCATCAACTGTTGAATGTTTTTGGGATGGTTAAAGTTGTATTGACAAATAATGTAAACATGCTGGTTAAGAATATAGAACAAATACAGATTGTTAATATTTTCTACCTTAATGTGTTACAAATGGTTAAGGTTGTGTGGATATATCAGATCCTTGTGAAGAATATTTAGGAGATGAAGATACATGCACATATTACAAGGGCAATAATGGTAAAATACCATGTGTTTATAATTCTGCTACTAAAAAATGTCGTTCAAAAGTATGTTAAGATAATTTATATGCTCAATCACAAAAAGATTGTGATAACACTTTAGAAGGATGCAAATTTACAGGAAAATATGGATGTGTTAATGAAAATGCAGAATGTAAAGAATTTTTTGGAGATTCTAAATAATGTAATACTTTGAATAGTAAATGTTCCTAAAATTTAGGAGAAATTGGAAATTGTCGTCCTTTAGAATGTTATGATAATTAGACAGCATTAGAAGATTATGAATGTAATTTATTTAAATCTGGATGTGTTACTAAAGGTGTTGGATGTATATCATCAACTGCTCCATGTACATAATATGTAGGTAATTCAATAATGGATTGTTCTAAATTTATTGGAAATGGAAAGTAATGTTGGTATGAATAAGGATTGCCTAGTTAATGTGCAGATAAATAATGTAGTCATAATGTTGATGCATAAGATGATTAGGAATGTAATAGATTCTTATAAGGTTGTGTATTTAATAAGAAGGGATGTTAAGATCCATAATTAACTTGTGATACTTATATGGGAGATGAAGATACATGTTCAAAATATAGAGGGAATGGATTATAATGTGTAAGAATAGATTATTGTGAAGATCGTAAATGTTCAGATGTATAGAATCCTTTATCTTTAAAAGAATGTGAAGATTATTTATCTCATTGTGCTTTTGATGGTGGAAATTGTATTGAAAAAAATTATTGTGATTCTTATTATGGATACTCATAAGAATAATGTTAAATTTTAGTAAATTTAGATGGTGATTTATGTACTTATAATGAGATAAATTTATATTGTACTAATCGTAAATGTAATGATGCAAAAAATGTTAATTCATAATAAGATTGTACATCTTATAGAAAGAATTGTATTTTCAATGGAATTAATATGTGTGAGGAGTTATAAAATAGTTGTTCTTAATATAATGGATTTACTGAATAGGGATGTAAAGATGCAAGAAATAAGGAAGGAAAAGGATGTTGGTATGATAGAGATGGAAAATGTAAAGAAAGAACATGTTCAGAAGAATTATTAGCATATTCAACTGAAATTTGTTAAAAACATGATTCTAGTTGTATATATACTGGAATAAGATGTACTAAGAAATAGAATAATTGTATTGATTATAAAACATTGAGTTTAAGTGAGTGTAGATTTTTATCAGATTGTTGGAAATTAGAAGATGATAATAGTCCTTGTTAAAATAGATCATGTAATGATAGTGTAGAATCTCCATCAGATTAAAATTGTAGAAATCATTTATAGACATGTAGATTTAATGGTGAGAATTCATGTGTTGATGAATAAGATGATTGTAGTAGTTATATTAATTTTACAATGATTGCTTGTTAAGTAGTTACAAATAAGAAGGGAGAGAAATGTTGGTTCAAAAATCTAAGTACAACTTGTGTAAATAGAACTTGTTAAGATAATTTACCATTTTTTTCTGCTGAAGAATGTGTTAATCATTTGAGTACTTGTAGATATTATGGAATTAAATGTTAAGATGCAAAAGATACATGCTCTCAATATATTGGATTTTCAAAAGAAGCATGTACATAAGTTACTACAAAAACTAATTAATCTTGTTGGTATTAAGGTTAGAGTACTATTTGTATTGATGCAACATGTGATAATTATATTAAAGATGCTTCAACAGAAAATTGTTATAAACATTCATCTTCATGTAGATATAATGGTAGTAGATGTATTTAAGCAATGATGAATTGTTCTTAATATATAGGTTCTAATTAATTATGTACTTAATTAACTGATGCTAATAATAATTAATGTTGGTATGATATTAGAAATAATTAAGGAATGGATAATAATTGTATTTAAAAAGAATGTTCTAATAGATAAAATGTTTATAATTTAGATATATGTTAAAAATATATAGGTAAAACTATTAATGATAAATATATTCCAAATTGTACATATGATGGAATCAAATGCATTAATATTTAAAATTATTGTTCATAATATATTGGATATAATAGTTAATAATGTCTTTATGTGACTACTTTAAGTGGTGAAAGTTGTTTCTAAGATCAAAATAATAGTAATATGACATGTAGAGCTAGAAGATGTTCAGATAATTAAACAGCTGTCAATGATCTTTAATGTGATTAATTTTTATAAGGATGCAAAACTACTGGTAGAGGATGTACAGAATCAACAAAATAATGTAATAATTATAGAGGCACTTAATCTAGTTGTTTGAAATTTGTAGGTAATGGAAAGAAATGTAGAGGATAAAATATAATTACAAAATGTTCAGTTAGAGAATGTTTTCATGATTAATAATCTACTACAGATATTGAATGTAATTCATTTATGGAAGGTTGTGTAACAAATGGTTAAGGTTGTATATCTTCATTAGAACCATGCAATAGTTATATTGGAAATCTTGAAAAATGTTCTAAATTTAAAGGAAATGGAAAATTATGTTATTCAGATAGTCTTGTAGAAATTAAAACATGTAGAGATAGATAATGTTCTGACAATTCAAAAGCTATTACTGATTTTGATTGTAATAAATTCATGCCAGGTTGTATTAGTAAAGGAATTGGATGTATTGAAGATACATAACCATGTTCTAGTTATTATGGAACATAAGCTTAATGTAGTAGATTTAAAGGAGAAAAAGGTACAAAACCTTGTTGGAATAATGGTAATGCTACTATTAAGACTAGATGTATAAATAGAGAATGCAATCATTTATCAAGAGGTACTAATGATATAGAATGTAATTCATTTTTAGAAGGATGTGTAAGTGATGGATTTTAATGTCTTACAAAACGTAATTGTTCATAATTTTATGGAAGTATTAATACTTGTATATTATTTGATGCTTTGGATAAACCATGTAAAGGAATAGATAATACTATTCAATAATGTAAAAGATTATTATGTATTGATGCACCAAATAATTATGATACAGATGAAAAATGTAATCAATTTAAATCTGGATGTAAAACTACAGGATATGGATGTACTGATATTAATAAATGTGAAATGTTATCTTCTAAATATTTATGTAAATTAAGATCTGATTGTTAATATATTGATGGATGTTTAAATAATACAAAATTATGTTAATAAATTACAAAATATTCTTAATGTTAGAATAATGCAAATATGAAATGTAGTTGGAATTTAATAACTTAATAATGTAGAGAATGGATTTGTTCAGATGCAAGTGTTCTATTAAAAAAACATGAAGATTGTTAAGCATTGAATTCAAATTGTACAACAACAGGTAATGGATGTATAGAAATTAATCATTGTAATAAATATATCAATAAATAAACATGTCTCAATGCCATTTCTTTAGGATATTCAAAAAAATGTGTTTGGGAAATTAATAATTGTAGAGATAAAGTGTGTGAAGATGCACCTGAAAATTTTACAGAAGATTCAAATTGTTAATAAATATCACCAGAATGCATTACAGCTGGAAATGGATGTACTCATAAACTATATACTTGTAAAAGTCTTAACATTAAATCTAAATGTACATAAGATTATTAAGGTCGTCCTTGTCTATGGATTACTTAAAACAATACTTGTATCACTTTTTCATAATGCTCAGATATCAATAAAACAACATTTGCAGAATGTTAACTCTATTCTAAATTATGTACTAGTAATGGTGAAAATTGTATACCTTTTTCAAAATGTTCCTAATATACTAATACTATAAGTTGTAATACAGGTACTGATGGTGTTTGTGGATGGGTAATTGGATAATCTGATTAATTACAAAGATGTTAAACATTTTTATAATGTTCTGATATTCTTGGACGTACAAAAGAAGATTGTTAATATTATTCAAATACTTGTACTTCTGATGGTTTAAAATGTATTGAAATTGGAAATTGTTCATCTTATTTAACTAAAATAGCTTGTAATTCAATTGGAAAAGATGGCTCTTGTTTTTGGGATGAATCAACAGAATAAGCTAATTGTAGACTTTAATAATGTCAAGATTTTCCTTTAATTCCATTAATGACACATTAATATTGTTCATCATATAATCCTAATCTAAATTGTACTACAAATGGAATTAAATGTATTAATAAATAAAATTGCTCAAACTATTTAGAATAAGCCTGTTATGAAGGTATTGATGGACCATGTATTTTTACTTTCCCCTTAAATAGACCTTCTGGTACAAAATAATGTAGAGTTAAAGATTGTGTAGATTATAATGAAAAAACAACTGCAGCTTGTTCTAAATTATAATCTGGTTGCATCTCTAATGGAATTAAATGTCTTTAAAAATAAAAATGTTCTGATTATACTACTTAAATAGCATGTGAATCTGATGGAATTGATGGTATATGTATTTTTGATGGATAAAATTGTTCATTAATGACTAAATGTGAAGATGCTAATAATAGTTTTATTGCTTGTTCTAAAAAACCTAAAGTTTGCTATTTTGATTATGATAAATTAAATGATACTGATATAACAACTTGTAAATCCATAAATTGCAATAATAGTCCTAATTGTTCTCCTATTTTAAATTTTGATGAAACCTAATTAACTGTATGCATTTAAAAAACTTAAAATGAATGTATTGAAGGTGAACCCTATATGCTTGTTTAAAGTAGATGTTATTCTAAGAGTCTTTATACATATTCTTGGAATACTAGTACTTCTTAATGTGAAAAATGTGTAAAATCATAGGTAATAGTTTAACCTTCTATAACTGACATTTATTAATGGAAACTTACATCTATCATTCTAGTATTTTTAATCATAGCAATTTGAAATTAGATTTAGATGTAATCTTATTATTAAATCTATATCAAATAATATTAAAATGTATTAAGAATAAATATATATTAATCATTTCCACTCGTTTTGCATATGAGCTCTTTATTCATAACTCCAAGCTGCTAGTCCTTTAGTCTTACACTTATCATTATCCTTTTATATTGATAATTAATAATTCTATTCAATTCTCTCTTGTATTTCATTCTAATGCTTACGAATTCTATTTAATTTATTCTCATAAATATTCTTCTCTTTCTCTTAATCTTCTCTCAAATACCTTAAACGAGCATTCTTTTCAAATCTCCCATCTTCATTTAAAAAAAGAGCAGAATCTTATGGAGGTCTTTGAACATTTAAAAATGTATTTTTATGTTATGGAGTTGCCCCAAAACGAGTAGCTCCTTTTAATTATTACATGCTCTATGAAGTATCTTCAAAAGATCGTGTTATTTATGGTAATTTAGTCTTCATATTTTCATTTCTTTCTTTGGCAGGATATAAAGAAGGTACTACTCCTACACATCCTTTGTTATCAAACAATGTCATTCCAGGATATAATTTAGATGAAAATTCTTAAAAATTAACTGAACCCTTCTTTTCTGGATCCAAATAATGTATAAGTAATTATTCTTCATTATTTGATAAAATATGTAACTCTTAGAGTTTCTTTTTTAAATCCTCATGAGATATATAACCTAATATTGATATTAAGATTTACCATCCTTATCTTTATCAAATGAATTAAAGACATCATATTATCTAGCACTGGCTTTAAAGATACATTATTCCACTTTTTATAACATTTAACCCATTTCAGGTGAAAATTTATTAGACAAAGATGATAATCCAAATCCTGGATCATAGAATGAAGATTTTTAAGTATCTTGAGCAGGTAAACTTAATTCTACAGCCTTATTTAATGGTGCAGGACCTTTTCTCTTTTAAGAACATCTCTCATAAAAATCATCATCTCCTTCTTCATAAACATAAAAACCCACCATATCTTTTGGAACTTATAAATTATTATATTAAATTATTGAAAGAAATGCACCTAAATCTTTAGTATCAATTGTCTCTCCACAATTCGATAGATATTATTATAATTAATTTGTTAGATCTGGTGCATTTATGTATTAAACTTTAAGGGGATTAAGAATCTATTCAACAAATTAATTTTTTTCAGGTAGATATCTTTACAATACTTTAATCATTCTAGTTGCCCTTTATCTTAAATTATTTAAGTGATGAGAATTGATTTTTGTACAATCAAAAATATGCACTTTCTCTTCCTATTATAAAGGATTCAAAGAGATAGTCATAACTGGTTTTTATTTCTTTTCTTCCTTCTATACATATTAGCTTTATAACTCAAATTCTTTAACATTTTTTAAAAAGTTCCTATAATCAATTTAATATTCGTCCTTCTTAAATTTATCATAAAACTTCTTAATTATTTCATCATTAACAATCTTTTCTGATATTTATAATCTATTTTTAATATTATATAATACTTCTATATAGCTTCACTAAATCTTTCAAAATTAACATGTCCTTATTTAGATGGATCTAATTCTTAAAAGGCATTATTTAATTGAGATAGTTTATTCTTCAATATCAAACTCACTTAATTAATTTATCTATTCTCAATTTGAGCTTGCATTTTCTCTCTCAATACATCCTATATTTAATCATCCTCTCCTTCTAATAGTTATTATTCTTATTCTCCATTCAGAGTTTTTAATTTCCCTAAATCAACATTCAAAGCCTCATTATCATTAAATATTAAATTCATGAATTCATCTAGATTCAAATCTCCACTATAATCTTCATCAGCACTTGCTACCAATACACGAACTTCATCTAAATTCATATTTAAGCCTAGTTTTTTAATCATATGATAAATGTTTTTCACAGTAACTTTGCCTTTTCCTTCTTCATCCCAAAGTGTAAAAATCTTTTAAAAATTCTTACGATTTGCATATCTTCTTCTAATGGCTCTTCTTATTTCCTTTACTTTTGTTATATCAACCTTTCCTTCTAATGTATTTTTAGCATATTCCTCCATTCCAACCAATTAAGTTTCCTATATTGCCTAACCATGTTCATCTCTTTTGGCTTAGGCAAGATCAGCTTTTTATGTAGCTGACATACCAAAATACTATTACTTGATGACTATCTATATTGATGAGCTTTTTATTGTTCTCTCCCATCAACATCTGTGTATATTAAAGATGAATCACCAACCCAAACTGGTTTTCGTTTTGGCTTCTCTTCAAGATGAGCAAATCTTTATATTTTATAAGATTTACCTAGGTCGACTAATTTAAGGGTGTTATTTGATAGTTTTATGAGCACTTTTATAAAATTCTTAAGATTGAGAAAGTGGATTTTAGATTGTAGCTGCTAATCTCTTAGCAATTACTTCATCAAATTTTTATTCTCTTGCAGTTGACAGAAACTCTAATCTTGGTGCATCCTCAGGTCTTTTTCTACCAAGAGATCGATATTCAAAGTTTGTTTTGCCATGAAGTTTCACTCTCTCCTTTCTAAATTACATTTATTATAAATATATGTAATTAAATTATGTTTTATAAACAATAATAATAAAAATAATTCAATATATCTGTTTTAAGTAAAGACTAAAAATTCATGCTCTAAATTTGATATTATAATCAAAAATAAATTTAGTGATTTGTATATTTAATAATATATCTAATTCAGAATCTTAATTCTTCTATTGAGATATTTATGCCAATTTTTTTTCTTTATTCATGGTTCATAAATTGGCATACTTCTTAAATAGTCTATTTTATGTTAATATATAATCAAATTGATATTAAATTAGTGTAATTTTGAATTTTATATATTAAAAGAAAGAAAATCTTATTTATAATTCTTTACAAAATGTGAATTATACAAATATCAAAAAAACTTAAAAATTAAAAATATCGTTTCATATAAGATTAGTTTCACTTGAAATATTATTGTTTATCATATAATTCAATATTTGAAAGTTGTAATACAGAAACTATATTTCATAAATTGTAACAATAATTGATTTTTTATTGTATTTTATTTAAAAAATGGGAAATGCATGTCGTTGTTAATAATTTACTTCTGAGAACATGGAACTTATATCAGGTAGAAGCGAGAACGTGAATAAAAAAGGAGAAAGTATAACAATTCCTCAATAAAATGGAACAACTGTCTCCAAAAAGACAACTCATAAATAAAATGATGATGATGGAGATGAAGATTAATAAGTTTAAGAAGTATAACAAATTGAAGTATTTCATCATTATTTAAATTAGCTAAAACGTGGAGATAAAAAGAAATAGGCAAAGATTAATGCAGTGTCAGATACAGTGGAGATATTTGAAAATATCAAGAAGCTAGATAAAAGAAAATCACCATTTGATTACTAATTAATGTTAAATGCTTTCAATGAGCATTTCATCTTTAAATCTGTACCTTAGAGTGACATAGAATATGTAGTTGATTAAATGTTTTATTGTACTGTTCCAGATGGATAATTTGTATTCAAGTAAGGAGATAAAGCAAGTTCATATTTTTTGATTGAGAGAGGATAGTGTTAAATTATAATTAATGGTGAACTTAAAAAAACTTTAAAAAGTGGAGATGCTTTTGGTGAATTGGCAATGCTTTATAATGCACCTAGAAGTGCTAGTGTCAAAGCTATTGGAGGTATATTTATTATTGTATATAATTAGATTGTGCATTTTGGGCTATAGATAGAAACACATTTAGGAAGGTAGTTGAGTAATAAAATTAGAGAAGTTATGAAGAAAATAGAGAATTTATGAAGAAGGTTGAATTTTTTTGTAATAATAATCAATTAATATTAAAGCTTTTTTAACTGAAGAATAAAGAGATGCAATTTCTAGTGTTTTAATTACTTTAATTTTTAAGAAGGGAGAAATTATAGTGTCTGAAGGTGATGTGGCCAATTCTTTTTATATAATCAAAAAGGGTAAGGTGGCAATCATCAAGGGAGATAAAGAAGTATCTTAAATGAATGCAGGAGAATCTTTTGGTGAAGCTGCATTATATCAAAGTTGTTAAAGAGCTGCTACAGTAAAAGCAGCAGAAGAAGAAGTGAGATGTCTATCTTTATCTAAAGATGATATTTAAAGAATATTAGGTTAAAAAATATAGACTGTTAAATATATAAATACTTAAAAATGGGCCTTGTAATAGAGTCTTTTGTTAGGAAAGTTAACATCAATTTAGATTGAGAAGATTCTATAAAACATTAGATAGGTTCATTATGAGAAAAATGAGATTATTATAAAAGCAGATTAACCATGCACTAAGGTTTACATAATCTTAGAAGGAGAAATAGCTACAGTAACACTTTATTTCGTAATTATAAGGTCTATAGATTCCCTCAAAAAAATTAGTATTGGGTAAAGGTAAAATATTTGGAGAACAATTCTTGAGATCTTAAAAATAAGACAATAAAGTTACAGAAACAATTTAAGTCTAAACTGATGAATCTATAATTGCAGAATTTGAAATAAAAATGTTCTTTGATATGATTGGGGGTAGTGTAGAGTAAATGATATAGAAAAATGAAAATTCACATGAATAAAAATATTTAAATAAGACTAATGTATATTAAAAGAAAGATTATTCAAATTTAAAATTAGATAATTTAATTTGTATAAAAAAATTAGGATAAGGATAATTTGGTAATGTTTATTTGGTGAGAACAGCATAAGAAGATAAACTATATGCATTAAAATGTATTAGTAAAGCTTAAATTGTTGAATAACATTTAGAAAGACATTTAGCTGTAATGAAATATTATATAAAATTAGTAAGAAAAATAAGTGTTATCAACTATTAACTTTCCATTTTTGATGCAATTTTATAAAAGTATGAAGGATTAGAATTACATTTATTTCTTAGTAGAATTTATTAAAGGAATGGAATTATTTGATGCTATTAGAGAAATAGGATTATTGACTACTAGTGATTCACAATTTTATATAGGTTCCTTATTAATATGTGTAGAATATTTACATAAATTGTAAATTATTTACAGAGATATCAAACCAGAGAATATAATGGTTGATGAGAAAGTATTTTATATATTATATAAATATTAGGGTTATTTAAGAATGATAGATATGGGAACAGCAAAGTTTTTAAATTAGAAATCAATTAGAACATATACTATTATTGGAACTCCTCATTATATGGCACCTGAAATTATTACAGGTAAAGGATATACATTTACTGTTGATCTATGGTCAATTGGAGTATGTTTATATGAATTTATGTGTGGTGGAGTACCTTATGCAGAAGATGCTGATGATCCTTATGAAATTTATGAAGAAATTCAAAAAAAATCAATTACTTTTCCTCCTTTTATGAAAGATAAGAAGGCAAAAAAATTTATAGAATAATTGTTATCAAAAACACCAGAGGCTCGTTTGGGTGGAGGCTATGCTTCTCTTAAGGCCAATTCTTGGTTTGATAAATTTGACTGGGTAATTATTCATATATATTGACATAGGACAAATTAATGGATAAAGAATTGAAGCCTCCTTTCTTACCTAAGAAATCTAGAATGATTTAAGAAAAAGATATCTAATCAGCTGTTATTCATAACAAATTAGCTTCAAAGGAAATCAATTCAATTGGTGTACCTTATAAGAAGGAAAAAGCAAGAGATCCAAACTGGGATGCAAATTATTGATATTATCAATCAAATATACTCATAAACTATAGAAATTAAGTTGATTCTTAAGTTATTATATAAATGGGAATTCAGTGTTCAAAATGTAAAGCAAAGCCATAAGAACAACAATTAGAAATTCATAATTTATAAGATTTGCCTCAAAATTAGCCAACATCTAAAGAAGCTCTTATTTTTTGTGATTCAAATGATTTGGCTAATTTCATGAGAACAAAACCAGTCAATACTTTTCTTGGTGATATAATTAAAAAGAAATAAATAAGGTTGGATTCTTGTGATAAAATGGCATCTATAATTGAAAGCAAATCTGAAATAATATTGAGATGCTATAATGATTACACAGAGAAAGCTCTAAAAATTAAGCTGAAGGTCTTAAAATACTATTATGAGAATTATTTAATATATATATAGCAAACAAATGATACAAATGGAACCAAAGAACTATTGGCTAATGAAACAATGCAAGTAAGATTTATATATTTAATCTTCAAGCTATTACTTGAAACTATAATCATTATGAATTGTTTGATGGACAAAAACTTTGATTAAGACTAAGAGTTATGGTGGGGAGATGGTTATTATGAAGTTAGAATCTTGACACTTAATGTTTATAAAGATACATCTCAATCAAATGATAAAATAATTTAACCCATTTTACAATATGTGAATGCTTTAAAAATTAAAATTGCTCAAACAATACCTTTTCATGATTTGTAAAAAGTAATGGAATAGCCTTAATCAATTGCAAATAGCACAGCAATTGCATAAGTTCATCTTACTAAATTTTATTCTGATCTAAAATTACAATTTGTAAGAGATGTTGAGGAGGAAAAAGTTAATGCTTGATAATATATATAAATTTATTTTATTAAATGAATTAGCCTTATCTTCATCCTGCTCAATAAATTAATTAAGACTCAGCACCAAAAGAAACGCTTTATGTTACTGGATTGAATGATAAAGTTAGATTGGAAGACTTAAAATTTGTGTTATACATTCTCTTTTCCTAATTTGGAGAAGTCTTATAGATTGTAATGAAAAAAACATAAAAATTAAGAGGTTAAGCTTTTATTGTATTTTAAAATATTACTTATGCCACCAATGCCAAATCAGCCTTATCTGGAATGATGGTTTATGAAAAGCCTCTAGTATTTTTGTTAATTTATTTAGATTATTGAATTTGCATATAAAAAGAGTGTAATTTTTGATAGAATGGAAGGCAAATTTTATTACAAGTAGAAATAATAAAAAGAATTGCAACCAAATATACCTACAGATTTAATTAAAGAGAGGAAATAAAAAAAAATAGAAGACAAATTGAATAACAATACTGTTTTCAATTAAGGAGAAGTTAATAATGTGTTATTGATAGAATCATTACCATCATTTGTCACCGAAAATATGTTATCAGAGTTATTTAGACAATATCCTGGTTATTCATTAATTAAGTTAATAAATGCAAGAGGATTGGCCTTTGTTGAATATTAAAATGATGATCAAGCTACTGTAGCATTAAAAGGACTTAGCAATTTTAAAATTACTCCTGAATGCCAACTCAAAGTTAAATATGCAAAAAAATGAGAAGTAAATTAAAAAATCGTATATTTCTTAATATATATATATATATAATATCAAACAACGAATACTCCATATTTCATTTTATTTAATTACTAAGCTTTTTCTAGGTTCTATTATGCAATTAATTCGATTTCATTTTTTGTAAATTTTTTATCCATATATGGTTAAATATCTGTAGTTTTAAATAATAAGCAGGTCCTTAGTTCTAATTCAATTTCACTCTACAAAATTCATTTAATAACTTTACAGTTTATTCTAAAAGTCCTTTTTACATTAACTTCCAATTTCCAACACCAACTTTTTCTAATTACTCTATTAAGAATTTTATTTTCTCCTCTGCCCAATATTAGCCTTTTTTGACTAAGAAATATTAATGATTAACAGTTCCATCAGGTTTACATATATGATTGTCTGATAAAGCTAATCTCATTTTCTTAGCATATTCCTCTCTACTTATTGTACTCATTAGAAATTGGCGGTATTTAATAATAAATAATGAAATATTAATCAAAAACATAATAACATAAGCATTAGCTAATTTAAATAAATAATATTAATGACAATACATTATGATTTCATAAAACTATTAATAGCTAAAAATTTATATATATACAGGCAAAATTATTTTATTATTATAATCACAATCCTTATTTTAGTTTCTCATAAAATTCATTTATATCTTTGAATTTACTCTCAATTTAAATTAACTTATATTTTCCCTTACCTCTATTTTATACTTATATAGATGTTTTCTTAACTCCTAAAGTTTAAGCAATGAAATCACGTAATTCAGCATTAGCTTCTCCATCTTTAGGAGGTGCTGCAATATTAATATCGACAGCCTCATCAGAAATGCCTGTAATTTAACTTATTTTAGAATTAGGTTTTACATTGATGATGATGAGAAAATAGAGGTCTGAATTAAAATAAATTGTTTTAGGTATGACTATTTATTAATTCATTAATTATATATAAATATTCATTCTTCAATACCAAATGCAATTTAAAGTTTGTCAACTAAAGGAGTTCCTCCAATTTCAATTGCTGCATTAAATATATCTCCAATTTTTATTTTACAAAGCTCTAATTCTTATAACAATTTTAGGCATTTTCTCTCTAATTCATCATTTGCTGACAATACTCTTTCTAATTCAGTTTGATAATCTTTGGATACTTTAATTTTTTCATTTGTTAAATGATAAATATATTCTTCAAGTTCTCTAATTCTTCCAATTTCATTCTATTAAATATTTCTTTAATTAACAAAAGCATCATCTTTTTTATTTAAATCTTCAAATTGTTAATGAATTAAAGACTCTCTTTTACTTGCATATGTACTTGTTCTTATTTATATAATACTATTTCTTTATATTCCTTATTCTAATTTAAGTAATTATAATTCTGCTATTTATTATTATAATTCTTCTATATATTGTTAATTTTATTTTAATTATTCTTAACAATTACATTACTATTATTTTTCTTATGTTATCTTTTATGGAGTTCCTATTCCTTATTGAAATTTTGATAATTAATCTTTGAGTGTCTGTATTTATTCTTAGAGTTCTAGTCTCCACTTTTTCTCTTTTTCATAAGATTGTTTGGTTTGCTAATTTTATATTTTATATTAATCGAGTGTTTAAGTAATTGTTTCTTCCATTTGAATATTATATTATTCAAGTTCTGCAATTAATTCTTAACCCTTCAAAATCTCTTAATTCTTTTCTTTAATTGATTTTTACTATTCTGCCATTTTAGCCTATAATAATACCTTCTCTTATTAGGCCTCAGCCAATTATTATTTACATTTCATCATGTTTTACCTAACGTTATTGAGTTATGATTTAGTCTCTTCAAGTTATTTAGAAATATCTAACTCTAATTGCTTTTACTATTCAGATTATTCACGTAAACATTGTAATTCGTCTGTCTATCTATTGAAATGTATTATATTTTTATACTGTTAAAGTGCATAATTTAATCTCTAAATTTCTTCACTATAAGCATGCATCTACTCTTGGAATTAGGAATCAGAACACTCCATACTTATTATTATATTACTTATTAACTTTATTCCAATTTTAATTTATATTAACACATTTCCAACTCTTATTACAACTATTGAACTTTCTACTCTAAGGATGCTTATTACTATTGATAGCCTTAAAGCTTGCCCTATATTGCTCTTTTCAATGATAGTAACTAATCTGGAAGTTCCTTTTGATCGTCTATGAAAGATGGTACATCGGCAATTTGTCTTTGCATCTGTTAGACTTCATTATTGTAATCGCTAAGTACTTTTAGGTTGCTTTCCCATTTGGATTGCCATTATTGGACTTGACTTCTTAGCCTAGCCATTTGTTGTTCTACTTTGGATTTATCTTACTGATTTGTTGACACTTCAATTTATTTCTCTAATTAATACGCTTAATTTTTAGAATCCTAACTTGTTTTACTAGTATCAAGTTCCTTTCTCATTGATTCTTCCAATTTATGTTATAAATTCTATACAATTTCTTCTTTCTTTGCCAATTCTTATTCATATTTCTATTGTAAAGTTTCAATATCATGTTTCTTAATACTCAAAGCAGACTATAATTCTTCAACTAAGATACTAGAATCATTGCTTTTAATTGCTTACTAATTCTATATTGTAAAAATACTTCTTGATTTTTTAATTTTTCAACTATATCTTTTTATTCATTCAATCGTTTTTCTAAAGATTCATTTCTCTATTATAAAGCCATAATTGTTCCAGAGGTTAAATTTTTTAAATTTTAAATTTGTTCATTTTTTTCTTTAATTTATTTTTTTAAACCTTCAATTTCTTCATTTAATTAATCAATTTAATTATTTTCATTTGAATTAAAAGATTCTTTTCTATTATTTTATAATTCTTAGATTATTGTATTCAAATTATTTATTTCTTATTTTAGTTCTTTGACTTATTTTTCTAAATTAATATTTTTCTCATTTAAAATGTTTATTTGAATTTTTTAATTCTCTTAATTCTCTTAATTATCAAATTCATATTCACTTAATTATGATTTTAATTAAGCTATCTCATTAGTTTGTTATTCAATAATAAAAGATTTAGCTTTTAATTATGCATTAATCATTGTGTTTTCATTTATAATTGTTTTTAGTTTTGTATTTTATTCTTATAATTGTTATTCATAATTTAATATAATTTCTTAATGATGTTCCTTATCAATAGTGTCATTTAATTTCAATTTAAGTTTTTATATTTAATGATTTAGATCAGAATCTTAATTCTTTTTATCTAATATAATTTATCTTACTATACCACTATTATCATTCTTTGTTTCTTATATTATCTTTTTTGGTGTTTAAATTGAAACCTAAGAAGTATCAAGAGATTGATCTATAGTTTCCAATCTATGTTATATTATTAATATTACTCTTAATCTATTTCTCCTATCTGTTTAATTTTAAAGTTAACTACAACTTTAGCATTTTTATCTGGACATTTTTCTAATGGCATAACTTCTTAAAATTCTAATAATTTTAAGTGTATATTCATATACCAAACTATTATTGATTGAGATATTGCGATAAATTTAAATTATGCATTCCAGCATTCTTTTATCCTTTATCTGTGACTAAAATCACAATTATTTAAGTTTTTTTCTCTTCAAATTTTCCATCTGCACCCAAATTGACTGAAATAGTACAATTTAATGTCTCATTTATGATAGCAATTCCTTTCTATAATTCATAAGTAGGTTGGGTTTCTAATTTTTATGATCCTTTTTGAATTAATTAAGAATGAAATGATATACCTCTTTTTAGAATGACCTATATTTTACAATTAAATTGAACACTTATCTAAATATTTATGATTGTAGCTTCAACTAAGAACTTGAATCCTCGAATATTCATTATTAAATAATTTTAAAATTTCTATGTCCTTGATTTATGCCGTCATTGTAAGAGGAAACAATATTACACTTGTTGATTATGAATCCGTAACAAGTAATTTCCCTTCTTTAGCAAAAAAACTATTTGACAAACTAAAAAAGAACACTCGTTAAACATGTGTTTATGAATAAAAGTAATGAGTAAATTTAGATTGAATACTAGTTATCATTTCCATTACATAAATGAGGATGATTTCACTTACTTATGTTTAGCAGATGCATTATTGTCAAAAGCAACAGCATTTGCATTTTTAGAAGAAATCAAAGAATTATTTTGTGAGAAATTTAGTGAAAATATTAGAAGATAAGCAATTAATTATGGAATGTAAAACTAATTTGTAGAGTATTTAAAAGCTAAAATGGTAATAATATTATTTTGCATTATTTAAGAATTATTATAACAATGATCCAGAGAATGAAAAAATTGTTAGATTATAAAAACAATTGACAGATGTTGCTAATTAAATGTCTCTAACATTAGGTAATATAAAAAATAATAATAATATTATAGATTAAATATTAGATAGAGAAGATTAAATTTAGATTTTAGTACATACTACTTAAACTATGACTACTTTTGCAGGAGCAATGAAAACAACTGTAAATCAATTTTATTATCTATTTAGGCAACATAAGTCAGAAAAGATCAAGAAAGTAGAGCTTTAAGAACAAAACTATTTATTGCTGCAGTTATTGTTGCTATGTTTTTGGTCATTTATTTGCTCTATTGAAATTTATATATCATAATATATATAATTATCAATATTTTAAGTTACCTATATAGTCCTATTCCAAAAAAGCATGTCCATTCACCCAAGAATGAAATTAATTAAATAATTTTGTACAATCTTTTCCTGCTCCTAACATTAACTTTTCTACTCCACCAGGATGATAATCTAAGTAAAGAGAAATGTCATAAACTTTGCCATTCAAAACAGTCCATACATCTCCTGGTTTATTATGTTTCGAGACTTCTTCAGCAGTATAATTTTTAAAAGCAGGTTTATTTTTTCTTGGCTATTATACAAATTGCATTTATCCACCTTTTACTTAAACCTTCTCTCTTTTAGAAACTTCTTCTTATGGTAAAAGAGGTGCTATAAATCTACTTTCAGCAAAATTAGGTTTGCTTTATAAGAAAGCACCTGTACTCTGATTGAAGGATCCTAACATTTTATTTATTTATTCATAAGTAACTTCAGTTGATTCTGTTTTACGTCCATTCCTATATTTTTCTTTCAAAATATTTCCTTCTTTAGGTTCATATGTATATCTAACCTCTTTTTATTATTTTATTTCCATAGAATTCTTTACTCCTGGTAAGAATAAATACACATAACGATTTTATATACATTCTTCTATTGTTAGTTTCTGTAATTTTTATGATTGTAATAAGATTTTATCTGTCATCGAGAACTTTTTATAGTCCATTATAATGTAATTTAGGATTATAATTAACTCTTCTTTAGTGGCATTAAGATGAAAAATCTCATCTATTCTATCATCCGTGACTATAGATGTTATTTTGTCTTCCATTTCTTAAAGAAACTTTAATAAATTTATTTATTTTAGTTTGTGACAAATTATTGCTTATTATTTGAAATTATAAGTGATTCTTTACACAAACAATGCATATTTACATTTTTATATATAATATCAATTTTCATCCATAATATCATAATATTTCATAGCTATCTAATCAAAGGCATTTCTAGGTATTATCCATGTTATTGTGAAACCCAAAGCGAATCCACTAAAGAAATTAAATTTGTTTGCCCATTTTTATAACATCAAATAATAAATAATGTTTTTTTTATAAATTTCCTACTAATATATCATTATAATTCCGTAGGTGTTTCATTTGCTTCTGCCTTCTTTTCATCAGTTACATTATCTAATGGCTTAGCTATTTCATTATTAATATTATTTTCCTCTCTTTTTTGTTTTCTTTTAAATAACTTTTTAAATAAAGCAATCACTTTTTTTAATATTTTAGGATGTTTTTTGTGAAACAAAAATACTCTCCTACTAATATACAAACCACTAAGAAATGACAATGTAAACCAAAATTTAAATGCCACTCCATTCTCTTATAACTTCTTTTCCAATTAATAGATGAAATTGCTCTTAGATAAAGTTAATGCCAAAGGATTTTCAATTGTTATTTTCTTTGTTTCAGTATTATATACTGCTTATCCTAATACTGACAAAAATCCGTCTGTTTTTATACCAAATTCATTATCTCTATATCCTATATGTACTCCTCTAAATGAGCCATCTCTAAAAAGGACTTAAATAAGGGCTGCAGGTCCCAAAATTCTAAATAAGGATGAATAGAAAATTGTTGCATAATTTCCAATATGTTCTGCAAATGATAGAGAACGTTTTTCATCCTTAAAACCAAAACTCATTAAAGCTGTAGTAATATCAGTATCATCATTTATAGATACATAAGCTTCTGTCTGATTTTATTTGTCCTTTAAACCAAAAAATAATGGCTTATCTATTTAATAATCAGATGAAGAGCTCGCCCTATTGTTAAATTTTTATTTTACTCTTTCCAATCAAATTTTATTCTTGGCTCCAAGAATGAATCACATGAAAAAAGTGATGTTCTTTATTTAATACGCAATATTACAGGAATTTTTTTAAATGTTGAATATAGAGATCCTTTTTGTGGAATTCCTTCAATAAAATAAATATTTGATTTCTATTGATTTTAAACCTCCTTTGCTACTTCTGAGACATTTTTTATAGGATATTATTTCATTTTTTTAATTTGATTCTTTGTCTTACGATTATTGTTAAAATAATGACCAAATTTAAACATTGAATACATGAATACAAATCCTACTATTCCTGTCTTAAAATATTATCGATCCTCGTTTGTTGCCATTTGTTTTATTGTATAAAAAGTTAAATAAATAATTTAATTAAGTTATTTCTGATAATTGATATCACAAATAATAAAGTTTAATATATATTATAATAAAACAATTATTTTTAATTTATCATAAATTTATAAAGTCTAAGTTATTTTAATTCTCTTATTTTAATATTTATAAATATGAGTTGTAGACAATCATAAAAGATATATATAAACTATACCTTAATCTAAACATAATATATATTATTAATAAATATTATTAATTGGAACAATAAAAAAAGTCTATATTAAATAAATAATTATATTTTATTTAATATTAGATATATATCAATATTTGATTTAACAGTCTCTTTTTGCAAATAAAAACTAATATTATTATAAAAAAATTAATATATATTCATTTTTTAAATACATTAATGAAATTTTTAATTTAAGAATAAGATAAAATTTTATAGTGTACATATGGGTTTTTTGTAAATTATTTATTATGTAAAATATAAAGTGAATTAGTATTATAATTAGATTATATATTCAAAATATCTATCTACTTCTTTATTCATAAATTAGGATTTATCTTTTTGATTAATCAATTGCATTCCAAAATCGTTAATTGAACTTTTCACTTAATACATCATATTATTGAATTATAGGTTATTTCTAGGATATTTAATCATTTGAATGGGCAATCAATTGTTATTATTAGATTATATAAGGTTGTTAATCATTCATTTCCAATGATTACATTTTAGATTGATAGTAATTTTCAGATTATATATTTGGAATTGGTTATGTTGATTTTCTCTCAGAAAACATATCAAATTATTCTGATTTCTTTTGATCCTGTTCTAAATCTTGATTTACTTCAGGTATACTTGCAATTCTAGAGACTTAATCAAATTGATTTTGATCTGTTTTGGAAGGGGATTTGATATGATATGTTTCGATGATTTATGATTATTTTAATGATTTTATTTATTAAGTAAGTAATGTTTTAGTCTTCTTTATTTATGATTCTCCATATATGGTTTTAGATATCTTCTTACTCATTTGATAATTTTAAAAATACTATAATGATTTTGTATCTCCGATTAAGTCTTTAACAAAATTAGAATATTCAATAGAGTAATACATATCCATGACTTTAATACTATCTTCAAAAGATAAACAACTAGCTTCAAGTAAGATTAAGCCTATTTCCTTGTTAATCTTGTGGCTGTATTATGATTCTTCAATATATAAATTTTTAAAGTTATTTGAATTTATTAAAAACAAAGTATGTAAACTTAATTTAATATACCCTTTTTTAGTTATAAATATATTATGTAGAGTTAATTATGTTTATTTGACCAATTCTGGAATTTAAAGATATATAGAATATCCTGCAATCAAATTTCTAGCTAGATACCATAATTCTGACTCAGTAAATTAAGTTCCTTACTATCTTTTTACTTAAATCTCATCATATAATGAATGAGATGGAAATTCAAATATATTATTAGATATATAAATTAGAAATGGAGAGTTCAATTCATATTTATGTAGATTCTGTAATTTAATGTATCTCTTAATGAAAGCAATATAATCTTGATTTTTTAATTTAGGTATGACTCTCATATATTGTTCAATTTCAGGAAAATCTTAAATTTGGCATTCAAGAATGTCTATTTGACCAAATATTTAATGTTAAACTTTTTGAATGAATTTGTAGTCATAATTATCACCAATATCATTTAAAGCATTTCCCATATAAAATTTATTTTATTTTATAATAAACATATTTGATGATAAAATTAAAGGAGTATTATTGGATGATATTTGAATTGTTGTATAATTGATGGATATTTATAATAGCTAAATTTTCTATCAATCATGATTAACATAATAGTTATTTTATTTTCTATTATTAATTTAGATTTATTATTTGATGGAATTATTTAAAATAAAAAACATTTTCTATACAAATTTTATGCTATTTTTAAAGACAAAGTGATGATAGATGAATGATTCGATTAAAGGATCAAAATATTAATAACTTTGATGATTAAGTAATTAAAAATAATTTTTTTATAATGCAATATATAAAATTATTAAATATTGTTATAAAATGATTCTAATTTTCATGTCTAAAGGCAAATAAATTGATACCAAAAGCATAAATAATATAAATAATGGGTTAATTTCTATCGTAACCAATCACTCAAAAAATGCATGATTCATAGTCTAATGCTATTCTGTCATGCCATACTACATCAATGCAAGGTTAGTATGTAATAATACAATATAGGTTGGAGACTTTAAATGGAAGATGCCCATATTATGAAAGTAGAATTTAGAGAAGATATATCTATATTTGCTATTTTTGATGGACATGGTGGTGCTGGGATTTCAAATTACTTGGCTGATAATTTTGTAGACACTCTAGTTTAGCAACCTTCATTCATAGGTGAAGATTACACTTAAGCCTTACATGATTGTTTTATACACTTAGATGAGATGATCAAAACTAATGTGGCTAAAAGTAATCATATTATTCCTACATTCATTTTTAGATACATTTATTGGTTCAACAGCAGTAGTGGCACTCGTAGTCTAAAAGACTTTATATGTTGCCAATTTAGGAGACTCACGTTGTCTTTTGATGCGTGATGATGAAACTATTGAGTTAACAAAAGATCATCTTCCTTGTAATGAATTGGCTAGAATCAGATTTGCAGGAGGATTTGTTAATGAAGAAGGTCGTCTCAATGGAACACTTTCAGTCTCACGTGCTTTTGGTGATTTCGAATTTAAATAAGAACCATTACCTGCCAATTAACAAATGGTGATTGCTGAACCTGAAATAAGAAAGATTAAATTGAATAAGGATGACAAGTAAGACTTACTCCATATATCTAGATTCTTATTTCTTGGTTGTGATGGATTATTTGAAACAATGAATAGTTATAAAGTTATGTAATTCATTGAAGAAAGATTAGAAAAAGGTTTGGAACCACCATTAGTACTTGAAAATTTGCTCGATTCTTCTTTGGCAATCGATACTACTACTGGCTATGGATGTGACAACATGACTGCAATGCTAATATTGTTGCACGTCTGAATGATATTCAATTTAAAATTAATACAACTATCAATAAAATAACTCATATGGAATATTATAATTAATTATTTATTTCAATCTTCTATGCTAATATTTTTTATTTTATATCAATTTTACTCAGTGACCATCTAATTTAAGTATAATCCAATCATAATAATACTATAAAGTATTAACTTTGATATTCTGAATAAAAATATTGTTTAATAATTTGAATTATTTTTATTTATATAATATAACTATAAAGATTTTCAATTCATGATTATTATTATCTTGTAATTGAAATAATCATCCTTAAATTTTGAATATTACTTAGTAATAAATGTCAGCTTTTTTATGTGGTTTTTTTAATATTAGACTATCTACTTTGTTACTAATTTATCTGTCTATTTCTATATTAATCTCTTAGAAATATATCCTTCTTTTTTGTTAATCTCTCCTATAGTCTCCTTTTTAAACATTTACAACATTTTTTGTAATTAAATTCAAATATTTTCATCTTAACTATTTAACTTCCTCTATAGATAATGCAAATTTAATATCACATACATAATTCTTAAGTTAAACTATTTTGTATTAATTATATATATCTAATAATAGTATCATGAATATGAATATTTTACAACTTCAAACCTGATTTTTATTTCTTTATTATGGACTAAATCATCATTCTCATTTAAATTTAATTATGGATTGCTGTACTTTAAAATTTCAATCCTATCTAATAAATAATTGATTAATCAATTCAGTAATGTCTAAAAGTTAAATTATTAATTTAATATGTTCATGAATCCCAAATTAAACATGATTTAGGTTTGATTAATCTATCTATAATTTAGTGTTTTCAATTGCTATTTTAATCATTTCTTAACTTAAAAATATTATTTTTCCATAATATCTAAGATAATTTATAATTGAATCAATATAGAGACTCAATCATTTGTTTTTAATAGAATTGAAAATTATCTGGAGATATTTATCATAAATTAAAATTTTTTTCATTTTAACTTAAAATTTATTTCTTTGTAATTCCTATTAGTTTGCAGTTTCGAATAGCTTAGATATTTAAAGTTTATCTCATGAATTGATTATAAATTCAATTGTAATGCAGAAATATAATAGAAAACTAATTTAAAATTAGTATAAATTTTCTTTTGAACTTTTAATCATTTCTTAAATTTAAGAGGATTAGATTTGATCTTAATTATCATAATTATAGTTTGATCAATCCCTTAATATTATTAGTAGTAATATCAAATAAGTAATTCTTTTAAATTTCTTATGTTTACTTTTATTTATTTTACTTCATTATATTAGGATGAATATTGTCCCCTTTTCTTGAATTAGGATTCAATTTGTATATTTAATATTGTTAATTGATGTATTTATGTCTTAGATAAAAGACATGTTAAGACAATTTAGAGAAATATTTTCTAATTTAATTTAGTATCATTTTTAATAAATATGCTCAAACCATCTAGGTTTTACACTAGCCTTTAAATTATAGGGACTCTACTTTTAAGGACTAAAGGGAGCCTGTAGATCTACTTATGAACATGATACTGCCTTATGTCTCTTTATTTAATTTGGAGTGTCTCTGGGTCTGAGATTTGTGTATGTCTTGAAATGAAACCAATTAGATACGAGGATACTTTTGGTTCTAGGTTTGGTTTAATTGGAATAAAAGTTCTATTAAGATTAGGATTATTAAGTATCCATTTCAGAATAACGTATGTTTGGTAAGTTATTGGGTGGTGAAATTGTATTCTGATCATTTTTGCTTCTATTGCTATTTTTCTATTTTATCTTGGAATCTTTGTATTTTAAACTTGAATGAATGAATTTAATTTATTATTCTGTGAGATAATCAATTTCTGTAGGTACTAGGTTTCCTCTTTAATAAGCTTCGAGTGTTTTTACTAATCCTTCACTAAACCAGAGGGGATAATTATTAAGTACTTAAATTGTAATTGGTTATATGTTCACAGTTGTTAAACCCTTACATTTAAGTATGTAATTGAGATTCTAGAATACTTACTTTTCAACTGTGAAATCAGCCAGATCTTCTAAGAGATTCTCATTTAGTAATTGAGAACATATTCTCTAAATAGATCTATTGTAATGTTGACTAGGATCACGTGAAGGAGGTCCTAAAAATAAAGTTTGATCGGTATCTTTTATTTATGGGATTTACGAGGTTTCAGTTTGATTGAAATAGTTTATCATCTCTAATATTTGTGGATGTAGTGGAATGAAATCAAAATCAGCTTCAATTTTTGCTTTTAGACTGTTGAATTTATCGAGAAGCATATTATATGCAGCTGCTTACTTTGAAGGTATTTACCAATACACATCATAATAGGCTTAAGTTTCTATTGCTGCACACTGGAGAGATTTAATTTATTAATCAGACATTTTAATAATGTCTAACAAAAAACCATTGAGTAGTGAGAAGAAAGATAATATTATAGCTTAATTGAAAGGGGAATTATATCAATATCATTAGAGACAAATAGATTTTGGAAGTTTACATAATTAGCTATCTAGACTTGAGAATGCATATTCTTAGGTTTAGGAGGAGCTATAAAAAATATAGAAGGTTGGAAGAGCTTAAACTGAGGTTGATTTGAATGAAATAAAACAACTAAGAAGTGAATTGGAATATTTATAGGAATAATTACATTAACGACTACCTAACAATAATCCTTAATTGTTGGAACTAGCTTAAATAAGATAAAATGAGTTAGCTATATTAAAGAAAGAAACTAATGAAATTATGTTATAAAAAGATTAACTATAATAAGAGAGATAAGAGTTGGAGAGTACAATGAAGGATATGATAGAAACAAAGAATTCATTAGAAAAGGAAAATTAACTTTTAGAAAAAGAATTTGATAAGCATTTTAAGTAAAATAAAGAACTTGAATAAACAAGATAAGATTTAGAATTTGAGATTTCAAAAAAAGAGAAAGTAATTTTACAATAAAAAAAAATGGTTGATATGTTGAATAAAGAATAAAGATAAAAAGGAGATTATTTATAATAAATATAAATGAAATAAGAAATATAATAATAATAATCAGGTTAATTAGATGATTAATATTAATAATTAAATGAGAATTTAGAAATTGTGAGTAAGGAATAGAAATTAATAAATAACTAATTAAATTAAGTATAATAAGAAGCAAAAGAAACTAATCTAGAGAATATTAATTTAGATAAGAATATTAAAGAATTAGAAGGAGATATTGATGCAATTTTAAACCATGTAGATGAAGAGAATTTAAAAAAGATGAATTTAGTTGAGGATCAGAAATTCTTAAATGTAGAACTTAATAGAGCATTAGATTTGATTAATTAATTAACAAGCATAAAATAAGATGTATATATTTTTCATTATATAAATAGCTTTGTGAGGAAATTCGTACTTTTATCTCTGAAGATGAATAAATTTCAAATATTGTAAATAGAAAGAATAAGCAAATAAAACTAATATAATATGCAGAATAATAAATAGAAGATTCTTAATCTAATAATTTGAATAATATCATTTGAATTATTTTTGTGATTCAATTTTATTCTATCTTAAAGGAGTGAAAAGTCTTCTTATATAAATTATTTCATCATTATTAATATTAATGTATTTAGCAAAACCTTAAATTTTTTAAATTGGTTCTTCTAAATTCAATATTTTCTAGCGGAATGACTTTTGGTATTATATCCCCTCTCTTTATAATAGAAAGAATGGCTATTATATTATTATTACCATTCAAATACTTCCTTTATTGCCACAATTACTATAATCACTACAAGAAAATACAGTGATTACACTATTATTTTATCTTTCAAATCCTTCATTAATAGATTCATGAGATCTTTTTATCATATTTAAATTGTTGTCTTAAAGAAATTTATTAATTCTATTATTTCCAAATCTAATTATAGATTTATTTTAAAAAAGATCACTTTCAACATTTTATTAGTTTTCTAATTCTTCATCATTTAAACATGGATCAGACCATAATTTTTATTAATTCAATTTCATCAATTGTACATATTGTTTATCCAATACCACCATGAACACAAAATATCTTCTCCTCAATTACTGCAGCAAATGTAATATATTAAAAAACTCTTTTGATTCTTTGATAAATACTATTAGGATCTGTTATTTCCTTTGTATATTTAAATAACATTCATCAGCAAATCCATAAATCTTATTTATTTTAGGATCTTCATAATGACCTCTTAATAAATGAATCTAATCATTATATTTTACTTTAAGTGTAAATAACAATAAAGTTATTTCAAGAGATCTTATGTGTTTATCAACATAATCTCCGAAAAATAAATAATCTTAAGAATCAATGGAGCTTTGAAATGATCAAAAAATCTCATAAGATCTAAATATTAACTATAGGCTCTTTTTCAAATAATTCTCTAAACTTCATCACACAACTTGAAAATGGATTCTTTTCTAATTCCAGTTACAAGATTTGAATTTGGAGGAATAGATTGATAATCTTTACGCAATAATAAATTTTATAAAATGGAACAACCATTTATTCAACAATTAAGATTTATTTTAAAAATTTGGATCTTGGAAACCCAGCAGCCAATTTCTTGTGTTCATCTTACAATTTATTAATAGACCACAACCACCAAAGTTTAATAAGCTAATTTAATATTTTTATTATTAGCAAAAGACACACGAGTTTATTATTATTATGTTTATTTAACTAAAAATTACTAAATAAATTAAACTTCTCTATTGATTTGATTAATTAGTTCTTCTAAATTATTCTTGAGTACTATTATTACTTGAATTTTAATTAGCACGAGGATTAAATGATTACATGAAAATATTAAATTAGAATTTCAATATAATTTTATTCAAATTACTTTTTTAATTAACTTCACATTAACTCTATCATTCCTCATTGTATTTAATTATTTTAATAATTATTGAGTTTATGCAAATTGTTTATAGAGATCTAATCTCAATATACTTTCAGTAGGAATATTAGGTTGATCCGAATTAATTCCACCATGTAAATAAAAAAATTAATCAATTAACCATGATGAATGTCTGAATCTCTGGATTGATTAGAATTTATACCGATCAGATGTTTCAATATCATAAATTCAAATGGAAGAATATCACCTACTTGATTTGATCTACCTTGAATGTTAATATCTTTGTACGAGTATTTCATTTTAGTTTTTATAAGGAGCTCTGACCCAATCCCATCTTCTATCTCTATGTCTTCTCAAACCCCAAGTATCATTTAAAGCTCTCTAATCACTTTCTCTACTTCCAAATGTTACCATCATTCCATATGCTGAACCTGTATTACAAAGAGCAGCTGAAAGATAAACTTCAACACAAGGTATTCTGATGTGCATTCTAATTTAGACTATCCATGAATATGGTGATTTCTCAAAATTAAAACACCAAACATTATTAATAGGTCTTAACTTGTATTACCTTCAAAAAAATTAAATATGGTTTTATCAGTACCATAGTGTGACCATACCTTCTACCAGGGTAGTTCCAATAACAGTTACTTTAATTCATGTACCAGTATCATTACATAATTCAAATAAAAATAAATTATCATCTGCTAAACCACCTCCTCCAACTGCTCCTCCAAATATAATCATTAAATTCAATTCAATAGGCAATGCTTTATGTGCTGCTCTATTAGTTGGTACACTTCCACTTGCTTCAATTCTCTTCCATTTTCTTTAAATACACTAAAAGGTGGTTAAGGATTGTCATCTCTAAATGTTATTGCTTCCATTATTAATTTAAATTATATAGATATATATTAATTAGAACATAGAAAAAATAAATAAGAATAAATGAAAAATCAATCACAAGTACAAAAAGAGAATAAACTATGTGTTTTCTTCAACTAAATTTCTTAAGAATATGAAAACTTTTTTAATGAATTACATTAATAAATATTTTATCCAGGAATGTGTTCTTTCAAATAACATTTTTTCAATAATGTATTCTCATACTCACTATATCCTGCTCCTTTTTACCTTAAAAAATGACGAATCTAAGCTCCCAATTCATCCTCTCCTCTCTCTATATAAAATTATAAATCATTATGTCCAGCATCCTTTACTATTATCAATTGAATTTTCTCTCTATTATTATTTTGCAAATATGTATTGTACAATTTCTCACTGTGCTCTTGACCAACAATTTTATCTTAATCCCCATGAATTATTAATATGTTGCATTTAACATTTTAAATCTTCTTATAATTAACATACATGTCCTATTCTCCATAATCTCCTTCTCCAAACCAACTATATATAGATGCAATGGGAGCTTATAATATCAAACCTGCTAATCCATAAAAACGTGTAGCTATTTCAGAAGCAGGACCTGAACCTAATGAAAAACCCCATAATATAATCTAATTCAAAGAGTAATTTAATCTATTAGTTGCAAATGATACTACAGTTTACAAATCATCATATGTTTATTATTCACTAACTTTATATTATCCAAACCCTATTCCATAACCTGTATAATCATATGCAATAAAATCAACCCCATATTCTATACTTATCCTTTCACCAAAAAAATATACATCTCCCAAATCACTTGCATTTGCATGAGAAAATATAACTAGCATCCTGTTCCTCTGGGATAATTTCTCTGTATCACATTAAAATGACTTAGAATTAAATAAACATTCTTTTGATAATGATGCTTCAGTTTTCGCATTTTACAATCTATATTTACATTAACATCTACCCTGAAAAATGAATTAGAGGAACGTGTAATTTATCATTTTTTAGTATGTATGAGTCTATTTGTAATTAATAACTGAAAATTTGTTTCTTCTGTCCTTTTATTATTGGAAAAAAATGATATTTTCTATCTCTAAACTCAAAAGTGTATTTTGCTGGATCAGGTGGTCTGAATGAATATTTCTTTACAAAACTATTCGGAATTAAATTACTCAAACTTTTCTTCATTTTTTATTATTTAAATAATAATATACAATTTTATAATTATTTTAGCTCCATATTTTCTAATACTTATTAATATCAATATATCTAAATATAATATTTTGATATCCAATCATTCAAAAAATAAAATATTTATATTGTCAAAATATTATAAAAATAAACAATATGCTTTCTATTAATACCAAAACAAATTGCAAACGATAATAAAATTCTCTCTATAGAAACCCTTCCAAATCAATGTCTCAATCTTCTTTTGATCTATAAGATATTCTTTTAGATCGAAGAATACAAATTGCAGAAAACTTATCAAAATTAAGAGATTTTTAAGAAGAAAGAGAAAAAGAGTTTCGCTAAAGAGAAAAAGAATATTAAAGAGCAAAAAAGAAAGTTCATTTATATTAAGTTATAAATTAAAGGTTTCGAGCATAATCATTTATTGAAGAACAACATCAATAAGCAAAATTACTTGAAAGATCAATAAAATATGTTCCAATGACTAATAAATCAGTTAACGAATCAAAATTATTAACTTTGAAAATGAATTTAGAACCTCTTAGAACCAAAGCAAAATAAATTAAACCATATATTGATCATGATGTAATGGTAACTTAAAAATGGAAAGAATTTTGAATCATTTATATAATCTATATGATTAATCATTTTTATAATATTTAACTATTAAATGAAATAATAACATTTTATTGTAATTAAGACAATAAATTTGAGGAGTATTAAAAATTATATAAAAATAGGTAAATTATATTACATCTAAATTAATGATAAGACCATTTCAAATAAATATTAGAGAATTATAAGCATTTATTAATTTGGATAATATTAAATTTTTTATTAGAAATCATTATTATGTTTTAGGAATGATTGATCTATAAGTATTAAAGAAATTATTTTGAATATTTAAGATTCAAGTATTAAATACATTGTATTTATTTTAGAAAGTAAAGATGTTCTAACAACTTAAAAAATTTATGCATTTTGAGATTATTATCATATTTTGAAATCAATAAGTATTTAATAAGGCTTAGAAAAAAAATTTAATTAAATTATTATATAATCATAATAGAATTACATGCAATGTATTTATTAATATGTAAAACCAATTTAACGAACAAGAACTACTATATATAATTAAGAACTATTCTAAATTATTAAGTTTGTTTGAAGATCATAATTAAAAATAAACTTAAGTAATTATTTTAATAGGAGTGACTGGTGCTGGTAAAAGTACTTTATTCAATTTCTTGAGCGGAGCTGAGTTTGACATGATTGGTAAGGAAAATTAATAATTCTTAAATATTAAAGATGGAGCATAACAATTTGCTGCCATAAAAGGAGGAATGAAATCAATCACAAAGAGTCCTAATTATTACTTTTCAGAAATGTACAATGCATTATTAATAGATTTTCCTGGATTCTAAGATACAGATGGAAAGATAGATTAAGTTCTTATATAATTATTATTTTATTAAATATGCAGATCCGCAAATGTGAAAATTGTATATGTTGTTAAACATCCAGAAACTCGTTTTAATAACAGAGGAACTTAAATTTAAGATTTCATAAGGCAAACATTTTAAGGATAAAATTTAGAAATGTCTTAAATTTGTTTGATGCTAAATTGCTATAATGATAAATTATCAGATGATAATCTAATCTAAAATGTTTAAGGTTAACTTGAATAAATTTATAGATGTAGGCCTCAAAATATTTGTGTTATGAGAAAAATAAAAAAACATTAAGATATTTAACAACATTTTACTATTCAAAAAAGAGATTTTTTATTTTAATAATTTTTGAAATCCAATTCTGTTTTTATATTTCCTCAATATATACCTTAAAGCGAATTAATTAGTCAATATTTAAGTGAAAAAAGTGAAAAAATTTTAGAACAATTAAGTTCAACTTTAGAGAAGAGTTTGGATAATTAGATTGAAAATCTTAATTATGAATTAATAAAAAAAGTAGAAAATTCTTTAAAAGAGATATCAATAACAATTAACAATTAGTAAAAAGATATGGTTTAATGGTTTTTAGAACTAATTAATTTATTGATAAGATCAAATGAACTTTTAAACTCCGAAAATACAACAAATTTAAGTTATTAAAATTTTTTGACAATATTTAATTTTTTTGCTTCTTTTTCAGAATTTATTTCTGGATTTGAAGATATAAGACATAATGGAATAATTGCTTAAGAGAAGTGTGAGATTATCATAAAGATTGTTTAAACTAAAATTGATGTTCTTGTAAAATAACGAGAACTTTTGGAAGAAGAAGAGCAAAAAAGGATAGAAGCATAGGAAAGACGAAGAGCTGAAAAAAATCGTCAACTAGAAGCTTAATAAGCATAATAGGCTTTATAGAATTTCCAAAAATAATCTGTTTTACATTGTGATATATAAAATAATTTGAATAAAGAAATTAAAGAAACTTTTGAAGTTAAATTTTTAAATTAAGAATTAATCCATAAACATTAATAATTAGAATATGATAACTAAAGATAAAAAGAGAATAAACTGAATGAATTAAGAAAAATTTAATAAAGTACTTAAATTTCTTAATCACAATTAAATCTAATTGATGATGAATAGGGGATTAGTTAGAAAAAAATAGATGATCTAACTAAATCATGTTAAGAAATCTAGAAGAAAAATAATAGCGAACATGAAAAGTTCGAAAAATTATTTCAATAATATCTTGAAGAAAATCATTCAATTAACGAAACTATTCATATTGAAATTATTGTAATTCATTTTTTTTTTGATTCAATTTCTTTTAAATCTCTAATTTAACCTTCTCTTCTTACTTAATTTGGTAATCTAATTAACTTTGAGTCTATTTGCTTTATTATTGAAGCTTATAATAATTATTCTTTATCTTATAAGTTTCTTCTTCTAATTTATTCTTTTCTATTTTTTACTAAATTATCTTTTATTACAAATTTTCAGTTTCTAATATTATTATTGGTATTTTTTTTTCTAATTTCTTTATTACTCTGCTCTTGACATGGCAATATTTTTAAGTTAAATTTCTTAATTCTTTTCTGCTATTGTTTATTCTACTTTCTATTTCTCCTTTAGGAATTCTATTTTATTATCAATAATTTTCATCATATCATGATATTAAGTAGAGGCAAAAGTGCCATATTTTATGCATTCAAAATAACCATTGATAAAATTTGAAAATTATGAGAAAAACAAATATATTTTTTAAAATTCTTCACTTTTTTATTTTACTATCTCCAAACAACCCAATTATTAAGCTATTTTGGTAGAAACAATTGCAAATATTTCAAACCATTATAAAAAATTTTTTTTTTTTAATTTTTGGTAGTTCTTTAAATTTAGAACTTAATTTCTTTAATATTGTAATGTCTTTTATATATATATTTTACAATTTTTTAGTTAAATTTGTTTATATTTATGAGCAAACACCTTCTATATATTGAAAGCTTTTTCCACTTAAATAATTACTTATTTTTTCCGTATGAAGAATTTAAATAGGTTCAAATTCTATTTCTTTGGATTTAATTATGTCTTCCCACATTTTTCTTCTCTTTTCCTCAGAAAATTACCTAACTATATCATCTTATTCATTTATTTTTCTAAGAACTATTACATTTAAATTATTGCAACCAGTATTATATTATTGATTTATTTATTCTCTTGCTGATGCTATAACTTCTTCATCTGAATAATTTTCTTCATTAAAAGCATTTAATAATAAAGATATGCTTTCTATACCAATACTCTACTCTTTAAATGTTGTTCTAATAAATTCTTATAAATTTGATCCTCTTTCTTAAAAATCCAATTCAGGATGTCTCACTATGTATAGTATTTTAACCTTTGTCTAAGTGAAATTTTATAAAATAACATCTATATCATAATTTAATCCAATTCACCATTAGTATCTTAAAATCCAGGAAAATCAATAAGCAAATGATTATATTCTTCATTAAAATAATAATTTGGCTCTTTAGTCACAGATTTCATTCCTCCCTTCATAACTGAGAATTCTGAAGATGTCTCTTCTAAGTCTAATTCTTCAACTCCATCTTCGCTTTCTATCAATTTAAATTTAGCACCACAAAGAAGATTGAATATTGTGCTTTTTCCTGATCCTGTTACACCTACTAATATCAATATTTTCATATCATTATTTATTTGTTGTTAAAACAAATTCAGAAGGGATTAAATAGTATCTATTATTTATAGAAGGGCCACTTCATCCAAGAATTATGGAGCTTGATAAGGTTAAATAGTTTACATAATTATTTTATATCATTTTATTAAAGAACCAAGCCTTAGAATGACTATAATTCTATCATGATTTATATTAAAAATTATAATTGAATTATTATTTTATTCATATTAAATTTTGTAATAAAATATCAAATGCTATTTTTGCTTTTGTAAATCGCTTGAAACGTTGAATTTCTTCATTTAACAAGTAGTAAAATAGAGTATCTATGATAATTATTTTGTTATTCAGAATTTTTTTTTAATTTCTAAGAATAAATATTTATTTTAAAAAACTAAAATAATAAATATATGAATAATGAATTTGATGCATCATTAATGTCAAGATTATTTTATTTTACAATGCATTTGATTTGTTGGACAATTTTAATAGTTTACAAATAAAATGCTTTTATGTAAAATCCTTTTGCTCCATTATAGATTTCATTTGTAATATTAGTACTTTATTCAAATTATTTATTTGTTACAGTTGGAAATAATCCTGGATATATAATAAGTACAAATGAAGAGGATGTTGAATTATAAATAGTTGAATAAGAATAGAATAAACGATATTGTAAAATATGCAAATTTAATATACCCAATAGAGCAAAGCATTGTAAAGTTTGTAAAAGATGTGTAGCAAAATATGATCATCATTGTTTTTGGGTAGGTGGATGTGTAGGTGAATTGAATTAAAGATCATTTTGGTTATTTTTATTAGTATAGAGTATTGTATTGATATTATTGTTATGGTATTGTTAAGATGGTTTATCTAATTATGATTATTATGAAAAAGATAAAAAGAGATATGGATAAGAATATGGAGCTTTTATTGTAATATTTGTAATAATGTTTTTATTTTTGATGTTTGCAGGAGGAATGCTTATATTTCACACATATTTGATTATTGCAGGAATAACAACTTATGAATTATTAAAAAAACATTAATATAAAAAGTCATCAACAAATTCATTAGGTTCAATATTACAAAATATAAAATCAACATTTTGTCATGGTGGTAAATTGCTATCAATCTAAGAAATAGTTTGATTAACTAAAATTTATATTATGAAATTCTTATAAACTATTTAAAAAATTAATTTATGAATTTCTAGAATTTAAAAGGAGAACTAGAAGTATTTTACAATAATCATGGAGTCTAATTAGCAGGAATCAATTTTCCACCTAAAGTTGAATTATTAGAATAATTAAAAACTAAATTAGAAAATAAAATATATGATGCAGGAGAATATTTTAAGATAATTGATGATTAAGAATAAGAATCCTATGTATTATAATGTACAAAACCATTGAAAGCATTTGAATAAGTGTTTTTGATTGATCATGCTTTGAGTTTTAGATACAGTGAATTACATACAGCAATTAAATAAGTTGATAGATTAAAGAATATACTTAAATATTGCAATAAAAAATAGCCATTATTTAAAATAGATAAGGTGTATTATCATACTGAAGACTTTGATGAAATGGCATTAGAAACATTGAAAGATGTTAAACCAAAAGTAGATACATTAGCAATTAGTTTCTTTGGAAATAATATTAATTCAATAGATGAAGTTGTTAACTTTCTTAATAATAATAAATAAATTAAAGCAATATGGTTAAATGGCAATCCAGTTGCAGATAATAAAGATGAATTACTATTATCTATAGAAGAACAATGTCCATAAGTAGAATTAGTTGATTTATCATTTACAAAAAATGCAACTGAATGGGTTATAAGATATGTTACAGCTGATTTTGATACTAAAAAGGCAAATAGTTAAGAACCACTTAATTATTTAAATCTATCAGGTAGAAATGTATTGAAATTAAAATCTGTTAAGTAGATTGCTAATTGGTTTCCTAATTTACGAGTTTTAGATATTCAAAATACTAAATTAAATGATTTAGAAGATGTTAATGCTTTTTTCAGTTTGCTTCCTAATGTAGTATATTTGACATGTGATTTAGAAGTTGAAGATGTATTGTATGAATTACACAAAACTAATAAATTAAATGCAATTGCTCCATATTTAAGATTAGTAAATTAAAGAGATATTCGTTATGAATCATATACACCAGCTAAAGAAGAACACAATGATATCTAATTCATTAAACAGAATCTATTTAAATTAACAGGCAATTACAGATTATTAACAAGTGATTAAATGGATGAATCTGCTGTATGGTATTTAATGGATGAATTGGGATCTAGTATTTAACATTCAGATACACCTAATGTAAATGTAGTACCATTTTTATATTTACCAAATGGAAAAATAGATGATGATGCTGTTGCATATAGTATTCTATTTCCAATTAAAGATATTCATGAATAACCTATTTTTAGAGATTATTTACCAGGAGTTGATGAAGCCAAATTTCGTTCATATAGATTGAATGTTTGGTTTGATATTCCTTATGACTTTATTTTAAATGGATATAATGAATACAAAAAGAAATTACATAATTTAAAAATTGTTGAACCTGAATTAATTGCTAAACCTATTGAATACTTACCTTTAGAAAATATAAAAGTCATTACAGATTTAGAAATGGTTACTAAACATCTTACATTACCTTATATATCTTTCACCTTAGATTTAGATGAAGCCAATTTAGTATTCTTTAGTGCTGGAGTTCATGATGATCTTAATTAAAAATATGCAGATAAATTTATTAATCAATATCCTCATGAATATGCTATCATATCTAAAGAAAAATTAGCCAATACAATATAAAGTACTTATGGTGAAGTACCATGGTTATAAGAAACATTTAATTTATAAACCTAATTACCATTATTCATGGGAGCATATAAAACAAGAGAACTTTAACATCTTAACAATTTATGGATTATCAAACCTCCAAATATGGCTAGATCAATGGATATGGTTGTTACAAATAATTTAGATGTTGTATTAAGGTTAATTGAAACAGGACCTAAACTAGCTTAAAAATATATTGAAAGACCTCTAACATTAAGAAATAGAAAATTTGATTTAAGATTTATTGTTGCTTTAAAATCTATTGAACCTTTGAGTGTTTATTTATATAAAACATTTTGGATCAGAATATCTAATAATCCATATACTGAAGATGTTAAGTAATTCATTTATAATATATTATAAGTACATTATCAATCTATGAAACACATTTTACTGTTATGAATTATGGTCATAAATTAACATAAATTTTTATGCATGAATTTATAGAGGAATTCAATAAAGAATATTATCCACATACATGGGAAAAATAATATGAATCAATTTAATATATGGTTAGATAATTATTTATTGCTCTAAGAACTCATCAACCAGATATGGCCAATTATACTAAAGTATAATAATAATTGATTATTAAATTAGAATAGAAGTGTTTATGGAATGGATTTGATGATTGATTCAAATGGATTTTAACCAAAATTATTAGAAATGACATTTTCTCCTGATTGTAATAGAGCATGTAAATACACTCCTACCTTTTATAATGATTTATTTGAATGCTTATTCTTTGGAGTAGAAAATTAGAATATGATTTAAATATTTAATTGATTTATGATATAGTTATTATTAAAATTAATTTTCATTAATATATGATATGGAATTTCATTTAATAATAATCTTATTAGAGCATTTATGATGATGGTGGAATATAATAATAGAGCAACATTAATATAATGGTTAAAAGGAATATTAATAAATTTGATTTGTAATTAATTTATTTTTTATAATCTTCAACAAAAAAATGGATTAACCTTATGCATCTTAATTCAATTTTGTCTGCTTTTGTTCATAAACTGTTCTCTTAAATCAACAGAGTATGGCAGACCACATCAAAAAGTGTTTAATATATAGACAATCATCTCCTTTTTTCCAAAAGTTTGAACTACTCAAGATTGAGAAAATGCAAAGATAACATTTAATTGCTTTAAAAAGTGAATTTTATGTTTTCATCGAAAGAGTAGATGCTCTACTAAAGGCAGGGGAGGATAGATTAAATTCTTCAGTTCAATAAGTGCCATCTTTATATGGAAGTGGATCTATGTTATAACAATAATTAGGGAACAACAATCAAATTTATTAATAATCTGCTTATGCACCAAAAAATATTGAAACTGATATTTTCAAATCTATGAAATAACTGTAAAAATTAGAAGAGTGTAATGTTTGTGGAAAATAAGTTGATGCAGATATAATTACATATTTTGATCATTGCATTACTCCAATCTGTAGACCTTGTTTAATGAAATAGATTGAAAAAGATGCTAAAACTAATATAGCATTTTTTTGTCCAAATCAATAATGTAGAAAAGAAATGACATAATAAGAATTAATAGTAATAATTATTATTATTTAAGTAATTGCTTGGGAAAGAAAAACAAGATTAATATGCAACTATAATGTTAGCAAGACAATTTAACTTAATAAAATGTTCAGCATGTTCTGAATAAGGTGCTTTTGAGAAGGGAAGTTCTATTACTGTACTTAAAGATCCTATCACAAATTAGTAATTACAATAGTATTTAAATTATTTACAATATTAGAAAATATGTGGAACATTATCTTAATAATAGATTTATGTGTTTTAATTAAAAATGCAGAACTGAATAATGTAAAGAATGTAAAGCAATTCCATATCATTTGGGTATGACTTGTGAAGAATATAAAATAAAAAAATCATCTAAGTAATATCTATTTGTAATATTTATTTAGATGTTGTAGATATTGTGATTAACTTATTCATAAGATTCAATTAAATATGCCAGAAGCATAATAAGATATTTGTTAAGAAAATGAATGTCAAGAGAAAGCATAATATGCTTGTAATAAAATTTTAGCATGTAAACATCCATGTCCAGGATTCAAAAATGAATAGATATGTTCAACATGTTTAAATGATTAATGTTGTAAAGGTGATTAAAAAGGAGATGATTATTGTAATATTTGTTTTGTTGAAGGTTTAAAAAATGCCCCTATAATCCAATCAAAATGTGGTCATGTATTTTATATTTCTAATTATAGATCTTTCATTATACTTGCATTCTCAAAAGATTAGATGTGAAATGGAATGGACCAAGAATAGTTTTCAAGTTTTGTTTATGTCCTTTATGTAATTCTTGGTTAGAATTCTAACCATCATAACCATAAAATCTTGTTAATTAATATTATATACTCTTTTAAGATGTGATGAAGAAATCATTAGATAGGTTGAAATATGAAAATAGAGATAAAGATGATAAAGTAAGTAAAGTAGGTGAACCATTTTATGGTAAACCTTAAGAGTATGCTATGGCAATTTATTGTTATTATTAATGTTTTAAATGCAAAAACCCTTATTTTGGAGGAGCCAAAGATTGTTAAAGAGCATTAGAAGAAGGAGATAAATAATATAAACCTGAAGAATTAATTTGTGCTAATTGTTGTGAAGTACCAGTTGGAGAAACATGTTAAATTCATGGAAAAGAATATATAGAATTCAAATGCAAATTTTGTTGTTAAATTGCTGTATGGTTTTGCTGGTATACATTTACATTTATCATATTCTCAAAGGGGTACAACTCACTTTTGTGAAGATTGCCATAAAAGATAATGTAACGGAGATTATGTATCCAAAATACCTAAAGAAAAACTACCTAAATGTCCTGGTAAAGATAAATGTCCTATAAAAATGGATCATAAACCAAATGGAGAAGAATAAGCCTTAGGATGTGGTATATATTTATTATTTATATCTTAGCTATTTGTAGGAATCAAAAAGCCAGTTAACAAAATTTCTGAATTTATAATTATACCTATCTAATAATTGTATTTTATGTTATATATTCTTTCATTCTTAAGGTAACCATAAATTAATAATCTCAAAACTAATGTTTTCTTCAACAATCAAAATATCCTCTGTTAGTGATTACATTGTACCAAGTTAAGAATGTATAAAGCCATTAATGAAAAATGTTAAGCTTTAACTTGATGACCCTTCCATTTAACTAAAACCTAATTTGATTAAAAATTAGAATAATGTTGCTAAAGTTTCTTTATAAGATTGTCTTGCATGTAGTGGATGTGTTACTACTGCAGAAACTATATTAATTTAAACTTAAAGTATCGAAGAGTTTTTATAAGCAATTAAGAAATATTAAAATCCTGCAATTGGAATAAGTCCATAGGCAAGAGCTTCCTTATCTTATGTATTAAATTTTACAGATTCAGAAATGCATTCTATTTTACAATAAATATTTCAGGAAATGAATGTTAAATTGTATGATATGACTGAGTATATGAAAATAGCTATTAATAACTCAATTTAAGAGTTCAAATAAACAAACATAACTCCATTACTTTGTTCAGAATGTCCAGGATGGGTATGTTATGCTGAAAAAACTTTAGATGAATCTATAATTAATCATATGAGTAAAGTAAAAAGTCCATAATAAATTTTTGGTGCAATTCAAAAGAAAAATCATGATTATATTGCAACAATAATGCCATGTTATGATAAAAAACTTGAAGCTGTTAGACAAGAGAATAATGAAGATATAAATATAGTTCTGAGTACTAGAGAAATAGAGTAATTAGTTAAGGATTATATTCAGAAACTAAATATAATTCCTCAATAAATTGAACTTTAAACTATGGCAATCTATGATTAAGAATATCATAATATATCATCAAATAATTATGTAGATTATATAATCAAAAGTGTTATGAAGCCAAATTGGACTGTTAAATAAAATATTAGAAAAAACAAAGATTTTATAGAAATTACTATTTACAATGAAAATATGGAATAATAAGGTATTTTTGCTAGAGTTTTTGGATTAAAAAATATTGCTAATTTAATTTCTTAAATGAAAACAAAAACATGTAAATATAAATATGTTGAAATAATGGCTTGTCCATTAGGTTGTCTAAATGGAGGTGGATAAATTTAAATATAAAAAAATACTGAAAAAGCAAATGATTTAGTAATTTAAATTTATTATTATAGATACCAAAATTAAAGGAAATTATGATATCTTAAAAGATGTAGACAGATAATTAATATCAGAATGAATAGAATATGTATTTAACATAATTTAAACACATTAAAAATGAGAATAATTTTTAATGGTGAATAATAATACTTAATCATTTTTATATTATAGTAAAATTTTATCTCATGGTTTTAATGTATTCTCTTTCAAATTACTCATTTTTGACATCAAATTATTAAAAATAATTGTTTGATTCCCTTTAGGACTTATTTTACTTTAAGCTAACAAAGTTTCAGCTATAGACTTTAATTCTAAACTTTTATTTTTAGCTAATTGTGCCACTGTTTATTTTTTAGATCCATTATTAGTATTTAACATTAATTGTTATATTGGTTTATTTGATTATCTAAATGTGTGAGTAGTTAAACTATTTTCTCTAGAATGTCTTGGTGAATTAGCTACTGATAAACTAGTGATCTTGTCAAATGACAATAATTTAGCCAATGGAATTTTCTAAACTTATTTAGATTCTTAATTAACTAATGGAGCTTCTTCTGTTTTAATATCATCTCTATGTGTTTTAGAGTACTCTTAGGATATTTCATTGTAATTTTCAGTAAAACAGATTTGTGATTCTTCATCAATTTAAGTGAGTTATTTGGGTTCTAAGATTGATCTTTCTTCAATCATAATTTATTTATTGAATGTATTTTAGAGATCATCAATGACTATAGAAAATATAGTTTATAAATTGGTCTTGAATATTTATGAATTGAGCTTGTAATGCTCAACTAATTTAAATTCTTTGAGAGGAATTTCTTTTTGATTAGCCATTTTCATTAATTCCTATTTTAAGTAATAAATATACTTGTATGGTGAATTTGTGTTCTTCAGCAAAGATATCTCTAATAAGATTGTAAATTTTATTAATAAAAGTTTATGTCAATCGTTTAAAGATACTTTCAATTTCTAAATACTTCAATGTTTCTCTATGTAACCTTAACAAGTCAATCTCTTGCATTAATTTTTAGCAATTTAATTTTATATATATATTCGTTAAAAATTAGTTATTAAATACTAAATATTCAAGCAATTTATAGTAGTATTGTATAATTATAACTATTTTCAATTCTCTATCTTTTTTGTAGAGTATAGATTGAAATATAATTTAATAAGGTTTAAATAGGCATTCTTTTGTGATGTTTATCTTATATAATTTTATTTTTATATATTTTACTATTAGATTGAAGTAAAGATTGATCAATAATAATTTAATAAAGGATTAAATATTTGATTAGAATTTATTTAATCTAATAGATCTTATTTAATTAATTAGTATATTTATCAAATGATTGATGAACATTAATTCTACTTAACCTATATATACTAATAAAGTATTAATTTTTATAGTATCTTAAAGTAGGATTATTTACAAAAATATTTATGTGTTTAAATAGTAATCATTTTCAATAAATCTTTTTAATTGATAAATAATTGATATTATGTTTATTAATAAAAAAATGATTTGAATAAATTGTTATTATTGATTTAATATAGTGTATTTGTAGATTTTATTTAAAATAAAATTCATTATCCAGTGTGTTTATCATGTTTTTTTTAGTTATTAATATTTGATGTCTTATTAGTACCAGGTTATTACATCATTCTACCTTATTCTCCATTATGTAGAGCTGCAATTCCAGCATGAGTATTTGCATTTAAACTTGAAAAAGATTTCATAACAAATGTTAATACTGTTCTTCCAACCTAAAATATTTATTTTATTTGTTATACTTGAATTGCAATTTTATCCATACAGATAAGATATGGTGTTGATAATCGAACTAAGGTACCAAACTTACTGTTATTGTCAACTATAACAAAATTGCCTTTCTCATATTTAATAAATGCATGTAATCTTGAAACTGAAATATCTGATATACGAATTTCACATTAATGACCACGACCTAATTTAACTTAATCATCTGGTGTTCCTTTTATTAAATATATCCCTCTTTATGCTTTCTTATCCTTTTCTGAAATTTGTGTATTTTCTAATATAATATACGGTTAATTTGGTCTTTCAAGGGATGCTAAATCTAGTACTTTCCCTTTAAATCTAATTTATTAAGGCAGTAATTCCTAACAAACCTCGCATTCTAATCTACAATTTTAGAATTGATTGAGATTACTTTTTCCATCTGTAAGAAATTGTGTTACCAGACTCTTTTTTATATCCTCTACTATCAAGCCAATGTTTGAGACAATTGAAATGTACATAAGCACAACTTCCATTACATTTACATGGTGTAATAAAGGGATCTTCAGGAGTTTCTTCTTCAATTAAACAAATTTTGCATTATTTAGCAATACCACCTTCTAATGGTGGTGCCATTTTTGCTTCTGATTAGAAAACATCCTTCACTGATCTTATTTATCCTTTTGCATCTCGAATCTCAATAACATGATACTCCACTCTACCTAATTTCAGTAAGTCACCCTCTTGTAATGTGTAACCCTATCATATAAAATATAATTAATACCTTTTATACACCATCTGCATTTTTTAAACTACGAACAATCAAATAATTATCATTTTCTGTTGAACCTTGATTTGGTTGTATAAAATATTAGTCTAAAAAAATATTAATGATATTACCTCCTTGGGCTTATATGGATGTTAGAGGTTAGAGTGCTTCATCCTTATTTTTGCCTTCTAAAATAACTATTTCATTTTCTAATTATATTTTGATATGTCAAACCTTCTCTGCAGACTTTGCACGATCCTTCGACCCTATGCTTTTTAACGCTTAAAGATTTTGTTTCATAATCAAATAGTCCGTGAGAGTCCTTTTACCAAGTTACTGCTTTCATTTCCACACTACTATGATAATGAATGATTACTAGTTCTTATTCTTCGATATAAAAGGAAGAGTAGTTGTCATTTATTCTTTTTTTTTTTTGATTTAATATATATAATTATTCATAATAAAGCTGAATTAAGAAACCAAATATTTATATTAAGCAATCGTCATTAATCTTAATATATTAAAACCTTCATAATAATAATACAATCAATTGGATTGATATTCCTGTTTTAAAATTAAAAATTCGTTATAATCCTCATACAAGTAAATTTATGAATAAAATATTTATCTAATAATCAGTTAGACAATTTTTATTAATACTATTTACAATTAGTAATGTCAGTATTTTTAGATCATTTGAATATAATCTATAGATAACAACAATTATTATGATAACATCTTATAATCAGAATTATGTTGAAAGTCTTATAAATAAATTATTTAAAATCTTTTACATAATTTATAAGATATATTGAGAACAATAATAAATTTGAACAATATATATTCTTATTTTCCTTTTTGTAAACATTAAATATTATGAATTTAAATAATTTAGTTTAATATATAATTAAATACATATTGAAAAACTCTAATATATATTGAATAAATCTATTAAATATTTGTCTACTTAGTATTATTTCTCTTATGAATTCTCTGAATTTATTATGTTAATTAATTAACAGTTTTTATATAATATTTTAATTAATGAATATTAATATTTATGATGAGGCTAGCCTTAGCTTGTTGTCTACATCAAACTTTCATGAAAAACACACCATATCTTCATTAAATAAATAAAAATATATCAAATAAAAATACTTTTCAGAATCTGAATTAATAAGTTAAAACGAAATACAATCACACAGAGTTCGTCCAAATAGTGATATGTATCAATCAGGAATAAATTTTTTAAAGCATAAATAAGAAAAATAAGACTATCTGTCACTTAAATTAGAAGAAGAATTCAAAAAGAAATACACTTTTTAACCTTAATTATCATAAACATCTCGTCTACTATCTGCTAGATTAAATGTTTCTTAAGTAAATCGTTCTACAAGAAATATGAATAAAGAAGGTACTTTAAATATAGATTCATAAACAATGAAACTTGAATAAGAATTAATAGAATGTACTTTCTCACCGAAAATTCTCAAAACGACTTAAGATATATTTGATCGAAGAAAACCTATGTATGAAAGAAATGTATAATGGAAAGACTAAGTTAAAGATAAACAAACTTAAGATTAAATAAGAAGAGAATCTCTAATTAAATCTAAAATAATACCCACTTAAACACCAAAATAAATGGATCTTAGAGCAGCACATGCATTAAAGAAGAATTTTTCAATGAAATATTTGAGGAAATCAATGATGGGGTGAATTATTAACTATAATTATGTTTCAATTATTTATTAAAAAATTAATTATAATATGGGAGCTTAATGTTGTTGTTCATTTCCTTAAAAATTGATAACTAATGAAATAGTTATAGATGTGAAAGGGAGTCTTAATACATTATCAAAAAAAAGTATAAACAACGATTAATTGATTGGGTTGGACAATGTTAATGAGATAAAGGAATAATATTAAGATTTTGAAGTTATAGCAGATTCACCATAAGATCTTACTCCAAAAGATGATTAAAATGGATAATAATGTAAAATGTTTGCATAATCAGAAAGCAAAGTTGATAGTAATTTATATGTATATTAATAATATAGCATTGCCAAAGAACGGGATTAAAAAAAAGTTAACCGTATCCTCTATTGGTACAGTAAAGTTAGGAGCTGATGTTTTTGTGAATCTTAAGTAAGGAAGTATCCATAAATATTACACAACTGGAGAGGTTTTAGGTTAAGGAGCTTACGGGAAGGTTTGGAAGGTTACTCATAAAAATACTGGTAATTATATTTATGAATTTGAGGTATGATTAGAGCTATGAAATAATTAAAGAAAAGTTCATTGATAGTTGAAGAAGAATAAAGACTATTTGCAGAAATGAATATACTAAAAAATTTAGATCATCCTCACATTGTTAAATTATATGAATTATACTAAGATTAATAGAACTACTATTTGATAACAGAATATTTATCAGGAGGTGAATTATTTGATAGAATTAAATCTATGACCTATTTTAGTGAAAAAAAAGCAGCTGAATTTATTAGATAAATCTTACTTGCTGTTGTTTATTGTCATGAATAAAAAATTGTTCATAGAGATTTAAAACCTGAAAATATATTATTTATTAATGAATCATCTAATTCACCATTAAAAGTTATAGATTTTGGAACCTCAAGAAAATATGATACTGTTAAAAAAATGACCAAAAAACTAGGAACTGTAAGAATTATATTTATTTATAGGCGTATTATATAGCTCCTGAAGTATTAAAATAAGATTACAATGAAAAATGCGATGTATGGTCATGTGGTGTTATTCTATACATTTTGTTATGTGGATATCCTCCTTTTACAGGAAAAACGGAAAAAGATATAATGCATAAAGTGAGCGAGGGTAAATTTAAATTTGATTGTAATTTATCATTCAAACTTAGTTTAGAGGAAGATTGGGGTTTTATCTCAGAAGAAGCTAAAAATTTGATAATCAAAATGCTTTAAGTTAATCCAAATTAAAGAATCTCAGCTAAATAAGCTTTACATGATCCCTGGATTGATAAACATAATTTAAATGAAAAAGTCAATTAAATTGTGTTATAAAATTTACAAAAATTCCAAGTACTATTATATTATATCTCTATATAGGCTAAATCTATTTTTACTTAAGCTGTTCTTTCTTATATAGCATGTTAAATGACTTCTTAATAGGAATAAGATGAATTAGTGAAAACATTCTAAACATTGGATCAAGATAAGAATGGAATATTATCAAAAGATGAATTGATTGAAGGTTATACTTTAGTTTTAAAAGATAAAGATTTAGCAATTAAAGAAGTCAATAAGATTCTTTAAATTGTAGATCTTAATTAAAGTGGATAAGTTGATTTCTCAGGTAATACTTATATATTTATTATTAGAATTTTTGATGGCAGCTATGAACTAAGAAAAACTAGTTTCACTTGAAAGAGTTAAGGCAGCCTTTAAGATATTCGATGCTAATGATGATGGGAAAATATCAAAAGAAGAACTAGAAAATATGATTGGGAGTATTGATGAAGAACTTTGGCAATAGATTCTAACTGAATGTAAGGCAGAAGGAGAAATCACAGAAAAAGAATTTATTGAAATACTACTTAATCAAAAGCTTTGATTAAATTTTATATTTTATGTCTTGGTTATTTAATAAACCTTAACAGCCAGTATAATAGCCTAAACTTCCTGCTAATTTTGCAGAGAAAGTCCTAAATTTAGAGTTAGATGTTGAATCAAATGCTGCTTCAAAAGAAGAAATTTAAGAGCTATTAGAATTATATAGTGTAATGTGATCTATTAATCTAGTAAGCTGTAGAACATTATTCTTCAATTAAATCAGAAAGATATACTGTATTTACTAACAAAATTCAAGCTTTATTAATGAAACCTTATGTTAATAAAATGTTTGGAGCAGAAGGCAAATAAGAATCTAAATAAATTTAATAATAACATGTACAAAAGGAATAAATCAAAAACAACATATAATTCATTTAATAAATGGATAGCAATAAATAAGTCTAATAGATGATGACTGCTGCTATTGATGAAAAAATTAAGAGAGAAAATATGATTGCTGATGATTTTAAAATGTAAGATCATAGAGTCCAATAAAGGATGTTAAAAAGAATTAAAGTAATTAATTTAATGCTATTAAATTAAGGATCCATCAAAATATAACTTAGCCATCTCTAAAAGCACATCTCTTCGTCATTTAAAATTAGACATTGAATCTTAAAGTTAATAATCAACTCTTCCAGATACATTAGAATAAGGATAAGACATTAGATCTGATCCAGTATTAGATAAATATTTGGAGGCTGTTGCATAATAATAATTCACTGATTTGATTAAAAATGATTATGATTAAGTTGAACAGCTTCCTTAATAGCCTACATCAAATTAAGAGAATAAAATAAGTATTCCAGAACCTGAATTGGTTAGTCTTCCAATTAAGCCATCATAAATTAAGGATAAACTTTATTCTTATTTTAATGATGATCCTTAACCAATTGATCAATAAAATTGGTCTCTTTAATTAGGAGATCTTTCACATCCAAAAACAAAAAAAGTTAGAGAAATGGTTAATAAAAATACAGAACTTATTAAGTAAAAAAAGGAGCTAAATAACATCTTACCGTGTTGATTTTGATTTATTCAATAATGCTTTATAAATATAAATGATATTTTGATATCACATTGAGAATATTTAAAATAAGTATAATTATTTTCAAATTTAAGTAATATTTTTATTTTTACAATTTTTAATTATCGTGAAAATTAACAACTATTCTCATAAATATACTAATAAGAAGAATATATTTAAATATATGTTAATAAAATAACATTTCTCCTATTACCAACAAACTTATGTATGAATCATTTAAACAAATTTATCATTATCTTAAAAAACTAAATTTAACTCAAGTTGGGCAATAATGAAACATATCCTAATTAATAGAAGTCTAAACTTTTATTTAAGATCAACAAACTCAATTATATATAGGATGAATAATCCATTTACTATTTTACTATTTTACAAATTTGAATTATAAATTAGATAATATATTACAAAATTAATTTTACGAAAATTCAAATATTTTAGATAGCTTAAGAAAAAAAGAATTTTGAAAATCACTATAGTAATAATTACAAAGTTTATAAATCAAAAATAATTTATCACCAATTTGAATTTAAATAAATGTTGAACTAATTATCCTTAAATAAATTTAAATCTCCATGAATTACTACAATATAATTGAATGTTAATTTTTAACATACTAATTTAATAATAATCTAAATGCTGTGTTTCTATCAAATGGATTAAATAATAAATAAATTATATATTTGGAAATAATTACTTTAAAAAGATCTTAAATTTCAATTTTAATCATTCAATAGCAATTTGATAACATTAAATATAGAAAAATTGATAGTAAGTCTCTAACTAAATGAGATATTTCATTATACAAATGAAATAATAAGTTAAATATCTTTAGTATTGGTAAGTTTTAATTTATATAAATCATAAATTATTATTAAAATAAATGATAATATTATATTTGAATGTTTCTAATTATTTCTAAGAGATTTATGAGAAAAATAATGAGTATTTAATAATAACTTTTGTTTATTAATTTATGGTGTAAAAACAATTTATAATTTTCATTCTAACTTCTAGGACCACCAATTAAGTCACCTTAAAATTAATATTTTATTTAAAATGAATTTGATGCATTAAATGGAAAAATAAATTTTAATTTCTTATATATATATTAAACTATTTAAATTTGACTATGTTAGATAACTAATTAAGATCTCGCAAACTATAAATTTCAATGATTATTTCTTTGCTATTTCAATTTATAAGGATGATAATATAATATTAGGATTTTGGAAATCAATTTGTTAAATTTTTGATGATTAATTTGCTTGTTTAGATATCATTAGAATTATTATGTTTTAAAAAGACAAGCTTTTTTTAAACAGAATTATAATTAGCTCTTATATTAATGGATATAATTTTATTTTAAGTAGAATCATTTATGTATGGTATAGAGAATGTTTATCAAAATTATTTTTATATTGTTATTGTTCACAATTACACTAATCTTTAGATCAACATGGCAAATAGTAAAATGTGGAAAGCTATTACGATTTTTTTTTAAATAATACTTCTTTTGAGTTTTTCATATTAATTGAATTTAAATAGTAACTATTCTCATGAATTTAATTAAGTATACATAATTAATGCAAATAATAAATTATATTTGCTACTTTTATTATGGTTACTCCCTTAAAAAAATACCATTTAGGAGGGAAAGCAATATTAATCTAATATGAATGGGTTTTAAGATACAGCAGTTGAGGCATTATAAAATACAACTTTTCGTTAATCTTTACATTAAATAAATCCAAAAAGAACTATAATTAGAGATTTAAGTTTTATAAGTACAGATAAATAATAAAAGATTAAGATTAATGAAACTCTCTCTCCAATAGATTATTGTTCATTATTTGATGTTCTTTCTGAAGGTGTTATAATAGTTTAATTCGAAAAAATAGATAATAATAGTAATTCAAAACCTAAAATTGAATATTAAAATTAAATTAGCAAAAAGATTTTTCAAAAAAATAATCATGATTTATTAATGCTTTTTGAAAAGTTATCTTGTGAGATTTTAATGGATGAATCACCACTTCAATCAAGAGATTCTTTGTTTTCACTATAAAGTCTTAATTAACAATAAATAAAATATTTTAAATCTTCTAAGTTGAATTTTTTTAAACATTTTTCCTAAGATTAACAAATGACTTTAAGAAACACAGAATAAAGTCAATCTCCAAGATTTAGATCATTGACTAGTTAAGTATTATTACCTAAATGATTTAGCTTAACACTGTATATAAATGTTTGTTATACGTATATGGCACAAAAAGATTTAGAAGAGAAACTACTGATAATATGAATATACTTGTTGTTGAAACAAGCTTTGAAATTGAAAATTAAAAAAGATCAATTGAAATAAGTATCTCTATAGGCAATGAAGATTTATTATTCATAATTGCAAGAGATGTTATACATAGAAAGAACATTAAAGAACTACTTCAAATTAATTAATCAAAATCTAAAACATTATCTTTTGTAAGTCATGAATTTAGATCTCCATTAAATGTAGTTATAAATATATTGAGCAGACTTAAAGAATAATTAAATAATTATGATTATATTTGTTAGAATATATCAATTGTTTTGGAAAATTGTTATTATATGTTAAATTTAGCTAATGATTTACTTGATTTGGCTTAAATAAAAGCAGATCAATTCAGTTTAGTCTAAAAAACCTTTAATTTAACTTAATTAGGAGAAGAGTGTCTTTAAATGTTTAAACTTTAAGCAGAATTGAAAAATATAAAATTAACAGTTATTTCAAATGTTAAATGTTTATAAATTAGAACAGATAGAAATAGACTTAAACAGATCTTAGTAAATCTTATTGCAAATGCTATTAAATTTACATAAAAAGGAGCTATCTCAATTAAGTTTGTGTAATAAGGATTATTAGTAAATGCTGGAGTAGAGGATACAGGAGTTGGAATATCATAACATAATTTAGCTAAGCTTTTTAAAGCTTTTGGTAAGATTAAAGAAGGACTATCTGAGAATTTAAATGAATAAGGTGTTGGATTAGGTTTGTTAATAAGTAATAAACTAGCTTAATAATTATCATATGATAATTCTGGATTGAAGGTTATATCTTAAGATACATCTTAGGCAAAACATGGTTCTTACTTTTATTTAACTTTAAAAATTCAATAATTACATCATAAATGTCCTTTTATTAAACCAGAATAAGTTCATTTGGATGATGATTATTCTCCACCCTTAAATGAAATTTATTTTAATAGTAAAGGATCTTAATAATAATAATAATATAAAATAGTTATTAATAGTGATAATTAAAGTTTTTAAGAATCTATTATAGTTAATGATTTAATTTAAGAAAACATTATAGGATGTAAACATATTTTGATAGTTGATGACAATGTATTTAATTAAGAAATATTGGAAATGCAAATAAAATAATTGTAATAAAATAATATAAATATCTAAAATAGTACTAATACCTAAATAGATAAAGCCTTTAATGGAACTGATGCACTAGAAAATGTTAGATCCAAAAAATGTTCAGAATCTTGTTAAGGTTATGCAGCTATATTTATGGATATGGAAATGCCAGGATTAAATGGTATGCAAACTTCAACTCTAATTTTAAAATCAAATAAATAAATGAAAATATTTATCACCTCTGCTTATGATGAAAATAAACTAAAAGAACAAAGTTTAAAAATAGGAATCCAAGAATTTATAGTTAAACCAATTTCTAAATAAACCATTCAAAGAGTTATTAAATAGTATAGCCTATGAATATTTACTTTTATATAATTAAAAGAGTTTTTTAAAACATATTAGTATTCTAATAATTTTATTTTAGGATATTCAATAATTCATATAAGATTTTTCTATATTTTTTGTTTATTCAATTAAGAAATTAATATTTTCATTCATTATATATCTTTTTAAAGTTTTATATAATATTAATATTATTGATACATATGATTAGTTATTTTATTAGAGCCTTTAACAATATATTTTAATTAACTTTTATATCCATATCTACTTTTATAATGTTGTTGGTTTAATATGCAGATTATCATTAGTATTTATTTCTATATATATATATTCTAAATAATTTGATTAGATTTATATATAATTATTCATCCAATACATGAAGTATATATAAATACTTTGGAATTGATAATATATTAATAAAATTTATGAGTTCTAATACTAATACTCAAGCATTTCAACCTGTAGGAAAAGCATTACCAAGGGAGATCATCAAATGGATACAAGGACTTGATCTAAGTTATTCTGTAAAAGATCCTAGAAGGTATATATTAATGTTTATAACTTATTTAGAGATTTGAGCAATGGTTTTTTAATTGCTGAAATTTTCTCACGATATTATCCTGGAAGAGTATAAATGCACTCTTTTGATAATTCACAAAAGGATGAAAGGAGATAAAACAACTATTAACAATTAGAGCTCTTTTTTAAAAAGAATGATATAGTAATTCCAAATCATAAAGGATTTGCTGAAATTTTAGATAATGATTGGAATGCCCTTTATAATTTTCTTGTTAGCATTTACAGTTTATTAACATAGAGAAAGTATTTAATTAATATTAAAAAGGGTTATTAATCCTCCTTTGGCATCTTATGTGAATTCTAAAGAATTTGCCACTTCTACTTAAAATACTTAGACTTTCTTATTAAAAGAAAAAGGAATAGAGAAATTATAAGAAGAGTAAAAACAAGAAGATTAATTCTAAAAAGAATAGCTTTCTGAAAAGCATGCACCTTTGTCAGTTTCATCTAAAAGAACTAATTTTATGAGGGTTCCAAGCAAACCAATAAGTTAAAATTTAGAAAATCTAAACTATCAAATTGAAGTCAAAAATATAAGTTATAGACCTGTTTAAGGGAGTTTATTAAAATTGAAGGAGGAATAATAATAATTAGAAAAATAATAGGAAAAACTTAATTCAAATAACGATAGATAAATATAGGATTCATTTTAAAAAACACCAATGGATGAGAATAAGAGAGAAACAACATCAACAAGAGAAAAATAATTAGATAAATCAATATATGATGTATAAATTTTATATATAATAAATAGATTTTAAATGAAGCATTAACATAAAGATAATAATTTGCATAATTTGCATAAACAGTTTAATTCAAATAGAATGGCACTGCTCTATAGAGTTTTATAGATCTAATTGATATTTATCCTGAAGATTTTGTAAATGGATTTTTTTAGGAATTAATAACATAGAAAGAAGCATATATAAATTTTATATTCAAAGACACAAATGAAGTATGGAAATTTTTTAAATTTACATTTTAATGTATTTAAAATTTACCAGTTTAAAGAGTTCATGTTTGTATTGATTTGGTTAATTAATTTGGCGCAAGATCATTATAAAAGGATGCATTAAAAACTAGATCATTATTTTTAGAATTCTTTTTACCAGAAATATGTAATCTTATAAAATAAAGTGTTTTTTTTGAAAAGAAATAGCTTTTAATTTAAATGATATGTTCTTTTTAAGAACCTATGTTTAAATATTAAGTTATTTAAACAATGAAATAGAATTTATCAGTTGAACATTTTATGTAATGTTTAGCTGTCTTTTCAGGATTTGAATAAGAATCATCAGATTTGTGGAATGATATGAAACGATATGGATATATATATTTTTTATCTGCTTCAACATCTTTAAGTTCAAGTGCATTAGCTATATTATGTAATGCAGCTAAAGCTAATTCTTAAGTGAAAATTGATAAACATGTTATAGCATTGGCTAAAAATAGATGGTGGTAAAATCGTTGTCTATGTGTTATATTATTTAGTGAAATGATTAGAGGAATAATCAAAACTCCAAATTATTAAAATTTAATTAAGTCTCCTTAATAAGGATAGAAATTCTTTTCTATTGAAAATGACAGAATAATTTCAGATTTAAAAGCATAAGTTAATCATTTCTCTAAAGGAATAGAAATAGCTTCATTACCTATAGATTCAGATATTCTTATGACATAATCATTAATTCACATAGTGGATTTATTAGGAGATAGTAAAATATTATTAGAGTTATTTGTTAAGATTGTTCTTGAAGTATCTTAAGAATCAAGATAATGGGCTTTATTTAGTTAAGAATAATAAGATGAATATGATTTCTTTATTCCATCTGATAAAAGTTTTAAATTTAAATTAAATATTAACTCATAATATGTAAAATAAGTTTCATTTTAATTACTATTGCATTTAGTTGAATTAGTAATAAATTTATCATTATTTTATAGCTCAATACATAGAAATTATTAAATTTACCATTAGGACATTTTGAATTACTTCATTGGTGTTTTCAAAATACAGATTTTAAAATATAAAATATGGAATCATGTGAATAGATTGCTAAAGTAACTAAAGAATATGTTTATTTGGGTTTAAGTGATCCAACTGTTTTATTGTATGCTAATGATTTAGCAAAATAATTGCTTGATTTATAATTTAAAGCAGAAGTTTAAATAGAAAATCATGATAAAATATTTGCAAATTGTATTAGATTAGCATTAAAAGCTGAGAATGATCAAGTATTAAACAATATTGTTGAATTTATTGAAAATTTAGTAGCAGAATCTGGTTAAAGTGCATCAGATGGAATGAAGAAGTAATAAAATAATTAAATTGATAGTTTTATACGAAGTGTTTATGATGAATTAGACTAAATGAATCCTTCACCATTATCAAATCCTAAAATATCTAAATGTTTTGAAAGAGTTAATGATAAACCATATTAATCACCACATCCAGATGTTTCAGATGTTTAAATTTAAGATGAATAACAATCTGATTTTTAATATTGAATATCATTAATATATTCACTATTAGTATTGTTTATAACCACTATTTGAATTTGTTGTTTATTTTGTAACAACTCTAGAAGTAATTGTTAATTCTTACTAAATAATTAAAATAAATAAATAATAATACTTTTCTTTATTTTTTCAATGATTCTAATTCAGCTTACAACATAGTAATTTCTTCTTAACATCTATTATATTCATGATTTGCTTTAATAAATTTAGATTTCCAAACTTCTACTTCTTAAGATAGATATTCTACTTTTTCTTAGAAAACAGAAGATCCAGACATTTCTAATTATTAATATCTAGTCTTCCATTCATCTAATTCTATTTCTTTTTATTTAATTGAATAAATAAGACGTTCAATTTCAGATGTAAGCATAGTGATTCTACTTTCATATTCTCTTAATTTAAGTATCAATTCATTATTTTTTGTATCTGTTTTATAATCTATATTTTATATTTAGATTCTTAATTATTAATTTTCATTATTGGAATTAATAAGTTTTGAATTTACATTATCAATTTCAGAATTTAAGTATCTAATTTGAGTTTCCAATTCTCTAATTCTAATTAATTCATTTGTATTAGTATTAGATTATGTTTAAGTAATTTAGATTCTAAGAGAATTTATTTCAGTTTCTCGAGAACTATATTAATATTGTTAATTACCTAATAATTTATTATAATTTATAATTTTCATCTTATGATCTTCTTAATTATATATCTTATTATTTTATTTTATTTTCTAATTATGATATTTAATCTTCAAATTTAATTCTTATAAGATAAAATTCACTTTCTTTTTATGCAATATCTTCAACTTAAACACTTCTAAGTTCAAATGTACCATTTATTCTTTATAATTCTTTTTCATAATTAATTTTGGATATATGTAATTCATATTACAATGATTCATTTTATCTTCTTAATTCTTTAAGTTATGATTCTAACAATTCAACTCTAGAATTATCCGTTATTGTTTTCTCTACTATTTATACAGATTTGTTTTATTATTTATTTTGTAATTCATTTATTAGTGATTGTAAATACTCACATTCAAGTCTCCAAGGCATTTCAATTTCTTCTTTTGAAACTACAATAATATTCATGCATAATGGTTGAGCTGCAACACAATTTTATTAAACTGTAAATGTATTTGGAATTCCTGTCATTGTAGGTATAGTATTCATAGTATTCATTGTTTATGTTTTATATACTCTTTATGTTTTTGATTTTGTATAATCTTAATTTTTCATTGGAGAAACTGAAGATTCACTTTATTTAAGCTACTCATATTTCAAATAATAATTACATTATGAATTTATGAATCAGCAAAAGAAACTTTGTTCATATTTGTTACTGATCTTTATTCTCTTTAACTTTTTGTATATTGTGACATTAATCAATTTTATAATTTATATTTAACAGCAAATAATTTAAAGTTTGTTAATCTGCATATATATATTCATATTTACTATATTCAATGATACTTAAATATTTTTTATATGATAGTTTTTATTAATAGTATTTTGTCTTAAGAAATTAAACTTAATGAAATAAGAAAATAAAATTTATTAATGAGTGAAGTTAATTCAGAAGAGGAAATAGATGAGTAAAATCCAACTAAAATAACTGATACTTCTCCTATCAAAAAAGGAGACTTCATGACTTATTCTCAATTATAGAAGAAGATCAATAGTGTTATACCTGATGAAGAGACTGTCTCTTACAATACATCAGCTGTACAAAATAGTCAACTTACATATTCTATGAGTTAATTCGAAAGGTCAAATCTTGTTAAAATTGAAGAAGTTAATGAAAGTCAACATTCTTTATTTTCTTAATTGTAACAATCTCATTTTATTTCTGATAACAAAGAAAGTTTAAAAAAAGATTAAGAAATAGAAATACTAAAACAGTAAAATGATAAATAATAAAAATATATTGAAGAACTCTAAATTGCATTATAAAAATTGTAAGTCTGTTAAAAAGAAGAAATTCATCAATTGCGTTGTTAATTGGATGAAAAGGATAAAATGATTGTTAGATTATCAAATTTCGAAGCATATACATAAGAATAATAGAAGATTATTGATTAAAAGGATAAACAATTAAAAGATTTAAAAGAATAATATGATATTAGAACTTACAATTTATAATAGATTGTTGATGATTAAACAGAATCTATTAAGACATTACATAAATAAATTAGTCAATCAAATAATAATTCTTAGATTGTTCATTCACCTAATTTAATTGAAAAGATTCGTCTAAAATAATAGAATTTAAAATCTTAATTCGAAGAACTCTCTAAATTATATGATGAAATTACTTGTGAAACACCATAAACTCCAACATCTTCAAAGAAATAAATTATAACTAGAACTCCATCTAGATCAATACATTTAATTTAATCCCCATAATAATACAATACTGAACCAAAACCATCATTAATATGATTTATTATATATATATATATAAATGTCATTTGTTCAATTTTGATTGTAATAATTCTCTAAATTGTGATGAATAAGCAAAACTAATTATAATAAAATTAATTAATACTTTTTAGCATCTTCAGCAACTTTAAGTTCCTTTAATCTAACAGACCTAATTTCATTATATAATCCAGTAATTGCAGCAAAATTATTATTCTCCATTTCTTAAATTAATATATTATATACCAATTTAGCTATTGTACATATCTAAATCACTTTATCTCTACTTTGTAAATTCTTTCTCTTAATCAATTCTAGCTGAAATAGATGCCAAATCATAAGTTGCTTAATTCACTTAAGTTTAGAATTCCTATCAATAGTAAATTATTATTTACTTAAAATTCTGAATCCAATTATTTTTGACGATCATCAAACATTTTTTAAGCATCATTTTCATCTGATGTTAATTGAATCATTGAATCAACAATCTAATTTCTTAATTTATTTAACAATTCTTTTATTTATTTTGTATCTTATGTTCCAGATAAACTTATTAATGCATCTACTAATGGAGCATATTCTTCTCTTGAATTTACTTTCTATTTTATATAATCTAGAGTCTTTTTCATTGGTGCTTCAACAAAAGCAATATTTCCACTACTTAAACCTTATACAAGAGATAATGCTTCATCTATTGATGTAGTTGCCTATTGATGTTCATGAATATGTTCAACATTTTAATCTTTTTATTGATTTCTTTATAATTTGTCTCTTTATATATTTGATCTATTATCATTAATATTTTATTAGATCTATTTTAATCTCTTTTCAATATTTTCTTTGTTTCTTGACAATACATTATCTAATTAATCTTATGATTAAGCAATATCAATTTATGCATCTTATTAATTAGATTCATAATTTTAAAGAACCCTATTTGATTAATTTAAACTACTTCAAATGTATTGCTTATTTGGATTGAAATTCACCATCTAATTATGAGATACTCTCTTGTAAATTCTCATAAAATTTTTCAATTGTCTCTTTTAAATCATCTAATGGTCCTTGTACTTCTGCATGAATTTAAGCTAAATCCATTAAGAATTTTCCTACAGGAGAGTCTTAAGATAGTTTATCGAATTATTTATTGGCCTATTATAGTTCTTGCACTTGAAGTGCTGTACACATAACAATCAGCAATGCTAAAATCGTTTTTTACATATTAATTAATATGAATAAATAAATTATATGGGTGTTTATGTTTAATTAATATTTATAATATTTTTAATGTATTGATATATATAATAAATGAAATGAGTATTTAACTGGATTAAGTAAGATAAATACAGTTATTTTAGTAATCAAAAAACAAAAATATCAATCTCACCTTCTAATTTTATGTATAAAAATTTATGTAAAATTTGTTCTGAATATCAAATTGGTTTGAAATGATTTTATAAATTAATATAAAATGCAACGAAAAGAAAGTAAAAAGGCCACAATTCCAAAGATGGTGGCTAGAGTCTTATAACAAAATGAAGCATCTGATAAATTAACAAATTTTCTCTTTATTAAATAAGGTTAGGATAGAATAAAGAGGACTATTTTAGCATATTTGATTGGAGATTTTACAAATTTAATTCTGGTTTCAGGATAATGGTATGTAGGATTTCAATAGACATTGAAGGAATGGCTTGAAGATTTAGATAATAGATTTATAAAAGCACATTTACATATACTTTCATTTAAAAATAGTGATTTCTTATAGTAAAGTTTTTGGGTGGATAGTACTAAAACAAAGAAATTATTTAGATGGGATAGAACTATAATCTCAGAAGTATTAAATGGATTTAATGGGAAATGCATTACTATTGCTTTTAAATATAATCGTAAATATAGATGTGAATATAAATTTGATGTCTTACCTCAGAATTCAAAGAGAGTTATTTGGATTGCAAGAGAATAAACCAAACATAATTTTGAAAGTGTCTCTTAAGTAATGAACATCTAACCAATATTGACAGGAGATTGTGTTAAAATAGCAATCAATTTTTATAATAAATTGGGATTCATTGATCCAGATACAATTGAATTTGAGGATCCTTAAATAGAATAATCAAAAGAACGAATTTGTTCAATATAAAAGTAATTTTTTGATTGGGTTGGTATTGAATATGCAAAATAGAGACCATCATTGCGTGATTATTAAATTCAACCACATTTGCGTTTGATAAATTGTAGATGTGCTGGAGTTGATACTGTTGCATATTAATTTTTTTATGAGGCATGTGAAATAGGTATGCTATAGCACAATGAACATCTTAGGATCGTTCAAAAATGACCTTTTAGGAATTCCTATTGAAGTAGTACAATAAGGATAGGAGGTAGTAACAGAATTGAAGAAAGTAGGTCTTGTTAGTGATAGAGAATGTAAACTATAATTAAGAAAGCAAGATTAATTAATATTCTACTAAACAACTGGAGATTGATTATTAAATAAAAATAAAGTTTTATTTTCTTAAATTTTATATAATAAGTTTAAACACACTCTCAAGAGATTTGTGTAAATTCTTATTCTTTTAATGTATTTTCCAAATGATTTATATTAAGCATTTAATATTTTTCAGTGTATAATTTAGAATGAATATAGAATCATTTATTTTGAGATATACGTTACAATAAAAATAAATGGTATTGTATATGAAGGAACATGGGTTATTAATGGGATTGATTAAATATTATTACTATTTTGAGAGGAGGTTAAAATTTATAGAAGACTGTGGGGTTTTAGCATTTTGTTATTTAAGCATTAAATTAAATATATCTTTTGAAAGTCTGGTCAAATTAAATGATTGTTTCATTATGTATGCCGTTTGTCAAAAATAATCATAAATTTTATTGTATAATCTGTTTGTTATATATATGAGAAGTATGATTGGAAAATAGAAATAAATTAATAAAAAGTCCTACCTGTAAATTCTTTGATTCAGATTTTTAAAAAATTTTATGAATTTTATTTATTAGTAATTATTAATTGTATCATTATGAAACCTTACACATACTAACATCGTGTATCACAATTAGATGATATGGATGATCATTCTGTATTATCTAAATCAAAATTACACGGATTCTACTATTATGCACATATGTTGGGAATCTATTACATACTTGATCTCATCTATTTTAATTAGTTAGGGACTATACTAGCTAATTCCCCAACGATATCTGCAGTGCGTAGAGATGGCATTTTAATGATAATCTGGGCTGTTTATGTAAATAATAATAACTTATATAAGTCATTCACATATCCATATACAATTTATTTTGCACATAAATTTGGTTAGAAGATGTTGTTAGTATTTTTTATATCTCTTCCATTTGTTATATTTCCATGGTTTACTATTAAATATTAATTGGGCTTTATACCTGGAGCCTTTGTAGGTGCTATGGCTTTTATTGGATTTATGAAGGAAGTTTCTTATATAAAACATTGTAAAAAGCCAATTAGTTTGTGGGAATTCTTTATCTATATGATTACTCCAGCATTGGTATTCTATCATGATTATCCAAAAACAAAGAAGATCAGATTAATTTATTGTTTTGCAAAGTTATTTAATATAGCATATTTTGATATCCTTGGTGCAATAATAATAGCTAAACACATCGAACCTTAAATAATTGGAACATCAGATTTGATTCTATAAACAGTATTGTTATTATTCCCATTAACTGCATTTTGGATAGTACTTTTCTTCCTAACCTTTGAAAATATATTAAATTTATTAGCTGAAATAACATATTTTGGAGATAGAGAATTTTATCATGATTGGTACTAAATATAATTTAATAATAAAGGTGGAATGCAACAACTTTTGAAGAATTCAATGCAAAATGGAATACAGTTGTTTATGCTTTTTTGCATACACATGTATATTTGTAATTACAAGAATGGAAAATTCCTCGAGTATGGTCAAAGGTACTAACTTTTGCATTTTCAGCCTTGCTTCATGAGATAATATTGATAATAGCTTTAAGATAATTTACTCCTTTTATGACTTTCATAATGTTGTTTTAAGTACCAGTAATGATGGCATTAAGATTCTTAAAAAACACAAGAATAGGACTAATCTATTTTTGGTTCAGTCTATTACATGGAGTACCAATTATTGTTAGCTATTATGTATTGGTTTGATTTATAAATATATAATATATATATTGTCTAATATCAATGAAGCGGTAAAAACTCAAAGTAGATTCAAGTGAAGTGGATAAGGTTAGTTCAGGGACTTCAACTCCTGATGAATAAGGCACTCATAAATAGGCTAATATTAAGCATCTGAGAAAACATGCTTTTGTAAATAGAGTTTCTCTTTTAGATGACATGGATAAGGATTCAGAGTTAAATCGAACAAAGTTTGTTGGGTTTTATAACATGCTTTATGTAGTGGCCTTTTATTATTTTATCATAAATCCAATCATGTCATATTATAAGACAGGACATCTAATTGAGACCTCCTTATATAATTAAATGAGAAGAGATTTATTCATGTGTATAGTAACTTGGCCTTTGGTATCAAATTATTATCATCTATTTAAAAGTTTTACGCTTGGAGTCACATTGCATTGCTAATACAATACTTAGCTATGATGAATATGCCAAAAACCTTAATGTTCATTACTCAACACATTAGTTAAGTGTGTATGTTTGTTTATGCTCATTATTTGGTATTAACTAGAGATTGGTATTTACCATAAGGAGCATTTGTAACATTTTAATCCTGTGTTTTCTTCTTTAAAATGCATTCTTACACTATGACCAATTACAAAATGAGAAGAGAATGGATAGATTCAGGTTGTCCAAAGAATAATGATCCTTATGCTTATCCTAATAATATCAATTTCAAGAATTTTACTTAATTCATAATGACACCTGTGTTAGTGTATGAACCATAATATCCATAATCAGGTTAAATTCGTTGGAAATATGTTATTGTTAAATTTATGAATACAATGGCTATGCTTATTATGGGATATATGATTGTTTCAAATCATATCTATCCAATAATTTAGAATATTAAAGATCATTCATTACCTGATTCAATTTTTTAGATGACATTACCTTTAATATTTTTATGTCTCACACTATTTAATATGGTATTTGAAAATTATTGTAATTTCTGGGCTGAAATCACTCATTTTGGAGATAGATTATTTTATACTGATTGGTGGAATTCAACTGATTTTGAAGAATTTAATAGAAATTGGAATAGACCTGTATATGAATTCCTTTATAGACATGTCTATTTAGAATTAATATTTGAATTTGGTATAGGAGTAAAAAAGGCATAATTGGCAACATTCATGTTTTCTGCACTTTTACATGAATACACATTAGCAGTAAGTTTGAAATAAATCACTCCAATTATGATTATGTTTATGATGATTCAATTACCAGTGATGGTTTGGACCAAAAGAATTAAAGGAACAAAATTTGGAAATCTTTTCTTTTGGTTTGGAATCATATAAGGTTTACCCCTTATTTTGAATCTCTACCTTAGATTTGATGAATTACCAAAACTATTGTTACCATGAGTATATAATTTGTAAAATACAAAATAATTCATTTCTTTATTTCAATACCACTCAAGGCTCTTTATAATAATATATTTCCTTAGCAAATTTTTAATTGCAATTCTATCTATGTTTTCAAAATTTAACGATGTTCTTCTAAACGTTTAATAAACCCACTTGTTTGTTATGTTATTTGACTAAAAACTTACAATTTCTTCTCTTCCTTAACCACATTAGAATATTGATTGAAAATTCTTTGAGCTTCTGTTTGCATTAATGATTTTGAATCCATTTTAAAATCATCTTATGGCATCACATAACTTCCTATCAACATAGATATAATTCTATACCAACATTTAATTTTATTTTCTTAACAATCACATCGTCATTCATTATTATTAATATATTGATAATTAAATAATTACTCAAACATATTATTGTAGGTTTGATTTACTATATATTTATATATTTATATATAATCATTAATTATTTGTCTATATGGTCTAATCTCTTAATGATTATGTGATCTTTATAGTTACTAATAATTATAAAAATTATTCTACCTATTATTATATAGCATTTATTTAATTTATATTGTATTTGTCGATCTTGTTTATTTAATCAAAATTTCAAGTTTGACTAGCATTACATAATCTAATCATGGCTTATAATTATTAAAAAAAATATTATTGTTGAGAGTAATTATTCAACAAAATCTTCACTTCTTAATAAGAAGTATAAGAAACTTCAATTTCTTATCACTCTTTTATTTATTAATTCAATTTCTAATATTATTGTAAATAAACTCAATTTTTTTTAAGATACCTAATTCTCTTAATTATTCAAATATATTCTTTAAATTTATAGTCTTGAATCCTTAATTATGTGATAAATTGATTCATAAGCAACATATCCATGAACTTAGATTAAGAAGAATATCAATATTATAAATTCATATATATTAAAGAGGCAGTAATATGAAAGAGAAGCTTGAGCTTTATGGCAGAGAAGATCAAAACTATTATTTAGAATAAATGAGTATATTATTTAACTATCGAATAATCTGTTATCATTGAAGGCTTAGCTCAGGGGTAGAGCGTTGGATTCCAGGTCCAGGGGTCGCGCGTTCAATTCGCGTAGTCTTCATATTTTTTATTTTTAATAAAATAATAATTTTTGAATGATTAAGAATTCATCATATGTATTTTCTTATTGATGTTGTTCTATAAATATCTTATAAAGTTATTATTGTTAAAATTAATCGATTTTAGGAGCATATAGCCCAAAATGATATAATATAAAAAAGAGAAACATAATTAAACCAATAAATAGTACAACTTTCAAGCTTTTATTATATTTGGCATTTTCTCTTTGATTATTGCCAAATATATTTACTTTTAAACTACCTTAATATAGTTTTCATATATCAATCTCATATTAAGATATAATTCAATCACTTATTTTCATAAATATTATATTTCAGATCATATCATTAAACAAACATAAGAGTTAAAGACTTATCTATAACTTTAAAAAGGTGAGTATTATTCCCATTTAATTATAAATATTTTTTTATAAACTTGATAATTAAGTACAAATTTTATTTTAGTTCATTTCTAATATTAAATGAATTAAAATCAAAAAATGAAATCTGATTTGAATCAACCGTAAACCTAGATGATATGATTTTATTGTCTAAATCATGATGTATTCAATCTATTATTAAAAAATTATAATATTTTCAATCTTAATTAGGATTCCTTCTATTATAATAACTCATTTTCTATTGATAATTAAGTATTAATAAATTGTGTTAGTATAATATAAAAAGATTTGTTCAATGAGCAATTGTATAGTAAAGGAGGAGGAATAACATGTCCAAACTCCAATGAGTATCTCTAAAACAACAATTTCTAAACAAAATAGAAGGAAGGTTTTGTAAGAAAATCAATCCTTTCAATCCATTTATTTAAAAGTGGTGAGTAAATTCTTACAAACCTTTCATAACCTTTAAATGGCTTAATTTAACTCTTAATAAAAGAGTTTTCCATCATATCCATTTATACTTTAGTATTCATTCAATGAATTTTTGGTATTATCTCTATTAAATAAGTAGGTACATTTTGGTGGACATAAAATGGATTTTTAATATACTCCTGTATTGAATAATTTCCAACAATAACTACAAATATAATAGTGTGTACCCAAATTAATCACTTAATAATGTCCATCAATTAAACTGAGTATCTAAAAAAGAAAAGGAGTATCAAGTTAAGAATAAAAAGACACAAAAAACATTCCTAAGAATTATTGTAAGGCTATAATCACATTTGCTTCAAAAAATCAAGCTCTTTGTCATTAAATATTGGGAGACTAGCTTAAAGTAGTCAAGTTTTTAGAAAGAATAATAGTCTACAAGAAGAAGTTGATGAATATTCGTATATTCAGTGCATTACTATCTTAATCTGAGGATCCTGATGAGGAAGAATTCAATCAAACTTTTAGAATTTTAAGGTACACATAATTCTATTAACTTATAGTCGTATATTCGTTAAGAAGTACGCAATTAATTATATATTTAATTCAAAGATAGTTTAGCATAATTGGCATCTTCGATATCGTTTATAGATATATAAAGGTATAAAAAATCCTAAGAATTTTTCCCATATTAAGAAATTATGATATTTTAGAATATTTGATTCTAAATAAAAATTAAAGATTAGTTTTTTTTTTTATATTTTATGAAATTAATTAAATAATTCTGTTCATTTGTGGGAAAGGAAATTGATATCAAACAAGCTAGTTTAATTAACATTATAAGAAGTGAGATAGCTGAAAAAGGAGCCATTTCATTTCCTAGATTTTGGCATCAAGCACTATTACATGAAAAGTTTGGTTATTACATGAAATAAGATGTATTTAATAAAGATGGAGATTTTGTGACATCTGTTGAAATATCATAGATGTTTAATGAAGTATGATCAAATATCTTATAAAATCAACAGTTAATTGGAATTTGGTTATTGAATACATTCCAACATATTGGTGTTTTAGATAATAACTTTAGACCTACAAATTAAAAAATGCATATTCTAGAATTTGGACCAGGTTTAGGTACTTTGAGTTCGAACGTGTTGAGAGTATTTGCTTAATTCAATTTACTTGAAAATATTCAATATTCATATGTTGAATATAGTGATTATATGCGTAAAAAGTAATAGGAAGCTGTATTAAAACAATTATAAAAAAGTAACATCTATCCTAAATATGAATATAATAATTAAAAAGTAGAAAAATTTGAAAGTGCTGAAGTAAATTTGAAATGGTTTAAAATGTATGAACACTTCTTATATGAAGAAACAAGAGAAGGTTAACATTGTGATCCAGTATTAATATTAGCTCATGAATTTTTTGATGCATTACCTGTAAATATATTTGAATATTCTGGTGGTTAATGGTGTGAGAAATTAGTAGGATTAGATCAAGATGGTAAAACTCTTAAATTTATACTTTCAAATGGTCCTAATTAAAATGTTTAAAAAATTCTAAATCCAGATAAATATTTCTCTCCAGAAATTAAAAAATTAATAAAGGAAGGTGACACAATTGAGATTTCTCCTTAAAGTGGAGTCATAGCTAATTCTTTAGCTGAATTAATTGCAAAAGTTGGTGGAGCAGCACTCATTATTGATTATGGAGAAAAAAGAGCATTTTCTGATAGTATTAGAGCTATCCAAAGACATAAATTGATGGATAAAAATGATATCTTAAATAAACCTGGTGATTGTGATTTGAGTGCTTATGTTAATTTTATGGCATTAGAATAAGCAGCACTTAAAGTAGAAGGCATTAAAGTTCCAGAACTTATGACATAAGGTAATTGGTTAGAATAAATGGGAATTTAAGCAAGATTATAAGTTTATTATATTTAAATATTAATTAGATACTATGTAAAAATGCTAACAAAGCAACAGAAAAGAGATTACAGTCTGAATATGAGAGATTAGTACATTCAAATTAGATGGGATCTAATTTCAAATTTATGTGTATTCATAGAACCAAGAATAATAATCTATTCCCTTTTATATAGGATGCATAATAAATATATTATTGAGTTATTAAAATAAAAATAATAAATTATTTTATAAAATGGGATAAGCATGTACAAGTGCTGATATTGCTGCCTTTACTGAAGATTTCAGACCTCCATATCCATATAGGAATGAAGCATTAAAATTTAGTGAAATGGAAGTGTATGAACATACAGGGGATCCTTAATTTAAACTAGTTAGAGCTAAACTCTATGATAGTTATTTCAGAATTCGAGACTAACTAGAATATTTAGTTAAACGTGAATAAGATCCATTCAATATTGTGATTCATAAATATGATAGCGATTTCATATCCATTAATATGTTCTTTGATTTTCCAATTAGATTAGAAGATTTTGTTTCAACAAAATTAACAGTTCCTGAAGTTTGGTCTATGTTAGGATATGTATCAGCAGCTTTAGCCAAATTATAATAATAGAAGCAACACTATAATAATATAAATCCAAAGGGAATCTTTAGAGTTTACACAATTGAATAATAGTATGTATATAAATTAGCAGATCCTTTTCTATTTCATAATTAAATAATGAAGAACTTTTATAGTCCAATAATGTATTATAAGACTCATCCAGAACATGATTTATTCAAATCAGATACATTTTCATTAGGATTAGTTTGTGTATATTCTTTGGGATTCAAGAAAACTGAAATTCTTTATAAATAAGATGGATTTGATTTTGAATTATTAGATGATATAATTACTAGATTCAAATTGCCTTTATATTTTGATAGATTACTTCGATCAATGTTAGAAGTAGATGAATATGGTAGACCAGATCCAATTTAATTATCAATATCTGTTAGTAATTATACTAAGGCATATAAATTACCTGAATTAAAAACAGTGATGGTAGTATACAATAAATAGATTTTAAAAACAGCCTAATCTCCTGATGCTACAGAATCCATTATAGATATTAGAACTCCTGAAAATAAAGTATTAGAATTACCAAAAGCTCCAAAAGTAGAAATATTGTAAGGACATTTGCCATATACAAATGGTTGTTATTATGTTGGTTCATATAATGGAAAAACAAAAAAACGAGAAGGTAAAGGAATCTTCTTTTCTAAGGATGGGAATAAATTGATCTAAGGAACTTTTTTAAATGATCTTCCTGAAGGAAATGAAATAGAAATGTGGAGAGAAGATGCTTAAGATGATACTACTCATGTAGATTTATCTAATTGGGAATATTTTAAGGGAGAAGTTGTTAAAGGGATGAAATAAGGAAAGGGAGAATTGAGATTCTTAAATTAAAATTACTTTATTGGAACATTTATTGATGATGCAGTTTGTGGATCTGGGATTTATTATTATTAAAGTCATAGTGTTGAAGGCATATGGATGAATGATAAATTCATAGCAGAACATTGATTTCATTATTACTTAAATTTATAGAATAATTACTTAAATTAAATATAAAATAAATGATTTATGAAATCAATATAAAATAATTGTTATATTTTTAAATCTTAAGATTTTATTATATATTTCAGAAAAAACATTCTCTTTATGGAAGAACAATACAGATATATAGACCAATTTATTATTGAAGAAAGGCAAAAAGAATATACAATTAGGGTTGTTTATTAATTAGATAATACTTTACAATAAGTAATATTAGAATTATAATCATAACAATATTAATATCATTATTAACCTTCACTATTTAATTATCTTAATCTACTAACTATATCTATAAAGTAAAATGTATCTTGTTTCTAATGACTATTTGTTTTCATTATATTCCCACCAAATTATTACAAAAAATTTAATGCATCTGTAGTTAACTTCACAGCCTTTTTAGGTGCACCCAAACATAACAATGATAATACTCCTTTTTCAATTTAGTCTGATAACCATATTAATGTTCCAACTTTCTTTTCAATATCAAAAGATATTCCTTCCTTTCTACATTTTATAAATAAATCATTAAATTTCTATTCTGCTATTCCTGGATGATAAACAAATGGAATATATGTAAACTGATCAGTTTCCATTGCTGTTGCCAATATTGTTGCCCCAATATATTCATCTAATCCAAACTTCAAAGATTTAGTATAAAAGGCTCCATTAAATGATAATAAGGAAAGTGTAAAATAACCAAAGACATTCTATTTATATAATTCTTCTGCTAATGGTTATATGAGAGAATCGACATTTAAATTGAGAACATTCTAAGGATATATACAACCAACTTTAGACATTCTAATGAATATTCATGTATTATAGTTACTCTTTTATTACTATGCTTGTAGATGTATTCAATATCTAATAAGTTCCTTAATTCTCAAGATTTACTTAGATATTTATTGTTTAAACTTTCTATGCATTTGGATAAGCCTCAACTATTCCACCATTTTTAATAAAATTGTCTAAGTATTCCTCAAAAGTAAACATCTAAGGAAATGCCAATACAGTTTTTATAGGTAATAACTATATAATATTTACAATTATTGTTTACAGTTTAAACTAATTCTCTTAATACTTTAAATTCAATACTATGTGGAAACTTCTTGATTTCTATAAATTATTTTACTCCTTCTAAACTAAACCATGCTGTTCCTCTTCCATTAAATTCAATGTCTATTTTAAACATCCATTTTTATACTGTCAGATTTTTCATAATCAATACAGTCAATTTATCTACAAAATCATCTTTACTAACAAATTTATGATATTCTGGAGCCACAGGTAATGATAATTATCTAAATAATTCAATAGCTTCAGATTTTTTAGAGTATTTCTCTATTAATTCATAAGGACCAGAATATATATTTGTTTTTAGATATTCAGCTATCAAAAACTCTTCTCTACCTACTCTCATTGGTATAATATATGATAATTATCCTTTGATTAATTCAGAAATTTAATGAATAGCTTTAGGAGATAGATATAATAATAATGCCAATGAATAATGTTATGGAAATCTATTTATATTCTCAGGATGAATAAAGAATAATCTACCTTCAGAATTTATACCAGCAACTTCTAATAATTTATAGAAATAAGCCATAATTTCTTCTTATAAAGGTGCACATACAAAAATTATACTTACATTAGGATCTTTTAAAGCAAATAATCTTGTCAATTGTAAACCTTCTCTACTTTTGAAATGACTCATTGATAATCTTTAAAATTATTTAATGGAATATGAAGGAATATGAATTTCTATTCTTTTTTAATTTAAATCTTCTAATAAAAATTACTTTTATCTATTTTCTAATGTACTAATTAATTATCCCATATTCTTTTTTATTTAATTTATAGTATAAACATATGTTTATTTTAGTCTAAATTCTTTTTAAATTCTAATAACTTTCTATACAATTCTTTTTTGATGTCTGTACTTTCTTGATGCAACAAACATTCTCACAGTTGCTTAAATTTTCACTATAGCACTATCAACTGAAAACTATTTCTTATTTAAAATGTATAATCTATCCATTATTGGTTTGGATATATAACATTCATATAATTCAATCAAATGAACTTTGAATTAAGATTAAGCCAATTATGCTATCCTATCACCATCCAACTATCCTGATGCTATCTTTTCTAATTTCTTTATAATATGCATAATTCCTCCCCAAATCATAAGATTTCTGATTTGATAATGAAAATCTGGTACATAATGTCCATTTTTTATTTCTATTATATATTTAGCTTTTCTAGCAATTTTTGTTTACTATTATTTTTCTTTTGGAACAGATTGTCTCTCAACAAAAGATGATGAATAATCAGCAATCTATTTAGCTGTTTGTTTTTTTGGAGCAACTTTATATTTTGATAGATTTTCTGAATATCCTGTATTATAATACTTGCTTTTCTCTGTAGGATTCTAAACTTAAACTTATGATATAGAAAGTAATTCATCTCCTCTTTTAAAAGCTGGACCTACATCAACATCCCTTGGTATCAAACCAGATTAAATTAAATTGCTGACTCCTTTATTAAGATCTTCATCTAATATTGTTGGTAAATCTGAAAATGGGTTTAATCTTAATTCTCTATTTAAAACATTAGCCTAATAAATATGAGCTGATTTTAATTTCCCTTTAGACTTTTTTGGTCTTTATTCTATAGATGGTTGTTTCAAAATCTTTGGAAGTGCTATTGATTTACCTTATTATTAGATTAATGGTTTATCTCGTTTTATTTTTTATCTTTTATGAATAGGTTATGGCTCACCACTTGGTTTAAGAGTTTAAGTAACTGCAACTTACTAATTAAGATTTGTAAATTGATATTTCAATCTTTCATAAAGAAGAGAGAGTTCTTCATCAGAAAGTTGTTGACTCTATAATGTACCAATGTGATGTTTAATATCAGCAAACTCTTTATAAGTCTTGTCTTATATTTATTTCATTAATATATTTTCTAATAATAAATAAATTATAGATATTATATTGTTTAATCAAATTACTCTTTGTTCTATTTTTTATAAATAATGAAGACTATTAATAATAGATATATTTATTATTATTAAATTATAAGCAATAATATCAGTTCTAGTAATTATTAAGAGATTCGTAATAAAGTTTTATTGATTTCAATAAGAATGATATTTTATTTATTCTATTTATTTAGATGATTTTGTCATATATACTAATATTTGATATTTGTAAATTAAATTTCATTTAAGATTATTTAGTAATTAGTTTAATATGTTGAAATTATCTATATTAGTTAATAACAAAATTACAATTATTCATAAATAATGATATAAAATTAAATTAAAATTATAATATAAAAATGTAATAATAAAATATAAATTATTTAAATGTATTTCTCTATTTATTTTTTTATTGTTTTAAATTGTATGATATAGAAATTAGATATTTTAAATGTTTATTAAATTAATAATTAAATACAGATATAATATTAATCAGTTTTTTCTTTTTTTGAATTATTTAGATAACCAATCTAATCCTTAATAAAGTCCATCACCAGTAATTGCACAAGTAGTTTATACAAACCATTCCCTTCTTAAACTTTATAATTCCAATTTTGATATTAATTCATCAACAGTTACTTAAGAGATATCAAATTTATTTGCTAAAATTAATAATGCTGCATCTCTTAATTCTTCATCACCCATTAATCTCATTAATTCTTCTTTTGCTACATTAATTCTTTCTTTATCAGATGAATCAATAACAAAAATAATTCCTTAAGTTCCAGTGAAGTAATGTCTCCATAATAATCTTAATTTATCTTAACCTCCAATATCCCAAACAGTGAAGCTGATATTTTTATATTCAACTTTTTCAACATTAAATCCAATAGTAGGAACTGAACTAACTACTTCTCCTAGTTTTAATTTATATAAAATAGTGGTTTTGCCAGCTGCATCTAAGCCAACCATTAATATTCTCATTTCCTTTTTTGAGAACCATGAATCAAATATAGTCGATAGTGGAATACCCATTATGTTTTATTTATTGTTTTTCTTATTTTATTGATTAAAATTCTATTGAGATGTTGATTTTTAAACTCTAATTTTTTCTCAAATTTTCCTTATAGGAAATAATAGTATAAAATTTAATTAAAATTAAAACAGTATTTATCAGATTTAATATATATTATAAATATAAATTACAATAATTTATATTAATACATTAAAATATCAAAAGATTTTACAAGCCGAACATGAAAATCTCTATGGATCAGTATCATTTTTATTTTTTAGATCTTCTCCAGGAATATAAAGCAAATCATTAAAAGGTTATATTATTGATTAAATATAAGTGTTTCTGTTTTCTATTTCACATCTAATCTGATTTTCAAAATCTTCTTATCTAAACTTAAGAACTTTCATAGTTTATATTCTTTATTCAGAAGGCATAGAAAGTGAAAATCTATAAATTAAAATCAAAAGTAATACTAAAGTTCTATTGGATTTTTTCCATTAAAAGGAGCATCTAGTGAATCATCCTAATAATCTAATGTCAACAAACAAGGTTATATTATTTCTTTAGAATAACTTTACAAAGGAAACGAAATCAATACTTCTGATAAATCTAATTCAATTCTATTTAGAACTTTAAATTCTGTTCCATTATCTTTCTTTTTACCCCAAACAGCTATTGTTAAAGTTTTACTTTCTTCTAAAATTGGAAACGAACATGTTAAATCATCACCTCTTGCATAAATTGATTTTTATTCTTATCCATTAAGATTTGCTTTATATTTAATCTAATAATGATTAAATATATCTGTTTTTAAACTTTTATGTCTAGTATAACAGATTGATAGTCTATTTGGTTAATCAAACTTTAATTAAGTATGACTTTCCAAAATTGATATCTATTAATTTAGAGTTCTAATAGAATCTTAAATAATATGTAAGTTGAATTTATAATCAGTAATTACTAAATGGAAATGCAAAATAGCTTAAAAGCATTCATCTACAAACATTCCAAATGTAATATTTTTATATAATTCTTCTTAAAGAATGATTTCTTTATTGGCTCTTTATCCTGTTAATAATTCATACTTCTTAGAGATTATTGTCCTAATTATTAATAATGATGGATCAACTACCAAACAAAACTCTCTTCTGGTAATTTATGAATGAACTCATCATTCATTAAAGTATCTAAGGGATATCCAACTTATTGTTATAAAAGTGTAAGCTTTTTAATCATTTTGTTTTCCTCTTGTAATTTAATTGAATCCCTCAATATTTCCATTTGTAATTTTTACTATTTTTATTATATTTCAAAATTGAATTTATAGAGCAACAAATTAAATATGAGAAATTTATTAGATATACAAGGTTTAAAACGATAAAATTAAAATGTATTATAAAATTCAAAACATCTAATAAAACCATTAAAATTTATTGAATCTTATCTCTATGAATCTAATTGTCTTTATTATATCATATTAATCATTATATAAAACCATGATCTTCTTAAATACTCCAATAATTTCTTTATTTAATAATAATAATTAAATTTCATAAATTATGATTATTTCAAGTATCTCATTTAATTGTTTGTTATTTATTTCTTTAATATATCCAATTAATCTTTATTATCTAATACTAATAAACAATTAATTTAATCAAAATCTTAATATCAAATTACATTTTATATCAGATATCTATATGTATCAACAGGAAATTCTAAATAATTATTTTTATATTATAATCAAACAATTCTTGAAGTTTATTTACCAAATCGACTAATAATGGAATCACTCTTTTCTATTATTTTAAGTATATAATAATCTTAAATAAATGCCATTTTGAATATCAATTCTTTTATTTTATTTCTAAGTATAGAGAATTCTATTTATTCTAATTCATATAGATATAAATATATTAATTAAATCTATCTTATTGATTGCTATTTAATTAATTCTTTTTTTAATTTAAACTCCCTTTTTTTATTAATAATATTATTATGATATTTATGCCAAAAATATTATTATATCACTCATTATTTTATTACTATTTTTAATCTTGAATTAATGAATTTTTCTCAAAAATACATTCAGTATTGATTTTTTGGTTTAATAGAATCAACATTAGAGGAATAAGGATTGCCAAAAATAGGGTTATGTTTCCTTAAATTTCTACCTTTTTATTTTAAAAATAAGTTGTTGAAACATAATTTTATATTATTATTTTATAAAGGAATTAATTCAAGAATATAAATTTTCACTAAATTCTGATAATGGACTTCTAAGATTTTAAGATGTGTTAACTAAACTCGATTAATTAAATTTCTAAATAAGATTTCTTCTTATTGGTAAGCTTTCCTATTAGATGGGAATCTCTTAATATTAGCCATCAAAATAATAATCTGAATGATTGCTTGATGAACTACTTTCTTAATCCTATAATTATAATTGATGATCTTCTTCACTTTCTTAAATTTCTGATGTATTACTTGGTTATGATTATTCTAATTATTCTATTTTCTCTGCATATTATTCTATTTCTTCTTTTAATTTTTATATAGATGATTATTATTCAATTTTTCTGGTTGTCTATTAAATGCTGACTTAAGATTCTAATTATTTAATATATCTTTGCATATCTAAACATTGAGTATAATAATTAGGAGCTCTGACATAATATTTAAACAATAATTTATCATTAACTAAATATCCATCTTTTTATAATAGATCAATTCTAAAAAATCTATTATATCCCCAACATTCTCCTCCTTCAAAATCACTTGCAAACTCTCTGATTACAGATAAACCATTTTTTTAATTAATCATTTCTATTTTATATTCATATCTTCTAATTTCTGCATATTTTGAATCCATTTCTAAAAATATAGAAATATAAATATTTTTAGCATTTCCATTTCCATGTGGATATATTTTTAATCTCCATCTTATACCATTAGTAATTAAATGATCAGAATATACAATTTCATCACTCTAATTAAAAGAGTTTAATTCAAAACTATCACATACATATTAAGGTGTTATTTCTGATTAAAAATTCATTGGTACACCACCAATTTGCTCTGGTTCTACATTGACCTATTCTATTCTTTATAATAGTTCTTATGCTGTCATTATTGTTTTACTCTTCTAATAACCTTTTATTTGTTATGATATATTATCTAATTCTGCAGATGCTATTAAAATCTTTTCATTTAATCTTTATCTTTACATCTATAGATTGCCCATTCTAGCTGTATGAGTTTATTCCAACTTTTACAAAAGTTATTCTGTATATGCTTATATCTCTTAAACTCTTTCATCTTTGCTACGATTCAATTCATCCATCAATTCATCAATTACTATTGCTGAGTGTTTAAGTGTTTTCAACTTATCTTAAACATTTTCCATTTTTGTTTTTACATCTTTGATTTTTGAGTCAAAAACCTTTTAAATATGTTCAAATTCATGCATTTTATGTGCAGAAAACATTGCACATTCAGAACAAATGGGATGTGCACATGTAACACAATAATATTATAATTGAGCATTATGGAGGGGACATGGATCATTTTATGCCACGATATCCTCTAAAAACCTACAATTTACTAATTATTAAATTCTCAAAGAGGATCTACAATGTGGACACTATTTTAATTAAGAAGAACTTATAAACCTGCCTATTCTCTGTCAACCATTTTGTAATACAAGAATAACAGCATAATTTTGAGCAACATGGACATATATGAGGATTTGTTAGGTTTGATAGACAGATAAAGCATGTGAGTAATTCATCTAACTTATGCCCTTTGTTTGATTGCATTATGTTTTCAATTTAATTCAAATTTTTGTTTATTTAACTAACTCATAATATTCGAATAACATTTAATTTCTCATTATATAATTTTATAAAAATTACATAATTATATATAAAATAAATAACCTAATTCAAATCATATATAAATCATAAACTCACTATTTAGTATTTATTTCTATAGAATAATCTTTTATTCTAAAAGATCATATGAATTCCATTAATTAAAAAATAATAATAAACCAGATAATATTAGGGTAACAGAAGAATTAAAATTTAACAAAAAAATAATAATAATATTTTTAACTTCCTTTTTAAATGTTATTCTTTTTATAATTGTTAATGTTTTAAACATGTAATAACAAAATAAATAAGTATCAAATAAATTTTGATAATTTATTATAAAGATCATTTCTTAAGTTCATTTAAAGTACATCCTTAATCAATTCTTTAAATTAAGCTTACAATTATTATTTTTGATTTGGCATTTATTTTTTTAATAATTTAGGTTTAGGTTCAATAGAAGAATGAAAACTTTTAATGGCCATCCTTCTTATTTGATCCTCAAAATCCACCCAAGTATGCAGATCAAATGATTTTTGTTCTGTTTATGTTTTTCTATCATTTGAATTAGATGTATATGCCCTATTAATTGCTTGACTTTATGGTCTTTTTTTTTAAGGTTTTAGAAAATTTGCATTAATCATTTTATTTGTTAAAAATAAATTAACATTTATAACTGCTTAAATCAATTCTTTACAGTATCCATAATAGTTACGTCATTGAGGTTTATGTGCTTTAAAAATTTTAATTATTTTTTCAATCTTAACAAATCATATGATTCAATTTTTAATAAGAATTAGAAAAAGAAATTGTTATTAAACTGAAAATTTAATGATTTCAAAAAATTACTAAACATCTATATAAAATTATAAGTTAAAAACAATAGAAATATTGTATATAAATATTCTTTGATTTAAAATTATCATTTTTATCTTAATCAGTTTTAATAATTAATATATTAGAATTCATAAAATATATGAGAGAGTAAATATTATTATCTAATAGAGTTTATAGTCAGAATTAAGAGCCCTTTATATTAAATTAGGAATATTTTATGTATTTTTAATTTTTGATTTGATTTGGTCATCCTTTATTGAACCATCTACAATGAATTAAATTTCATAAGATACAAAATAAGGAGAAACACAAATATTATGGATGAGTGCCCTTCATATCATAATAACAGGCATTATTTTTGTATTGTTTTGTACTTTGATGTGGCAAACATAACCTCTTAAATTGGGTATGGTCAAACTTCTAGTTAAGTATGATAAATTTAAAATTAAGGGATTTTTTATATGTCTTTTTAGTTAGTGGATTAATGCTTATCTTAGTTGTGATTGAGAGAGTAGCCATATTTATAACTAATACTACAACAAATTCTGTGATTGTAGATGTTATCAAAGAAAATTGGTCAAGTTTTTTTTATCAATTATTTTTTTATATAAGATTTTTAATAAGACCAATTTATTTATTTGTGATGTTACATGGATCATTGAAAATTGCTAAACCCTATTATCATATGAGAAACCCTGAACTTTTCCTCAATTGAAATTAAATATAAATAATTTATAGTTTTATTTTGAATAAATTCAATAATTATTTTATATGAATAGTAAATAACTTAAGCAAATTTCATCTATTTTAAATTTAGTAAGAATAAGATTCTAAATAGATCAACTCATTTTAATTTATTCAACCTAAACTTAATCAATTATCGGATTTAAGTTCAGGGATAGCTCTATAATAAATGTTAAATCATATGTACTTTTAATTAACATAATTTAGTTTTGAAATAGAAGTTTAATTAGAATAAAATGATAATTGGGAAATGCAAATGAAAGAAATGAAAGAATTATGGAATGCTTTTGAAAGCAAACTTAAACTATAATAAAAACCAAATTTTCTTTAGATTGTAAAAAATAGAAATGAATAATGTATATAAGAGATGGTATTAAATAATTAAAATTATATTAGATGGTAAGTCTTTTATAAGCAATAATAAATTCTCCATATTCAAGTGAATTGGTTACTCCAATGATGCAATTAGATTAAGAAACATAAATGGTTCTATTAAAATTAATTTAAGAAGAATAATCTTCATTGACATTAGATCATGATTAAAAGATATCAGATGAAGTTTTGCATAAATTTGAAGAATTAGAGTATGAAAATTAGAAATTGAATTAAGAATTAATACTTTTAAAAGAATAGTATGAAATGGAGAAAACAAAGATGAAAGAAGATTTTGAAATGGTTTAAATAGAAATAGAAATAAGATAAAAAACAATAAATTCTTTGAATGAAGATTTAAATCAAATTTATGAAGTTACATAAACTAATTCAGTTAGTGAAGTTTGTGAGTATATTCATAATAGAATTGATGATATAAAAGGAATGTAATTAATTATAGAAACCTTAAAAAATGATTAATAATAAGAAAAGAATGTACATGAAGAGATAGTTGGAGATTTGAGGAATAAATTGGAGGCAGGATATAGAAAATATACATAAATGTAAAAATTAGAAAAATATTGTGAATAACTTAAAGCTTAATTATCTGAATCTCTTTAATAATAAACTAAAAATAAAGAAAATTTGAAGTAAAATTCAAAATTGAAAGAAGAGAATATTGAATTAATTAACAAAGTTGCTTAGTTATAATAAAAATTAGATTAACAAAAATAATTATAAAAATAAAGTTAAAAAATCTAAAGTTAATAAGAATTTGATATATCAAAAGCAAGATCAGAGAATGAATCTTTGAGTAGACAATTAAAATTAAGAGAATAAGAAATATTTAAATTAAAATAAGAAATAATAGATCTAGAACACAATATTCACAATAAAACAGAATAATCCTAATTAGAAAATAGTTCAGTTATGTTACATTCACTTAATGATGGAGAAGAAAGAAGAAATTTTAGTGGAATTTTCACTCCAAAAAGAAATCTTGGATTAGAATTATCTTAATTAATCACAAAATCTAATTATTTAATTGAAGGAGATTAAAAACTCAAATTAGATGTTCATACATAAACTGATGAAAATTATGAATGTTCTACTTTAATAAAAAAATAAGATTCTAGTTTTGATGAAGAAATATTATCATCTTAATTATCTTTCTGGAAAACTTAATGTTCTGATTTATTAGCAGAAAGAGTATTATATGAAGAGAAATAAAACTAATTACATAAAGAAATGAAGGAATTATAAATTAAATTAGAATAGTTCTTTATTGAATAGCATAAATATGAATAAGAATTATAGGAAGCAAAAGATAAAGTGCTGAATTTAATTGAAGTAATTTGTAAATATATTTATATTAGGATAATAATGTAATTAGAAGCTAATTTGAGTAATCTTTACAAAAAATTGCTTTGTAAGATAAGTAATTAGTGGAATTTCCATAGATAAAAGAGTAATTAGAAGGAGCCTTATAAAAATTAGAAAAAACTGAGGAATAACTTAAAATTAAAAAGAAAAAGAAGGTGCCAATAAATCAATCTTCACTTATGAATAAATAATTAGAAATCACTAAGAAGACTTATGAAGAATTGCTATAAATTAAATAGGAAGAACTATAGTTGTTGGCTGCATCGATCTAAGATATAATCATTAATTATAATGTTTCCTAAATCTTGTGATGAATTATATCAATGTCGTCTATTCAAAAAATTGTTCCTTGGTTCATCTACTCGTTATTTCTATGTCTTTCCTGACAGAGTGGTTGCTAATAAAGTAGAAATAAGTATTATTTCTATTCATAGGATTCCAATAGAAAAAGAACAGATAGGATATTTTCTAACACTAATACAAATAGATTGATATGGAAATACACAAATGAGTAGCCTTTAAAATTAAAGGGATTGATTTTTGATTGTGGGGATTTATAATTTGAATATTTTGGAGAAGATCAAACACTTCGTGAATTAAAAAAAAATGTTTCTAAACTTTTTTTTTAAGCTAAAGTTTAAGAGGAATATATGGCTTAATAAGTGATTGGATAAGGAAATTATGCTTTAGTATTTAAAAGTTAATTTTTATATTAGGTTCTTGAATTACAGCATTTACATTCAGATCAAAGATTTGCATCCAAGTGTATTGATAAAAAGAAAGTACAGGCAATTGAATAAGGAGAAGTAATCTAAATGTTTTATATTAAGTAATCAGTCTAAAATGAGATAAAAATTATGAGAATATTAAGTCCACATAAATCACTCATAAATCTAATTGAAGTTTATGAAGGAGACAATAATATATACTTGATAATGGATTTAGCTTAAGGTGGAAGTTTGTATAAGGAGATGAAAAATAAGATTAGTCTCTATAAGAGAGAAGAAGTTCAGAATGTATTTATTTTATAATTATAAAAAGATTATGTATTAGATTTTATCAGGATTACAATATATACATTCGAAAAGAATTATGCATAGAGATTTAAAACCAGAAAATATTTTATTTAGAGAAAAAGGCAATTTGAATACTTTGACCATTGCAGATTTTGGTCTATCAGTAGAAATTGATGCTTATCCATACTTATATCCTAAATGTGGTACTCCAGGATTTGTGGCTCCTGAAGTTGCAAACATGATTGATAAAACCTAACCTTATACATCTGCTTGTGATATTTTTTCAGCAGGAGTCATATTTCACATTTTACTCTTTGGAGAAGGATTATTTATAGGAAATTGTCATTAAGAGATTTTAAGAATGAATAAAGAATTTTAGGTAGACTTTTCAAAACCAAAATATCAACAATTAGACTTTGATGCAAAAGATCTATTGTAAAAATATTGAACAAATAATCTAGATTCAAAATGACAGCCCCTAATTTCTAGTAACGTTATACATCTGAATAATGTCTATAGCATCCTTTCTTTTAAAATAATGGATTATAACAATCATAATAATAAATAACTTAATTCAATACTTCCTAAATTGAAGAAAGTCTCAATAAAGATTCTTTTAACCAATATCTTTAAAATTATAATAGTCCTAATTAAAAATTAATAAGTCAAGATAGTAAGAAACTATCTATAGTTACTCGAACTCCTCTTTATGGTCCTAAAGTTGTAACTCCTTAAGTACAAAATCAAAATGATATTTTGGAAGAACTCAGTCCCTTAAGCCATTTTTCTTTGGATTAAGAGCAATAAAGTGGATAAGAGAATGATAACCACTAAATTGCTAATACTAAATGATTATTATATAATATATAATCGACAAAAATGATCTCATTTTGAAATGATTAAGATACAATTAATATTACAATAAGAAGGGGAGACTAAACCAAAATTATTTCTAATTTAGGTTTTCATATTATACTCTAAAAAGAAAAAAACTATTATGTTACATAAAGATAAAAATTATTTTTATTTTATGTTTCATTATCAAATATCAAAACCTAATTAAAATTACAAGTCATATTTCTTCAAAAGTCTGCTTAAGTTAGAGTAAATCCAAACTTAAGATCTAATTTTAAACAATAAATAAAATTACAAAAGAATAGATGAAATTATTTGATTTAAAATCATATAATGTTATGAATTTTAAAAAACTTTTAAACTAATAATTGAATATATCTAATAAAGAGGAATAATAATAATTAAATTTTTGATTAATTAGGATAAATCAATTATTATTCAAATAAAACACTTCAGATTTCCTTTTAAATAACAACTACATTTTATTTTAATTAAAATGAAAAAATGATAGCCAAATAATATAATGTATAATAAATTTAAAATAATAGTTTATCTAAAATTGTTTAAAAGAAAAAGATTGTTAATATAAATAATAAATTGAGAAGAGGAATTAATTAAACTAAAGAATAAGAAATACTAATTAGCAATTTAAAAATAACAAAGTTTGATATATACTTTATAATTCATTATTATTTGCCAAATCATAAATCATTTTCTAATATAATCTTCTAGATGACATCTTTTGAGATTGGTTTTAAAATAAAGTCTTGAATTCCAATATTTTAACTTTCTTTATTGAATTGAGATTTTTCATAACCAGAAACTATGAATATTTTGATTTTTCGATTTATTTATAAAATTTAAGCAGATGTCTATACTCCATCTAAACCAGGCATTTCCATATCCATAAATATAGCTTTATATCCTTAACAATTCTAATTACACTTTTTAGATCTAACAGATTCAATAGCTTCCATTCCACTATTATTTTTATCAATTTAGGTTTTAGTACTAATATAGATATCAATAAATTTACAATTATTTTATTTACATTTCTAAAATGTTTTAATTAAATATGTTATCATCAACAATCAAAATATGTTAGCACTTAATTTTATCCATCATCTGTTATTCGTCAGCGAAAGAATTTTGATCATTATTAAAGGTCATTCTAAATTATGAGAGTTAAATGTTCTTGTCTTACTAAGGGGATTCTTTTTCTTGTACTTAAACTTTCTATAGCTAAGATAAATTTATTTTTGCATGAAATTATTTTATTTTTAATATTAAATAAAAGTATGAACCATGATCTAATTAAGTGGCATCTTTTGAAATAACATTTAATCCTAAACCATCAGATGATAATTATTATGCTATTTTATTACTTATTACAAGTCCTAATCCAACACCTTATTCATTTAATTTTTAATGTTCACCCTCTTTAATTTTACCAAATGCTTTAAATAATTTAGATTGATCTTATTATGAAATTCCTATTCCAGTATCTTCAACTCCAACTTCAACTAAAAGTCCTTTTTATGTAATTTTAATTGAAATGCATCCTTTTTACGTGAACTTCATTGCATTTGCTAAAAGATTTATAATTATCTATTTCAATCTATTTTTATCTGTATATATATATAATGGCTTAATATTTGTTTTTATAGATAGCTTTATATTTTTTTATTCTGCTTATAATTGAAACATTTTTATGCATTCTTCTCCTAATTATATGATATCAATAGTTTTTAAATTTAAACTAAAGGTATCATTTTTTATTTATGCTAAATCAAGTAAATCATTTGATAAGTTTAACATATAAAATGAATTTTCCAAAACTATTTTAAGAGGTTACTATAATGAATTATTTATACTATTATCCTCCATTATATTTTAAAGTACATTTATCATAACATTCAAAGGAGATCTAAATTCATGACTTACAAAGGATAATATTTTAGACTTAGACTAATTAATTTCAAATAGTTCCTTAATGTTTTTTCTATGCACTACATCTCTAGCAATCACAAGAAGTAAATCATCACCTCCTATTGTGATAAGCATTTCGACAGTCTTTTTTATGTTATCAATCTCATAATTGGTTTCAATTATTAACGCTTCTACTTTACCATTAATTTCAAATCTTACTTTTTTAGTATTAAATACATAAAGTAGACATTTATAAACATTATTAAGCTAATTATTTTATTAATTTTACTTAAGTAGTTAATGATCTTAACCTTGGGGAAACAGAAGGAAGTCCTCCAGATTTTTAATCTTGCTTAATTTCTGTTATAAAGTATTATTAAGGGTTAAATTTTGAAGATCTTTTCATATTTTTATACTATTATTATGCAAAACTTTAAAAAGATAATAAAGAACTTCTAGGATTAACTGGGGAATCATCACACAAAACCTCACTTGAAATTTTTTCAAAAAATTGAAGTAGATCTTAATTGGTTTTCTAAAACATAGCTCTGCTAATTTAATTTTAAAAATCAACTCGTGGTTTATAATTATGAGGTTCTTCTGATTTTTCAAATTTTATAATAATTATTGCTTCAGATAATATATCCAATAATAAATTTTAATCTATTTACTAATTTAATTAATATTTTTAGAATGTTTACTTTCTTTCAGTAATTATTTCGCTTAGATCTTAAAACGAAGATCTTTTTGTATCTTATTTTATACATTCTTTTAATTTCTAATTTTAATATTATTATTTCGAGATTATCTTTTCTTCCACAATAGATAAAATATTTAATTTTTGCTCTTAAATGTTATGTCCTATAATCTCCGATAAAAAGAAAATAACAATTGCCATATTTAATTTTTAATTTATAATCCTGCAATAATAATCTATATTTCGTTACGATCTTACATAATCATTTGAATAAGAAAAGCTTAAAAATATTGTTAAAAGTAGAAATTTATAGATTACCTTCCAGGATGCTTTATTAGTTTCATAACTCTTAGAGTTATTTTGTAAGTAAATAATAATTATATAGGAATAATTACAATCTACATTATCAAAACCATATTTAATAGATTCTATTTAAAATAGAATAACATTAATGAATATGAATACAAATTATAAAGTCCTTTAACAAATAGTCCTATTATTTATAAAAAACAGCTCCAATGCTATTTGCAATAAAAAAATTGACATCATAAATATTATGTAATGATCCCTTTGATAATAATAAGATAGAAGTTATCTAATGAAGTGAAATATTAGTAAAAGTATCATAGTTAGTTACAACTTAAAAGGGGCTGATAATTAATATTTAAACATAAATCAAATTTTAAAGAATATTTTAATAATATTTTCCAAAAAATTATCTAATCTAATTTAGAGTCAGTTAACCAAAATTCTTAATATGCAAGTTTAGTAAGAAATAAATTTTGAAGATTAATAATCAATCATTATTACTATTCAATAGAAGCATTTCTACAATAATTAGCTTTTATTTAAATAAGAAATCAAAATATTCATTTTATTTTTTATGAGATTAATTATATTGAAGATATTTTATTGTAAAATTTTTAGATTCATTCTTTTACATTGAAAACAGTTCAAGTTAAAAAAATGAGTATTTATTATTATATACTAAAGAAGCTTAAAGGTCAATTCCAAATAATAATTAAGAGTTTATATTTAACTTCATTTTCCTCCAAATCATCACTTACATGAATGTCTTGTATAAATTAAAAAATTGTTTACTTAAAAAATTAATTCTCTCAACATTAAATCTCAATAATATATCAAAACTTTAAAATAATTTATGTTATTATTTAATCCTCGACTAATTTAACATGCAACTATATATTGATATATTTCTGAATCATTAAATGCTGATTAATCGCAGTTAATTAAAGGTTAGTTATAGATGAATACATTTCCATTTTTTTAAATTATGTATTATGGGTACTTTCCGCATTCTTGGCTTTACATATAATTTATATAAATTAAGGATCAATTTTTTTTCTAATTTAAACTAATTAAAAATAAGAGATTAAAGGTTTGAATGTTCGACCTCTTGAGGAAATATTAAAGGATAAACTTAGAAACAAAAAAAATTTATCAAAAAATATAACTTATCTTTAATTCAGCATAGCTAGAATTATCCTTTAACTAATTAAAAATAAATAATACTTATTCTAAAGTATATAGTATTTTGGATTTTTTAGCCGATTCTTTTTTGGCTTTTAATATCAAATAATCTAATTCAACTTTAAATTCTACAATTTCTAGATTTTTTCTCGAAAAAATATTTCTATATTGATTTATAAAATAAATATAGGATAAAAACAAATTAGTTAAAATTTAATTAATATCATTTTTTGATTCCAACAATACAACAAATTACTTTTATGGGTTTTTCAGAATTATTTGCTAATACAAATGGTTCATTTTTCAAAGTTATGCCATCTACTTAATTTTATGGAATAACATTTTATAAAAGTTTATCATAATAAACTACTCCATAATAACCTTTTTTGAATCTTATATGCTATTATCTTATAAAAAAATACAATTTTAAGATTTTTTTTAAAATTAATTGGTCCAATCATTTTGTATGGATTGACTGTAAGTTCAAAGGATTGATAATAATATCCCTCTTAATTTTCTTAAGCTCTCAATTTATCAACTTTTAATTCACCTTCAGTTTAATGAATAAAAAAAGAGGGCAAAGAATATAGGAGATCTTAAAAGTTTTGTGTTTTGTAAATTTCATACTATTTAGCCTCTTTTCTTATTTTCATTTTTGCCCAATTTTAATTTGAATTAAAAGTTTAACTTTCAATTTCCACAATCGAAACCACCTATTTTATGTTTTCTTCATTAATTAATGCATCTAATAGATAAGAATTACCAATGCTTTAATTTAAACATGTTTATTATTCAGTTAATTTAGAATGTTCATTATTTTTGCATTTTTCTTATATAATTAAACAACCTTTTTATTAAGAATCTATATTGTTAACTGATTATTTTGTATTGATATCCTATTCTTCTTCAATATTATTAGAAAGATAATTTTAATCTTCTTAAAAAGCATTTTTAGGAGGTTCTTTATATCTACTTATCAAATCCTAAATGTATTAATTCTACTTTGAATGAATTAATTGTTATTCTCTTCTATTTTATTTTGAATTACTTTCAGTTAATGGTTATTCTATTATTTTTATTTCAGGTTCACATATATTTTCAGAATTATTAGATGAACTTTAAATTTTAATAGGTTAAGGATTAGATAATTATTGAGTATAACAATTTTAAAAGGAGATCTGTTTATTTGATTAAAATTAAAAAGGTGGTATTACTTATAGAATTTTATCAATATCCTACTCAATTGACACAGAGAGATTTGAAATATCATTGCTTGGAATCCACTTCATAATATCACTATTTGATTAAGTAAAATTTTACTAAGAAGTATTAGGAGATTAATAGAGAGCACTGTAGATTTTCTCTTTCAACTGATTGTTTTTTTCATTTGAGTTTGCAAAAAAGGATGTTGAATTATTGAACATTTTTTATTTAAATACATGCTTAATTTTATACGTAGTTTCTCATAGCAAAAATGTAATTCATACTATTTAAAGACTAGAACCCCCTAAAGCTCCTTAATAATAATAAACTTAATAATAAACAAAATAGAACTTTTACTCAACAGTACCTAAATTGAGAGATAATTTTGCAGAAGAACTTTTTAATTTAGAAATGGATGTAGAATCTGATGATGTTTAAATGGATACAATAATGCAATTATTAAATTTATATAAAGAAGCTGTAGAATACTTTGAAGCTATTCATTCAAATAAATATCTCATATTCAAAAACAAAATTTAAAACTTATTTGCTAAAAAGAATGTTATGAATGCTATGAAAATGAATTAAAAAAAGTCTCCAACTTTAGAAGTTAAATAAAAACTATAGTAAATAAAGTAAGTTGATTAAAAACAAAATGCTGATGATTTGATTAACTAACATCAATAAAAAGTAAAATAAAAATATAAGTTTTTCATTAGTAAGAGTAATTGAACATTATAATACATAATAACCTTGAAGCTCAAAATAATGTTATTTAAGAGAGATTGCAAAAAAGAAGAAGTAGTCAAGTGAGATAAATTTAAATTACATCTATTTAAGATAATACAGATTATTCTGTGCCTGAATTCAATCCTTGTCATACTCCATAGATTAAGACTTCAACCAAATAATATAGAGGTAGATAAACTTTTGATTCATGATTATGTTATTTTACAATTAAATTAGTAAATGTATCTCAATAATAAACTATACTTATACTTCATTATAGTAATTTAATAAAATAAATTATGAAACAGCAAAAGGATGGATTATTTATTTAAAGTTCTTAATTTGTGGCAGAATCTTGTGAGCCCTTATCAATAATGGATTATTGTTATGAAGAAAATCAAGAAATTTAACCAAAAACTTTAAAAACAGAAAAATTAGAAAAAATAGAAATGCCTAAAGAGAAATCTATTAGAAGTTATCTTTCTTTAAATAAAATAGTCTATAGTTAATCGTCCTTAGAAAAAAGAACCTTATGGATCTGATTGGGCTCAAGGAATTTTAGCTAAATAATTTGGAGTTCAAATAACATAAGGAAGTTAGACATTAAGTCCAAAATGGATAATAAAAAAAGTATAACCAATAGAATTTTCATAGAATAATGCTCTGATAGATCCAAAAATTGCAAAGGTATATGCATATCTTAAATTAGGATTTCAAATCATAAGAGAAATTATTTCGTCAGACTGCAACTGAAAGCCATAGAAAAAGATTAGGTAAAGTAATTAAATAATATTAATAATCATTTAATGGTTAAATTTCACCACAACATTAATAGGCTTAGTTTAATTATTAATATAAATTGCCTTCGATTCCATGAATACATAAATGATATAATTCACTTATATATTTCAATTTACTTATATATAAAATAAAATAAATTTAAATGTGAATATAGGTATCTTTGAATGTAATTTAAGAAAAAAAGAATTGATTTGAATATATTAAAATATGACTAGTTTGAATATTCATTGTTCTTCCATATGATCATCAGTTTATTTTGATGATCTTCTTGCAACATTATTTTAATTATCGCATACTGGATTTAAATTTTCATTTTCATTCTCATTTATTTGATTTTATGTAATAGGCTTAAAAATTATATAAATATTACTTGATTATAGCTTTTTGGATCATAAACATATTAACGAAGTTCTAAAAATTTAACTTCTCTAATACATGCTAAAACATGTTATATATTTTTAAAGATATTCTTTCTATACTATTAAAAATGAATATACCTTCTAAAAGGATTTTCACTTTAAATAATCCAATGTTTCTTTAAATATTCATTTGTAGTCATATTTGTTATAACTAAAAATGTATGGAATCCCCATAAACCAACAACAAAAAATGAAAACTGAATAATTCTAATTAATTTACTATGAAACAATAAATTGCTAATGCTAATGAAATTGGATTTCTTTATAATATTTATATTATCTATTCTCCTTTATCTTTATCATTCTCCATATTTCCAAAGATATATGCAAGACATGTTGAAAAAACATAAATCATTGTAGCAGAAAGAAAGAAGATAAAAAGATAAAAATAAATATAATTCCTTCTTCCAACACAAGCTCCTATCCAAGGACAATGATGATCAAATCTCAATACACAATTATCACATGCTGGACAATGTGAGGCACGAGGAGGTCTATAAATTGCACCTATAAAATTATTAATTTCGTTTATACATGTGTTACAAAATTTCAATTTAAATTAATGTCCTCTCATTTACAATGTTTTAGATTCAAATAATACTTAAGGATCAACCTTTAAATATTTTTAAGGAATTAAAATTAACTATTCATCCATTTCATAATTTGTAGTCTTTTTAATATTTAAATTATTACTATTTTAGGGATAATACCTGGATCCATAAGTACTGTTATAGTAATGAAAACATAAACTAAACAATTTAGAATTATAAAAATGATCACCTAAATAACTTAATCTCTTTGAACCAATGCCTAAGTAATCATATTTTATTACTGGTGCCATGAACACATAATACAGAATTGTAGGTATAGTGATTAGTACAAGAGATGCAATGAATTTATGATTTTCAGAACTTTTATAAAAATATTATTTACCCAACTAACAACTTTCCTTAACATAATATTCTGTTACCAGTGTTCCATAATTCATAAAAGAATTTTTAACTATTATCTTGATAATTGTGCATTAAAAATAAATGTATTTTTTTTATAATATTTTTGTGTATAAAATTTGTTTCTCAAGAATCCTCTCTTTCCCATTTTGAAACTACTTATAATAGATTTTCCATCTTTTATTTTTCATATTCCTCCATTGACATATTTTCTAAATCTTTGGGAATTTTTCCATCAGGAAAATTGGATGCTTTGACACCAGCTAAAAACATAAATTTATATTATATACATTTGGTAAGATTTGGACTTAATTTAAGTAATGTTATACCACCATGTGTATCACCTACTAAAATAATTGGATCTCTTTAATTGAATGCAATATTAGTTAATCTAGGTTATTTTGATGGTTTTTATTCTGCAAGTTTTCCAATTTTATCAACATTCAAATCATAAACAAATATTTTATCTTAAGTAGCACATGCAAAAACTATTTTATTTATTTCTTTTATATATACCTGTTGAACTATATGGAGCCCACATTGCATCAACAACTTACATTCCTTATTCAAAACTCATTATTTAAGATGAAATTTTAGAATCCCATATTTTCACTGTCCAATCTGCTGATGCTGATATGAAAGTTCTAGAATGAAAATTATTCCATTTAACTTTATAAACTGCCAAATTATGACCCTATTTATTTAATCATATTAATTTACAATATAGGTTTCCTAATATTATCCAGAATATGCTCTAGAACATTTATGTATTTTTCCTTCTTCTGTACCAACCAAAAATATGTGAGGTTCAAATTTATTAAAATCAAAACATAAACCACAAGCTAAACCAATCAAAGTACTTTCTTCTTCATTTTTACCTACTAATCTTAATCTAATGACTTCTTCTGGTTCTAATTTATTTTTCATTAAAACCCAATTCATTACTCTACCATCAGATGAAATTGAATAGAAATTATAATTCTTTGAAATATCTGGATTCCATTTTACTTACCATACTGGATCTGTATGTTTTTATGTTCTTACTGTTGATTAATATATAGGTTTCTTATGTTTATTTCTTATATCATAAACTAACACTGTTCCATCATATAAACCCACAGCCAATAATGCAGGACTTTAAGGATGAAAATCTAAACACATAACTCCAGCTTCACATGTAAATGCATATTCTGGATGAGTTGTATTTTTAAGAGAATATAAACATATAAGACCCATTCTTTATTTTGAAAATTCATAGCTACCAAAACTAACAGCAAATAAATCCATATATCTAGGATTCCAACACAAAGACGTTACATGTTTTTTCTTCTATTTCTCATTTGAAAACTTCCAAATTGGTAATAAATGTCTTATTTTATTTAATTAATAATTACCCTTCATTTTTTGATGTTTCAACTACTTCCCCTTAATTCCAATAGTATTTATAATCATTGTATTTCTCTTTTTAATCATTATGAACAACAGTTCTTTCCATTATTTTTAAGCATCTTTTAAATGATGGTTTATAAACTGTATTGTCTGAAGTGTGATCCTTTTTCTTTTAATTCTCCTCTTTAGCCTTATTCTAAATGTAAGCATCAAATATCTCCCATTATGTAATTTACCCTTTCAATGTATCACTTGGAGGAGGCTCAGTTGAAACACCTCTTTCTCTAATTACTCTTCCATCAGTCTAAGCTTCTCTGGCATTATAATTAAACTTATTTCTCATTGTTTATTTGATTGCATCTATATCTTTAGATGCTCCAGGATCTTCCATTTCTTAATTTCTTTAAGCTTCCTTAATCAATGCTGATTTTGTATCCCATAATTCCTCTTGGATTCTAGCCTCATTAGAGTCTTTGTGAATTATTTCCCCATCCATTCTGAAATGAATAATCATTTATTCCACCAATTCATCAGTTTTATACTATCCATAAGTTGGGTAGTTACCTTTCTTTATAAATAATCATATTAAGTAATATTTTTTGGTGCTTAAGGATTATTGGGTATAAGCATTTTAGATGGCATATCTTCATTAAGTTCTTTCTCAGTTAATTAAGGTCTCTCTTTCTCTCTCTAATAATATTAATATATTTCAAAACTTCATTTTAGTACTCTGATTCATCTCCATCTGGTTCTGGGTCTTATTGATTTAAATTTTGATTCACTTATTTGGCTTATTTTTTCTACTGTACAAACTCAAAATAATTACAATCTATGGCCTTTTAAGAGCAACTCTCTATTATTTAGGTGGCATTTTAATTATTAAAATAGTAAATCAAAAATGATTGTATTTATAATATACTTCAAACTATCAGCAAGCTATTTTATAAACTTTATTATCAATAGGGAATCTCACTTAATTAAAATATCCTTTATTATTTAAAATTCTTCTTCAAATTTTACTTTTGATTTTAATCAGTTATTAATCCTTTACTAGATTGTAATTGATTAAAAAATGTTTCATTATAAATTTTGCTATTAACTTACTCTTATCAACCAATCTTACTTCTCTTGTATATATATATCACCTATATTTCTATTCATTATAATTTATACCAACTAATTTAATAACTATTTTAAAAGTCAAACTTACAACTCTTCCATAGAATAAAAAATAAAAAAAGTACTATTCATAGTTATATTCCTTTATTCCAATAAATTAATTTTTGCTTTTCAATAATTATACTAAAAATTATTCATTAAGATACTTTCTATAACTTATGAAAATATAAATCATTTAATTTCTTTAGTCAATTATTTTAATTATGTTTTCCAGAAAAAAAAGTGAGATAAAGAGTTGAAAATAAACTTCCCTATTTGAAAATTTTAAAGAAATTTGAATCTATCCTTTTAAAAATAATTAAACTTTTTTACTATTATTTACAAATTGATTAAGTTTGATTATATGAAATATTATCAAATATATTTGGTTTTTTTGGTTATTTAAGAGATATTATAAGATTTAATTTTAGTAAATTTTTTGAAAATATTGAGTTTTAACTTATAATTTTACTCTTTTAAGACATTATAGTAATACACTTAAATATTTTTTAATTAATTAATTAAATGTTTAATTGTTAATTTTAATATTAATGTTTAAGTATTTGATATAATGATATATTAATCAGTAGATTAGTTTTTCTAATAACTCATAAAACTATCAATTTTCTTTTAATAATATATATTAATATTTTAATAATTTATGAACTAGTTTATAGATTTATAAATATAGTTATAGAAATCACTTTTAATTATTTAGTATAAAAGTAAGTAATGTAAATAAATTAATTTAATATGAGGCTTTTATATTCATTTGAATGCAATGTTCTTTTTTTTAATTAATAAGAGAAGATAGTAAATAGCTTAAATCTATCTCTAAAAGACTTTTTATGAATCTAAATGATCTTATGGTGAAAGGCAAAATAAGTTTCAATATGGTGAAACTAAAAGGAAATAATAGCATAACTAACAACTTTGAAAAAAAATAATTTGTTAATACAAATATGATAAAATTTTTTGTTTATAAAGTATTAATTAAAATATTTGTTTCAATTTTCTTAGCTTACACTTTATTTTTCATCATTCTTTGTAATTTATTCTAAATAGTTTAATTATTTACATTATTCTTTATAAAAATTATTAAATTATTTAATCTATTATCAAAAAATCATAATCTAATTAACTCTGTAAAAACAAAAATCCTTAATTATATATACAGTTTAAACAATAATTATTTTTTATAAAATTTATTAATCAATTTATGAGTGAAATGAAAAATACTAAAAGAATTTATTCATCAGATGGATCATTATCAATTGAATAACTTAAAACAATTTGTCCTGATTAATATGTAACTTATGAAATATTTGATCTTGCTTTTAAATAAATGTGGTCTGTAGTGAATAAATTAGAAATGTTACAATTATAGCAAAATAAAAATGATAAATTGTATGAGCTAGAAAAAAGAATTTCAAATCTAGAGGAAGTTATACATAAATTAACTAACATAACATCTGTCATTCCTGAATCTCTTCAATAATAGATTATAGAATTAACTGATACTAGTAAATAAATTCTTATTTCAATACCATAAAAAATTGATTAAATTTAGAATGATAATAATGAGAAAGATGAAAGAATCAAATCTGTTGAAGATGCATGTAATATCTTGGCAAGAGTGTTACATGATGTATAAACTGAATATGAAGATTAAAAAGATTAAGTATAATTCTATTAGAAATTTTTAGATTGATAAAATGGAATCTGATTTATTGAATATGTTTAAAAATTTCTAAACTGTTTTAAAAATAGAAAAAGATATTACAAATATATAAACTGAAATCTAAAATATTACTAAAGCTATTAATGAAATATATTAATTTATTTGAGTATTTTCATATAATATATATAAATTCATACATATTTAATTAAAAAATAATAATTTATAATTATTTTATATATATCAGAATAATTCATTTTTTATAATAGTTTTTCTCACATTATTAACAATAATAAGTTTTCTAAAAATTATCATTTTAGTCTGCAACCCAAAAAAAATCACATTAATTACATTTTTGTAATTTTAAAATTTAATTGTACATTTTATAAATAGTGCTGATTTATTTTTTTTGTAATTTATCTATCAAGTCAGATTTTTAATTTAATTTTAATACATTTTTTATCTAAGACTCAGATATCTTTTTTTAACAATGACATTTTAAAGGTCTATATGTTTAAACATCGATTTATTTGTCCAAATGGTCTTAAAAACATTAAGGATGATAAAAATGATAACAATCGAGTTGAATAATCTCATGAAATATTCTTGCCTGGCAATGTTTGCATGAATATGATATAGATCTAGTTATTGATTAAGTTAAGTCTTCAGAAACTTCAAAATTATCATCTTATTAAACTTATTAGTTTTATTATTATTATTTTTATTCTATGCTGGCTTATACAATAGAAATGTGTCCTTAATTTTTAATAAATTGATTTCCTGTTGGATAATTCTACACTTAATATTAGTTATTATTGTAATAATTTAATTAACTATTTGTGCTATTCTATTGACAATTAAATTCAGAATTATTTTTTTGATTGGTTTAAAGAAATTATTGATTTATATCCTATGAATATGATTTTTAGTTAGTTTAATTGTTTGTATTATTATTTCTGTTTTATATAAAATTATATATTTAAGGTTAATTTTGGTATTACGAATTGGTATTATCACTATTATTATGTCCATCGTTAATTTTATATACATAAGATTGGCAGTTAATGGATTATTAATCGTTATCTCTTATATTTTTTTTTAATTGAGAATATTATGTATTTAAATATTCATCTTTGATTTGGGGTTTATTGATTGACTTTTCATAAGTCTTTTCGTACAAATTCATTTCATTAAGGTTTAAAAATGTGTTATGAATAGGATTTAATGGAACTTAAAATTGAGAGGAGGATCTTGCCTTATTTGGCTCACTATTATTTAAATAAGGAGTTTATCTAACTGAAATTTTTGGATTAGAGTTTTAAGTGTGTTAGTGATTAGGAAGATTATTTTAATAATTTTGTTATTGAATAAGGTTTTAAGGAGGTTAATAGCAATATTCACCTAAGAATTTGATTTTCTAATTTGAAATTTACGTTGACATCAATAAGAGTAATTAAATTTTATAAATAATTATAGTGAAACATATTTTTTAAATTAATATTGTCATTATATATTATTTAAATCATCAATAACTGATGAAATATTATCTTAAATGCATCCAAAAATAGAAAAATGTTGTGTTATTTTTAATCTTTAGTTCTCTTCTTCATCAAAGTCCTTAAGAAGATCCTATTTGAGGCTTTCCATGTTTTCTGCTTAACTCATTAAAAAAAAAATATTTAATTTTGGACTAAATGATAATATTTAATATATACTATCCTTCTTTAATAACAAATTCAATTATCTATTGATAATTTTAGCCTTTATCATTATAACAAGAGATATATATTTAATTCGGTTAAATAACTTAAAATTGATTAACTAGTTTATTAAGTGAATTGCTTAATGTTTCCTTATCAAAATAATTTATAAAGTTTTCTGGTTTAAAATAGTTTTTGTAATAAAGTTAACAAATAAAATATTCTATAGTTTCAATTTTTGGTTTCTTTTTTTTATCTTTTGTATTAATATTTGAATTAGTTTCTGTGATTTCAACAGAATATTTAATTAATTTATATTATTTAGTATCAGATATTGATTTGATATCCATAGATCTTTTTTAAATTAACTCTAATTCCCATTATAATTAAGGTTTTTGAAGTTCCTAATGAACTTTTTCTAATGGTATAATGAATAATGCTTTATTTAATTTCATTAATTCAGCCTTTATCTCAAATAAACCAATTGGTGATCCATTACAAATTTTAATTCTAGTTTATTTTCTACGAAAAGAATAAATTTAAGCAAGATTAACTTCATCACATGCTCCAGCAACTAAATCAATTGATGGATATTTTTGTTAAATATTTTTGATTAATTATCTAATTAAATTTGTAATTTATACGAAAAATTGATTCCTTTTGGTATATCAATAGTAATTTATTTTGTTATTTTATCTTATTAAATATCTTTTTCTAATTCTTATAAATCTAATTTTAATTATTAAACATTCATTTGCTTTCCAGTTACTTTTATTCTTGTATTTAATAAATTTGCCTCAACTATAAATAATAGAAATGAAAAAATACCTTTACATTCATTTTAAGTTATGATTTAATGATATCTATCTTTATAATCAATCATAGCTGCTTTAATATTAAAATTATTCTTATATTAATAGTAATCAATAATATCTAATTTTGATACTAAAATATTTTATAAATTTTCTTTAAATTTCTTAATTTAATCTTATTTTCCAGTAATGAAGAATTTTTCATTATTAGAATCTAATTTAACTTTGAATTACATTTCATAATTCTACAATTCTGAATAATCTTGCATTAATAAATAATTTTTTTGATTTTAATTATGAATTTCTTCAGTAATAACTTTTAAATGATCATTTAATTTTTATTTTAATTAAGCACTTAATTTCATTCCATATACAATCTAAAAATAACCTACACAATTTCCATTCTTATTAATAGATGCTAATTTTTAAACTTCAGTTTCTAATATTTATTCAATTCTTTATTAATCTAACTCAAAATTAGAACATAAAATACAATTTCCATCTAAACCACTATCTTAATATTCTATAGTTTTTAAAATAATTGTATTTACCAGCAAAAATCACTGCCTAAAAAGCCATACTTTTAATATCTTTCAAACTTTCCTCTAATTATTCTAAAATTGCTGATGTTTATTTAGGAACTTCATAATTCTAATATAAAGAGTCTTTTAAAAATTCATTAACTTATAAAAATTAAAATTATTCTTCAGTTAAACCCTCTGATTTAATTATTCCATGATATAATTATAGTTGTTTATATTCTCTCATAATTATTTCTTCAGCTTCTTTTACTAAATTAATTGGACCATAAAGAACAACCTAAATATTTATATTATAATTTACATATTCTTCCTCTTCATCTACTTCAACATAAACATAATAATATTTTTCAATCAAAATCTTCATTTTTGGAATGTAATATGTTGTAAATACATGAAACATACTTACATATAATTCTTATCGAATAATTTGCTTTTTAAATATTTCTGAAATATCAAAATGTTTATAACCATATATTTTATAAGAATAATAAAAGTCTTAATTGGAATCCTATATATATCCTTTTAATGGTCTTTCTTGCTTTATACATATTGTTTTTATATTTCTTTAAGTCTAAAGAAAATCAATATATTCTTTAAATTAAGTCTCAATTATAAATAACTTATTTAGATATTCTTCTACTATTAATTTACAATTTAAATCTGTAATTATTTGATTATTATCAATTATCCATTAAATATCATTATTCAAGCTTAACTTTTATCTTACATGATCTTTTAATGATTACTCTAATTCCTTGTCTTATTCTACTATTTCAGAAAATTCATTTAAATTTATTTTTAACATCTTATCTCCATTAAAAAACTAATAATTTTCTAATTCTTATATCAATCCTTTTGTCATTTAATTTAATTCATGGAATGTAATTGATATATCAATATTTTACTCTAAACTATCTTCTAGAATTCGACAAAAACCTTAAAAATTATTCTTCAAACTTTCAATATTTAGATTATATTTCATTATAATTAAATTTATATATTTATAAATTACCTATAAAAAATATCATAATTTTATGCTATCCATTTAGGATAATAGATTAATTAATATTAAATATCATATTTGTGATTCATAAAATAAGCTATTACATTAAATATCAATATATAAATTTTTAAGTAATTTCTTTATGTTCTAAAAAATTTGCAGATTTCATTTAAAGTAATATTTAATTCAATTATATTTATAATGTTGAATTAAAATTAGATATTATTATTTTAATAATCTTTTATTGAATATTTTTATCTTAAATTCATTACAAAATTTTAAGTTTATTCTAATCTACATCATCGTTTCTATTATAATTTTACTTTCATAATATCATTTATTAATGATAATTTATTATATTTTTATCTTTGTAACTTAAATTTATAGTTGTATTTAATCCATTCAATAATTCGTTTACATAATTGCTCTTATATTGATATGATAATATTTTTAATTTCGAAAGAATATAAACACTAAATTAAGCCAAATTTAAAACTATGTTTCAATGAAAAATTAGTTATCAGAGTTGTCTAATCAGAACTGTTTGTTTCTAGTATTTATATTCATCTATAATTTCTTATCAACTATCTTTAATTCTATTATCTTATCATTTTTAAATTCAATTAAAGAATAATATCATAAATATACAGAAGTATAACTTATTGAAGTATTTCAGTAATTAATATTAGATCTACATATAGTTAAAAGAGAAAATAATATAGAATTTAATTTAATGTTGATGAATTATGAGAATTTAATGATCTTTTGATTTTAGATATTTCTGTGTTCCATAAAATATTAAAAATTAATAAATCAGATTATAAGAAGAGTATGGCTAATTCCGAAATGTAGGATATGCTGATATGCAAACCTAGGTAGGAATGTGAATTATTTAGGTTTCTAGAGAAAGGACCTGATATTCAAACTAAACTCTAATTGAGTATAAATTATGCTGAATAAGATGAATAGATGGAGAGACCTGTTCCAAGTGTTTATGAAAAGTATGCAGAAATGCAGGAATACTTTTGTCCATTAGATTAATTAGAGGGGTTATTGAAAACAAATTTTGGGGTTGGTCTTTCAAGTGATGAAGCATTGAAAAGATAATAATCAAAATCTATAGATGTTAGTGATTGGAAAATGTTTATAAAAGAATTGAATTTATTTGCCTTTGATCTAATTATTGCAACAATGATTTCAATTAGTCTAGCAATATATGGAAGTTAAAATAATCTTGAATTTAGTGGAGAAGAAATAATTACATCATGTCTATTATTAATAGTAATAACAATAACTTTTGCAATGGGATATCAATAAAGAAAGAAATCTTAGTATGCTATAGAGAAAGATAATGAATAAACTATTACAGTATATAGAGATGGGAAAATGTAACATATTTAAATTTAGAATCTTGTATCAGGAGATGTTTGTGTTATTAAGGATGGTTTAGTAATCTATTGTGATATGAGAGTATTAGAATCTTCAGATTTATAAATATAAATGAATTAAGATGTAACTTAAGCAGTAAAGGGATCATAAATATTTTGTGGATCTTTAATAAGAAATGGTTTTGGAAAGGCAGTAGTCATTAAGACAGGATCAAGTACTACTATTGCTTAGATTTAAAAGAGATAAGGTAGTAAATTATTATAAAAATAATTAATTTTATTTTAATAAATAATGACTTTGATAGCATTATTTGTGATAGCATTAGTTATTATTTGGAGTGGTGTAATGTCAGATATTGATACTTATAATGTATTTGCTTATGGATTTAGAGTTGTTGAATAAGTAATTATAGCAATTGTTCCAGTTGGTTTATTAGTAATAGTTACAATATCATTTTAAATGGCAATTAGAAGATTGGCAAAACTTAGATTCTTAATTAAAGATGCTGAAAGTATTGAAAGATTAAGTGAAATTAATTGTTTATGTATTGGATTAAATGAAGTAATTACTAGTAAGAATTATTCATTTAATTCTTTTAATGATTGCAAATAATTATTATATGAATGTAATAAATAAAAATCTATTCATCTATATTATTGTGCAATATTGACTTGTAATCATACAAATTTAGATGGAACAGAAAAGAGTATAATTGATTATTTTAAAGAAGAAGATACAGAAGATTTAATAAAAAATACAAAGTATTATGTAAATGGAATTTAATATCATTTGCCATTTAATAGTAGTAAAAAATATTCATTATCAATTGTTGAATAGTAAGGCAAATATTTTGTTTACATTAAAGGAGCACCTGAAGTTATTTGGAGTTATTGTAATAAGACATTATTTGGCAAAATTGATTTATAATAAACTCAATAATTTAATGATTAATTAGTACATTAATGTTCAAAAGGTTTAAGAAGTATAGGATTTGCTTATTTATAAATTGAAAATGAAGAAGATTTAAAAATTAATGAAAATGATTATGAATTTAACAAATAAAACTTTGTGTATTTAGGAACTTTATATTTAAATAATAGTCTCAATGAATAAACTATTCCTATTTTAGAGAAATTATAAAAATAAAATATTAAATTAGTAATTATTACTGGAGAACATCCAGAAACTGCTAGAGTTATTTGTAAAAATACAGGATATTATAGTAATCCAACTATTATTGAAGGACATTAATTATATTTACATGTTGATGATCAATAAGAAGTTACTAGATTAAGTTCTGTTGAAAATAAATTAGGAAATTGGTGTTCTTAATAAGAAATAGTATTTGCTAGAACATCACCAGAATAAAAATTAAGTATTGTAAAAGCATTATAATAATTGAATTATAAAGTTGCTATTACTGGAGAAGGATTAACTGATTTGGGAGCATTTAGACAAGCTGATATAAGTATTAGTAAGAAACATGGATCATAGTAAATGATTATAAATTCTAGTGATTTAATTCTCACTTCTAGTAAATAAACATTTCTTGATAGTTATTAAGCTATCTTAGAAGCCAAAAGAGCTGTTAATAATGTTACTAAATCTATTATGCTTTGTTTATCTTCAAACACAGCAATGATCTTAGCTTTATTTGTATATTGTTTTTTAGGAACTCCATTACCATTCTCATAAAATCTAATGTTATTAACTAGTATATCTGTTGATTTAATACTTGGTATCAGTTTAGCTAGAGAAGAATTAGAATATAGAATACCTAATAGAACTAATCTTTTCCTTTTTGCTATTTTGATTATTGGATGTATTGAGGCAGGTGGAGGTTTAATGGCAAGTTTTAGTGCTTATCGTTATTTTGGATTTAATTTATAAAATTTGTATTTTACTAGATTTGCTAGAGTTTATCCTGTAGGAGATCAAGATACTTATAATCCATCTAGTTATACATTAGGCAATTCGAATTTAATTGATAATTGTTAATATATAGGTTAAATGTAAAATTATTAATGGAGTTCACCTAATAATACAATTGATTAAAGATTGATATTTGTATAATGTGGAACTTGTTCTGAATTATAAATTTAAAATGGATATTTAACTTAATGTTGGAATACTAAATATGAATATCCTGATTGTGAAAGTAATATTAATGATCTTTAATTTTGTTATACAGCTAAAGCAAGTGATTTCGCATCTACATCATTCTACATAGTCTTAGTATTATCATAATGGTAATAATAATTACTTAATATAGTATCAATTATTTTGCATTAAGAACTTTAATTAAATCTTATAATTCTACTCGAATTAATACTTTAGCTATATATGGTTTAACGATATCATTAATTTTATTACCAATTATTGTTTATGTTCCAGGAATTTAAAGAGTATTTTAAACAATTAATATGCCTTGGGAATTATTAGGTTCAGCAGGTCTTCCATTTTGTTTGCTTTTATTAGCTACAGTAGAAATAGTAAAATGGTTATTAAGAACATATGTTGGATTCTAAATTTTATGATTTTTATATTTATATTATTGTTTATGTATAAATCTATTATAATATTATATAACATATATATATATATATATAAATGAAATCATCAATGACCTATTATTTAATTCTTATATTATTTTATACACAGATTCTCAAATAAAATTATGACAATAAATACAGCTACATTCATCAAACCAGTCATCATTAATTCATCTTTTGTTAATTAATATAATACAGATATATTAATAATGTTAGGTTTAATAGTGAGCAAAACATGCACAACCATTCCAATAAACAAAACTAATAAAAGAGAATAATTTCTGTATATAGGTTATCTGAAAGGTTTACCTTAAGAATATGCAATAGCAACAGCAATAACTTATGTATTTGCCAATATTATCTATTAAGTATTAATTGAATTAGCCATTTCCATATTTAATTCTGTAATTAAAGATTAATCATATGTTAAAAAGGAAATTACTTAACTACAACAACAAATAAAAAATAATCCAACAACTGATAGTATAATTTATCTATTCAATAAACTAACAAATGGTTACTGTGTTGTTAAAGTCTCAGATGGTTTTGTCAAACTCATAGTAAATGCAATTGGTATAATAATCCACAAATCCTAATATAAAAATTACTCAACTGTTAAATTAGTATTTCTAATATAACATATTGTCAATGCTATTGTTTAAATACTAGAATAAAGAGTCATGAATTTAAAACAAGATTAACTAGTGATAAGAGCACATCTTCCTACTTTCAATATTTCACTAATTTATGAAACTCTGATTATTGGTGTAAGAAATGGAGCAGCTAAAGATGCTTCTTAATTAGATAAAGCTAATCCAATATCACTTTATTAGAGTGCACAAATATCATTACAACCATCACCAACAAAAGCAGTAAATATTCCTTTATTTATATTCTTAAATTTTATCATAAGATTACCCTTTTAAGAAGGCTTCATTCTAGCAAACACTTTAGTTTTTTCAAGGATACTCAAAAATAATATTAATTAATACTTTATCAACACATTCCCAAGAATCTCCTGTCAATGCCACTTAATAATTCATTTATTCAATTTCTTCAACATTTATATTATTATCAAATACTAATTTATCATTAATTATTTATCCAGTAATAACAGGTTAATTGGGATCCAAAATCTAACATTATTTTGCAATATTAATTGATGTTAATATATTATCTCCTGTTACCATAATACATTTAATATTAATTGAATTCAATAATTCAATTAATTATTTAGAATCTTCTCTTAAATGATTTACAAATACTAAAGTTCCAAGATATTATAATCCATTTTCAATATATTTTCTTTCTTCATTAACATCATTAATTTCTTTATATCCAAATGATATTAATCTATATCCCTCTTATTAATATAGATTAACTGTAGATGCAAATTAATCAGGTATTGTTTAAAAACATAATCTTTCCATTATTTCTGGTGATCCTTTTGTTAAAGCTAATAATTTTCCTTTATATTTAATTATTACAGTCATTCTTTAAAGATTGGCTTCAAATTAATAAACTTTCTAATATTCAAAATCAAATTATTATTAACAACATTCTAACATAGCTATTTCTAAATTATCTCCACAACCACCAACAAGAGTATGACAACTTTTTAATGCTAATTACATAATCTCTTTACAATGATTAGGATTTATTAATAATTTTTTCTCTACACATCCTAGAACTTTAAGTGTTGATTCAGTCAATGTACCTGTCTTATCAAATCCAATAAAATTGACCATTCCACTTACATTAATTTTATCTGGTTTTATACAAAATATATTATTTGCCTTTAATCTCTAATTTGCCACTTATAATCCAGCACCTAAAGCAGTAGGTAATGAAGGAGGTATCATTATTGTAAATATTTCAAGAGCTTCTATGATGCTTCCAAAATTATTTTATGTAGATTTTAAACGAATAAAATAATTAACTATTGATAGTAATATTCCTAAAAAGCTTAAAACAAACAAATATTTAAGTGATTCCTTTTGGAATGAATAAGTATATGAATTATTGAATAATATATATCTAGCTAATGATCCTTTTATAGTATTAAAACCTATTGATTTCACTAGAGCTCTACAATCTTAACTTGCAGATAAACAGCTACATCCACTAAATATTTCTAAATTGATAGTTTTTAATATTGGAGTGCTTTCTCCAGTTAAAATGGCTTCATTGAAAACAGCCTCTCCTTAAACAAGTTGACCATCAAAAGTAATCATAGATTTTGCTGTAACTTAAACAATGTCTCCTGGAACTAAATCTTTTGAAGATATCTTTAATTAATGATGATCTCTATGAACAATAACAGAATTCTCATAATAAATCATCTCTCTTATTTTATGATTTTGTTATTCTAAATCATATAAACTAATGGTAATTTATATTATGGTTAAAATCGCAATCAAAATAGCATAAAGATAATAATCATCCAGAGACCAAACAATGAAAGAAAATACTTAAAAGATATTGAATGGTGATAAGATTTCATTAAATAATATTTAACTTCTTGTACATTCTTCAATTTACATTATATTTTCTCCATATAAAATTTACCTTTGTTGTGCTTCATATTTACTTAATTCATTATAATCATAATTAATCAATTCTAACTTTTTCAATTAATTTTATGGAGTTATTAGAAAGTTAATATATTCATACTTAAATTTAATCCTATCTCCATCCCTCTTACATTTAATGATTTTATCTTTACTCATTCGTTTACCATCTTTCATCTTTTAAATCAATAAATGAGATGGATTTGTACTCTTCTAAAAACTATATATGATAAATAAATTCAAAGTACCTTAATAATGATACCTAAACAAACCATTTTTCAAAAAGTGAAAAAAGTCCAAGACTTACTATTCTTAGAATCTTAATCATAAAATTATTGTCTTCCTCATAATAGTAGACTCTTAATTCATAACGTTCATTAAACTCTTCAAAGTATTCCTGTGTTTAAGTGTCTTCTACTTTATCTCCCAGAATTGGAAGTTCAATCATAAATTAATTTGTAAACAATAATATTTAATGTATCAAGAATTATCATTCAACAAGACATAATCTTAAATATAATCACTCAATAGTTGTATATACAATATATAATTAGGTAAGAATATAAATGAATTATATAAAATATACCGTTAATGAATGTGTGTTCTCCTTCTAAAGTTTAAGGGCCATCCCTTTTAAGAAATCCTTTTTAACAGGTTCGTTCTGTTAGTACTGATTGTAAGTATGCCACTTGGTAGTCACCAAAAAACAAAGAGAATCTGTCTCCAAATTAATAAAGAGTGGATTTAGTTAAAAAGATAATAGTTCTACTTGAAGAAAATGAGAAATCAGCAGAACTCATAAAATAACTTTTAACAAAAGAATCAAAATACTAGAAATAAAGATCAAGTGATTAGACTGAATTATCTTAATTAAGAGATGAAGTTGCTATTCTTAAAGAATAATTGATGTAAACTAATTATTTTTTAATATATTAGTAAATCTGAAGAAGATAGAATACTAACAGAGACTAAATATTAGGCTGTTTTAAAAGAATTAGATTATAAGGATTAATAAATTGAAAATAAAAAAGAAACTATTGTTGCTTAGGAAGAACATATTAAATAACTTTTAGAGAGAAATGCAGAATTAACAGAATAATTAAAATTCAGTCAAGATGAATTAAATAATTTAGGTGATATTGATGAAAAGATAGATTTTATACTAAATGAAAATGAATAATTAAAATTTTTAAGTGACAAATTACAAGATTAATTAAGTGCATCTGAAGAATAACTATTTAGATTTAAATAAAAAATAGATTAATTATAATCATAAGAAACTGAAAGAAGTGAAGGTGCACTCAATGGATACAAATAAAAGATAAGAAACTTAGAAACTAAATTAGCTGTATTATCAGAAGATAATGCACGTAGAAAGTAGATTGTTTGATAATCAATATTTTTTTAAAAACTCTATTTTCTGATTAAAATTTATATTATTTTTATTTTTAAATAAAAAAAAATAAGAAAAAGAAAATGTCTGAAGTATTCAGTAGTTATGAAATTGAATTTGAAAAATATTAGTAATAAATTTGTTAATTAATACGATAAACACAAATTAATAAATCAGATGAAACTTTAAATGAGATATCTTAAGTTTTTAGTGACTTGCAGAATTGTGTAAAATTTATATTTTATTTGTATAGTTATAATAAATGGATATAGAATCAACTAGTATTGCAGTCTCTGATAGATAAGAATTAAAAAGCAAAGTGAAAAGATATAAATCAGAAGTTGAAGCATTAAAAAAATAATTTAGAATTATTCAAGATGAGGTTTAATCACAAAAAACTAAAGATTCCTTATTTGGTGAATAAGATAATCAATAAATACAATTTATAAATACTTAAGATAAATTAATCAAATAAACATTATAATTAGAAGATGCAAAAAAAGTTTGTTTTGAAATTGAATCAATATCTAATAATATATAAGTTCAATTAAAAAATCAATCTGATATCTTAGATAGAAATATCAATAAAATGCCAGAAATTTAATATGATTTAGGAGAATCAAATAGTCGATTATCAAGAATTAAATCAAAAATGAGAGAACATAAAATAATATTCCTAATTGTTTTTGCCATATTTTTGACTGGTATTTCTATTGTTTTAGTATATAAATATGCTTGAATAACATTTAAAATTTTTATTAATGATTTATTTCACAGAATATTATTTAATATTATTATATCTCTTGTAAATTGATAATTCTAATATTAAATAATATTAAGAAACAATTCTTGATGAGATTATTAAAGCTATTTTTAATTTAATCAATTAATCAATTTTTTATTAAGTAAACAACAGGTTAGTAAAAATCTTAAAAAGTAAATCTATCATTTTTCAATATTTTTATAAAGAATTCTTAAAATAATAATTTACAATTTTTATTAATATAAAGGTTAATTAAACTTAAATAATTTTATTTTAATATAATTCACTTAATTATTTTTTTGAATTTAAATTATAATAGTAATCATTTAGATGACAATTTTAATGTTTCCTTCAATTCAGAGATTATGAAGATAATAATTATCATTTTATTAGTATTATATATATAATAACTAGATTAGTTTTTAAGTAATTTTATTTATGGAAATTTCTATTTGATTGATATCTATAATGCTCAATAATAACATTCTATACCTTTATTTTAATTAAATCTTATATTTAAAGGATGTTTAGTGAATTTGCTTTATTCCTAATAATTTTTTGATGAATAACCTTCTTAGGTACCTTAGACAATCAATGACATTAAGATATTTTGCTATTTTTCAATTAAATTATTTAAAAATAAAGATTAGATAAAATAAGTTCTTAGTGTCTAACCAATTAATGAATAAATTCCAGAACTGATTTAATTAACAAATAACTAACAACTTAAACAAGAATAGGGTTGAACAATATAATATAATCTATATAATTTTATGATTGCTTACAACAAGAAAGTAATGAATAATGGATAAGAAATAGATGTTTTAATTACACATGACAACGTAATGTAAATCAAATTACAATAGTTATAGTCAAAATATAAAGAAAATACAAACTTTATATACAAAACCACTAAGTGATATATATGTATAATTTTCATCATTTTTATCACTAATATGTTGTCTATTAAGTATTTAAAAGAGTGGTTTTAGTTGTATTTTGTTTTTTTGATTACTTTGAGCTGATGTACAATACTTTTTTTGATTTAGCATAGTTAATGTCTTCTAATTTTGCTTTATTTTCTTATATTTCGGTGCGCCTATTAAAAGTCGGTGTACCAATTTCTTAAGAATTGTTTATCGATGTTTACATATTATCCATCTTATTTAGAAAGTTTATTTTCTCTAATTCAAACAAATCTAAGTCGAAAGTTCGTTTATTTAGAGTTATGACAGGTTGAAATTTTAAACGAGATGCATGAGGATTCATCTTTTCTATTTATTAAATATACTCAATGTTTAATTTAAAATTGTTAGACTTATTATGAATATATATAGTTGTTCATAAAAAACAAAAGTTATTCTTTAATTTGTGTTAAAACGAAAATCATTAATGATATTAATTAATTAAGTATTAAATCATTTTTGTAGTTAACACCTAGGTAACTCAATTAATCAGTATTATTGACTTTTAATAATCACATATAATAATTGGTTTATTCATCATAAAGTGTTTTCCATTCCTTTATCTATCAATTAATAATTGTTTTATCATTAAATATTTCTTTTTAAAGATGAATTTCTGATTTTAACTGGTATATCACGAAAGTGAGTACGGTTATTAATTTCATTGATCTAAATCTATGTTTATTTTTAAAAGTTGTTATTTTAGGTTTAATAAGAAGCATAAAAATTTTTATATTTATTATTTAAATTTTAATTTAGTATCATCTTTGTCATAGTGTTATACATGTTAGAAAAGTCACTACATACATTAAGAATGTCTATATTTAAAAATAAATAGAAATTTCATAGGATTTATTAATTATATATTTTAATTGATTTCTTATATTTAATTATAAATAATCAATACATCCATTTACTTTCTTAAAATCTTCATAATAAATATTAAAAAAAAAGAAATAATAAGTAAGTTTTCCTAAAATCATAAGATAAGAGGCAGTCTGATTTACATATTGTTTTTATGAAAATATATTTTTTAATGTCTTTATTAATAAGAGCTTTAATTAATTTTAAAGTGTTTTAAATTTAATAATTAAATAATAATTATAGATTCAATTTGTAAAAGACATATTACCCATTTCAACTTCTTGCATTTTTTCTGAAAAAAAGACTTTTTCAATCTTTTATAACAACTTCTTTCTCCATTCTGGTTTTTTATCTAAGTATTTCAAATAATCTTAAAATTTATTAAAACTAAAAGTAATAGCATAGAATCCTAGAACAATCTAAACTAAAATCATGAATGATAATCCAAAATTGTATTATTTTTATTCATCTTTATTTGTAATAACTATATCAACATTCTAAGCATTATATTCCACTTCTGACACAATAGATGTTGTATATAAACCAACTATAATAAGATATCCAAAAATAGCAGAATAATTCATTATATCTCTTAAGTAAGGTCTTCTTTGAATTAGAAGTAAGAAATAGAGCACAATCAAGGTTACTGAAATAGAAAACTAGATATAAGGAAAATTATTTAGCAATATTAGAGAACATGCAATACTAGTTTTCATAAAATAATTAATAAATTCGTAATTCTTTTTAATGTAATTTGTTTATTTGAAATCTGAGAAGAATGTAAAGTATTTATTTTCCATTTCTTATTGATCTAGATCAAGAAACTATGATTTATATACACTTCTGAAATATAAAAGATAATATAATATAGTGACTATTGATAATACAAATGAAGCTATATTGATATCAGAACTAAAATTATATCCCCATAATTATAAAATGGAAATGAGAATTAATGGAAAATAGAGAAATTCATGAACACGAACAAGCAAATCATTACTACCTTCATGCATAGCTCTATATATTTTCAATGTTTCTAATTTATTATTTATCTAATATAAATTATGCAAAATGTAACTAATTATCCATATAAGCCAAAATATTAATAATATTCCCAATATTTATATACCACCATTAGCAATAAAATTATAATAATAACCTGCATTATAAAGCAAATTATTATTTGGAATTTGATTATAAATTGGAGTATTAAAGAAATATAATATTATTCCATCTTCTGAAATTCCTATAGCTGGTATTCTCCTTAAATTTACAATATCTAGTAATTTGAGTGAATTTAAAGTAAGAGTTGAAAAAGTAAAATTAATAAAAATCATTACCTATATGAATTACAAGTTATTAATAATCAAATAAAACATTCTTCTTTAAGTTCTTAATATTAAACATAAAAGAAACAAAAAGCAAAAATAAGATAAATAACTGATTATCAAATAAGTATTAATTTATTTATTATTGGCTTCCTTTTCAGGTGGAATAAACTATGCAGGTATTTATAAATCTTAAATTGCTGATGATAATCGAATCGGAGTTTTATCTTCATTCATAATATTGTTTGTAAAATTACAAGAGATTTGAGTAATTCTATGAGATATATCAAAATCTAAAGTAATAATAAAGAATTAATCATCTTAAACAGAACTTAATGTCCTTATCTATGTAAATCATAACTTACATTTTATATTATGAATTGTCTACATCAACAACTTTTATTTGTGAATTAATATCAAGTGTGGCTGGATTGATACTGCTTGAAAATGAAATTTCAAAAACTATAGTTGAGTCATATGCTTCTAAAATATTGAGAGAATATGTTAAGTAATTAACACATGTTCTTGTTTCATTGTTTGAATATTATTAATACTCACATACACCACATACTTGATTATTCATATAAAAGCCTTCTTTACAGAATAAGCAATCTGTAGACTATCCACCAGAACAAGTTTCACATGTTGTATGGCATATCAAGCATGATCTATCTTATGGATATGTACCTATAGGACACTTTATATTTTAATATTAATAATATACTTGTTTCTCACAATTAGTGTTTAATTCATTCATAAAATAGGGATCTGGGCAATTTGGCAAACATTATCTAGTGATAGGTTAACCATAAGTGCCAGAAGGACAAAATTCTTTACATTAAAAGTCATTCACATCTCCATATAATGGGAATTCACATGTTAATTCACAACTGTCAGTGATTGGAGAATGAAAATTAGGAAGTTTGCAAATGTAGCATTCTGATGAACTTCTTCCAAAACATGTTATCTTATTATTTGATTATTCTTTACGCATTGTGAACTACAATCAGAACATTCATTGTCTTATTCATTATCCATACAATTGCCACAAATCAATCTCAAAGGCTTAATACATTTAGTACAACCTGTTGGAGAACCATTATAACATTCTAAACATTTATCATTGCATTTTAAGCACTATTTCACATCATTTACTATGTCTGGGTAATAATTAGTTGGACAATTGGTGACACATTGATTATTGCTTAATAATAAGGGAGAAACCTAAGAGTTAGGTCAAAATTGATACACAAGCAGTACAAATTGTAATTTAATCACATTCAACACAATTCTGATCTAGATAAGATTCATATGAGTACCTGAACAAGCTAATGTATATGATAGCAACATAAAAAGAAGCATTATTTGAATAATAAATTATATAAATGTTAACTTAAAGTTTTTATTAAATAAATAGTAAAAGTCACCAATATTTAGATTAATTGGTATTATTGTTAGTAAGCATCATTACTTTATTGAGTAAGTCATCATCATGAATCTCATTGTTATAACCCTATTTGGATGATTAATTTGTTCCAGATATTTTTCTTTATTAATATTTATCCTAAACAGGTTAATTATATCTATTCTATTAAGTATATCTATCTTATTAAGTAAATCTATCTTATTAAGTATATCTATCCTATTTATCAAATCTATCCAACCTAGTATCAGTATGAGTTTGTTATAATTGTCTATGATCTTTTTATTCATAATTATCATAATGATATCTAAGAGGTGATTAAGATTGAGTATAACTTCCTTATTATTAATGTGAAACAGAAGGGACAGAATATTATGTTTATAATTACTTTTCTAAAAGAGTATTTTTCATAGAAAGTTCTAAAATTTTATCATTAGCTTCCTTTAATTTCTTGTTGAGTTTTTTATTCTTTTGAATTAATATTCTATTTTCTTCTGTAATTTATTACATAGTTTACTTTTATGCCTAATTTTAATTTTAAGGTTCATTTTCTTATTAAACAAGTTTAGGTTTAGTATCATATTATTCTTATATTTATTAAGCATATTAAGGAACTTAAGCAAAACTTGGGAATTATGATTAACTAAATATCATCTATGCATTCTATGGAGAAGGTAAAGGATTAACTTCAATTAATTATATTCTATGTTGTAATTCTCTATTTCTTCTTTTTAAAGTTTCATTTTCATTTTCAATATCATGTATTTATTCTTCTCTATTTTTATTTGATCTTTCTAAATCACCAATATCTTTGAGTTATTAAGATAAAATCTTCTTTAATTTTTCTATTTCTTCATTTTAAGTTTTATTATTATCCTTATTATCATTATTTTCCTTTAAGTATCTATCTTTAAGTATTTTATAATCATCTTATAAATCACTAAACCTCTTTTTTAAATTATCAAGATCTTTTTATAAAGTAACAGCTTTATTCCTTTCTTATAAATATTTATCATGTTCATCTTGATAAAGACGAGTTAATTTATCTTAAACTTTTTATTCTTATTCTAATTATTCTTCTTCCATATCACCAATTTTTATCTATAAATAATGAATTGTATCATCTTTCTTTCTTATATCTGTTAATAATTAATCTTTATCAGTTTTCAAAATTTCGTAATCTGTAGCAACTTATCCTCTTCTTTATTTTTCTTTTCTTAATTCATCTTCTACAAATCTAGTTCTAATTTATATTTTATCAAAATCACTTTTATATTGACGTTTATCATTTCTTTCTTAATCTATTTATCTAGCAAATTTAATCATTATTTCATTTTTTTCTTCTCTTATTTTATCTCTTTCAATTCTTAATTCTTAATTTTCAGTATCTGCATTATTATATTTCAATTTATATTCATCTAAATCTTTTCTTAATCTTCTTATAACATCTTTATCTTTACTATCTTCTATTATTTTTGTAAGTTCTTCTATTTAATGTTATAAATCAGACATGTCTAATTTAAATCTATCTTGAATCAATTTTGATTCTTTTGTATATTCTAATTTGATAGTTTCAACTTTAGCAATTTCAAGATCTAAATTTCTTTTCAATTGATAAATAACTTCATTTAACTTTTCAATTTCATTTTATTTAACATCAAGTTATTATCTATGAGGTATTTCTAATTCATTTAACAATTTAATTCTAATCATATCCTAATCAAAAGATGGACTTAATCTATTTTAGATCTCTTCCAATTCTCTTTATTTTTGTTCTATTAACAATTTCCAACTTTTACTAGCATTATCAAATTATTATTCTGTCTACTTTTTTTCATTAAATAAAACTCTATATTTTTAATTCAATTCATTATTATCCTATTTCAATTTATCAACCTATAATTTTAATTCATCATTTATAGCTTATAAAGTTTCAAATTCATCTAAATGATGCTATGATTATAATACTTATCTTTCTTGATATAACTGCTTTTGAGGATATAATTGCTTTTTTTAATTATGTATTCTCTTCAATCAATCCATCCATTTAATTCATTTTTTTTTATTTTTAAATTAATTCGTTAAAATATATTTTAAAATACCTATTAAATTTTATGGAAAATATTAGAGTCTTGGTTAGAGTAAGACCATAAAATTATAGAGAAACTCATTTAGGTGCAAATGTTTGTGTGTCTACAACAGCCAATACCATTACATTGGATAATAAGAAAGAATATACTTATGATCATGTATTGGGTGCTGATTCAACATAAGAATAAGTCTTTGATAAAATTGGTAATTCTACACTTCAATCATTTCTTGATGGTTTGAATTGTTGTATTTTTGCATATGGTTAAACAGGTGCTGGCAAAACTTATACAATGTAAGGAAAAGGTTATGATGATATTACAAATGATAGTGTACATCTAGGATTATAACCACGTTTGATATAATAATTATTTAATGAATTACCAAAAGAGAATAATTGGATAATCAAATGTACTTACTTAGAAATTTATAATGAATAATTGATTGATCTTTTAAATGATGCTAAACCTATACCTTTAACAATAAGAGAAGATTCAAAAAGAGTTTATGTTGAAAATCTAACAGAAATTGCAGCTGCATCCTTTAGTGATATTTTATCTTTGATGTAAAGAGGATTAGCCAATAGACATGTATCTGCAACATAAATGAATTTGGAGAGTTCTAGAAGTCATTCAATATTCACATTATAATTGGAATAAAGAAATAAAGGAATGTATACAAGGAAAAGTAAAATGAATTTTGTTGATTTGGCAGGAAGTGAAAGATAAAAATTAACAGCAGCTACTGGAGATAGATTAAAAGAGGCATCTAATATTAATAAATCTCTTACTGTTTTAGGTTTAGTAATTAATTCTTTAGCAGAAAATCCAAAGAAATTTATTCCTTATAGAGATAGTAAATTGACATTCCTTTTAAGAGAAAGTTTAGGAGGAAATTCTAAAACTGTTATGATAGCTACAATATCTGCTGCTAGTTCTTCATTTTAAGAAACTCTAGGGACTTTGAAATTTGCATCAAGAGCAAAAAATATAAAAAATTAAGCAATTGTCAATGAAGAAATAGGTGGTAATTTGGAATCTTTGAAAGCAGAAATAAAACGATTGAAGAATGAATTGTAATCATCTATATATCAATCTGAAATAATGCCAAAGAAATAAAAAGAAGTGGAATTAATTTCATAAATAACTAGTTTAAATTATCAATTAAATGAAAGTAATTAATATTAGGATCATTTGACATAAGAACTTAAATAAATGAAAGAGTATTATGAATCAAGAATAACTGAAATGGAAGATTACAGTACTAAAAATTAAAATTGTTCATAATTTGGTATATAAGATAAAGACTTATAATTGGAATAGTCATTAGAAATTTAAAAAGATTTGAAATATAAAAATGAATTATTAAATTAAAGAATTTTGGAACTTCAACAAGAAGATGCAATTTTAAAACATAGAAGAAATGAATAATAATTGATTATCACATAATTAGAGTAGAATTTATAATTACTATAAAATGATAAGGAAATGCTTATAAATTAATTAAAGTAATAAAGTTCTTTAATCTAATAATATGAAAATTAATTGGAAATATTTTAAGAAAATAAAGCTTAATAATTACAAGAACTTGAAAATAAGATTTCAGAATTAAATGACTAATTATAAATTAATAAAGATTAGATGGATACAGATGCATAAACTATCGAATTTTAATGTGAAGAAATTTAAAGATTATAAAATGAAATTGAATTAAATAAAACTCTATTAGAAAGATTATAATAGGATTGTTTAAATCTTTAGAGATAAATGTTAGAAAAGGAAAGTTTGATAAAAGATTAATTGAAGGAACTTTTAAAATTTAAGAGAAGAAGTGAACTTAAGTCAAAAAAGGTGTTAAAATCATTAAAGGTATTAAAAAAAGAAAAGGAAAATTTCACTTAGTTGGAATAAAAATAAATGGAATTCTTATCTTAATTAAATACAACAATGGAATTAGATGAAAATTAATTGACTTATGAATTAATTTAAAGTGCCTTATACTCAAAATTATAAAATGTTAAGACACAATTTGATAAATAAATATAAGAATCTTAATTATTAAATGATTAGAAAGTATATTTCTAAGATTTATTTAATTAAACTTAGATTAATTTGGATGAAATAAAGAGATAAAATGAAGTATTAAAGATTGAATCACAAAAGAATAAAGTAAATAAGGAAGGAATCTAGAAATATGAATAATTAAAAGAAGAGTTTCAATATTAAAAGGATAAATTAAGTAAATTCTTAGATAGTTTTGATATAATCAATTAAAAATTAATTATGAAAGAAAACGAAGTATTAAAATTAAGATCTGAATTGAAATTAGAGTAGACTCAACGTTCTAAGTCATTGGAAGAGATTGATAAGTACTATATTTTCATATCAAAGATTACGTACAGCCAAGATAGAATTATCAACTTTAAAAATAGAGTTAGAATAAACAATTTAATAGTTATAATGTAATAATTAGAATGAGACAGATGAAAGTAAGCAAAAGAAGTTGTCAGATAATGTTCTTATGTTATAGAAGGCAAATTAGAAGCTTAATACTGATTTATCTATTTTATAAAGACAATATAAGTAACTACATGTGGAGAAGGATATTATGTAAAAGAAATATGAAGAAAAACTTATGTATTAGGTGGATATAAATAAATTAAGAAAAGATATAAATATCACAAATCAATTAAAATAATAATTGGATAAGAAGGAAAGAGAATATCAATAACTATTTGATGAAACTAAAATACTAGAGGACTTTTTTAAGAATATAAATGTGAAGAGATTTTGTAATTATCAAATTCAAAATGAAGGAACTATAAGTGAGAAAGTAAAATCATATTTTGAATTTTTGGATGTATGAATATTAAATCTTAATATTTAGCAATGTGAGTAAGAATTTGAAAATAAATAATATAAATTAAAAACGAATTTACAATTGTTACATATTGAATAAGCAAATTGTAATATAGTTAAAGAAGAAAATAGAATGTTAAAAATGCAATTAAAAATGTGAAAACAATATTTATATTAATTAATATTAATATGATTAATTAACAGCCAATTGAGGATTTGGATTCTGATGATATTGATGTCATTTTTAGAAGAATCAAAATAATATTCTTTTTTAGTTTATTGCAATTAAATGTTTCAGGAGGATTGATATACTTACATCTAGGCTTCATTTATTATATGATAATTGATGGAATTGCAATAGTTTATTCAATCTTGTTGTAAGCCATCCTATATAAATTAGAGAATGTATTGGTCCTATGATTAAAATAGAAAAACTATTTAAGCATAATAACAACATATAGAAACTACAAACAATTTCTTAACTAGATTTTAATTAGTTTTTAGTGTTACTTTGACAACAGTCTTTATATATGAATTTATGGGATTTCTACTAATAACAATCTAAGAGTAAACTATTCAAGACTTATTTATTTTCTTAATAATAATTGGATTTCTACTCTAAATTTTAATCTAAATTGTAATTTTGTTAACCAATAGTTACTTCTGTAAATCACCAAATGTATTAAGATTATCAATATATTTTTAAAGGTATATATGAATAATAATATTATTTAAGTCTTACACTTTCTCTATTGATATTTTTAAGTTGGATTAGAATATATTAGGTGTAAGAATTACCTAAATAACTATAAACAGCTGATTATTGGATAGAATGGAATACATTACTCTAATTACCAACTCTTTTATTTTTGGCTATATCAATCTTATTCAATTATTTAGGTAATAAAAAAGCTTATAATATTTTGGGAACTATATTTTTGCTATTATCAATACTGCACACAGTCTTTGGTTGTTTAGTTATTAGAAATGCATAATATTGGGTTCCAGTAAATGATTAATTGCCTTTAAGAGCATTACATAATGATATTATTTAAGATTTGGGTTGTACAAAATATATCAAAAATGATGAATGTCCATTATTGTATCAAGTTGAGGCATGGGAATAGAATAATTAATTGAAATGTGTATCTAAGGATTGTGAAGAAAAAGCGATTAATTATATCAAGAATCTAAATTTACAATTGGGTTTAGTGTTTCTTTTTGAAGCTACATTACTTTTTATGAATACATATGCTATGTATACAATTTCAGTCAAATATTAAATAAATAAATTACTTAATCCTCTAACTTAGAAGATTATTATTGGCATATTCTTTTTAACAATAATTATTGGGATTGTTTGTTTAGAGTCAATACCATAACCCAAAATTTAGACTTAACCTTCTATGGATTATTTAATTGAATCAGATATGTTACCTGAATTTGATTAAATTAATTTTATTTAAATTCCAAATAGTTTTAATATATCAGATTGTTAAATTGTCAAAAACATATAAAAAATTAATGAATTTCAAGCAATTAATTGTGATACAAATTGCGAATAAGAATAATTCATTATTTCATTGACAAGTTAAAATAGTTTATTTAAATAATTAGAACCTAATTCAGTAAAAACGTTTAATTAAGAATTTACAAATCAATATTTCAACAAAAATGATATGCAACAATAAATTGTAATTAAAGGAAATAAAAATGAAGTTATTGAAGGGATTAATCATATATAAGTTTGTTCTGATAATTCTTAAATATAAATGGAATTTTCTATTTATTAGGTTAAAGAATAAAAAAGTAGATTACTTTAAAGTAATTCATAATAATAATAAAATAAGTTATTAAATGTTGAATTAAAATTCATAGATATATTAAGCAATAGATTAATTCGAAAAGGAACATTAAGAGTGTATAAAGAATTCATATAATGTTCTCACATAAAAAATTAACCATATTTTGAATAATCTATTAATGATGATAATGTTATATATAATGTCAAAAAAGGTTCATATTTAACTATTCTATTTTAAAATGAAAAATATTTTGATTATTGTGGAAATTTCTAAGTTTTAGAAAAGCAATTAACTATAAATGCTTTTAGATTAAATAACAATAAATTTAATATAATAGTTAAGTGGTAGGATGAATAAGAATTACCAGTTTACTTAATTGCTAATCAAAAAATCGGAAAACATATTAATTGTTAAGTTGGTGGTTATTTCACTGGGTGTTCACATATCAAAAGCAAATAAAACAAGAATTGTAAGAATTAGTTAATATTATTAGATTCTTTACTTTAATTTTAAGAATATTTGAATAATGCTATTATATTCTTGTAAGATTATTAAGTAGATAATTATAATTCTTTAGATTTATCTATAAATATATATTATAATGGTGTCTCATATACAAGATATATAAATTATTAAAGATCATAAATCTTAAAAATATTATGCATTGATAATCATGGTGATTTTAAAATTATTTAAGATATTGATAATAATAATTTATACCCAAAGACTTGTTGAATATAATAATTTATATTAGATATATCAATCATTACTAGTAATTACCTTAGATTATTCAAGTTATGATTATTATAAATTTGAATCACCAGGTATGGGTATTACGACAGAATTTTTTTCAGATGGAGCTTTATCTTCTGTATGGAGTTGTTATTATTATTATTATTATTGTTATTGTTATTATTATTATTATTACTATTATGTATTTTATGAATAAGGATTAAATGAGCCTTAAAATTGATTGCCATATTATTCTTATTATTTGTTAGGTTATTAATAAATATTATTATCAAAGGCTTATAAATTGCTAGCCACTTTAGTAGTGTCTTCTGTAGTTTTATAGATAGTGGAAAGAGGTTTTGGAATTTATTATGGTTATTTAATATTATTGATTTGAACTCTTCCTCTTTCGTCAACTACTACTTTTATATTTCGATAGAATTAATCAATTTCTTTTTTAGTTCTAGTTTCTTCTAATTTATAGCCATTGTGAATTTGTTAAGTTAAATCTCTATTATATTTATCTTCTAATTCTCTTTAATAATCTTTTTCAGCATATCCTTTGGGTAGACCATGATCTGAAAAATGTGTATAAAACCTCTATTATTCAATCACTAAATCAATAACAGGTACATGTTCTTATATTTCTTCATCAGTTGGTTCTTTTGGTCTATAAGGAGTAATAAAAGCATCTTTAGGAGTAGGATTAGTTTTTTCATACTTGTAAAGTGTTTAAAAAGGACTTTCTTGTTTTATAGGTATATAATGTTCTTTATCAATATATTCAGGATAGGATTAATTATAATTATAATCAGGTCTCCTTTGTTATGCTAAATAGTCATGATAAGATGGCATAGAGTAATAGTTTTCTGGATATAATGATTTTGGTGGTTATGATAAGTAATTTGATTGATAAGGACGATAATGAGATCTAGTCTTATAGATTTCAGGTCCACTGAACAAATTCATTGAAGGTACAGATGACATGCTATATTAAAATCGTTAAATAATAATATTAATATAATATTTGTATTTATAAAGAATTAGGAACTAAAAGTATTTTAAATAATAATATCAAATCTAAGTAATCAATATATAATTAATTAAGTACTTATTAAATAAAGGGACTAATCAACTCATAAATATAAAATTAATATAATCAATTGTATTTACCAAATGCAAGAGAAACATTGACACCTCCAAATCCAAAAGCATTTTTTAAAGCATATTTTAATGTTCTCTCTGTGGCTTCTTTACAATATTGATTATCTCTAATTATAGGTTTATCAAGATTGATAGTTGGAGGAACAATTTATTCTTATAAGGATTTTATGGTGAAAATAGATTCAATAGCACCAGCTGCTCCAAAAGTATGACCTAGTTAACTTTTATTAGCAACTAAAATAGCTTTAGAATCAGCAATAGCTCTAGCCTCTGCTATATCCCCTCCTTTTGTAGATGTAGCATGACAATTAATGAGATCTACATCATTAATTTTAGCTTCCTTCATTGCTTTTAACATTGCAGCTTTTCCACCTTCTCCATTATCTTAAGGTCTAGTCAAATGAAATGCATCACTACTTTCACCATATCCCAATATCTCAGCATATATTTTAGCTCCTCTTCTCTTTGCTCTCTCATATTCTTCCAATACTAAGATTCCACTTCCTTCTGCTAATAAGAATCCAGACCTGTCTTCATCAAAAGGTCTTGAGGCTCTTGTAGGATCATCATAAATTTTTGTTGACATAGCTTACATTTTGATTGAAGCATATATAGCTGTAGTATTGAAAGTATCTTCTGTTCCTCCAGCTATCATTACATCAGCATCACCATATTTAATTTTTCTAAAAGAATCTCCAATGGCTGATGCTCCTGTTGCACATGCTGTTGATGCTGTACTACTTGGACCTTTAAGTTTATATTTAATGGTTAATAATGCAGTTGGCATATTAGATAATACATAGAGCATTGTAAATGGATTGATTCTACTATTACCTTTCAAGGCTGCATTACTAATAATTTCTGTAATTTTAGTCATGCTTGAATTCATCACTCCAATATTGACACCCTAAAAATGTAAGATGGAATCAAATTACAATTCTATCTGGATCACAATCATTGAGTACACTTGAATCTGTAATGGCTTCTTATGCAGCACACATAGCATAAGAGGTCAAATTACTAGGACAATATTCAACTTAATATGGTTTGCTATCAAATGATTATGGTATAAGTCCCATATAAACATCTGGTAAATCTTTATTTCTATCTTTCACTTTGACAACACCACTTTTTCCTGTAAGTAGACTATTCCATGATTCAGATACATTTAAACCTAATGGAGATACCATTCCCATTCCTGTAACAACTACTCTTCTCATTGAAATATATTGAATATTTTAAATTTATATAAAAAACTTGAAATTAACACTAATGTAGTAGATAGCTCCTGAAGAATAATTAACAGATTAATAGATGATAAATATCTTGTAAGATTGTAAGATGATTTAATTTAATAATATTAAGAGAATTAGATGAGTTAGAATACTACAAATATATAAGCATTTAGATCAAATCAAATAAATGTTTATAAGAATTTACGTAATAGATCTATTTTCAAATTGGCATTTACTATTGTAGAATTATTGCTATTTTTTTTGGCTTTGGGTTTGTTGCCTCCACCTTGTGTAGAAACAACTTTAAATGAATTTTTCATTTTGGCTATAATTGTTAATACAATTGTACTTTTTAAAATAATAATAGGAAGCCTTTAGAATATTATACCTATTATTGATAATATATAATGATTTGATTGAAATATATCAAAATTAAAATGAGAATAGAATACCTTATCCTGAATTTTCGTATTCTAATACTAAATACCTATTAGAAGCTATATCAGATTATCATAGTTCTTACAAGTTTATAAAATATTTAATGATTGTGTATAAATGTGTCCATGATTTGGTAGTTTAGATATAGTTGTATTTATGTTTGGATAAGTATAAATTTATAGTAATTTATATGGAAAATGTAGAATTGGGATTCCTGAATTTAATTTTACTTGGGGTGTGGCAATCACATTTCTAATAATGAGATATATAACTATAGGAATTCCTACTTTATTAGTAGTGATATATATTTTAGTATTACCTATTGCATATTGTATAAATATGAGACATCTTTAAAAAAATAATAGAATTGGAGCTACTTAAGAAAATTTAGAGAAATTAAAGGTTGAAATAGTTGGAATAGATAGAATAAGTGAGGATAATGAATGTGTAATATGTCTATAGGAATTTATTGAAGGAGAAGAGTTCATAAGATTGGATTGTCACAAATATCATGTATTCCATAAGATTTGCATTTCTGATTGGTTAAAGGCTAGATTAGAATGTCCAAAATGTAGACAACCTGTAAGATTTAACTGATAAATTCATAAATTAAAAGTACTATATAAATTTGCATTATATAAAATGAAGATAGTTATTAATAAATTTAAAAATTAAATCAAGTTAAATGGCTTAAGCAGATAGAAAGGCAGTAGTAAAGAATGCAGACATGTCAGAGGAAATGCAATAAGATGCTATCGATTGTGCTAATTAAGCATTAGAGAAATTCAATATTGAAAAAGATATTGCTGTAAATCTAATTCTTAAGATTATAGGCATTCATTAAAAAAGAATTTGATAAAAAGTATAATCCCACATGGCATTGCATAGTTGGTAGAAACTTTGGATCATATGTAACACATGAGACAAAGCATTTCATTTATTTTTATATGGGATAAGTTGCAATACTCTTATTCAAAAGTGGATGATTTGTTTAATATAACATATAGATATATATATATATACATATGTTAATTATCTTTTTATTACTATTATAGTGTCAAGATGATAAAAATAATAAATTAGAATAATCTATATATTTGAATAACTGCAATTTCAATAATCTTCTTCTTCACAATAAATGCCTTCCTTTTTGAGTTCTTCATACAAAGGAGTATTAATCTCTGAAATATTTGGCATATGAACTCCAGTTACCTTGATCACTCCATCCAAAATCAATTAAGTAGCCACAGCAGTTGGAACACCTACTGTAATAGCCATTGCAGATCTAGATAAATATATTAGATATAGAAAAAATACTTTCCATTTCTATGTCCAATCTTAACCATAGTAGACTTTTTGACATAAACTCTTGGATCATTGGGATAAACAATTTTAAAGATGTGTTACATGGCTACTAAATCAGTCTCACCTTATCTATAATTCATAAGAGTTTAAAGATGAGCAGCAAAATTATGGACATGAGTAACATTATTTAAAATCAGATTTTTAGGATCAAATATTCCCATCCACTTCAAAGTATAAGTTATTTATTCTGCATCCTTATATAATTATTCTTCACTTTTATCTTTATAATAATATTAAGAGAACACACGATTAAACACTTTAGTTAATAATGTTTCTAATTGAGCTAACGTAAACACCTTCTAATCAATAGTATTAGCCAATTAAGTAATATGATGATTAGCTAAATAATTAGTTGAACAAGACTCAAACCTTATATTGCTCAATAAATATTCAAACCAACTCATCTCTCTATCAACCTTAATAATCTCCTCTGATGCAAATCCTAAAGACTTCATTGCTGCCATTAATACACAATGTCCTTGATATCTTAATGTTCCTCTTACTAATTTCTAACAATCTTTCAAACCATATAATTCTTAATATGGTAAACTATCTCTATTAGGATATCCTTCCATTTATAATGATGGATTAACATGAATAATTTCAGTTGAATAAAGTAACTCAGATGCTGGAATATATTTTTAAACCCCATTTTCTAAATATTTTGCATCATTATTGATATTCCTTATAGCTGCAAAAGGACTCCATGAAAATTTATAACCAAAAGGATTATCACAGAATTCTGGACTTGGAACACCTCCACACCAAGATTCATATTCAATAATTCTTAATTTTATAATATATATATTTACTTTCCTCCTTTAGCATATACTTCATCTCTCACTTTAACAGTTGCCAAATGATCAATTCCTGGATCTAATCCAATTTCATTCAATATTATTATTCCCTTTTTTTTACATTCTTCTTCCAAAGCTCTAATTTCTGGAAATGTATATTATGATGTAATCATAGATTTTCCTACTTCTGCACATATTTTAGCTATAGGAACAATAAATTATGGTGGAATATAAGCTATTACAATATCTGAATTCTTAACAAATTTTCTTAATTCCTCTGTTTCTGTTACATCTAAATGATGAGCTGAACATCTCTCTTTATTCTATATAACTTTTCTAGCATCTTCTACATGTGCAGAAGCAACAACAACAAAATTCTACAAAATTATTCAAATGATACGTCATTTCTCTTTAATAATTAATCGATGACAGCTTCTGCCATCAAACCACTTCCAATAAGAAGTATCCTTTTTTATTATCCTATTAATTGATTTCTATACAAACTTAACATTTATATATATATATATTAATTTATCAATTATAAAATAAAGTGATCATCTTTTATTGCATAATTTTACTCTAATTATTATTAATACATAAAAATTTAGTAACAAACAATCATTCATAAACAAGATCAATCTTTTTCAATAATATTCTACAAAATTAGGATCTTTGTGTTTTTATTAATTTATATATATATATATGCAAAGTATAAAATAGCTATTAATAGATATACTAGATAATATTGATCAAGTACTATCATTTTCATTTTAGGATGTTGTTGAATCTTATTAATAAATAAATAAATTGACTACCAAAGAGATTTGTGGATAGTCTGAAATATAATAATATGATTACATACTTTAAATTGTAGCTTATTTGAATCGGTTGCTATGTTATTTAATACATTTATAGAATCAAAATACTATTTGAAGAATAATTAGATGAACATATTAATAATGATTATGAATCAATTATCCAAAATCTTGAAGCATCAATACGTTCCCATATAAGAGTTGAACAATAATAGAAATTGCAAATAGAGATTTTTACCTAAAAACTTGAAGAAATAACTCGTGAAAAAGATCTCATCATATAACAACAATAAGATAAAATACTATCATTAGAATAGATTATAAAAGTATCTATCCATTATTTCTAGGACTAAAACAAAAAGCTATAAGAAACTTCCCCTGTAGAAATTATACATAAGAAAACTCCTTCTGCTTTTGATAGGTTGGGTAAATTCGTTCAAAATAAGGTTTAAAAGAATATTCAAAATTCTACTTAGGACACAAATTTCAAGACTTTCTTAAAGGCTTTTCATACTGATGCTGATCGATCTATATCCAAAGGTAGAAGATAACTATCAGCTAAACGAGAACTTGGGTTGCAGAGAATAAATGATGAAACATAATTATATCCAGAATCGAAAATTACTGAAACTGAAAGATAAAGAGAAAATGTGCGACACAAACTTTAAAGATCAGATAAAACCAATGAATTGTAACATCAATCACCTGAAAAATAATTGTACTTGAATAAATATAAAGGATTATCTAAGGTTAATTAATTGAATATTTTTATAGTTTGATATAATAAAATAAGAATAAACAATTTCTAGTTAGAGTTTTGATTAAGTAGGTAAGAATTTAATTGCATTGTAAAAATAAATATCTAATGGTCGCTTAAAAAATACTTAAGGAACTTAATTACTTAAATTTTTATAAAAGAAATGAGTTTATTAAAATAAGATTGATTCACAAATGATTATTCTTAAGAATTTTAAAGCTAAATCTCATACTTTTAAATTATTATAAAATTCTAATATTCTAAAATATAATTGTGTTATTTTTTATAATGATTTGGAAAAAATTGGATGCTCTTTTATCAAAAGCAGAAACTAAAGGTTTTAAGATGGCTAACAAAGCACATGTATATGTTGTGAATGGAATCCTATGTCTTATAGCATATAATGTATACACTGTGTTTAGAGGTTATAATGAATTCTTTTTGGAAGCAAGAGTATAACATTTCAAATACTTTTAGCAAGAAGCAGCTCCAGATCTTGATGATGTTACAGGTGAACCTTAATATCCAATCAATAAGAATATACGCAAGAATTGATTATGACTATTAATTAACATTATTATCATTCTCTTCTTGAAGCTTAAATATATATATATATATATATTTAATCATTGAACAAAGAGAATTTATTAGTTATTATTAATAACCTTAAAAATGTGAGATCTTCATCCATACCTATATAGTATAAGTATATTAAAATGAATGAATAATATTTAAACATAATAAAAATTAATTAAGAATAGCTTAAGCTATTTATTAAAAATGTCTAAAGTTTATGAGAGTGTTAATAACTAAAACTAAATCTAGGAAGCAGAAAAGAACTTTGATTAAGTTTATATGCATGAGAAACCATATACAGGTAAGGCACCTGTTAAAGGTACTTATAAAGACAGTGCAATGACATTAATTAAAGGATATGTAGGATCAGGAATATTGGCAATGCCATTCAGTTTTTATGTTGGAGGTTGGCTTTTATCAATTTTCATCTTCTTAATAAGTGCTTATATGCTAATATTATGTGTTCATTACCTAATTGAAGTAGCAAATGCAGAAAACAAAGAAGATTAAGGTCTCACAGAAGTGGCTGAAGTTACATATGGTGAGAAAGGAAAACAAGTAACAAAAGTCATTTTAATTGCCTATTAATTAGGAAAAGCTGTGGCATATTTGATATTCTTTATCTCCTTCTTTGCCCATATATTTTCTAATGCTGATAGTTAATCTGGAGCAGGTAATTGGATATATCTAATAATGGCATTCTGTATTGTGCTTCCTCTCTCTTTTATTGATAATATGGCTAGATTTGCTAAATTAAGTTTATTTGCTAACACTCTCATCCTTATTGGTTTAGTTTATATAACATGTAAGAATATTTAAATTTATCATATAGTCTATAACTTTTACCAAATATTGGAAGGAGATGGAATCAAAGAGAATGTGATGAATTTGGCACACTTTGAGTAATTTCCAATGATTATTGGAGTAACAGCTTATGGTTTTGGAGTTCTACCTCTTGCTTTTGCAATTAGGGTTACGATGTCAGAACCAACTTAATTCAAGAATGTAAGATAGATCTTTTATTAATTAGCTTTTTAATGTTGTTTCATATTTTAATTTAGGATTATTCCTTACTTTTACATTACTATCAGTTTGGGGGATGGGTAGTAGAATGGAAAGTTAATAAATTATCTTATTTTGTCTTGATAAAAGTCCATTATCTTATATAATCTAAATTTGTTATGCTTTTGGATTGATCTGTTCATACCCTTTATAAGTGTTACCAGCATTTTAATAAATAGAGAGAATTGAAAAATTAAAAAGTTATATAAATCCTGAATTAAAATATTCAAGTTTCCGTAGATTGGCAATTAGATCACTTATTAATTTAATACTTGGATTGATAGGATACTCTATTCCTAAATTTGCTTATTTTGTAAATATACTTGGAGCTATAGGTGGAGCTTCTTTGAATTTTATATTTCCAATATTAATTCATAAAAAATATTTTGAAAAAGATGAATTAAAAAGAAAGAGTAAATTTACTTACTATGGAATTCTAACATTTGGAATCTGTGGAGGTTTATGTTCATTTATATATACTATAGTAAAATTAACAAGTCATTGATTATTATTATTATATGTTATAATTAAAAAAAGAATAATTTCGATAATAAATAAGAAGACAACGTTTAGATGCTCATTTGATGAAAGCAAGACATCATATGTTATCTATTATTTAAACACATAAAAATGAAATAAATATTAATAGAAATGATTCACCATCTAAACCAGATTAAATTTGTATAACCAAAGAAATAGCTGAAATAATTACAACTATTTTTAATCAAAAATTAACAAGTTCAAATTTACAATAATTACAATAGATAGTGGATTTATATGAAACATAGGAATTGGAAAATATTTTTGTACAATTTTTCATAGGACAAAGATTATTATAGGCCTATGAAATAGAATAGGATCTTAATTTAATAACTGATATTCAATATATTATAGGATCCATATCTAAAAAGTCTTCAATTTGTAAAGCAAGACTTTTAGAATTAAATATATTGTAGAGTACACTTAAAGTGTTAACCTTTGAAATAGAATATGATGACTATTGCATGCTATCATTAGTATACTTAATTACTACTTTTGTAGAAGCTGATAATGATGTTTGTTCAGATTAGAATAAATTGCTCTTATTAACAATTATAGAAAAATTTTGTAAGAAATTATACATCATAAATTATCTGGATATGGATATTGAATTTGAACAATCCTTAAATGAAGTTTAACATTCACTTATATCTTAAATACTTTATTTTTTTATTTGTTTCATTTAAAAATCAGAATTCTCTTTTACTATAACAAATTACTTACATATTTGGAAAATAGTTAATTAAACAGCATTCTTATTATAAGATGCCTCATCTTTAAGAATTAATGCATTATAAGTGATTGCTGAAATATCGAAGCAATCAAATAAATAAAAATTGAGTATTCTTTAAAACAGTCCTTAAATATTGTTATAGTTATTAGAGGTTTTGGAACATCATATGACTTATAATACAATAAACAATTGTATTCGTTTAGAAGCATCATTAATCTTGAAAAATCTATTTTCTATTATGAATTGCTAAATAATGAATGATGTTCATTTAAATAAAATACCTATTAATCTCTTAGAGTTAATGAAATTAGAAGGTATATATTATTATAATAATTAATATTTAGAGCATTAAAAAGTACTTTACCATCAAATTGAAGCTTTATACTATATATGTGACTAAAGTTCTTTGGAAGAATGTATTGAAATTTATGATAATGGATTATTAAGTTTTATAGTTTCTAATTTTTAGAATATCAAAGATACACATAATTTTGTTTTATCTAAATCTTTATTAAAATGTAATTAGTATATTTATATTCTTAGTAACTTATGCTATTTTAAAACATAGTTAATATGAGTAAAAACTCAGCGATTATTTTAAATAATATAATCTACAATAATGTCTCAATGAAATAATTATAACTTGTAAAAATTAGAAAATTATAAAAAGAACAATCAAAATCTTAAATTATTTTAATATTTGATAAATAATTTTTATTTAATTAATATTCTTATTATCATACAAAATTAATGAAATTTTATTATGCTATCTTATCCAATCCTCTTTTATATTGATCAAGTTCTTATAAAAAAGGAGGAATATAGATATTTTTTGTAAATATTTATCCAATCTCTCCCAAACGAATACAATCCTTTATTGTTATTTTACCACTATGCAAATGAATAAAATTTAATTTGCCTCTATATTTCAAAATCTTTATTGCTCCAGTCAAATATACTTAATCTTTGTACATTCCTCCTGGTTATGATGTATCTCTCAATCCTCTTTTAACTCTCAAACACTCTCGAAATCTAGCCTCATCATCTTAAATAAAGTATCTTAATTCATGAAACAACTTTACAAAACTCATTTAACTAGCCATTATTGACTTTATAAATTAATTATATATACAGAAATATAATGTAAAGCAGCCATAAATAAATAAGGTTTTCCTTTCTATTTAAGAGCCTATGGAAGTACTTAATTCAAAACAGCCAATCCTTCTTCATGTTTTAAGTATGGTTCCAAATGATATTTAGCTCTTGATCAATTTAAATTATACCTTTTCTTGTACCATTGTTATTATCTATCATTTATTTTTCTAATGAAGTGAGTACCAATCTCATGATTCAGAACTCCTTCAATACGATTTATACGATAATTAATTGGCAACCCTATAATTACTTTACTTTTGCCATCAGTTGGATGATGCACTACACTTGTAGGAGCTATAGTATGATCTTGAAATTCATAAGATATCAAATCTTAGACACCTAGTTTATTAATATAATCATTAAAGAAATGTTCAGTTTCTTCAATTGATAGTAATTTGCCTCCTTCTTATTCAGCATATTTCAAATCTGAACCAAATTCTTTAATACATTGATCAATAATTTTTAATGCAATTACTTCATACTTACGATGAGGTTGATCTGGTCCAAGTTCCTTTGGAATTAAAATAAGATATAAACCTTAACTTCTACATATTCAAACTATGGATTGTAAGCAGCTTTCATGGCAAAAAACATATGTTTCTCATTTTCTAAATTTAAGGGCTTAATGTCTTTCATTTTGGGCTACATAGAGGGTTGGTCTATATACTCTTTTGAATTTCGATTTCTTTTTCTAAGGTGAAATGGAAGATGATGTATTGACTTTAATCTTAGTTTTTTTGCCCACTTGTTTTTTATTAGTCTTGGGAGTCTTCTCTACTTATGATTGTTAAGGTAAAACATGTTTGGACCACTTGGTTATATCAAATTATTCAGATAATAATTGTATCTCATTTGCATCCCTAAACTTAATTATTAAGAGAAATAAATACGGGAGAGAAAAGAACATCCTTATTTTCATTTTCACTGCTACTACTGCTATGACTACTGAAACTACTCTCAAGGTATGTTGATTATTGCATAATAAATTATTTAATCATTATTTTAATTTCTATTTATGTATACTTTTAAATAGTTTTGACCATCTTTTCCTTCCAATAATTGATTATTCATGGAATTTTTATCTTTTGATATTTTAATTCTTATCTTATTTTGAATTATTATTAAATATTCATACAATTTATTAGTTTATTAATTTTAATTTTCATTAGATATAAGCATTTTTAAGAAAGAATAAGCTTATATATTTTATTGAATTAGATCATCATTAAAAATTTATATCATAATTATTATATCATCCATTTATCAAATAGTCTTTATAATCAAATTATTCTTCAGGATAAAATGAAGTAATAACAGTTCTCTTATTATATGTACGTCCAGCTAAATGAAATTTTGCCTTTTTTGCAGGAATTTAATAATAAAACTTAACAAATATTTTTCCAACAGCAGGATTGCAGAAACTATTTTAAATAAATATAAATACCCTGATTCTTTATCAGGTCTGGGAATCTCTATTTTTTCGATTTATCCATAACGCATACATTCAGTCCTTATATCTTCCATCAATTCTTCAAAAATGTCATCTTCATATAAATCCTAAACAGAACACTAAAAAATAATTAATATATTATATACCATATTCAAAAATTAAACAACTTTACTAGGAATCAAGGCTGATTGTGGAATTGTTAACATCTATTACACTTGAGGTATTCTTAATAAATCACAAGAAGCTAAAAATGAACCAGCATAATTGGAAGGTTGATCTTTCCCATTAACTTTTTTATTTTATTAAGTTTCTCCTTATACTTTACAAATCTTTAACTTTTTATCTCCAATTTATAAATTATTCAGTGCCTTAAGTGCCTTAGCTGTAGAAACAGAATTTTCATATTCAAAAAAACAATAACCCTTCGAAATTTCTGTATTTGAAGTAGTATCCTTAACTAAATTGAAATACTTGGTTATTCCAAAGGATTAAATTAATTTCATAACATCTTCATCCCTTAAATAAGTAGGTAATCCACCCAAATATAATCTAGTATTATCCTCTTATTTTTATTCTGGATTAAGCTCTCCATCTCTAGCTTGTGGATTAAGGATTCTCTCCAAAAATTTTCTAGGTCTCTCCACTTTAATTTTACAATTATTAACAAATTAAACTTAATCCTGTGTTACTAAAGCTCTTTTTGCTTCTTTTGAACTACATTCTAAAACAACCCAGGACTTAGTGGCTCCATATTCAATAGATTTGATTGGCCTGTCATCTAATTTCAGGAATTAAAATACTTATTTTAGGATCAAGAGAAGTAATGAGTGTATTAAAATACTCTTCCAATTCTTTTAATTAAACATTAAGAGGAACATTTGAAATAATCATCATAAATGGATTATTTTCATAAATAGCATACTTCTCTTTAATATGTTGAGGAAGGTCTGGATCTTACAAAATTTTAGATTATTTCACTTTATTCTGCCAATCATCATCAAAATCTGTTAAGATTTCCTCTATAAATTTTATTTATTTTCAAATTACCTTCTTCTCCCCATTTCTTTTTCTTTTTATTTTTCTTCTTTTTTTTCTTTTGTTCTGGTTGTTAGACTTGATCTTTCTTATCATTCTTTTCATTATCATCTGATTCTCGTTCTATTGACTCTTTTGGTTATTCCTCCAAATTCATTTAAATTAATTAATTATAAGCCCTAATTCATATCTTTTTTTCCCTCTCAACTTTTAAATAAAATTTATATGAGTAATATCCCACAATCATAACAACCACAACAAGCACCATAAGCACCATAACCATATTATCCATAACCCAGTTATGGATAACCCACTTATGCTTAACCCAGTTATGCTTAACCATATGGGGCTCCTCTTTCACCATTGAGATATTCCTATGCCCCCCCAGTCGTTCAATAGGTTGTCCCTTAAACCTATGTCCCTCAATAAGTTGTTGCTCAACCAGTCGTTGCTCAACAAGTTGTTGCCTAACCAGTTGTTGCTCAATCTGTTGTTGCATAACCAACAATCAAAGGTGAGAGCAGAATTGAATATGTACCATATGAGAAAACAGTGCTTGAATATGAAGAAGTGAGATAAAGAATCTAAGTCCCAAGAGAGAAATATGTTACTGATTATTACGCAGTTGAATATTAAACAGAATATGTACCATAAGTCTTCTAAGAAAAATTTACAGGTATGACATTTAAAAATTTAAATTTCCAGAATATGTTCCTGTAGATAGATATCAAGAAAGAGTTGAGTATTATCCAGTTGAGAGATAAGTTGTTCATCAATAACAAGTCTAATAAGTGGTTGCCTAACCAGTTTAATAAGTTGTTACTCAATCAGTCGTTCAACCAGTCTAATATGCTCCATAATAAGTCTAATATGTTCAACAACCAGTCTAATATGCCCCATAACCAGTCTAATATGCTCCATAACCAGTTTAATATGCCCCAGCTCCACTTTAATAAACAACCTATGTCCCCCCTCCAGTTGCTAGTCTTCCATTAGCCTAAACCTAAGTACCAACTAGAACAGTGCCTTAAGCTAGACCCCAATAACCATTAGACAGAACTTAAGTATGACATAATTTAAATAAAAAAAAAGGCTTAAAATCCAAGACCAAACCCATAACCAACCCAATAACCACAATAGAAATAAAAGAGCTTTTTGGATAGACTCTTTGATAGAGATTGATTATCATAATCGTTTATATAACATATAAGCCATATTTTTCTATATTATTGATGTTCCTCTTTTATGCAACAGTAATATGAATAATCATGCTTTCTTTCTTAAATTTCCAGACAATTGAATTTATGAATTCTTATCGTCCATTTATTACTCATAATCATCAATTGTTTCAAGAGCCTCTCCAAATCCCTTCTCTTATGATTACTCCTTTTCTTGATCTTCCATTTCATAAACTTCTTCACCTTTACCAAATCCTTTCACATTTTTAATCTCTTAAACATCTTCATATACTTCTTCTCCTTTTCCAAATCCTTTAACATTAACCTTCTCACTTTCTTTTCTCTCTTCCTCTTCATAAACATTAAAACCTTTTCCAAATCCATTTATTTTATTTCCCATTTTTCCATCTTTAAGTTCTCTTTCTTCTTCCTCTTTATATATATCAAATCCATCTCCAAATCCTATTGTTTTTTCATCAAACTTCATTACTCAAAATACTTTAATTGAGTTACCATTCTCTAATTCATGCTTTGCATCTAATTCATTTTCAAAGCACTATTATAATTTTTCAGAGTACTCTTACGCTTACAATTCATTATTTTCATCAAGTTATCCTTGCTTTTCCTATATGAAATTCTCGTTAATTCGGTATGCACATAAATTACTAATAAACAAGAAACCAAAAACGATTACGATCATTTTATATTAATAAATGAAAATAAAAAATTATGAAGCACTAGATATTAGTTATTCTAACTAATAAGTATGATCTTTAAAATGGTTTTATTTCATTTGAATATTAGAAATTCAATAAAATCACATTGATTCTTTATTCCTTTTACAGTTCGAAATATCTTATTATTTTGTTAAATTTATCCTCTTAATAAAATCAAAATTTTTATTCAATATTTGGTATTTCTATTAAGAACTAACATACAATAAATTTGAGTGTTAATAATTGAGAACTTTACTATTTTTTACATTATTCAAAATTAGTTTGAAATATATAAACTTTAGTAATCTTTCCATCTTCAATGGATTTAAAATTTAATTTAATTTATCAACTATCATTAATTTAAATGTATTTTAAGTTATATTAATTTAGATTTCATTATTAATATAAATAATATAAATAAATTTAAATAATAATGAATACATGTTAATTTTTAATATAACTAGTTTTATTATCAATAAATAATTTTATATAAAATCAATATTATGTTTGAATTTCTTTTTAATGTAATAATTGTTTTGCTTTAATTTCTCAAATCTTTCAAAATACTATCCTTATGATTATATAAATGATAATGTTGATTTAATATTCTGTCATTTTCAATTAATCAATATCAATAAAATTAATTTAGCATTTTTTATTAAATAAATCCTTATTTTCAAAATAGATTACAAAGACAATAAGTACTTTTTACAAATATTTTCACATATTAATAAAATTTATCAAATTTTCCACTAATCACAAAGTCTGATGTAAATCACAAGCTAAGCTTATCAAACAATCTCTACAATTTTCCAAGAAAATACTTCAGAAATTTAGAATATTGAATTCATTTGTCAAGAATTAAAAACCATCTGTACTGTTTCTTACCAACTTATTTCTCCTAAAATTTAATAGAAATCCATTAGAAAAAAGAAAATAAAGAATAACCTTTAATAAGAGAACAAATATAGTGAATCAAAAAAAGTCACTAATCAAATATAAAATAATTAGACTATCCAAAAATAAAGTATTGATAGTTAAGAAGAATTAGAATCAAAGATAACCCTTATTGATAGTCTCTAATAATAATTATTGTACTTAAAAATGATGATATCAAAAATGTGAATTTGGTAATATCTATATTTGTAATACAGCATTTTAATTATAGTATTATTATACTAATATTCTTTTCGTCTATTTCATTTCCTTTTGTTCATTACGACATAATGCATTAATTTTCTTGATTGAGATAAAAGTAAATTTAGAATTATATAGAAAAATCTTCTCATACCACAAAATAAAATGAATTAACTGATTTAGATTTAATTTTAGTTATAAATAATTTAATGAAAACCATATTACCTAAATACCTAAATTAAGTAAAATTAATGTTAATATAACCTAATTTTTTATGAATACAATTTCAAATGAGCCAACAATTATCTCTAAAAAGTAGAATATTATTTAATTTATACAGAAATAAATAATTGTTATTTAAAATTATTAATTTGGAATTCTTCTCAAAATTAGTTGATTCATATTATGTATAAATAATATATAAAATTGAAATTCCATCTTATTTTACTCATAATATTAATATTTTTTTTGATTATATTCTAAAGTCATTAATATTAATTCATTAAAATTTTTTATTTTTATTAAGTTTAATGCATTTTTTTCCATTTGATAGAATTCCAGGTAAACTCACTACCTACACTATCATTAAATGTTTAGACAATGGAAGTTAAGGATATGTCTATTAAGTAAAAGGTGACGATAATAAATTTTATGCTTTGAAGAGAGTTCTATAAATGAAGATTAGCGAAAAGAATTTCTTAGAAAAGTATTTCTAGAATTAACAGGGTTTTACATCCTTACTAGTCCATTATGAACATTTTAATTACAAAAATAGCTAAATAATTATCCAAGAATATTGTACTGGTGGCAATCTATATTAATTATTATCAAAACAAAATTTATAGTCCTAAGAAATATAAAAAATTTTATCCGATGTATAATTTAATATTGACTTTAAAGATCTGCAGATAACTTTAGGTGTTAAGAGATCAACACTTTTTTCATAGAGATTTGAAGCCAGAAAATATTTTAATTTAAAAGGATTCCATATCAGGTAGAAATCATTATAAAATATGTGATTTTGGAGAAATTAAAGAAATCTAAATTATTGATTCTGCAAATTAATAATAAAAATTTTTCAATTAAACTATAAATGTTGGAACACCATATTATTAAGCCCCAGAAGTAATATAAACATAATCTTATGATTCTTCAGCTGATATTTGGTCTTTAGGAGCCTTAATTTATGAGCTTTATACTTGTTAACCTTTATTTAATGGAAACACCTTAGAAGATATATAATAATAAATAGTATCCGTTAAATAAGATGAAAGCCTCATCTATTCAAAGATAGATTAAATTCAATGTGAAAACAAATTTAAGGAATTGTTAAAATAAATGCTAAGCTACAATGCAAGTAAAAGACCTTCAATATAAGAAATATAAAATATATATAAGATAGAATAAGCAATAGATTTTTAAAAAATTATGGAGTAGTCAAAATTTAAAATCTAATCAGAAAAATAATTTATTTAATAACAAAATTTAAACAAAGAATAAGATGAATCTTAAAAAATTATTTAGAATAATTTTCCATCTGATTTTTCATTCTAGGATATTGCAGAAGTCAAGCAAAATTAGAATTCCCAACAAAAAAACATATAAAATACCTAGTTAAATTTGTAGTTTATTCGTGTAGAATAAAGTTAAGGAAATTAATTATTATTTAATAATAGCTAAATTGCAGATATCAAATAGAAACCTTAAGACTGCTAAAAAATTTAACAAATTTAAGGTATCAACTAAAATTAAACACCATAACAAATTCATCCAAACTTTCCTCAAATGAATTAATAATTCATAGCAAATAATTATCTTGCAGAAAAGAATACTGGTATTTAAAAAAATGATAATGAAATTAAGATGTAGCAAAACAACTTCAATCAATTATAATAAAATAAATAAGAAATACTTAAATAAGGTAACACTTATTTTTTAATTAAGGTTAATTCCAACATAATTTTAATTAAATTAATTAGAGGCCCAATTAAAATGCGTTTTAATTGCCATAAAATTTTATCTTCCCTTAATTTGATTAGGCAGCTGCTAACTCTTAATAAAATTAAAATTTACCTAAACAGGGACAAAAATTTATGTGGAGTAATTACTAATAAGATATTTAAAATAAATAATTTAATAAGGGTCAATAATATTATCAATTTAATTAAGCAGCTGCTTTAAATTGGTAGGGTTAGAATTTAGATATGAAAATTGAAAATAAAGGATATGTAAATGTGTAATAATAACAGTAATAATAATAAAATTAATAACAAAATTAATAATACATTTAATAACAATATTAGTTTCAACAATATTAATTGTTTTAATACCAATAATAATAATAATAATAATAATAATAATAATAATAATAATAATAATAATAATAATAATAATAATAATAATAATAATAATAATAATAATAATAATAATAATAATAATAACAATAATAATAATAGTAATAATAATAATAATAGCAACAATAATAATAATAGCAATAATAATAATAATAGCAATAATAATAATAATAGCAATAATAATAATAATAGCAATAATAATAATAATAGCAATAATAATAATAATAGCAATAATAATAATAATAGCAATAATAATAATAATAGCAATAATAATAATAATAGCAATAATAATAATAATAGCAATAATAATAATAATAGCAATAATAATAATAATAGCAATAATAATAATAATAGCAATAATAATAATAATAGCAATAATAATAATAATAGCAATAATAATAATAATAGCAATAATAATAATAATAGCAATAATAATAATAATAGCAATAATAATAATAATAGCAATAATAATAATAATAGCAATAATAATAATAATAGCAATAATAATAATAATAGCAATAATAATAATAATAGCAATAATAATAATAATAGCAATAATAATAATAATAGCAATAATAATAATAATAGCAATAATAATAATAATAGCAATAATAATAATAATAGCAATAATAATAATAATAGCAATAATAATAATAATAGCAATAATAATAATAATAGCAATAATAATAATAATAGCAATAATAATAATAATAGCAATAATAATAATAATAGCAATAATAATAATAATAGCAATAATAATAATAATAGCAATAATAATAATAATAGCAATAATAATAATAATAGCAATAATATTAATAGCAATAATAATAATAATAGCAATAATAATAATAATAATAATAATAATAATAATAATAATAATAATAATAAATACATGATTAAAATTAATCTATATAATTGAAAAATATAAAACCAATTTTAAAGTAAAATCAGTAAATTTTTGAATCAATTATAGAAATGCCTGCAGAAATAGAATAATCTATAGAAATAAAATCAAATAAAGTAAAAATTTAAATATTAAATTAGATAAATTAAATAAATTAGAGAATCAAATAAACATTTAATATTCCTGCAGAGATTATCGAAATCTAGAATGAAGAAGATTTAAAGAAACCAGAATATGCACAGAGAATTAGAGATTATTTAATTAAATAATATCAGTAGATTAAATAAATGAAAGATCCTAATCAATACGAAGTTAAACTTCCAAATTAAAAATTGAACACTGAGTACTATAATTATTGATAAGCAGATATATATTTAGAAATGATTACTTTTATACTTGTTTAAGTTTCGATAACTTCTATTTTCTAATTTAATAAACATTTTTTAAAAGTGAATTGAATTTTTTCTGCAATTTAAGAGTTCATTTATTCAAACTGTCATAATTTTGATCTTTTGGTGTATTTATTTAATAGAAAGAAAATGTTAGTATGAATGTTATTGGAAGGAATTGATTTAATTAGAAAAGTACAAATCATAATCTTCTTTAAAGAAATAATTTCATAAAATATAAATTATAAGTGAAGTATTCTTTTGGAAAGGAAAGGAGAAGTATCCTTTTGCAAAATATCTATTAAATTAATGTAAATTTAATCGTTTGAAATATTTATTGCTTAATACAGATATTAATATTAGTTTAAGTACTAGTCATAATTTAAAATATGTATAATAAAACATTAAATATCGTAAATTATTTTTTAAATATCATTGTCTTAAAATATATGTTTGAATAACTTTTTAATTAATAATTTAATTAAAATGTATTATTAAGCATAGCCTCCAATGATGCCGCTTGCACATATGATGAACAACCCAGTTTAAATGCAATAGGCAACAAATATAAGAAAACCTGACTTTCCACCTGATGTAAGATAGCATGATTACAATTAGATGCAACCAATTTTTGTGATTCCTTAAATAGCGCACATTAAATCTTAGCCAAAACCAAAATGCAGACCTTATGACCCAATTTTAGGGTTAGGTAGAAAGGCTGAGTGGATGATTGATAAATTTGAAGATGAATATGAGCAAATGTAAAGAGAAGAAAAAGAGAAGGGTAATTTTATATTAATAACAAAATAGATATTGTAAAACCATCTAGATTACCTCCAAAGATATTAAAGAGATTAGAAAAGAAGCATCTTCACAATGAAGAATTAAAGAAGCTACTTTAATTATGGAATCCATTTGAAGATCCTAATATCACATCTGAACCTTATAAAACACTATTTGTGAGTAGATTGAATTATGCCACAACTGATAAAAAATTGCGTAAGGAATTTGAAGAATATGGACCAATCAAATCAATAAGAATCATACGTGATTCTACATAAGATAAGCCTAGAGGCTATGCATTCATTGGTAAGGGGGTGATCTTAAATTAAAAGAGTATGAGAGCAAGAACAGTGTTAAATAAGCTTATAAATATGCAGTAGATAAGCGTATTGATGGAAGAAAGTTAGTAGTTGACATCGAAAGAGGTAGAACAATTCTGAAATGGAGACCCCGTAGACTTGGAGGTGGTCTAGGGGAATTGAGAAGATCAAGAAGTGAAGAAATATCTAAAAAACCTAAAGAAGAACATGTAGAGAAAGATGAGGAGGACAAAAGAAGAAAATCAAAGAAAGGTATTAAATTTTCTAATTATTTTTTTTAGAAGAAGTAAAACCATCCAAGAAACCTAGAGAGAGATCTCGATCAAAGTCTGTCAAAAAACATAAGAAGAGAGAAGAAAGTCCAATTAAAAAATAAAAAAGAAGAGAAAAATCAAAAAAAAGATATAAATGAGTTGATAATGAATTAAAACTTAATAAAAAGGTAAAATGTTTATAATGGTAAGTATTCTTGTTTGAAATAATCTTGGTTCTCTTATATTATACCATAATTTAAATTCAATCTTTATAAATCTTAATCTCAATTAAATTATCAAATAATTTTTTGTTTATTATTAAGTATTAAAGGTTTTATTATATTGAATAAATCATTAGAAAATATGAATAATCTCAATTACAAAATTCACAACCTCCAGGAGGTGCTTAATTTTCTTTTTCATAAATTTATGACCAAGATTCTTATATTGAATAACCTATAGTGCATCCTATTATAACAGCAACATTAACCCATCCATTCATTGTCATAATTAATTACATAACCATAATACCTGAAAGTGCATAAATCAAATACCAACAGATATCAACAATTACACTTATATTAACAATTTATTTTTTACTTTTTTGGTAATATTAATTTAAAAGTGTAGAGATTCATATGAAGCATACAATAAAACATTACAATAAGACATCCAAAGAAGAACAATCCTGTTTCATCAGCAGTTGTAGACCATCTTATGTTAATCATTTTTTAATACCCCTTAAATACAAATTCACAGTTAACTCTAAAGTGAACAACCATACCATTATTGATAGCCATTTTTATATATTATATTAATTAAAAAAATATGAATTTTACATTGAACTCTTCATTAGAATTACTATTCTCTTAATCTTATATTAAATAAATTTAATTTAGATTCAATTAATAGAGAGATCAACAATAACGTTTATTTAGAGATCTACTTTTTATTTAAATACAAAATAATAAGATAAATTAATATTCAAATCTAATTATGATAAGCAGATATGGATATATTTATTTTCCAATTTAAAAGTAAGGACAAAGTTTGATAGATACTGTTTTAATTATTTCAGATAAATATAATATTTTATTTAATCATTAGATATAAATAAATATTCCTTAAATAACATCATGATTCTTCAAAACCTTCTTCAAATTTACTAGGAGTTGCAAATGACTCTCTTTTTGGTTTCAAATCTTCCTCCTATCCTTCTGCTTATTTTTTTATCCATTCCCATGTTTTTACAAAGCGTTCAGGAGGTTTAGGATCCTAATTTAATTTTCTGATAGCTTTTTCTCTTCTCAATTTACCTCCATATTTAATAAATTCTTAAGACCAATGTTTTATTGCTTATTGTACTTCAACTACACTAACAGGATCCTTCCACCAAGATATTACTTTTGTGGCACCATTTTCTTAAACATAGCTTAGGAAATGATAATAATTGATAAGCATTTTTAATAGATCTTCTTAAAAATCAATTTTATGATCAATTAAGTCTTAGACTTGCTTTTATATTTACATTTTAAGAAAGTTTGATTATTCAGAAAAATCCTTAACCATGAATGAAATTGATATGGAGAGTATTTGTAAGATAACTTCATCACATGTTTATAAGTTTGGATTCTCTAGAGAGAAATTATGACTTATACTAAGTTTGTAATTGGTTTCTTAATTAATAAGAGTTTCAATTTCTATTTGTGGGTCGACAGTTATTTCTTCTTGAATCACAGGTGATGGAAGGACTTTAATGCTTTGATTTGGGCAGAATCCTCCCATTTATTTATTTATTTTTTTATTATAAGATGAATTAAAACCATCAAATTCTTCGAAATTTATATAGATATTAAAGTTCCAAGTAATACTATAATGTTTAATTTGAATATTACACATATAAAGAAGTTATATTTACATTCCATTTTTTTTAATTTAGTAGTTTTAACTTCAATAATATTTTAAATATTTTGTTTTTAGTTGTTTTAATTAATGTGTTATACTAGAAAATAAATATAATAGTATATATATAAGTATGGATGATAGTTTATTTGAATGATTAAAATAATATCATTTAGTAATTCATCAAAGAAGATACTAAAACATTATTAATTTTAATATAGAATAAGAATTTGCTAAGTTTCACTGATGATTTACATTATTTTGTATATAGTTATAATAACATTTTTTATGGTATAATCTAATATTTATCAATTGATAAAATGAGGATCATATAGAGGATGTTAGAGTTTAAGTTTTGATTAATTTATAATATATGACAGTCAAATAAATCTTAATAATTTTTTGTATAAATCACAAAACAGAAATTCAATAATTTAATTCCTAATAATTACTTGATTATCTTCATGTCTCATAATGGAGATGAAGTTGAATAAGTGATAAAAACTAATAGTCATGAGCCTCCTCAAACACGATCAATTAGTAAAAAAGAAAGAGGTGATGTGGAGAGAGTTGTTTCAAAAATCAACAACCAAAATAGAATTGTCAAAAAGAGAATGAAACGAAAGCGACTTTATTCTAAGGCAAAAAGACCAGGAATACATAGAAGAATCCGTATTCCTGCATCTGAATCCTTTACTCCAACTGAAGATAGATTAATTCTTTCTTCTGTATTAAAATTAGGTCCCAAATTCAAAGTTATTTCCACTTACTTTCCATAAAAATCACTCAGTACTGTAAAGAATAGATACTATAAATTTCTCAGATATCGATGGACATAAATAATGGGAAAGTAAAGATTTCATTCAATATTTTAGAGATTACGATACATTATATAAAGAAAGTCTATTATCAAGCACATAAGGAGAAGAGATAATAGAGACAGTTTAATTATTTCCAGAAGTAAAAGATATTTTAAAGAATATGATTTCAAATATAAAATCTTTAATATTATAATGAATCTTATCATTTTCACATAATTATATAAATTATGTGACAAATGTTTATATAAAAATAGTTTAAATTGTAAATCTCTTCTAAATTAAAATCTTAAAGTATTTCCTCCAAAATGTGATCAATTTGTTGAATAAATAATAAAAACTGTTTCTAAGAGTGAAAAAATAATATAAAGGAAGTTACTATTAAATTATTTGACTTAAAAACAAAAAATTATATTAAAAAAAAGTATAGTTGATAAGTATTAAAGCGTATTGATGATGAAAAAAAAAAGTTTTATATAAAATTGTAAGTAACCGTTATTTGAAAGCCTGAATTTCATAATGATTCCCATTTATTTTGTATTTTATGTAAGAAATTTGAAAATAGAAAATGTTTTAGTATATATTCTAACGATATTAGGATAGGTTTAGATAATCTAATGAGATTCTGTATAAAAAGTCTAAGTGAAAATAAATTAAGGTTAAATTGAAATAAAAATAAAGTGAAGAAATTTTATAATTGTCAATTTCCTCTACAATTAAGATCAGTTTTTCATTTATAGATGATTTAAATATTTTGATTTGAATATATTAATCTTTATTAAATTATCATCATATTCTCTTTTATATGGAGGCAGCTCTAGAAATAAAATAATTAAACTTACGGATTATGATTATATCAATAAAAAATGAAAATTGGAATCATTTTAAAATACAATAATAATATATTATCTTTTATCATCTCAGTCAAAATAATAAGAATTCTACCTTAAGATTATCATACAAAAATTAAATTATTTATAGAAATAAAGAGCAAATTATCATTATTTTTATAGTAATAAAGTTTAAAGAATTCTATAATAATAATCTAAGAATTTCAAGATAGATTAAATAAATTAAAATTTATTTAATTATGTAATTAAATAATATTTGCCATTAAATTTAGTAAATCAGAAGAAAATTTAATTTAAATTATATATTAGTTGTTCATTGCAAAGAATTTTATATTAAGGATGGATCTCTTAACATACTTATAAAGCCCATTTTAGAATAATTTCTTATTGAATAAATTTAGTGATGTAATAGATGAGAACTTAATTTTAATTAGAATATAAATTTATGTTATTTTTTCTAATATGCTTAGCAAATGCTGTAGATTTAAGATTCAAATTACCAGCACGATAAATAAGATGTTTTGGTGATAGACTATAAGAAAAGGAGATGATTTAAGGATTTGTAGAAGGAGAGTCAGCTGATTATAGTCTAAAAATTACTGATACAGGTGTGAATAAGTAGTTGTTGTACACGTATCATGAATTAACACAAAAGTTTACACAACTTTTTAATGAGACAACATAGATCCAAATATGTATACATAATTTAGCTCACTACTAAATGAATATTTAGTTTTTCTATGAGTAAGGTATACAAGCAGAATTAGCATCAATAGAAGATTTGAAGGAAGTAGAAAAGTAAGTGAAATAATATAATAATACTTTGCAACATTTAAAGGTATAAATTTGAAATTGATAAATAGTCTGCTCAATTAGATTTGGTATCATTGTAAACAAATAGGAATGATAAGATGAATGTAATTTCTAGCAAAATAATATTTTTTTCAATAATAACTATTTTATTGATGATTATTGTCACCATAATTTTTACAATAAAAGCAGCAAAAATAATGAAAATGAAGAAATCTTATTGATCATGTTAAATAATCACTTTTTATTACATATTTAATATAAATATATATATAAATTTATATTCACTCAAATAATATTAATAATTATCAACATAATTATTATATTTAGAAATTAAGCATAACCTGTACAAGATGTACAACCATCATTTATCCACATATATCCTCCATTTGTATTCTCAAAACACTATTGTTATGGTAAATCATCTGAACTTTAGACACTTTAACACTTATCTTCTGTCCAAATGCAAACTGAAATTTAAGAGTAATCATAATTTGGAATATACTTACAAGTTTCTTAAATAGTGAAAGTGGTACAATCTCTTATTTTACATATTCCATTTTCCCAAATACAAGCATAAATATCACACATTTCTTACCAATCTTTAGCATTTTCACAACTATTAATATTCATAATGGCTAAACATTAATTAGTTGATTATTTCCATCCACACTTTACATTATTTGATTATTAAGAGTTATTGCATATAGTTTTTGATGTTAATATTCCACATTCTACATTCACTTTATCTTTACATTAGTATAGACCATTAATTGGTGTAAATGATGATTCACATTAATTAGAACCTTTTGTATAACATAAATTAGGTTCTGATACAGAAAACTCTGAACAACTTTTAAATTATATACATTTTTCTGAAGATGCCCAACCACAATCATTTCTTTAATCACAACTCTTTTAAGTGCTATAATCACTACAACTTAAAATATAATCTATGCATTTTTCATCTTACCATTAACAATCTCCATAACATTTATCTTATTTTTTATTTTAACATGTATCATCCAAACATTGTCCATCCCAATAACAATTTATTAATTCACATTATTTTTATTCTTAAATATCAGAGCATAAACATTTTTATTGGGTTTGAATTACAATTTATCCCATTATTTGAATTGTTAAGATACATAAAATCACGTTAATTTACTTCATTAAAGTTATTAATAGATTTTATAATCATGAAAATAAAAATAAAATTAGATCTTTTTGTTTTTTTATGTATTTTATACATTAGTTTCTTTAAATTTAAAATATAATTATATAATAAATATATTATTCATAATGTTTTAAGGATACTGATTGATTGTTAATCTAATAGATCTATTGGTATATTACTTAAAGATAATCTCATTAATTATATTTGTTATTATTTCATTTTTATACAATATATAAAAGAACAAGCTGCTATTATGATTTCTATAAATAAGGCACTAGTAAAATAAGCTTAAACTTCATTATCATTTTGATTAATAACATTATAAGTTTTTACAAGCATTTCTTCTTAGAATTTTAAGAATGCTTTTTTTGTATTTAGAAAATGTCTTGAAAATAACACAATAAATTCATGTGAATTTACAACACTTATTTAAGCTTTTATATTTGGATCTAATTTTAAATTTTCTAATTCATAATTAAAATTACTTTTAATATATTTACTTAAACTTGAATATATTCCAGAAATACCTTCACTAACAAAATATTTATTTTAATCTCTTTAATCATTTGAATTTGGACAAACTATTGAACATATATCATTAAAAAACAGTTGATACAAAGTTGAATTATTTTATCTAGTAACAGAATTATCATTAACTAATCCTTTAAGTATTAATTCTTCTGATTTTACAAAATCTTAATATAAAATAGAATAAAATGTTAAATTAGTAGTTCTAATACTTACAAGTTTTTAATCAACTAAACTTTTTTAAACTGTTATTGATTCATTAATTTTATTATTTTACATATAGAGTCTTTAACATTTCACTCTAACAGATTATGTAATCATAGAATCCATAGTAACTGAAAATTAAAAAAATTCTGACATCAATTCATATTAGGGAGTTAATTCTGTTTACTATATTTTATTAAAATAATATCCACCAATACAAAAACTAATTATGAGTAATTGGACAGATATAATCATACTTAGAATAGATAGTAGTGAAAATTTACTTTAAGCAATTCTTGAACATAGAAGAGTATGTTTACTGATTTTTGATTATATTTACATTTGATCAGATTTTATCTATTGAAACATTAAATGTACATAATCTGCCTTTTTCCAATTTGTTATTGTATGTTCAATTAAAATCTCTCTTATTAATTACAATCTTTAAACTATTAGATGAACATCCTTTTCTAAAATTCTACAATTTAAGTATATAATCTTCTTAAAATAATTAAAGATTTAATGAAAATATATAATCTATATCCAAAATAAAAAGATTATAATAAAAAGTGCAACTAAAAGAAATTTAAAGAAATTATTTTCATCATAAATCATGTCTTCAAAAAAAGTTTGTACTATCAATTAAACTAAATTTGAATATAAGGATATACTTTCTTATAAATTAGCATATAAATATAAAGATGAAATAATCTCTGATTCATTCATTTAATATTAAGTAAAATTTTATCCTTTTTATGTGAAATATTATAATTTCTCAATTAACACACTATACATATATGTGAATGATACATTCAATTAATCTGCAGTATTTATGAATTTAATATTTAAAGTAGGAAAATAGTCTAGTTTCTCTATTTCTAAAAAGACAGGATAATATTTGCTTAGATCTTGAAGTAGTGTATTATTTTTATTGATTGTTTCTATGTCATGTATTAATTCTTGACTATAATTAACAATTTAGAGTTTTTGCAATTCAAATATCATATTATGTACATATAATTAACAATAATAAGAATTATATAGATATGGAGCCATTATAGCATCAATCTATTAAATAGCATGAATATTGTTATTATGAATTGTAATTATTGGATATATATTAAAGACTAATATTGAAGATATAATCATTATATCAAAGATTATAATCATTTTAAGTGAATAAGGAATTTTGTTGGATTTGTATACACTTTTAACAAGATCTTATTTGTAATTAATTAAGTTAGAAGCTATAGAATTAACAGAATTAACAGCATCCATTTCATTGATATCTTATTTACGTTTTTCTTAGATTTAATCTATTATATTTTTTCTTTTGGTTATTTTTTCTGAACTTTTATGTTCCTCCTTTTATTTCTCATTGATCATAAATTACTTCTAACTAAATCTTTTATTAGATTTGATAATTTTCATTTCTTCTTCTATACTCTTCAAATCTTCATTTAAACTCTTTTATTTGATCACTTAAAATACAGCTTTTTAGAATTATGGTTTAATATATTATTTCTATTTATTGTTAATATTAGTCTATTCATTTTAATACTATCCAAATCTACCTTCAATAAATGATATTTCAGGATTTAATTATAAAGGATGATCAAATTATTACAAATCATTTTATTTAACCTTCTGAAAACTTTCCTCTTAAATTGAACTTAAGTCAACTGGATCTGGTTCAAATACATCATTAGTTTTTATTTCTATGTCTGATGAATACTCTAGACTTGATTATAAATCTGCTTTGAATATATCCAATATTTCTAAAGTAAACATTGGCATAGTTTTATAATGTCCAATTATCTAATAATAAAGTTAACATATAATTTCAAAATTAATAGTTTTCAATTAATTATTTATGGATTGTTTACAAGAATCTTAATATTCTTGAAGAAACATCTCAGTTTTATGATTTTTAGTATCTTCATAAAGAGTCCATAGATTATCATAATATCCTTTATGTCTAGATAAATTAATTGGTTTATCAAATTACTATTTAATTGGATTACCAATCATTAATAAAATTCTTTCTTCATAAGGGATATTATCAAATTCAGTATTAGTATGATTATTAACCAAATAAAAAATATTGGGAATTATCTAAAATATATATCCAGTATTCAATAATTCTGGTGTGATGGTTGAATCTATGGAATGAAATACCTTATATAATAATTAAGTGACTCCTAATATTTTACCTTTACAATCAAATAGTATATATAAAGATGTTTCTTTATTTTTAGCAAATGCAGCAGTAATGACATAATCATCATAGGTAATAAAGAAGTTATCAATAGTGATGCTGGCTGGAATGAGTAGATCATATTTATCTTTGAGAAAGATAGTTCTACATTTTCCAAAAAGAATGCTATGACCTATAATTTAAAATCTTTCTATATATTAATCATGGACAGATGCACAAAAATTGGGCATCAATTAATTAATATGTTTAATATCATAGAAATCTAATTCATTTTCATATCCCCAAAACTTTGCCAATTAATCACTATTAGTCTTAATAATATAACCTTATGCTTTAACAATACTAGTGTACAATAAAACAACTTTATTTTCCAAGATACTACAATTTAATAGTTTACCATCTTATTGTGTTTCTGATCTAAGCATTTCAATAATCAGTTTTTACATTTTTGTAGCTTAAACTTAATCATTTCTAACAACACAAAAATAAATTTCTAACATTTTTAATTCTATAACAGTTTTAACATTTTAAATTTCATCTAAATCTTAAGAGAATAGATTTGATAAAAAGATATTAAAATCATTCATAATTTGACTACATTTGATTGTATGTTCAAAGAGTCTTTCATAATTAGAAAGATCTGATAATAATTTATTCCAAAATTCAAGTTTTTTATTTAAAACTTCTATAATTTTTGGATAAAATTAATCTTTCATTAAACATGCAACATATATATCCTTAGTTTTTAGATCTTTTTCATCATAATATTGAGTAGATCGTATTTATTTAGTAATTCTATTTTATACATCTCTTACTCTTTTCCATAATTTTTTATCTATGTTTGGAAAACATATTTAAAAATAGATTGTATGATCATCTATAGCATTATAATATAATTTTAATCTACAAAATGCTGTTAATGCAGCTTTTTATAAAGATAAGAAATTAATCAAAGCTAATTCTAAAATCTCATAATCTAATTTGATTTATTTATTTTTAATGATTGAATTTTCAAGTATACAAATAATAGTTTCAATTACATTATTATCATGTTTAAATTTACAATTTTATTTATGTTAATTAATTAATATTGTCTTTTAAAAATTTGATGACATATATAATGATTAACATTAAACCAAAACAAAATACTAATCAAATGTCTATTTTCTAGAACACTTTTCTATAATTATTTAAGACAATGCAATAGAAAATGTACCATATAAAAAATATGAATAAAATAAATTATTCTCTGATTATTAAATAATTGATATTGTTGTTATTAAAATTAGAGTATATTATAGTATTGAACTTTGAAATACAAATGAATTAAGCATAGGTTTATAAGGATGAAATGTATAGACATCAACTATTTAAATAATTGTTGAAAAATGAAGTAATATCAATCTAATCAAATAAAATTAGAAATTCATGTAACAAAGAGTATCAATAGCTATAGAAACAAGAGTAAGATTAGTATATTTTCTTATAAATGGATTGTTATGTAAGAATTTAGTTGCTCTATTAAAGTATAAATTTATAAAAGATTAAAGTAGCAATAAAAATATAGCTATAATTGAAAGTGTTGGATCAGATTCAAAATCTATAAGAATTGAAACTTAAGGCATAAAAAAGATATGCCAAGTTACATTATTATAATAGTACATCAATTTTATTCGCATAAAACTCATCAGCAAACAACAACCATTCAATATTATTAGTATTATTTTGAGTATTAATGCATTCTATTAAAATATAGTTGATAAAATTTATTAAGGTATTTTGATCTTAAAATCTTCATATTTCCATATTCCCCATCCATCTTCAGGTAATAAATAATGAAGACGAAACATAAATTAAAATATTATGGTGGCTCTAAATAAATTCTCTGTCAATTCTACTTTTGGTGCTGTTGTCATTAAGTCTAAATATAGACCCATCAATTATTATATTTTCTACACAAACTTTTCTATCAATGATCCCCTAATATTTAATATACTATACTTACTCATTTTCTTATTTTCTTTATTATTATAATTATAATGATTCGTTGTTTTAATCATGGTAAGATGTCAACCATGGTATGCACTACAAAAGGATGTCAACATAAAACCTTATGTTCAGATTGTATAGTCACTCATCCTAAAAATCATTTGGCGGCAATCCTACCATTAAGAGATTTCGATCCTTCTAGTTATTCAGTACCAAAAACTATAGCCAGTATAGATATTCATTCTAATAATAGAGGATTTAAGCATTGTTAGATAAAGAATGTCAATGTTATAGAATCATTTGATATAAACTAGAGAAATTCGAAAATCTGAATGTAAAAGATTATAAAAACATATTGTCAATTACTTTACAGATGAATTAGATTGTATATTTAAACATTTATTAAATAGCTTTTATTAAAACTGTTATTCTTTAAATTGAATAATTTTACAATGAAAAACATACAAAAATTGCAGAAGTTACTTAAAATTGTGAAGAACATATTAATAAATTGAATTCAATTATTAATGGAGAAGTAGATGATTCTAGAAAATTTGATTTCTTATTAGATTTATAAGAAAAATTATTACAAGTTATTGTACNTAGAAATTCATGTAACAAAGAGTATCAATAGCTATAGAAACAAGAGTAAGATTAGTATATTTTCTTATAAATGGATTGTTATGTAAGAATTTAGTTGCTCTATTAAAGTATAAATTTATAAAAGATTAAAGTAGCAATAAAAATATAGCTATAATTGAAAGTGTTGGATCAGATTCAAAATCTATAAGAATTGAAACTTAAGGCATAAAAAAGATATGCCAAGTTACATTATTATAATAGTACATCAATTTTATTCGCATAAAACTCATCAGCAAACAACAACCATTCAATATTATTAGTATTATTTTGAGTATTAATGCATTCTATTAAAATATAGTTGATAAAATTTATTAAGGTATTTTGATCTTAAAATCTTCATATTTCCATATTCCCCATCCATCTTCAGGTAATAAATAATGAAGACGAAACATAAATTAAAATATTATGGTGGCTCTAAATAAATTCTCTGTCAATTCTACTTTTGGTGCTGTTGTCATTAAGTCTAAATATAGACCCATCAATTATTATATTTTCTACACAAACTTTTCTATCAATGATCCCCTAATATTTAATATACTATACTTACTCATTTTCTTATTTTCTTTATTATTATAATTATAATGATTCGTTGTTTTAATCATGGTAAGATGTCAACCATGGTATGCACTACAAAAGGATGTCAACATAAAACCTTATGTTCAGATTGTATAGTCACTCATCCTAAAAATCATTTGGCGGCAATCCTACCATTAAGAGATTTCGATCCTTCTAGTTATTCAGTACCAAAAACTATAGCCAGTATAGATATTCATTCTAATAATAGAGGATTTAAGCATTGTTAGATAAAGAATGTCAATGTTATAGAATCATTTGATATAAACTAGAGAAATTCGAAAATCTGAATGTAAAAGATTATAAAAACATATTGTCAATTACTTTACAGATGAATTAGATTGTATATTTAAACATTTATTAAATAGCTTTTATTAAAACTGTTATTCTTTAAATTGAATAATTTTACAATGAAAAACATACAAAAATTGCAGAAGTTACTTAAAATTGTGAAGAACATATTAATAAATTGAATTCAATTATTAATGGAGAAGTAGATGATTCTAGAAAATTTGATTTCTTATTAGATTTATAAGAAAAATTATTACAAGTTATTGTACCTACACTTACAAAATAAGCAGAAGACTTAAGCAGATCAAGTATAAGTAGTGATATTTTAATAAATTAAAATTTTGAAAAAGCTATATCAGTAGTAATAGAAAAGGCCTTTGTTGTCAGTAACATATTAAATACTGAAAAGAAACCTGTTGTAATGGATGAACCTGAATATGATTCTTTGACTATTTTTAAAGTCAATCTTAAAAATTAATAAAAGAATCTAGACTTTTATAAGTCTGCCATTCAACCATATTTACATACTGATTTACTTGGAAAAGAATATAAAGTTCCTTAAAGTTCAGATTTTATACCAAAGTATTACATTAGATTTAATAAAGAACAGTTCCAAAAGATACACCTTAATTGAATGGATTACCCTTTGAAATATTTATTAGCTAATAGAAACATTTGAATACTGTTGTTTAAGGTCATTTAGACATAGTTACTGCTGTTTGTGTTTTAAATTTAAATTAAATTGCATCAGCTGGTGGTGAGGGTATACTGAAATTTTGGGATATAGATTCATAAATATGTTTAGGAACAATTGAAGCTCATAAAGGAGAAATTTGGTGTTTATGTGCAATAACAGATGATTTTAATTAAGATATAGCTGAGAAATTGGTATCAGGAGGTAATGATAGATTGATACATATATGGAATGTTTAATATATGACATTAGAATTTACTTTGGTTGGTCATTTAGATATTGTGAAAAGTTTGTGTTATCTAAGAAAGTTTTAATATATTTGTTCTGGAGGTGGAGATTATAGAATTAAGATATGGAATAGAGATAAATGTTTTTATACAATAGAAGATGCTCATAAAAAGATAGTTAGAACAATTATTTAATTAGATGATGATAATTTTGCATCTGGAGGTGATTGTTTCATTAAAATATGGAGTGCATTTAAAGGATAATTAAAATATGAATTAGCTCATGGTGATGATGTTTATTGTTTAAAAGAATTACCAAATTAAATGTTGGCTAGTGGAGGAGCAGATAGAATAATTATTATTTGGAATTTAAGGGGAGGTTTTAAGGCTCATAAATTATAAGCTCATAATGAAACAATTACTTGTTTAGGATTTCATAAATATTTATTTAGTGCAGGATTAGACAAGACATTAAGAGTATGGGAAATAAAGGATTAAGCTACACTTGTAAAAAGCATTAAAGTCCATACTGAATAAATTAGTTGCATAGCTGTTAATCAATATAGAGAATTAATAATAACTGGTAGTTGGGATAAAAGAGTAAGAATAGTATCTTTAGAATATGTTATTTAGAGAAAATGATTATATAGATTAATTAATTATTAAATTCATCTAATATATTTAAATAATAATTTTAATATATTTAATTTCATAATATTATGTAAATAATAACACAATTGATATTAANTTCTTTGACTATTTTTAAAGTCAATCTTAAAAATTAATAAAAGAATCTAGACTTTTATAAGTCTGCCATTCAACCATATTTACATACTGATTTACTTGGAAAAGAATATAAAGTTCCTTAAAGTTCAGATTTTATACCAAAGTATTACATTAGATTTAATAAAGAACAGTTCCAAAAGATACACCTTAATTGAATGGATTACCCTTTGAAATATTTATTAGCTAATAGAAACATTTGAATACTGTTGTTTAAGGTCATTTAGACATAGTTACTGCTGTTTGTGTTTTAAATTTAAATTAAATTGCATCAGCTGGTGGTGAGGGTATACTGAAATTTTGGGATATAGATTCATAAATATGTTTAGGAACAATTGAAGCTCATAAAGGAGAAATTTGGTGTTTATGTGCAATAACAGATGATTTTAATTAAGATATAGCTGAGAAATTGGTATCAGGAGGTAATGATAGATTGATACATATATGGAATGTTTAATATATGACATTAGAATTTACTTTGGTTGGTCATTTAGATATTGTGAAAAGTTTGTGTTATCTAAGAAAGTTTTAATATATTTGTTCTGGAGGTGGAGATTATAGAATTAAGATATGGAATAGAGATAAATGTTTTTATACAATAGAAGATGCTCATAAAAAGATAGTTAGAACAATTATTTAATTAGATGATGATAATTTTGCATCTGGAGGTGATTGTTTCATTAAAATATGGAGTGCATTTAAAGGATAATTAAAATATGAATTAGCTCATGGTGATGATGTTTATTGTTTAAAAGAATTACCAAATTAAATGTTGGCTAGTGGAGGAGCAGATAGAATAATTATTATTTGGAATTTAAGGGGAGGTTTTAAGGCTCATAAATTATAAGCTCATAATGAAACAATTACTTGTTTAGGATTTCATAAATATTTATTTAGTGCAGGATTAGACAAGACATTAAGAGTATGGGAAATAAAGGATTAAGCTACACTTGTAAAAAGCATTAAAGTCCATACTGAATAAATTAGTTGCATAGCTGTTAATCAATATAGAGAATTAATAATAACTGGTAGTTGGGATAAAAGAGTAAGAATAGTATCTTTAGAATATGTTATTTAGAGAAAATGATTATATAGATTAATTAATTATTAAATTCATCTAATATATTTAAATAATAATTTTAATATATTTAATTTCATAATATTATGTAAATAATAACACAATTGATATTAAGAGTAAATGATAGTATTAAAGATAAATCATATTTATATTGATAATATTATTTAGAAGAAATAGATTTATTATAATAATTTATAATGATATTCAATCCTTAAAGCAAAATAAAAATATTCTTGTCTATATTTGCATATATCTATAAAAGATATCGTTTAATGATAGCTTATAATTACTATTTAAAGTTTGAAATAAAAGATGTAATTATATCATTAAATATAAAGTCATTATTCCCTAAAAATATATTATGCTTATAATTAATTAAAAAGTAACATTTTAATTGTCAATATCTTTTATTGTTAATATCATATATGTCATATATATGATTGTAATTATAATTGTAGCCATATATTAGATGATTTCAAAATCTATTAGGTTTAATTATAAGTTATTACTTCTTTGAAATAAATAATTTGTAAAACAAAGATAGATACTATTTATCAAATATGCTAGTAATAGATCACTTATTGCCAAGTAAAAATAATTAGATTAAATTGGAGAATTTTAATCAAAAGATAAAAAAATGCTAAAGAAGTCACAGGTAAATAGTGTGAATGATGCCGAAAATAGCAAAATAATTAAAACTAAATTGAAAAATAAAATTTTACTTGATAATTTCTTAAATATTGTACTTTTGTGAAAACATCTAAATAAGATTATCATCAATGGATAAAAAAGCAATTCAAACAGGTAAAAATAATAATTTGGACTAAGAGCTGGATAATATGATAATTTACAGAAGAATAAATTCTTATCAACATAGTAGTAAAAAATGATGCTATTAAGTAGAGTTTGAAAAATATTTATGATCGTAATAATTATCATAAATATTTTCATTTTCTTTTATTTATCTGAATCTTAATCTTAGTATTTTTATTCTTTGATATTTTGCACTTCTATATCATTTGTATCATCTTCCTGATCCATTTAATAATTCATAATTAATAATTTATTATAATATATAGATAAGAATTAAATCTAATTTTTGTTTATTAAATTTGGATAGAATTAAATAATAGACTAGTTTGATTTAATGAATTACTACTTACAAGGATTATTTGAATTTTATTTTTTATTTTAATTGATAAACATAATTTTAAGATCAAGATACAACTATAGTTGAATTTATGGATCTAATTGAATTATTGATTTATTTTATATATATATTAAATGGAAATGTCTTTCTAATTAAGCTTGATTCTATTTATTGAAGGTTATGATTTTGTTAAAATTTGGTTGATAATAATAATTAATAAAAATATAATAGTAGTATGTTTGATTTAAGAGATTCCTTATATATAGTAAGTCTTAATCAATTAGAATAATATTAATGAAATCTAAATCGTATAATAATTGTTTCCTACAGAATATTTGACAATTTAACTATAGCATGTGAAATATCTGAATAAGAATCTTAGAACAATTAAGTGGAATTTAAGGATATCTAATAGCTTATATTTTAAATTTAAGATTCCAAATTAAATCATGATTAATTACAGATTTCAAGAATTCAAGATTTTAACTTATTAAAAAATTTGTATTCTATTATTATTTACAAATCTATGTTATCCACTTTAATTTTTTTTTGCATGAACTTAAGAAACCTAGAAATTATGTTGATATCATCATTTAATATTTTAAGAAAGCATTAATCATTTAATTGTAAAAATATGTAAACCCACCTCCTTTAAAGAAAAATAATACGTCTTGATTATTTATTATGATTTTTTTTCTATTACTAAAATTTAATAAGACAAATAGTTTAATACTTATTTTTTGATTATAAATCTTATTTGGATATTTGTGAGTTTTTTTATATTGATTTATAGTATTTATTATTATTAGTCAAATTTAATTATTCAATATTTTAGCATTATTTATTACTATATGCTATTCTTTTCTTATTCTTATTATGTGAATCTTATTTATTTTGACTTATAAAAAATATTAAATTATTTTTCTAGATTTTCTTTAATTCCCTTGTTTAGAATAATTTAAATTTAATTGAGTCAAATTGTTCCATTATTGCAGTCATGTATTTTGTCTAACATAGAAACAAAGTGTTGACAAATCATTTGTTTATGAAAGAATTCTTGTAAACACAATTAAATGGTTAGTAAATATATTCAAAAGATTCCAAACTCTGATTAAATTTTTATGTCTGCAATCGAACAGCTTTTTATAAAATTTATTATATATCCAGTTATTTCTAGTATTTGATTAGAATGATTAATACTTTATTCTAATAGAAAATTATTTTATTTAGTAGTTATGAAATGAAAATGATTTATAAATAGTTTTTTACATTAAGCAATTTAGTGATTCTAAAAATAATTTTCATTAGAATATGTTTCTACTTAGGTCAATAAACTTATTTATCATTAAATTCTTTGAAAAAAGTTTCCTATTAATATTATGAAAAACGCATATATAACAATAGTGATTGTAAGTTTGCTCACTTTAGGAAGTTCAAGTAAATGCTATAAAATATTTAGAGCTAACACTCCGGCAAGCAGTCGATCTGGATATACAAAATTTGAGATGTCGAGATCTAGATGATATAAATATTATGATCTCTGATACAATATAATGGAAAGATGCAATAGAATTAAATAATTAATTAGGAGATGATCTTAATGGATTATTGGAAGTAGAGAAAATTGTTAAAAATACAAAACAATAGTTATTGCATTAATAATAATCATTAATTGAAATTGAGATGCCTGATAAACAAGACTTTTAAGCTAAATTTGAAACAGATCTTGCTAAAATCATGAAGTTAATGTAATAAATGAATTAAAAGCAATCAAAAAAATAGAAATTAGATCTATTAACTGAAATTGATGTTAGTATTTAAGCAACAAAATAAAAAATGTAATCAATATTATCTCAATCATCAAAAGCTACTGATTATGATGTAGAATAGTTGACTTCTAATTTAAAATAATTATTATACATTAAATAATAATGTTAAAATTAATAATAGTAATAAAGTTAATATATAATTGGAAGAAATAATAAACATTATAAGCCATACAGTTATGATGAATATGATTTAGATGAATATGATGATGCTATCTAATAAGTTTTATATGATAGTGATTATGATTATGATTACAACAATTATTATGATTATGATGATTATGATTAATATTATGACAGATAATATAGAAATAGATAAAAACAATAATAAAATTAAAGAACAAGAAAGGATTCCAAATAATCAAAATAATCTAAAATAAAAAAATAAATTAAAAAAAAGAAAAATTAAGATTTTTATTAACCAGAAATCTAATAATAATATGCAAATGAAGAATAATTTTATGATTAAGATTTAAAAACAAAAGAATAGTAATATTAAAATCCTCCTTTTTACAATAATGAAGAAGATGATAATATTTAATCTCATATTCTATAATAAGAAGAAGAGTAAAATTAAGAATCTGGTGATTATTATGTATCAGCAGATTCAAAACCATATGATGCTCTTGATCCTTAGAATTAATATAATGTTATATAAGATTCACATATTCTAAATGATTAAGAAAATTATGATAATGATTAAATATAAAATGAGGGAGACTCTGATCATAGTTATTAATAAGATGAATATAATCAAGATGAATTATAGGAAGATTAAGAATAATATAATTATTAACCTTATGAAGATTAAGAAGTAGAAGAAACAATTCAACCTGTCTAGAATTAAAAATAATAAAGGTTCATTAATCTAAATAAGGATGATTATGATTACCAAAAAGATGTTGATTATTAAATTGAATAGGAAAACAGATCAAAAAATATACCATCAAATTAAGAATTCTCAAATCTTGATGAATAGGAAGATATAAATTATTAAAAACAAGAAGATGAAAAAACAAATGAATCAACCACAGATTAAGTTAAACTAGATGATATTTAATAATAAGGGAACTCAGAAAATCAAAATATTGAAAAAAAGGAAAATTCAGAACTATAAAAAGTTGAAACTTAAGAGATTCCAGAAATGAAATAATTAGAAAAATAGGAGAACTAAGAAATTAAATAAGTTGAATAAGAGAAATTATAATAATAGAATGAATAAGTCATCTAATAAGAATAAAATAATAAATAATCAGAAATTAACAATATCAAGGAGGATTAGAATAAATCTAAGTCATAATTAAATCATATGTAAGAAGGTTAAATAGAAACTCATTAGGACTTTAAAGCAATACCAGATTCATTAAAGTAAACAACCTAAATTAAAGCTTAAGCAGAAGAGTTTAATTTAAAAGAATAAAAATTACTTCCAGAATAATAATAGTAATAATAATAATAAGAATAATAATAATCATAATAATAATAGACAGATGTTCAATAATAATAATAATAATAATAATAATAATAATAATAATAGTAAAATAATCAATAAACTTAAGATTAAAATGTTTAAACAAAAGATCTGCCACTTACTTAATAGTAAACATCATAATCAACATAATAAAATTTACCTATTAATGATAATAATTAACCTTAGGTACCATAAATTTAAGGATCAGAATAAAATACTCAATAAGAATCAACATAAGATAATTAATAAAAAGGAGAGTAAGGTTTAAAAGTCAATCCTTTAGAAACAGAATAAAAATCAACACAATAAGAAGTAATATAAGAAGAACCTTAAAAATCTTCTGATTAAATTAAACCATAATAGAAGCCGTCTTTATAAGAATAAATAGAATAATAATAATAATAATAATAATAATAATAATAATAATATTAATAATAATAATAATAACAATAATAATAATAGTAATAACCTTTATAATAGCAATAATAACCTGAATAATTGTAATAATAGCCTCAATAATAATAAACAGTATAGCCTTAATAATAAACAGACTAACAACCATCATAATAATAACCTTAACCTTTAGAATAATAAGAATAATAATAACCTTAAAATTAATAATAAACAGATCAATAAAATATATTACCTAACCCATTATAAACTTTAGATTAAAAAGAGGATAATTAATAAATTAATGTACCTGATCCCAAAAATGAATCTTAAATTTAATAATAAGACCCTTCCTCATCATCACCAATTGGTATTGACACAAATCAACTTCAGCCTCAAAATGTAAGTGAATAGAAACCATTATTACCTACAGAATTAGTTCCAGATAATTCAGCTAAAATCCCAACTAAAGGTCTTGAAGAGAATCCTGATTAATTAATAGACCCAGCTAAGTTTGTTCCATTCAAACATAAACCTTTATAGAGCACGGCAAATATTTTAGTTAGATAGTCTAAATTTTATGATTCAACATTTGAAGGACAAGCGTCTTATGAGATTTAATTTTCAAATAAAGAATTATAGGATTCGGAAGAGTATGGATATGGATTTTGGCTAAAATATTAAAGCACTCTTGAGTATAAGATGAAACAAAATGAATATCATTTTTTGTCAAGATTGACTTCTATAAAGGATTTTTTGGATTTTTAAAATTATGGAGATAGAACTTTAGCCAATTTTTTGGTAGATAATTCATTTGTATTTGCTACATATGATTATGTTGGTAGGGAGAAGAATAAGGTAGCTTAAATAAGTCTGAATTAGAATATTGACGGTAGATGGTATTTTGTATCCTTCTCGTATAGCAGTCGTAAATAGAAGTCAGTAGGATTTGTTTTATCTTATGGTAAGGGCAGGGAATTTTAGAGAATTGAGATACCATGCACTCATGCCCCTCCATTTTATATGTCTATGACTGTTGGAGGGAAGCATTTACATTACCCAGGATTGGAAGGTTAATTTGCAAATATCTTTTATGATGTAGAAGCACCTGCATTGATTGACAATGAATAAGAATTATTCAATTTAGTTGAGACAATGTCTTTTATGCCATAAGGATTGAAGACGTATCATGAGGAAGTGATAG